GCCCACAACTCCGATTCTGCAACGATTGCATGGTCAAATACATCAAAGCCAATCTCGACGACAACGTGGCCAAAATCCCATGCGCGGCTTTGAATTGCCCCGACTTTCTCGACCCGGAAAAACACCGGGTTCTGGTGGGGCCGTCGTTGTTCGTCCGGTGGTGCGACGTGCTCTGTGAATCGGAATTGATGGGAAAGGACAGCTGTTATTGTTCGAACCCAACCTGTGACGGCGGCCAAGTGTCCCAACTGCAAGAAGTTGTTTTGCTTCAAATGTAAGCTGAAATGGCACCATGGATTGGGTTGTGGGGAGAGTGAGCAATTGGGTTTGAGGGATGAAAACGATTTTGCTTTCGGGATTTTTGCAAAGGAGAGGGATTTGAAGAGGTGCCCTCAATGTAATCACTTTGTTGAACTCCTTATAGGCTGCCCAAGTGTGTTTTTTTCGATAACAACATGTTGTATGAATTGGACTTCACTTCCCAATTTCAAAATTTCCACAATACACTTCTCAATTCTGGGTGGGTAGTCCAATTGGTTGTACATTTGCACCATGTCGATAACTAACAGAGAACCCGATTCCACCAAAAACTGTTGTGTTTAGCTATATATTTCCATGCCTGGATGGATGGCCATGGACTGAGCAGCCAAGGTTCTTGTGGAAGGCCTTCGAAAAGCAACCTTTTATCATCTTTGAAAATTCCGGTGATAAATAACTACATTAATAAAGTATAAAGTAGACTATTTTTCTCGATTAGACAAAGTATATTCTCTTACGTTTTGTCATCCATGATATTGGCCAAGGAAATTGAAGAGAAGATTGGTGGTCGTCCCTAAATATTAACTTTGAGATTCCCCATTGTCATACCAAATATAGATAAGAAAGCATCGACCTTTGAACAGGATCATGAACTAGCCGCTGTTGGCAATTTCCTTAATTATCATATTGCGGATGAAGACCAAAACAAAATCAACTAATATAAAAAGATTTAGGCTCTGTTTGGTTGGATTGAATTGGACCCAAGAATTGGAATTGGAGGCCCTCAATTCCAATTATTGTGTTTGGCTGAAAAAATAGGGGTTCCAGAATTAGAATTATAATTCAAGATGAGGCTCAATTCTTTATTTTCAATTCTTTTGTGGGAGCAAATAATTGCAATTCGAACTCTAGGGACTTTAGAAAAAACGCGGGTCACATACGGGTCGTTTTCCGGGTTATAACAAAACGGGTCCTTTTAAGTTTGAGGTTTTTTTTTTTTTTTTTTTTTTGGGTAGCGCTGCACATGCGCTTTTTTTTTCCTTTTTCATTTTCGTTTTTTCCCCCTTTTTCTTTTAGCGTTGCTGCGTTGGGCTTTTTTTTTTTTTTTTCCTTTTTTTGTATTTTGTTAAATTAACATATGTTTTTATTTATGGTACAAATGAGGTGTAAATCATATTAATAATTATTAATGAGATCTATATATTAAAATTAATATTCTTTTAACAAAAACTATCAAATGTATAACGACACCTGTAATTTATTTTAAAAATGGATGGTATTAACTATTGGTTAACATTTTTTTATCAAATGTATTTTGAACTATACTTGAAATTTTTTTCACTAAAAATTATGTAAGCTTTCAAGAAGTCGAAATATATATTATTCCATATGTAATTATATACTAAAAATAAAAATTAATTAATTAGTACCATGTATTAATGTTAATTTATACATAAATGAATGGTCTTTACTTTTAACTATATAAAAATTTTACACTAAAATCCAAAAAAAAAACTAAAGATTAAAAATTTATAAATAATAAAAAGGAGAGGAACAAGGATGTTCTACATGTTACTTGTGAGAATTCCGATCATCACATTCATACTTACGTAATAATAAAAAAAGATTTTCCACAAATATGTATGTATCTATAAATTATAATTGATATATATTACTCAAACAACAAAAGTTCTAATATAAATGTATATGATAAATTTATTTTTGTTATCTTATATATGTAAATAATAAATTGTTTTGATATATAAAATTAAGTATTTATTTTATTCAATGAAATAAAATACTAAATTATAGTTAGATAATAAAAAACTAATTCTAATTCTAGATTTTATAAATTTATAAGGATCCAAACACAAGAATTAGTATTAGAACCTTAATTCTAGTCAATTCTTATGATCTTCCAAACAAAAGAATTAAGATTGAATTGCAATATTAATATTTCATTTTCAATTCAATAGTATTATAATTCTAATTCAATTACAATTCAATCTAACCAAACGGAGCCTTAGAAAGAACAAAAAGGGGACTCTTTGGAATTCTTATCTCCAAAGAAACATCTGCCTTGCTAATTTTATGATAGATTTTGTACTTCAAATATATCGACTCTTGTTAGGGTTCCATATATATCGACTCCTGTTACATTCAGTGTCAAGACCAACTGATTAATGCACTAATCAATATGAAGTTGATATTTTTCTTCTGAAAATAATAAATCAATCATTACTGTTTCTCAGTGAGTATCAATTTATATATGTGTGTGTTGTATTTCTTTTATTTATTTCCGTCTCAAAATAATGAGTGTTTTTTTTAAGGAAGGTTGAAATATTTAGGTGAAACAAACTCGTATAAGTCATAAAACAGTACAAACTCAAATACTACTGCTTAGGCCCTGAATGACCAATTAAATTGACTATACAAAATCACAGACAAATTGCAACACTGTTAATCCTTATCTCAATTATGTGATGATAATAAATAATTATTCAAAAAGGGAAAAAAAACACGTAATATTTGTCAACTAAAGAGATTAAAATAACTTGTACATTTTGGATGAAGATAAAATCTGAAAAATTAGAAAAGAAGGCATTTTAATTTTATTTTGAATAGTACCTTCTGTCATTTATAATCGCATTACGGAAAGAAAAAACCGATTCATCAGAGAAAATACTTCATAAATAAACATATATATTAAATTGCCTCGATTAAATGAAGGTTAAACTTGTCGTGAAATACTCCCTCCGTTCCAAAATAAGTGTCGTTTTAGTAAAATGGAGAAATTTCAAAATAAGTGTCGTTATCACATTTCAATGCACTTTTTGTCCTAAGTTTTCAAAATTACCCTCAAAAGAATTACTACTATTGGTGGACATTTTTTTAGTGGGATGGTTGAGGATATTCAAGTAATTTTATTACCTTATTTAAGAGTTTCTTAAACTATGTGGAAAGCATAGGATCACACTTATTTTGGAATGAAGGGAGTATAATCTAAGTAATTAATGAGACGCCTTGCAAAGGAATTTGAAAAGATGTATACCCCAATAAGTAATTTCAATCTTTACAACAACCCTAAAAGGAATTTTCCCTAAAATTTATTGGTCGATTCTGCTACTAAATTAAAAACTTGATATGCTTATTTATAATATAATTCTTCTCCACAAAAATAAACGAGGGAACTATACACACACACACCAATGGGTAACAGTATAGCCGCACCGGCTCCGGAAACGGAACAACCATATCGGCGCACCTGCGAAATCTGCTTGGAGACCCTTGACTTAAGAACACTCCGGGAAACATTCAGAACCCGAAAGAATACCTGCATCCCGCTCTACCAGTTCTGTAGCGACTGCATAGTCAAGTACATCAAAACCAAGCTCGACGAAAAAGCGCTCAGGATACCGTGCCCTGCTTTGAACTGCGCCGATTTTCTGGACCCACACGATTACCGGGCTCTAGTGGGCCCGGAATTGTTCGTGCGGTGGTGCGATGCGCTCTGCGGTTTGGCGCTGGCGGGAACGGCCTGGTGTTATTGCCCGAATCCGTACTGTTCGGCTTTGATCCTGAACGAGTGTGGATATTGGAGCGTGAAAAGAGCCACGTGTCCGAATTGCAAGATGGTGTTTTGCTTCAGATGCAAGGTTCCATGGCACGCAGGGTTTACGTGTGAGGAGAGTGGAGAATATTTGGATCAGAACGACCGTGCTTTTGGGTTTCTTGCAGAGAAAAATAGGTGGACCAGGTGTCCTCATTGTCATCACTTCGTTGAGCTCAGTCGAGGCTGTTCCAAAATTACGTGCAGGTAATCATATGGCTGCAGAAAGTTCTTATTTTATTTTATTTATTATTTAACTTTAGCAAAAAAAAAAAGGAAAAAGGCGAGAGAAAACAATTATGAAAACTTTGCGTTTAGCCTCCCACATAAATTATTTATTTGTGAAGTTATGGAGGAAAACTAATCAATTTTATGACAGTTTGATAATTTGATTCCTGACTTTCGGTGAAACTAAAGGATCATACAGTTTAAATTTCACTTTTAATACAAACAATCACTTTATAACAAAAGATTAGAGTAGTTGGTATAGCTGAGCCTGTTCTTGTTAGTTGGTTGTCTTATTTGAAAAATCAGCTTATTATCATTAATATAATCGTGTTAACAGGTTGGCTGTTAAGCATATCTAAATATCTAATTTATTTTTTGACTCGATGATTGTTTGAATATTGTTAGATGCGGTTCTAGATTTTGCTACGGATGTGGAAGGAGATGGGGTGATTGTTGGTGTAACCTCGCCGCCCCCGCGCGCACTGCTGCAGCTCAAGCGGATGATCGTTGTATTGGTATTAGTCTTCTTATAATTACTGTAGTCTTCTGCGTCGGCTTTATTTTCCTACTAATCTCCAGTAATTGATGAACATATACTTGTTCCCCCTAGACCTTTATTTTCTTACCTTCCTAATTTTCTACTTGTGGTTTGTTTACAAATCCCTCCGTCTGATTTTAAAGTTTTGTGATATATAAGCAAATGAGCGAGGATAGAAGGTTGTTTATGTTCTTATTAGCTATGCTTGGCTTGAAGCTGTATGACATTTCGCTAACCCTTTTCAGTTCTTTGGGGATTTACCATATTTTGCATTGCATGCATATGCCAACTTATGTACTTTAACAAAGTAGATTATTTAAGTGACAGAGAATGCTTTACTAATTGATGATCAATATACTCAACAAGGAGTGAATTCTTTTTATTTTATTTAAATGGACCAGCACAATCGAAACTTAGCTACAAACATAAACTTAGACACACACAGTTTATCAGTACAATTATGTAAATTGTTACATAAATATTTTGTACTACTATATAAATAAAGCTTTACAATTTGGAACAATTTTGGGTTTACGATAAATCCACAACGGGTTTCTACTGCTACACGACCGCACCTAGTGCGGTCCAACCCAAAAAAAAAAACAGAAAATCATTAAATAAGAGGAAACGTGATGACTACTATAGCACAAGAATCATCACTCCTCCCTCGAAACAGGATCCAAACCAGCCGAAGGGCTATCAGCAAAATACTCCTGATGTTTGACATTAACCCCATACTGCACTCAACATATACAATAAAGGAATTACTCATCAAAGAGGAAACAGAAACAAACACGATCTTAGTCGATACATATGAGAGTTTCAAATGAAAAGTAAAAAAGGAAACCAAAATCACAACAAATATTACAACACATATAGGCTTGACCGCCCACTGATTATGCCAAAATTATAGGGCAGTGTGGATGACAGAACTGTAGAAGAATAGAATTAGATATCTACGACAACCTCTTCCTAAAGATTACACCTTATTCAAGGAAAGAGGTCGAATCAATGATAAACAGTTCTACGATTGTCACCCCTCTCAGCAAAATTAGAGGTACATCAATGTCAATAGAAAAAGATCTGCCTGTTAAAATGGACATAAGTATGACGAGGTTCCATATAGCTAACATGATGATGGATACTAGATTTTTGGCAGACAATTATCTTCATCTGTATAGTTCATATACATAAAGAATTCACCATAAATTTCGCTTACTTACAAGGGAGAAACGAGGTACACATGGAAACTATGAATACTTCATAACCAGCACTTGCCGCTAAATGTTTTATACTCTCTTTCACCGCTCCAAAACATTTTCAATAATAGGTTAGATAGAGATGTATAGGTACACAGGCAGAGACACACTCACACAATCGCTATCCCTCTTTCACCTAAATACGTGAAACTAAATTATTATTCTTAGCAAATGATAAATACTGAGGCTAAATTTCCCACAGCATTGAATGACGCAAAACACAAGTTATACTGCCGATAATAGCATCAAGAAACAAGATTCCATGTTGTGATGCTGGACAGAAGCTTAGATCAGTCCATGACGAAGTGAATCATACACGAGTAAGAGACGCACATTGCCTCTAAGAAACTATATGCCCCCAGGGGCTTGTGAGTAGATGCTCACAGTTGCGGACATAATAGGCAGCCAACTACAGTAACTTCCACGGTTACACTTCTCATGTCCATATCAGAACAAGCCACATCAACATCTCTTACTGAAACTCCTTACGTCATTCCAAACACATCTTGAACGAATTTTTTTCGTACAAAAGCTAGCCCTTTTAAATGCTTGCTACTACTGTAGCTAAACGAAAGAGAACTGCTAAGGAAACAAGGACTCGAAGACTTTTTGTCTTCCCATAAAATTATGCCAAGATTCACCGAAGCTTCATCTTTAAAGGAGAAAAAATTGCAGAAACTATCAATCCACTGATTCCCACAGCAACCGTCACTACAGTCTTAACTAAGAGATTTGGTAAACCCACCACGTTTGCAGGTTTCACAACCAATTTGTTAACTCAAATGTAGCCAAGCATAAAGGATTATGACTGTAATAGGACTTTAAGAACTTCAATTACCCATCAAAAAACAAATCTTTCAAAATTAATTATAGAGGAAGGCAAAAATTTACCATTATGGAATTACTCATCCAACATCACTACACCTATAATCAAGCCCTTCATATCAATAATTCAATCCATTTCTATAGGAGATATGTAAAGAAAGAAAAACAATGGAGAAGGCAGAGAGAGGAGAGGGCTCCAATCAGTATGGAAGGATAGAGAACTGGCTCCAATCAGTATTTCGTTCGTGTAAAGTGGCAAACTAGCAACAAAGAGAGGGGAATAGGACTATTGACCAGGGGGAAAAAAAAGTGCAGGTAAAAGTAGCTTAACATAATGTACAATTAAAAACACTTCCTGGCAACGTAACACTTTGACCTCACTAATATTCATAGTCGCTTTTAACACACAGAGCAAATGAATCTCCATTATAAGAAAATGCAACTTCCTTAATCAACTACTATATATAGGGAAGAAAATCCAGATGTTTCAATCCATTTGTTCAAATTTATAAAATGAATTGAAGTATCACATTATGTGTCGAGAAAACCTTAATATAATGAACATTTAATATCAATCAAAAATTACAATGCGAAGGTGAAGCTAGAAAATGTTAGAAGGAATCCATTACAATATACTGTACATGATATAATGAAAGCACTAAAAAGCACACTCACAGTTGTATAAAGCTTCATTGTTGATTTGCAGAATTCCAGTTTTCATTTTCAAATCTCTTTCTAATTTTTTCTTTTTTTCTTTTTTGTTTTTTTTTTTTTTTTTGTTTTTTCCTTTCTCTGCCCTGAAATCAGCATGTTCTGATTATCTTTCATCAAAAAGACAATGTTCCAAAATTATCAAAAGATACGGGAAACAAACACAAAAGAAAAAATCTATCTCGATATATGAAAATAAATCCAAAGGCAAGCCTTCTCAAGTAATAGGTTCCAGATTACTTCTTAAACTTAACAAAAGAGTGAAAGATATGACTTACACAAAAAATGGTCATGCTCAAAACTGGATTTCTAAATGGTTATCAAATGTGCAACCCTAGCACTCCTAGGAACCAAGATACAAAATTGATCATAAAAATCATAACTCACATGAACCATATTCCTTATAGTATCAAAGTACCAACCGGGTAATCTCTACCATTACCACCAAAATATTTATTTTCTGTACTTTCAGCCATCAAATTAAAAAACTTACAAAGAATACGAGCTGCACAGAATAACAAAACACCCAAAAACAAATAAATTTATCACTCACGTTTTGAAAGAAATTTAACCTTAACTCAAGTTGTTTTCACTTGCATATGGTGATATATGAAGGACAAATGACATCTTCTTTCACTGTTCTTTCCTAAACTATTTACAAATATGATACATGAGAGCTAGGTGCTGACCTCACGCAATGCCTTTGACAGATCCTCCATTGTCAAGATAAGCCGCTTATCCTGAACAAAAAACAGAATCAAGAGTTAGATGATCTGTACATTAGCCAAGAAGCAATGCGAAGCACAAGAAACCACCTTTGGCTGCTTTTTATCTTTAACCACAGCAGACTGTCTTGCCTTGCAATGTCTGCATTACAGCGAAAAAACCAGACATTAAGATGAAATTTGACATGTAAGCCTAACAAATGAGATCATCAGTTCAAATTGTAAGGAATAACTCTAATTGGCACCCCAAAAAGCTCCTCATTTAACCGATCTCCTTGAGCAATGAAATACAATTTCTTAGATTGTGTCTTAACCCCTTCAGTAAAACTTTACCACTGATAGGACTTATACTTGATAAATTTACATTAAAAATAAAAATCATATAGATGATAAGACTAAGATAATAATAAGGAAAGCGTGGATTGTTCTTCCAGAGAGACTCAAGGTTAAGTCATCAAAATTATTTCCTTGTATAATTGACATACTTATGCTTCCCACACTATAAACGTTCAACACTAATACCAAAATGAGGGAAAAAGTAAAAAGATTTACAAACTTGATAATAAATGTGAGAAAGAACCCAATACATACTGAAGAGATTCTGTAGCAACATCTGCAATAAACTTCTGCGTAGCAACTGCAACCAGCCTGGTTCTACAGTGATTAAAAAGGGATCAATACATAAGCAAGAAAAAGCAAAGGGACACAATGATAAGCTTTCTACATATACAATCTTTGATTCCTCGCAGCAATCTTCACTTTACGACCACAAAAAACCTCAAGGATTTATTTTAGAATTTTGTTTTCCAGAACACATAGCAAATAATAACAAATCGTAATATGCAATTCAGCTACAATAATAACAATTCATGGAAACATTAGTTTAGTTATTGTTAAACTAACACGTTGCACCAGAAAACAAAAGGGAAACGATGGATAGGAATACCTACAATCGAACATCTGGACACTGAAATCCACTTTTAGCCAAATAATGCTCAACCAATTCATCTGGAATCTGCCGGAAAATCAAAATTAAAGAAAAGTTTACCACCGTTTGACTTCCTGTACGTAGAAAAACCGGGGAAAGAAATTTGCCTAAAGTAGGGTATAATTGTGCTACAAAGTGTAGAAGAAGCGAACTTACGGTGGGATTATAATCCATTAATGAAGCCAGAAACTCAGAGAGAGCAGCATCATCATCGTGCCTTTCTGAGTTACTACTGGCTTGCTGCTGATAGCTTTGTCCTGGATTAGAATTCATCTCTCCCTCTCTGAGTTCAACAAAGGAGGGAAACTTGGCTTTTTTTAGCTGTTTTTTCACCACCTTCTAAACTGCTATGAAAAATCTTTGACTAGTAGATTCAAAGTTAGGACAACAATTTCAATTTAGTTTGATTTTGAAGTATCCACATCATCCCAGGGTGTTATGAAAAACTTCTTACTAGTTGATTCTTGACACCTAAATTTGATGTAGAAAAACAATAACACGTTGGTCCAACTACTATTAGAAATATCACGCATCAGTCGATTTCATACTTTCGATAATAAATTAGCAAATCTCACTAGTATTAAGGTCAACCGGAGTCACTTAGATTTTTTTTTGGAAAAAAAAAAAAAAAAAACTAGCACTAAAACGATCATTTTGGGGAATTTATAATGACTATCCAAACAGTGTTTTTAAAAACAATGATCTTTTTTATCCACGGAAGCTTTTTGCATTAGAAAAGCCCACACTTATATCCTTTGAGACCAAGAATCAAACACCCAATATGCATAATGCATATCCAAAGATACAGTTTAAACAAGATGAACGGTAGTTGACCTAAACTTCAAATTATCTTCAACCCAAAAAAGCATATTTACAAACATGTGGTGTTTCTCCAAGCAATTACATATTTGAAAACCCAAAAGAACAATGCAGCAAAAACTATTTCGACATACAGACACTCCGATTACCAGAATCCTATGTAATTGTCCATTCGAAAGCAAATAAATCAAAGAACACACGTAATCCATTAACACTGAAGAAGGATAATCAAAGTAATGAACAGAACCATAGTGAAGATGGAACTTGTGTTCCACGTTAAAGCAGTAATTCCGACAATTCAACAAAACGACGACCAAAAAGAAGAATAAAAGCAGAAATGAATACTGGGATTTCGAGAAAACATAAAAGGTTCAAGCGTATCGGCACCTTTTCGATGAAGAAAGAGGGTTCCGCTGGATCTCTGCGCGGGCTGGTGGGCGTAGCTCTTCCTCGTTCTTCAGAAGGTGAAAAGAAAACCTTAAAGGGGGATAAGATACTTATAGCTGATTAATCAACGGCGAGGATGAGGGCATATAAACGTACTGATATTTCAATCCGGATATGCATATTAGGTGTTTGATACTTGGTCTCAAAGGATATAAGTGTGCTTTTCGCATCCTTCTGTCAGAGGCACTTCTATTGGGTTTTGTAAGGTGTTTGGTATTAATACAATAAATAGATTATGACAAATAAAATATTTAATCTACTTCATCCTCTCTTTTTTTTTTATTGATATCGGTAAATCTAAGAATATTTTAAATACGGATGGGGAGTAATGAAATGGTGAGCATTGGAAAAGATAATAATTTATGTAGAAAAAATTTATAATGAATTTTAGTAGGGAATCAATCATAACCCTCTCATTTTATATTTTTACAAATTTATAAAGTTTAGAGGATAATTAAGATTCATTGGCATTGTTTCTTGTAAATTTTATTATTAAAATTTTTCCTATGTGTATTATCACTCATTCACTGTATTAAAAATCGGAGGATTTGTTTTGCTCCTTCTCGAACGGGTGGTACGACATATCAAATGGGTCAACGTAGTTCATGTGTATTCATTAGATCAAACATGTCATTGAGTAACAAAATTGTTTAATTTATTGCAATTCCCAACTAGTCTAGAAAATTGACTAACAAATTTAACAGATGTTTGCACCAGAAAATATACGATATAAAGAAAGTAGAACACGTAAATAAAAGGACAATAACATTATGAGGAGTAAAGTTCCTAAATTCATATCTAATCATTCGCATTCCTTTATCGAGAAAAAAATAACTTGTCTCATTTCCAGAAAATCTAAATTTGTTTATGTTAGCTCACTGGAAAAATCCAAAATTGTAAATAAATCCATGTACCAAATGCTAAGGAAGAAATACGATGAGTGTAAAAAATGTAATACGATATTAAGGTCAAGTTTTTTGCTGATGGCTCTGGAAATTACGTGAAGGCCCTTACCTGAGCTCGATGTCTTGGACAAGGGGCTTCGGCACCGGTTCTCGGAGGTTTTCTATATTGGCAGATGACCTTAAGGTCAAGGTAGCTAATATTGAAGCTGCATGGAGGAGAATTCACCGTGTCTGGCGCTGATGAAGTCATCAATCAAGGCTCTTTAAATTCTTTTGTTTTCGGTAAATTATTTCAAGCACTTTGTATGCCTTTTGTGGATGGCCCTAGTATTCCATACAAGTATATATTGAGCCTTTTTAGTTTGATTGTAATAAAAGTGCAACTGGTTTGGACCTCTTGGTTCCTAGTTAGTTCGTTCATGTATTTTTAAGTTGAAAAAGTAAACAAAGAGACAAAGGAAAAAAACATATATATAGGGCGTAGTATAAACTTTAGTCTGTGGCATGTGAGTAATCTTCCATTTGAGAACCTAACCTCTTCAGACAATTCTCAAAAGTCTAAAATAATCTCAACTGTTATAAAATTAATGCTAGACTATTAATATAAAACTAAGCATAAGAACAAAGATGATGGACAAGGAAGTAGAGAAAGATAAGTGACTTGCATTCAGATGTATTTTGAAGCATGAATGAACTCCCTATTTATACAAGAAGTAGGGGATCAAACCGTGAGAAATGAATCACCTATCATTCATGCTAAATATTACAGAATCATATCTCATTGATTGTGAATAGAATAATACATTTTAATTATGGACATTCAATCAAATCAAAACAAATATTTTATAACACTATTTTTTAGTAATTATTTATTATGCTCCTATAATTTTTGGAAGAGATTAATTTGAACTGATTTAATATAGAGCTGATATATTTGGGGGGGGGAGGGGGGGGGGGGTACACAATATTTAGACAAAGGATGCTTCAATAATATTATAGAAGAAGATTGGCAATTTTTAAAACGGGAAATTTTATTCTTTTTAAACCAATTAACAGAATTCCAATTTCCAAAAACTAGGGTACCTTATCATAATTCTTGTTCTACAAGATTTTCTTTATATAGTTTCCAATAAGATCAAACTAAATTTGGTGCAGCACTGGGCAAGCATAGCCCTAAGCAAGAGCATACACAACTCACGGATGGGTAACGATTTGGCCACACAACGGCAACAGCATGAACAACTACGCCGGCCGCGACCAAAACAGCCTGCGTCACCGGTTCCGCGGCTCCCACACCGTCCGGCGGGAGCTTCACTTGCGAAATCTGCTTTGACCCGTTTGACTTAGCAACACACAAACAACCAACACTCATAAGTAAACAAAACCGGAAATCCTGCCCACAAAACCGGTTCTGTAACGACTGCATGGTCAAGTACATCAAAGCCAAGCTAGACGACAACGTGGCCAAAATCCCTTACCCGGCTTTGGATTGCACCGATTTTCTCGACCCGCAACACTACCGGGTTCTGGTGGGCCCGTCGTTGTTCGTCCGGTGGTGCGACGTGCTTTGTCAATCGGAGTTAACGGGAAAGGACAGCTGTTATTGTCCGAATCCAAGCTGTTCGGCTTTGATACTGAACGAGTCCGATGAGACGGTAAAGAATGCCACGTGTCCGGCTTGCAGGAAGGCATTTTGCTTCCAGTGCAAGCTTCCGTGGGACGCTGGGCATAGGTGTGGGGAGCAATTGAGGGATGGAAATGACCGTGCTTTTGTGGACCTTGCCAAGGCAAAGAAGTGGAAGAAGTGCCCTAATTGTCGTCACTTTGTTGAACGTACTTGGGGGGTGTAAAATCATAAACTGCAGGTACGTACGTTTTCTTGATCAATTGAGAGGACAGTTTAAAAAAAACTGTAAAAAAATGTTTATTCATCTATTTTGTATACGCGCGTGTGTGTGTTATTCCGATTTGAGGTCATGAGGTTTTGTGTTATTTTTGTAGACCGAAAGAATGTTTGGTTCTTGATTTATTATTATTCCATAATTGTCTCATTTTAATTAATTAAACCTTCACATTGAGTGACTGTGTGTTTCCAAAATTTGATAAAAAAAAAAAAAAAGGAAAGACAAAAAAAGAGAAAGCAAAAGAAAAAAAAAACGCAACCCCTCAATTCACGCCGATGGGCAACAAATTGGAGTCACCGGAACAGCCGGAACAACCGCCCCCGCCGCCAAAACAGCCGCTGCTGCCCTCCCCAACCGGCGATGGCGAAATCTGCACCGAGCCCCTTGAGTTAAGAAGAACACTGCAGCAAAAATGCAGAACCCGAAACAAAAACTGCGGCCCACAATTCCGATTCTGCGACGACTGCATGGTCAAATACATGAAACTATGAAAGCCAAGCTAGACGACAACGTGGCCCGCATCCCGTGCCCGGTTCCCTCTCGACCCGCAAGACTTGCGGGATCTGGTCGGACCGACGTCGTTCCTCCGGTGGTGCGACGTGCTCTGTGAATCGGCGTTGACGGAACAGGACAAGTGTTATTGCCCGAATGCAAAGTGTCGACCTTGATCCTGAACGAATGCGGCGAGGCGGTGACGAAGGCCAATTGTCCCATTTGTAAGATGGCATTCTGGTTCAGCTGCTGGCTTCCATGGCACTCTGGGTTCAGCTGTGAGTAGAATGGAAGAAAACCGATGGACGGAAATGACACTGATTTTGGAGTTCTTGCGGAGGAAATGAAGTGAATGAAATGTCCTCAATGTGATCACTTGTCATCACTTTGTTGAACGTACCGAAGGCTGTCGTAGGATGGTGTGCAGGTAATATAATTCCCTGATCAATTGCCTAAAAACAGAGGATTGGGAGATACTGTTATTTTTTGGGGGGAGGGGGGAATTATTAGTGTCTGGATATCTACTTAATATAAGACGGGAATGCAAGTTTGTGGCACGGTTTCTTGCAAGTTTTTCACTGTATTTGCTTATGTGATGGCGTTTGATTGGATCTTTTGTTATTTTGTCGTTTTTCTTATCTTTTATTTCCTCTTTTTTCTTCCGGTTGTTAGTCCCTCGGAGCAACACCACCACCAAAAGGCAATTTATCAAAACCAAAGGCTTCAACTGAGTTATTGAAGTTTGAGGCAGGGTTCAATGGGAACACTCTGAACAAAATTGCTCCATATTTATACAAAACCGATGAATTGTGTTCTTTGATCGCAAAATCCAAACTTAAAAGACTTGTAATTCCATCGGAGCAGAGTTGCTGCAGCCTGGAGACAGAACGGCGGGGAAGGCAATATCGTTAACTCTATTTCATCTTTCTCCTCCCAGATCAATCATCATCTCTTCCTTTCCGAATCCTTGAAGAATTCTTGGAGAATTTTCTGTATAATATGCAAATCGGAATCCTCAAAAAGTTGGAATTTCTACCTATGCTCTTTATTTGCTACAGGGCATAGCTTACATTCTCACTTTGACATCTCTGAATTTAACCAAAAATGGATTCAATTTCTCTGTTGGTTTCGAGTTGTTCATTCATTTGTATTTAGACCCGATTGAATTGATTAAGTTCTTTTTGTTTGGTTTTGGGTTCTTTGCAAAAAAATTGGTTTTGAGTGAAATATATTGGAGTTTAGTTTGTTGCACGTAAGGTGTTTGATTCTATGCAACTTAGAGGTGACCAAAACCAACATTCATGAATCCGATTTAGATGTTGGCATGCGAGTTGGGTAGGTTTTCTATTCATGCAAGTTCATCCTTGATTCCGTCAATTTTTCTAGGAGTTTGATTGCGCAAATTAATGGAAAAAGAAATGGTAGCTAATGTTTGAATATTGAATAAAGCACCTGAAATTTGGGGGTTACTATAGTTTTTTCTACTAGAAAGCATCCATCTATAGTCCCATAATCTATTATTTGTACTGTTTTGTGGTCTGACTCCATTCACATCCCACTTAGATCACTTTGGTGTTGCATATGGCAAGGTGAGCTTGGATCGTGTTCTTCGATGAAGTGGAATGCCATTCGGGGTGCATGGTGGAGATAATGAGATTCAACGTACTATGCTTGAAATTGTGAATTAGCTTGATGGATTTGATCTCCTTGCGATCATTAGAATTCTATGTAACCCTATATCAAAAAATACTGCCCGTAGTTGTTCCTTTTATATTGGAGAAGATGTCTTGTATATAATTACTCTGAAGAAGCTGCAACTTGTAACTTTGTATAATGAAATTATCTATCGTATCGAACAAATAAAACCATAACCTAGGTCAGCCTGCACCAGCAATCGCACCTCATGCGGTTTCCGGCACCTAGTATATATATACATATATATATATATATATGTTGTCATGATCCTTGAGTAATTTTATGTCTTGATCTTTTGTGCTTCCCCATTTCAAAAAATAATCAGCTGAATTTAGTAATATGGTCATGTTGAGTATAGCTGATTTGTTGTTATACACAATGATTGGTTTTGGATGTAGATGTGGGACGGTATTTTGCTACCAATGTGGAAAGAAGGAGTGGCACAAGTGCGGGTGTCAAACAACTGTTGAAATTGTCTGTGATTACTGTTGTTTGTTGGTATTTCTTTATTTGGTCTCATTCTTCATTTTATTTGTTGTCTTTGAAGTTTTATGAAGCTAATGAATAGAATGTGAGAGCATAGTTCGAGCATGCATCTTTATTGGAAGAGTTCTAATTAGCATCAGTATCTAAATTAATCGGGCACTAGTTTCACGCACCGAATGTTTTAATATATATACATATAGACAAGGGCAGAAGAATAGGAAGCGAATTCTGTTGCGATTTTTTTCAACTTTTTTTCGCAACTACTGAACTCCGGAGCATGAGAATTTCTATATTTGTATGATGCTTTTCGAGGTGTTATATCATGGTTAAAACATGATGTTATATGTAACTTCTATCGATGAACAGAAATTTAGGGAGAACTATCTTATTATATAATTTGAGTTACACGCACTCTCTCTCTCTCTGTATTCTTTTTCTTCTTGATCTTCTTCATCTGGTAATTCAGAAAGGTGAATCAACAGATCCCTCTGTCTAATAACTGGGAAAGTTTTAATTCATGTTTTCGGTGATTTTTAAATCATCATTACGTGGCAGAGGGAATAGTTATTTATTTTATTTTTTTTTGAAAAGGGTGGGAATCATCATTATGTGCGAAAGTTTCAATGCTTATGGGTTTTATGCATCTATATCTATCTTCTATATATGTTACTATATTAGAAACAAAAACCACACTTATAGAAAGCTCCACCATTTGCCATGTGATACTTCCACATCATATTTTTAAAATAAATTTTTATTTACACATTAGTTTTCTAGACTTAAAAGACAAATGCAGTCCAAATCCACACCCACCTCCTATTTTCGCCCAAAAAAAACCACGGATTTCATAAAAGCCCCAAATCCTCATTCATATCTCCACGACAATCGACTCCCTAATCAATCCCTTCTCCACAATAAAAAAAAAAAAAAAACAAATTCCTCATCAATCATCAACTGAGAATATATGGTGAAGTATACTCCTTTTCTATTAGCATGTTCAATCTTTTCATTAGTGATAATCAACTACATCCTAATGGAATAAAATTTTGACTTCAAGAAATATTTTCTTTACCTCTCTATATAAACACAAAGGAAAAAAAAATTCTCATTGATCTTGCTTCGGCCGTTGTGGTGATGCCATTACAGGTATTAAAAGTTAAATGATTTTATTCCCACAGATCATTTGTTTGGCTTTTTTTATATTTTACTTTTCCCGTTCAAGAATAGTGTTATTACTATTATTTTTATGCGACCACCCGTTACAGCTACTGTAGCCGTTGCCAGGTAATATGATGTGATTTCTTATATGGTTAGTTAGCCTAGAATTTTTGTATGATTTTAGTTTTGTTTGGATTGAATTGATCAATTGGGTTTTTGTTACAAAGTGTGATTTTTTTAATTTTTTTTATGTTTCATTCCATTAGAGTGATTTTTTTTTTTAAAATTATGGAGTCTCATTTTTTTTTTGTATATGGTCAGTTTTGAAGTGTGCTTTTTCTTTGTTTAATTTCTTTTGATTTTGTTTCATACTTCCAATTGACTAATTATTATTATTATTTTTTTTGACAAATGAAGTGCGTTTTTTTTTTTGTGTTCGGAATTTCAAGGATATACTTTTTTGGATTTGATTTTTGGACTTTTTTGAGTTGCTCATCATATAAATAGTTCAGGTTGCTTCTTCTAACTAATTCATGGGGAAGTCTTTTATGAATTTGGGGTGGAGACGGAAGGAACGATGTTTTTGAGTTTATTTGTGTTTTTATATATTATTTTTACCTACAGGAAAAAAAATAATTTCTCAATTTTTAATGGACTCTTTTTACTTTTTTTTATTATTTTATTTGTCATGGTGATGTGAGTTCTTTTTTGCTATAACTTGAAACCTATGCAAATTTACATTAATTTTCATTCTCATATTTGTGATCAACCTGTTTAAACAATTAACCAGTTTCAAAACCATATTTTTGATATTTTACTACCTTTAAACCTTTGAAGAAACAGTTCCAACAATTAAGCGTATACCCTTCGGAGGAAGCTTATTACAAAGCTATTATAAATCTCCTTTACTAAGTATTGATTTAGCACGACCAATGGAGAACATCAATAAATCATCTTGCTAATATTTAAATTTATTAAGATGCTTTTATATTTTGTCTAACATTTACTTCAAGACATATATTAGGGTTTAGGGTTTAGGGTTTAGGTAACACTTATAAATCATTTCTAAGATCTTCAAACATTTTTAAAACGTAACGGGCCAAATACAATTTCTTTTTTTTTTTGCTAAACACAAACATTTCTATGATCACACTTATAAAATATTTCTAAATTCTTCGAACATTTCTAAAATATATCGAGCCAAATACAAAATATTTTTTTTCAAATAAAAATAATTCTAATATCTAGAGATATACTGGGCCAGGATCGCGCATTGCGCGACCAGACATCACTAGTACTATACTATAAGCAAAAACCAGAGAGAGAAAACTAAAGGCATGAGCACATGCCACATAGGATTTAATCCTAAGTGGCATTTTCTTAATTTCTTAGACTTAAAAATGTACAAAACAAAATAATAAAACAAAAAAAAAGCAACTAAAATAATTTTTTTAAAAAATAATAAAAACCGAACCCTTATTTTCATGAACCAAATCCTAACACAAAGATTGATTGGAGAGAGTACCAAATCCTAACAAATTTTAGAGAGATCTGCATAAACCTTATCACCAGTGAATTTAAAATTTCATTTAAAAAAAACAAATTCCTGTAAATCCAGAGGTAATCATGTTTAAAACTGAAGTCATTACATATTTTATAAAAATACAAAATTTATGTAAAAATGTCTAAATGTGTATGCCATCCCTATCCCTATCCATCGAACGGGTCTAACACCTAGTATTTTGCTTAGCAATTGTCAGCTTCCACGTTACTTAATAAATTAGCAGATGTCTGTTCACTGGAAAAGTGGACAGAGTAAATTTGATTTGAAGATCTGATTGATAAGTTCTAATTTGAGCATGGAGACCGGAGAGGCTTAACCAGCAAATGAGTAAGTTTACACTAAGAAAAAAATAATGACCAGAGATATTTGCCTTGGTCCACTTTGTTCGAATAAAAGTTAGTGAAGGTGTAACTAGTATGTTCATAGTTTTCGTATAAGAAACTTTACTATTTACTTCGTCTCATAAAAATAGTTAAGTTTTAAAATGTGTAATATTTTTAATTTAGTCAACTTACCAAGTACAACTCATTATTATTATGTGAACTTTCAATTGTACCCCCGATTTAAACTTTACTGCAAATCTGATTCCCCGGAGTAATAAGAATAATCGGAAGAATAAAAGCAGGTAAAACTCGCCCTCTTAGGACTCTCCGTCCGCCGCCGGTCTCCATTCCCCTACTGTTCGTCATCAACATCATCATCAATCGGCGACTATTCATCCACTCCCTTATCTATTTACCACAGTTTTTCATCTCCTAGTTGTCTGCTGTCGCTGCCGATGCTTCTTAGATCGGAGGAAGAGGTAGTTCGGAGGAGAAGATGTAGCCACCGCCACCTCAACGGTGGTATTATGTCCATGGAGATCTCTTGATTTAATGGTTCAGGTGTTTGGATGGGTATGAGAGCTTAGATTTCTGGAAATTGAGAGCTAGATTACCTCCTCCAAAAATTAGAATTTGGATAAATGGAGAAGAAAAGCGTTGAATTAGGAGCTTATTTTTTTCAGAATTGGGTGAGTGAGACACACAAAAGTCATGAAAGTGGGTGATTTGTATTTTTGCTCAACGGCAACTTTTGCTCAACGGCGACTCTGTATTTTTGCTCATCTCCGGCATCCTTTTATCAAAAGGGGCAGTTAAGTAATTTTAATTGTTTTAGTTTTGAATTTTTTGAAACTGGACTATTTTTTTGGAACAACATTTTTTATTAAATTGAACTATTTTTTTTTGGAAAGAGTAATACTTTCGTTAGGATTCTCCTACCGGAACTAACGGAAAAACAGCTTAATACGGCCACTTGATCGCCTCTAAATTGGGAGTAGAGTGTTGGCATAATTAGAAGTTATGTACGTATCCCCCATTGAATGGGAGCCAAAAGAAAAAACTCCGATTCCTTGAAGCAACTGTCATTGGAATAACTAAAAATAGCGGGACCTCATTCAGATGAAACGTAGAAGTACGTAGTAGTATGGGTCACATTAATAGAAATGATTATTATCAATTTCGTTTATTACTCTTTAAAAGGATTATAATCACCTGATGAAGTTATTCGCAGTACCCATAAAATCAATAGATGTCATCTAGAAGTATGATGATCAATTTTGAAAGTTCATCAAAGAAAAAAAAAATAAAAAAAATATATATATATATATAGTACATTATAATTTCACTTCATGGAAAACAAGATGATAGATTAACACAATAAAATAATTCAATAAATCCTGTATCGTTATATTCTTAACCCATAAAACTGCGTGAATTTCAATATTACACAATCACATTATCATCGATCTATTTTGTAAAGCAGTGGAGCTAAAATTTAATGAATAAAAATATCATCATAAAAACATGATTCAGTCAAAATTATCGAATATCACAATTTTTATTGACACGGTATCTTAGTATTTTTTGTATCATTGGATGTAGCATCTCTTGAACTACAAAGTGCAATTTTTCTAAATAAAAAAGCAATGATTTCCAAAATAAAAAGAATTAAATATAAAAAAGAATTTTTCTAGTCAAAGTCCAGTTATTAGGAGGAAAAAGAAAAACATAATCACGATCGGAAAGGAACAGGATAATGGCTCAGAGTCATGGATGAAAAGGACAAAGTCAGAAACAAAAAGAAAAACAAAAAAGCAAACCAACTACCAGCCTTCCACAAATAAAAAACCACCACGTGGCAACGCAAGATTGGTCGTTTAGCCCGACCTCCATTCTTAAGCAACCTCGGAATACAACTGGTAGAGAGAGAGATATACCGATTACTTGTACGTATAGGCCTAAAAGTGTGTGTATAATTATCTCCGAAGCTTTCCTCGCAAAAACGCCATCCTCATTTTTATCTCAAAAGTCCAAAAACATGGGTCCTCGCGTTTCTCTCCTCCCTTTCCTCCTCCTAATTATTCTAACCTCGTCCTTCGCCGGTATTTTCGCCGCCGGCGACGAATTCACTTCCGACGACAACGGCGACGTTTTGATCCGTCAGGTGGTCGGCGATGATCATGTCCAGAACGCCGATCATCACTTCTCCTTATTTAAGAAGAGGTTTGGGAAGACGTATGCCTCCCAGGAGGAGCACGATTACAGGTTATCGGTTTTCAAGGCTAACATGCGCCGTGCCTTGCGCCACCAGAAGCTTGACCCTTCCGCTGTCCACGGTGTCACTCAGTTCTCCGATTTGACTCCGGCTGAGTTCAAGCGCAACTTCCTTGGCCTGAACAGGCGGTCGCCGAAGCTCCGGCTACCGGCGGATGCTAACAAGGCTCCGATCCTTCCAACCGATGACCTTCCTGAAGATTTTGATTGGAGAGAACACGGTGCTGTCACTCCGCCGAAGAATCAGGTAATCTTTGATTTACTTTTTTCTGTATGCGCGTGTATACTTTGAGATCTTCAGTAGCAGACCTGTTGCTTGTCGTTGACTTCTGAGAAATATTGATTTCTTTCTAAATTAATTTTCTTATTTTCATGTATGAATATTTAATTAACTCCTATCTGTGGATGAGTTTCCGGCAGTTATCCATGTATACTTTGAATTTTTCAATTTTTTTTTCTCTGTTGATGATTTTGATGGAGATTGTTCAATGACTGGAAATTCTAGGGGTCATGTGGATCTTGCTGGTCGTTTAGCACAACTGGAGCTTTGGAAGGTGCTAATTTCTTAGCAACGGGGAAGCTTGTGAGCCTCAGTGAGCAACAGCTCGTTGATTGCGATCATGAGGTAAGACTTTACTCCCATGACCTTGATGCGGTTTTGTGGACTCTATATAATTGTTTGGATTCTGTTTGAAGTTTCAGAATTATATGCTTTTCCTAATCAAGTTACAAGTGACTACTTTACCGCATCCATAAAGTAGAAAAAAGTGTCCCAGTTTTGGACATTTGTTTATCATTGTGATTTAGTATGTACTCTTAACCTATTTCCACTCGTCTATCTTGGACATTTCTCATTGGTAACTGTAAATACTGGAGGAGAACTCGGTTTCTTATGCAAGAATATGTGATTGAGTGGAAGATATACATAGTTTTAGTCTAAAATTATGCTAAATGTGTTGTGCATTCTGGTTGTAGTGCGATCCTGAAGATAAAGATTCTTGTGATTCTGGTTGCAATGGGGGTTTGATGAACAGTGCGTTTGAGTATACACTCAAAGCTGGTGGACTCATGAGAGAAGAGGACTATCCCTACACTGGTTCAGATCGTGGAGCCTGCCGCTTTGACAAAAGCAAAATTGCAGCAAAGGTTGCTAACTTCAGTGTTGTCTCTCTTGATGAAGAGCAAATTGCAGCAAATCTGGTTAAGAATGGTCCTCTTGCAGGTCAATCTTCTTTCTTTCTCTTCAATACCTCTGGTATTCTGTGGACTTTCGTTATAATTGCCACTGCTAGTTTATTTTCCTCGCCAATTCTTAATACATACTACACCTACGATTCGTCCAAGGAAATGGTACCAAATGTTTGATCTCCTAGAAAGTTATATTCCTTGCAAGCAAACTAGTTGTGTTATTTGAGTCTTTCCTCAAATAAAAGAACACCTTTTAGAATCTACAGTAGATGACTTGAAATTTTGAAGGTTAACTATGACATCTGATTTCAAGCATGCTTTTTCTTGTCAGTTACTGTAAAAGCTTTATCACTGGTATTTTACTGTAAAAGCTTTATCACTGGTATGATTAGGAATAATATATTTATGGCTTCATCTCAGTTGATGATCATCATCTGGTAAACGCCCAAGTGCAACATGCTACCACTAAAATTTATTTGCATCCCTAGTGCCAATAATTCTTTTTAATTCGTCAAAGATACTGAGTTAAAATTAAACCTAGAGAGTTGAGATGCAGACGAGCTATATTTCTAATTTGTGCTTGTTTTAGTTCCTCGCGTAGCACCTCTATAGTTTTGCTAGTGCTGGATGAACTTTTATGAGTCTGGGTGTTCACAACAATATACTGATACTGGTAGTTTCCCTCTGGATGCAGTGGCTATAAATGCAGTTTTTATGCAGACCTATGTTGGGGGAGTTTCTTGCCCTTACATATGTTCCAAGCGTTTGGATCATGGTGTGCTATTGGTCGGCTACGGTTCAGCAGGATATTCCCCAATCAGGATGAGGGATAAGCCTTACTGGATCATTAAGAATTCCTGGGGAGAACATTGGGGAGAAAGCGGTTACTACAAGATCTGCAGGGGGCGCAACGTCTGTGGTGTGGACTCCATGGTTTCAACTGTTGCTGCAGTTCACTGACACCAAAAGAGTTCAAGGATGATACTCTTAGTTGCTCTTGTACATAAGAGTTGGATGAAAGCTTTCTCCAACTCCCACTGGAATTTTAGGTTTCGCATTCAAAAAGCCCATGAATTTGATTTGGGTAAAACTGGATCATTGGAACATGCAATCAGCCGGTTCCTATTTCCAGTTTGGTTGTTGTAATTCTGAACTATTCAGGTGGAATATTAATGCTTTTCTAAGCATGATAGCATCGCGTGTTATCTTCTACTTATTGCTGCTCCTGACTGGCAATTTGAACACCACAATCACACAAAACACAGTTTCTTGTTAATCTTAAACTTAGCAAAATTTTTATTATGATAACTCTTAAGCTAATTTCTTGTTCCCGAAAAAAAAAGATGTGAAATTACGAACAATGATTAAAAAACCTACTTAGATATAGAAATAGACAAAACCTACTACCTCCGTCCTAATAAAAAACTATCTAGTTGAGATTTTTTGATTTTAGAAATCTAAATAAGACAATGATTTTAAGGCAAAAAGAATAGTACTATTTTAAGTGGAAACTTGAACTCAGACCGAAAAATATATGACAGTCCGACTGAAGACCTGCCCTTATGCATGAAATCAAGCACACCCTCCCCATTCAACTAGTTGGTAACCCCAAGAAATGAAAAGTAATGAAAACATAATCTTCCAATAATTCAATAAAGATATCAATGATACAGGGCGCCCTTATTTTCATACAACAAAAGGCGCATCTTTTCCCAACAACCAACTAAATAAACAAATAAATATTGCTACAGTTTTCTGTATTTGGATCTTGTTTCAGCTAGGACATTACAAATGCACACTTGTACAAGGGAAGGACTGCTGCCACTCTAAAAAGGTGAGGCATTATATGAATATGACGCTGATTATTTGAAACATTGATAGAACACATAGCAAGAGAAAGAACTCGGAACTGCAGGAGGGAAAAAAAAAAAAAAAAAAAAAAAAGAAGCTCAAAGCCTCAGCTTCTCTAGAAATGGTAATCCAAATGAAAGAATCCCGTACAAGTTGTATGCCTCTGTGAGCTTGTACCCAATCGTATTTATTGGAGCTTTTATTCAACATCAAGCCTCTCAATCAATCTTCTTCATCTCCGATTGTTGCAAACGAAAAAGGGTAGAATTTGTATCCATCTCCCTCGTAAAATTTATTCTGAAACTCCACCCAGTGAAGCCTCAATGCGTGGAGGAATGCACTGAGCGTTTCCATAACTAGCAACACTCCGACAGTTGCAAAAATAAACACTACAAGTCCCACAATGAGAATGATAACATTGTTATACCTGCAAAAGAAAAAGGAGCATGATTTCCCAAAACAATAGTACCCATAATACTCTAGCAGATCTGTAATGCTCCAACCCCCAATCCCAAGTAACATCCCTAATTGATGGGTAAAATAATTTACGGTACATCACACAAAGCCTGCAAGGGTTTTTGTTAACATTTACTCCTTTACATTAATTCGGACCACACAATGTCACTAACTGTAGTTACAGTATTCATAGGAACTCATTCCAAAAGCAACTTTTACCAGAAAAAATCTGAAAAGCAGGTTCTTGCAATTCTGCCTAACGTCCAGGCATTATCTTATAAAAAAAAGATTTGTTTTATAGGACTGGATGCCAATCAAACTCTCGCAACGCAAGTAAATAATGGTCCACTGAGAATTCTACTCCATGAAAATCTGAAAAAACACTTGTAATGCAGTCTTGTATAAAAGAGAAACAAACTGCATCAACTTACCCCCAAGCAAGAAGAAGAACCTTCTCGTAGAACACGCTGGATAACTCCGAATGGGCAAGACTGCAAGAGCGGGATAAGGAAAACAATCAGTTCGCAGATACTTGGAATATCTAATATCAGCAAACAATAGAGATCTATAGTATGGTTCCAAAGTCAACAGCCACAGTGCTGCATAACTTGATTTAATAAAATATTTGAATTTGGTCTAAAATATGGGCTTTGATAGAGCATCATATGATCCATACAGCTGATCTCACATAGTGGGATAGCGGATAAATCCGAGCTGTATTGATTCATAAAATCACATTAGTGAACTAGGAATTGGTACACACCTGAGAGCCCACAAACGAAGATAAGAAGCTGTGTTCGAGACTGCTCCAAGCACAAACTCTATGGTGTGTATAAGCTGATGCACAAAAATTTCACTGAACTCGAACTCTTCATGACCGTGGGAATCTTGATTTGTATCAACCAGCAATGACTCTTCTGTGTCTTGAATGGCAGTGTAACCATTGCCATGGTGTCTCTGAAAAAAAAGATGTTCCAAATCGTAAAAGAAATGAAGAAAGATTGTATGTGTGAAGAAAAATAATGAGGAAAGAGAAGACTAAACATGGTACATACCTCATGTTGCGCCTTCAAAAGGAAAGGCTTTGGGATAAGCATCCATGGAACAGCAACAAGAGCAAGCAATAATAAAACGAGCTGGAAAAGCAAAAAAAACATTAAATTAGCATGCACTATCTAACATCCCATTTAATTGCAAGATACAAAGGAAAAAACTAGGCATGTCATTCTGTGCAATATCAAATTACTAACCTGAGCTGTCTTCTGGCCAGGGAAAAGCTGGTTATCACCAAGGTCATCTGTTGGGCTAAGGAACATGTATATCATCACATGGTAAAGATCAGCTTGCGAACCTGTCCACCATTTTATAATGATAAGGACAGAAAGATAGCCAAAAAGGCCATTTAAAAATATCATCTCAGGAATAAACTGGCACCTGAAATTGGAGAAATGTATTGAAAAATCAGCAAAAGTACAAACCAAAAATAAGTACATAAGGGGGCGAAATAGTGTTAATCTAGGGGACCTACCAAATGTTGATGCTATTCCGGAAGAATCTGGCATTGCAGAAGCTCAATATAACACCTAGGTTCATTTGGGCAACCCCAAGAAGTATAGACATTTTCATCTTCAATGAGTTCAAAAATGGCAATTCACTGCGGGTGCCATGCCATACAGGATCCACCCCAAAAGGATAAGTATCACGCACCTTGATCAATCCCACTGACGTAGCCTCACTGCAAAAAATTCATTCCAGTTATTTTAGAGAACAAGATCCTAATAAGCCGTAAATCATAAGGGACACAACCAATCAAATACCTGCAAGAAGCATCACGGCAAGCATATGCTGAGCGACCAAATAATTCAAACGGAACCGAAAAAAACTCGTTATAGATCAACCCCGTATATATCGAGAAAAGTGACATCAGGAGGATGACATAACGACCACCAAAAGTCATTTCCATAATGTCTCCAAGTTTCTACAGCACAAATTTAAATATCAGACCAAATATGTAAAACAACAAAGAAAAACAGAGAGACAAAATGAAGCAACTGTGTGCTAGACAAGAGGTTACCTGACTGGAGTATTTCTTTTCTCTAAAAATCAGATACAACGTTGAAACCAATAAGCATATGCCATGTCCCCAATCACCAAACATAACCGCGAAAAGAAACGGGAAAGTAACAATTGTAAAAACACCAGGGTTTGCTTCTTGGTATTTAGCCACACTGCAAATAACAGGGAGAATCACATGGTCACATATTCAATTAACTGATCCAGAAAGAGGCTAAATGCAAGAGACCATATTTCTTCCTTCAGAAAGAAAGATGAACAAATCAACAAAAAAAAAAGGAACAGAAAATTAAAAAGCTTTCACGGAGAACAACTAATGACGAATGAGAACTTAGAAAAAAAAAAAAAGAAACAAACAAAATTGTTCACTTTCACACCGCTATGTAATTTTCACTAAGATCTGCATCTAAAAGTAAGGAGTCTTCCATAATCCTTGTAAGACAATCAGCTCAAGATGCAAAATCGTATACAAGTTACTAGCATATACTGCACTTGAACAATCTAATGCTCTTAGTCTTCTGAAGCTTAAAATGTGCTTTTACATTCATATTTTCTTTTCAAAGGCCTTCCATTAAACAGCTTTTCAATTCTTAAGCAACTGAAACTGATATGTTAGCATATTCCCCCAAACAAAAAAAAGAAAAGGAAAAAAAAAAAAAAAGAAGTTTCCAAACAAAAATAAAGTTCACTAGACCTCCCAGAACGAGAGAACTTAATTTGCAAACAATTGTGTGTTCCAGTAATGTAACCTTTACCCATATTCTACTGAACAATGCAAGAATACTTACCCATACGCATCAACAATCTCCTGAAAAGCAGAAGTAACTTTATTCGTCTGAAAATATGTCGGGGGTGCCTCCCGAGTATGCAGAACCCGGAAAATTGCCCCAACTTGTGAACTGGAGTCATGAGTTGCCCGCTGCAGTGCATCCTGAATCTGCAACAAGCACAGATAACAATTTCATATCTAGAATTGTTTTAAGAAAACCAACTACACTCCATGTCATACATTATGCAGCATTGTAGTTTTGCACACCAGGAATTCAAAACCGATTGCAAAATATTTAAACTGAAAAATTCTTGATCGCATAGCTACCTGCTTTGCTGCAAAAATGGGACTCCAGCCTTCAGCCACAAGACACTTTTTCGTAACATCAAAGCTGAGCATGTTCAAGGTGTGGTAAATGGATTTTTCCTTCCTTACCTAAAGGATTCCAACAAAGTAGAATAAGAAACAAACAATTCGGTGCTTGCAAGATAACTCTGATTATGTACAAAATCAAAAAAGTTGATCACAACTAATCATCAAAGATTTATTATTTCAAGCGAGCATACCAAAAGGTTCCATTTCTCAAATTGTTCTCCAATCGACTGCAACAAATTGCCACGGTGTAATAATCCGGCATCGATAGTAGTTTTTAGCTCTGTAAGTCTACCCGACACCTGAAAGTAAAGGATGAGGAAGAAAATAATTCCAATTCTACCAAGAAAATATCATCCAAAGGTCTCAAGACCAAACCAAAAATGATGCAAGTCTTTAAACCCCGTGTCAAATGGTAAGGTGACAAAGCAAACAAACTTCTGCTTGCAGAATGAAGGCAACCACAAGTAGTCCCGCATAACACGTTGCTTCTTTCACAGAAGTAAAATTATAGAATGAAGCGAAGACGCTTTCCAACAATGATATCAAGACTAAATGCAAAATAAACATTAAAACACCACCCCAAAAACAAGATACAAACACTAAATAAAGCCGAAAAATAGGCATGAACCAAAAGGAACTGAAAAGGACAAAATAATGCAAATTTCTTTAGGTTTGACCCTTATCCAATGATGAAGAAACAAACAAGCTAAATTCAGAAAAATACCTCAGTGATTGCTTGGGCCTGCTTAGCCAAATCTTCTGTGAACGGGTAACGATTTGCCCCAAAGGCATCAGATATTTTAAGGATCTTACTTTTCGCCTTCTCTCCAGAAAAGAAGACAACGAAGACATTCTTCTCAACCTACAGAATCATAATTGACGCAATCAAGATGAAGGACAAGTATGACTTTTGGGGGGAGGGGGGTGTTTGGAGGGAAGGAATTGAATTGCTTCAATAGAAGTAAGACATGTAACATCACAAACACTCTTGATAAGTATCAATAATCAACCCCGTAATAAAAGGCTAAGTTAAAAAAACAAATAGTGTACCAATAAAATCTTGAATTCGCTATAATCAATTACCCACTTCCTAATAAAACTTTGCAAGGTACAGATGGACGTTGGTGCATACCTTCTCTCCTGAAACAGGATCAGTGACTGGTTCCTCAACCACAGCTTGCCTCAGGAACACATTACCCCTGGTAGCACGGAATATTATCCTTTCAAAGGCCATGGACTTCTCTCTGGGAACAAGTCCAGAAATAAAGCCCAATTTAACTTGCTTTGATGGGTCAGTGACGGTTTCCTAAAAAATTCATCACAAATAGGCCAGTTATAGGAAAGCCAACTATCAGAAACAAAAGCATAAACTATTTGAGTACCCATTTTGTACCTGCTCTGATAGCAAAGGAGTTTCTAAGGATTCTTGACCACTCTGATTTGAAGCAGATTCCCTTTGTTGTGCAACAGCACTTGCCTGAGCTGAGTGAAAAAACTCAGCAGCCTAAAATGCAAAACACATGTTAAGATACACGATACCACTTTTTGGGATGTAACAGTCGCAGGTTAAATTTATATTCCGATTTTCCCCTCCTGCTAGGGTGGGAGGAGAAGGCAAAACATTTCCGTATCCACGGCATCTTATTTCACATAAATTAACATAAAAGCAAGTTTACAGATTGTTATACAAGCGCTTTTCTGAAGCTACTATTCTTGGTAAAATTCTCGACAGACTGAACCAAATTCCAAGCAAAACAAATTTGCCAAGAATCTTTGCAAATCAAAAAGATAAGAAAAGAAAATCAGTTTACTTTCGTGCCTTATAACAGTATATAAGCATACAGACTTCACAATACATACATAAAAATTAAATCGTCACCTCCATAAACTGAAATCTAATTTGATTGATGATATAATAGCTTTCTTTCACCACCTTACTTCTGCAGAGTGGTTACACATACAAGTGTATCTGGTGGTGATGTCATAGATATACTAAAATTAAAAGGAAGAAATGAATAGGTATAAAGATAAATTAACATATAAGCAAGTTTACAGATCGTTATACAAGGGCTTTTCTGAAGCTACTATTCTTCGTAAAATTCTCGACAGACTGAACCAAATTCCAAGCAAAACACAATTATAAAGAATCTTTACAGAGGTCAGCAAATCAAAAGGATAAGAAAAGAAAATTAATTATACCTTCTGCAGCACAAGTTTATACTCAACAAGTTCATTATAGGAGCGAAGCAACTTGTCAGAGTTGGCGTTTATCTCTACTAGCTCAGCCTCAAGTTCTCCAAGCTTTATCTGGTATATGAGGATAAAAAACTCACGTCATTATGCATCAACTTTACAAGAGCTTTAAGCGACAATGACACAGAAACTACCTCAAGATCGTCCAAACTGATATCAGTCCCTGTTGTCGACCTTGCAGGAAGAGAGAGACCTGCTTTTACCATTTGGTCCTTGAAAAATCTCAACTTGCGTGCCATCTCTCCACATCGTTTTATCTGTTTGCACGAGTGTAGCTCATTAGTACATTGCATGAACTCCAATCAATAAAAAACCCAACCAAAAGAGGAAAGAAAACAACGCATCAACACAACTTCTCATAGCGATCAAAGTCTAAATATATATTTGAGTTACTAAGTAGGTCAAAGCAAGACATTTAACATGTCAACATTCTTTAAAGGGGATTCTGGTTATTTGAAGTAAATCTGCACCAACAATATTTTAATCGGGAATGCGAACTATTACACTATTAATATCAGAAATTTACCTGAGTTGCGTACGTCCGCTGGAACGGGCTCTTGTCAGCATTCAACTGAAAGCAGAACACACTGAATAAGATCAGAAGGCCTTGCAGTACAAAGATATATGTCATCACAACCCAACAGCCAGTGATACTTTGTTTTTTAGTATACATTCCTCAATTCATTCATCAGAAAGAATTCCAACAATAAACCAGGGGAGGAGTAAGATTCACAGCTAAAACCCAAGCAAAGAACTCAATTTCGGGTATAAACATATAAACCAGCTAGCTTTTAGTTATCTGCTAGCAACTCAAACAGACCAAATAGAAAACTCTGACTGGATAAATGCTTTTGTTATTGCCTTTCATTTTCCAATTCATCCCAATAGGAAGTTCCAACAATCAGCTTTGTAGATATTTACAGATTTACAGCTAAATTCCAAGGCAAAAACAGAAAAAAAAAGAAAAGAAAAGAAAAAAGAAGTGATCTAATGATTTAGCGTGAAAATTGAACTTAATAGCGGCTTTTCATTGGCAAACTCAACAAATCCTTTTCAGATGAATGCATATCGAACTAGGTTATACTTCTCCTCGGAAGCGATCAAAAACAGCCACAGAATTCAGCAAAACTGGCAAGCAATAAAGAAGAGCAGGCACGAACTATAAACCCTAACAAAACAACATCTGCGATATCGCAAATCCGGTCGAATCAACTGTTGAACAATAACACTACACACAATGACGACAATTGTAAAACCACAACGCAAGGGGGAGAAGGAAGGAAAAAAAAATCCCCGAACTAAGAATTGCTCAGTAGAAAACGAATGAAAGGAAATGATATACTAACGTCTTTGAATTGGATGAAGCCGAGTTGGCCGAGGTAATCGACGGTGAGGTGAGCGGACTCGACGGGGATGATGAGTTGGACAAGCTGCATCGGCTCTGACCTCATCAGATCCATCGGCGGGCAACATCCTCCTCCTCCCCGGTTCCGCTCTTCCATCTTCGAAGCTTTCTTGGAGCTTTTAATTTACAGAAGATTGAAACCACAAAATTTTGCTTCTATGAAACTAGTCCTCCTCAGGACTAGATGATGATGATGATGATATTATTTGGGCTGTCTATTGTTTATTTCTCTCTCTACACGACGTGGTTGGGGGTAACAGATTTCAATCGTAATTATTTACACACAAACTGTTACGACTTACTACTATTGGGATTCTTTCTCTTCTTTTTACCGCCTTATTACTGTTCCTTGTTGTATTAGTACGTTGCGACTTCCTCACCATTTATATTTTTCATTTTTCTTTTCTTTTTAGTTTTGGGCCAAAAATCACAAGTTTGCTCCCCTTTAATTTGCGAATTTCTCAAACGTCTTTTTGTAGTTTTAAATTTTTGCAATGATTTCCTAACATTAACAAAAATAGATACATGCATGTTCGAAATGCCTAAATTACAATAAACTATAATTTTTTTTTCCGACGATCATTACTCTGTTACTATAATCAATCATGATTATTGATCATCATTCTTGGGATCGAACTTGTGACTGGCATTTAACGGCATGAATTTCCGCATATTTTAATTATTTGTTCATACTTTCAATGGTCAATCAATAAGGTACTCACATTCTCACAAGATGATGAATGTTAGTCTAGGTATCATAACAAACAAGAAGAAAAATAATTTGGTGTGACAAAAATATACAAACATTCTTACATTAAAAAAAAAGGAAAGAAAAATGCTAGTAGTATATTACCCTTTTTTGTAAAAAATGTTATTGTAACACTAGTGTGGCTATGTGCTTGTTTATTGGTTGTTAGGCTGATCTTTACAATTTAGCTATGTGTTTGTCACTTGCTCTTAATATTTGAGTTTTTTTTTTTTCTTTAACCATAATAACTTGCCTCGTAATATGCGATCATACTTGTCTTTTGACATTTTTGCTGTCGCCCGTCAGGGGCCCCTTTTGTATTCTATATCCATTTGGGCTAGTACATGTGTTGAGTGGGTATTTCCTGCATTGTCTAGATCTAGAATCTAGATCCATGTTTGTCTTCTGCTTCCAGCCTTCTAATCTAGTAATATAACATAATTACTGCTTATGTTGTAGTAATAGAATTTTAACAGTTTACTTCAAAGAGACAGTCTTTGACTTTTCCAAAGTCCAAACTTATCAAGGGAAGAGTTTAATAAGTGGTAGGAATTTTGACACCAGAATCTCAATTCCACTTAAGGTATGCTAATATTTTTTTTTTGGAGGTTGGAGGCTTTTTCAAGCACTGAATAGACCATCAAGATGCACGTGCAATCGTGAAAATCCCTACCCAACAATGAGCTTTGAGCTACTCTACTCATGTAATTATACGGTTTCAAAAAAAAAAAAAATACTCATGTAATTATGTAAAAATTCAGATGAGGTGTTACTTAAAATTTTATAAACTCTTCTCTTCATTTCAGACATTTTGAAGATGCCATCTGCTACAAAGATGGCTGAAATCAAACAAAAGTAAAAATAGTGAAAAATAAAAAATAAAAATTAAAAACAATGGAGCTAAAGTACTACTCCTTCCGTCCCATAATTATTGTCCACTTTGCCCAAAAAATTTTGTCCCAAAATTATTGTCTAATTTGACTTTTTATGGATCAAGTTACACATTTGTCCTTAGTAAAAAACATTATCCATAAAATCTTAGTGGTTAAACAATTACTTATGTAGGGGTATATTCGGTTGTTTAAGGTAAAATATAGTTAAGTTTGACCAAAAAATAAAATTTTTCATTTTAGTAAAACTGGACAATAATTATGGGACGGAGGAAGTACAATATGTTTAAGAGCTGGTGGGTTCGTTTAGTAGGAGTATATTTCAATTTAGTAACTCTACTATTTTCCCCCTTCTTTTCTTGACCCTATTTCAGCTTTTCTTTTTTCACTGGAAATATGTGGACGAAAAATATATCGGAGAGAAAATTGTTAAATATTCTAGCCCTAGCCGTCAAACTTTCTCCATGTCCGCGACCTACAGTAACCAAAAATTACTGTTAGAAGCAGAGCAGCAAAGAGAGAGGGAATCGACTCGATCCCAGTAATTAAGGAGTAACTGATCTCTTCGCTGGGCGGGCTAACAGATTGAAACACAATGCCATCATTTTATATATCCCTCACAATGTGTTTGTGAGAATACCACTTTGTTTCCCTAATTTCCATTCAAGTTTGTTTCCAAATTTCCTGCAAAAGACATCCTGATACATCCCATTTCGACAGCAAATTTATACTCCCTCCCTCTGTCCTAAAATTATTGTCAAGTTTGAAAATTCACTTTTAGTACAATTTGAATTAAAAATAAAAACCTAAACTGGACAGTAATTATGGGACGGAGGGAGAGTACACAGAAATGGAGTTGTATTCGTTGGACCGACTTTATTGTCTGTGTTATTATCCTTGATGTCGAAATGGCGTTGATTTAAGGGTTATGGATGAGTATGGAGGTCGAGAACTCTTGGATGAAGTTAACCTCCATTGAAAATCATGGTTTGCCAAATAAAGAGACATTAGGCCAGAGGCATTGGATACAGGGCAAATGTTGTTGCAGTTTTTGTGTCAGGTGGTCTTGCTACCCTGTTCTTCTTCTTTTGACTAGTTATATTTTCAAAAAGGATTGCCAGTTTTATATTTCATTTGATTTAATTTGTGAATGTTTCATTCTATATGCTGCAAAGCATGCTAAACTTGTTAGCAGTCTGCGACCAGGTTTACTTTTAAGGACTACTAATTTACTATCTGATATTCGAAAAGCTTATTGTGAGGATTGGTTTTTGATGTAATTACTATCTATAATTTCTAACCAGTGACTAAGTTAAACTATGGATTCGTCGTTGTCAATAGTTCATGGTTATTTCTTGAGTATGTATATGAACTGTATCTATCACCTTGGTTAGTGACTCAGTGTTAAGAAAAGATTGAAGGCTTATCCTTTACATATCTACTGCTTTATGTCAATTTTCCCCACATCTCCACTAGTTTCCCTATTTTAGTTCCACATAGTGGATTATGGAGGAGGGAGCACAGTTTATATGATTAACTCAAGACAGCGACATCCAAACTTTCGCATGACTTGTGGTTGTGGAGGTCTGAAAACAACATATCATCTTCAACCTTAAAGAACGAAGACACTGGACGAATGAAAACTAGTCAAACAAGAAGAATCCACCTAAAGATTCCTTCCAACCAATACTTACAAATAAAGGAACCTCTCCGGCTCAAATCCGGATCAGTGGGAGCAGTGACTTTGGACACGGCGTGTCTAACATACCAAATGAGTGTAATAATTTGCTTTCAGTTTCAAAATAAATTTGCCTGCAGTAATCATCTTATATTATTTGCTTTCTCCAATTTATGCAATGGCGACAACTGTGAATCTCTCCTGCAGAGTTTTAATTTTCTTGTGGCTTTCTGCATCAATACATGCTGCAACTTCCTTGAATTCTGATGGGAAAACTCTCTTGTCACTTCTCCGCCACTGGAATGCTACTTCCCCTACGATCAAATCCAGCTGGAATGCTTCTCAATCTATTCCTTGTTCATGGCTTGGAGTTCAGTGTGACCAATATGCTGAATTTGTGGTTGCTTTGGACTTGTCAAGTCAAGATATTTCAGGTCATCTGGGACCTGAAATTGCCGACTTGAAAGGCTTGAGGGCTATTAACTTGAGCAATAATAGTCTTTTTGGATCAGTCCCTGTTGAGTTAGGCAAATGTGGTCTTCTTCGAGATTTGGATCTTTCGTCCAACAACTTCACCGGAGAGATACCTCAGAGCATTGGAAACTTGCACAACTTGCAATATATTTCCTTGTATGAGAATTCTCTTAACGGTACAGTACCTGAATCCTTGTTTTCGATTCCTCACCTTCAAACTATTTACCTTCACAATAATAGGCTTACTGGTAGCATTCCATCAAACGTTGGTAACATGAGTGAGCTTGTTATTTTATGGTTGCATGACAATGATTTGTCTGGGAGAATTCCTGCCTCCTTAGGAAATTGCACTTCCTTGGAAGAAATATATTTGAACACGAATAACTTTGTTGGATCGATTCCTGAAAGTATTGAGAATCTTGAACACTTAGTTTACTTTGATGTTAGCGACAACACGTTGGAGGGCAATCTTCCGTTTCTTTCTGGAAACTGCAAAGAGATGGACACCTTGGCCTTGTCCGACAACCAGTTGGATGGAAGTATTCCATCTGCCTGGGGGAATTGTAGTAAGCTGACTGCAATTGCTGTAGTGAATTGTTTATTGAGTGGCCCTATTCCTTCCTCTTTAGGGCAACTCAAGAAGCTGAAACTCCTTTATCTTAATTACAATCGTTTGTCAGGAGAGATTCCAAAAGAGATGGGGAAATGCGAATCCATGGTTGATGTGAGATTAGATGATAACCAGCTTGAAGGCAGAATCCCAGCTGAGCTAGGAATGCTTAGTGAATTGGAGACTCTGTATCTTTACACCAATCATTTGAGTGGTGAAATTCCAAAGAGCATATGGAAGATTCGTAGCCTGCAGAGACTTGCGGTTTATCAAAATAATCTTACCGGAGAGCTTCCTATCGAAATTTTGGAACTAAAGCAGTTGAAAAATTTGTACTTGTTTGAGAACGAATTCAGTGGGGTTATACCTCGAGGCTTCGGCATCAACAGCAGTTTGGAGATACTAGATTTAACTGACAACCAATTCACGGGTAATATTCCTCCGAATCTTTGCTTTAGGAATCGATTGGTATTGCTGAACTTGGGCCGGAACAATTTTCAAGGTAAATTCCCTTCCAGTGTTGGAAATTGTTCTAGTTTGAAGAGATTGACTATGCAACAGAATCAACTCAATGGAGTGCTGCCTTTTTCTGTATGCAAATTGGAAAACCTGGAGGTGCTTCTTTTGTCTGACAACAAGTTCATTGGTATAATTCCAGGCGGCTTTGGAAACATGAGCAAACTCAAAGTGTTGGACTTGGGAAAAAATGGCTTTCATAACACAAATTTGCCTTCCTCTCTATGCAAATTGGAGATGCTGGAGTATCTTGTTTTGTCCGACAACAAGTTCACTGGTGTAATTCCCGATTGCTTCACTAGCCTGACTAAACTCACAGTACTCAGCTTGCGACATAATGGTTTTCGCGGGATGATCCCATCAAATTTTCCAGAGGGAAATGCGTTGAGGAACCTTGGTCTAAATGGGAATCAACTAGAAGGACCTTTGCCAAAATCTCTGCTCAACTGTACAAGTTTGGAAATCCTCGACGTGGGACAAAACAATATAACGGACACTTTTCCTATGTGGCTCGGAAGCCTCCCAGAGCTTAGTGTTCTTATGTTGAAACTGAATCATTTTCACGGTATCATTGGCACTATTCCAGTTAAATCATTCCAAAAGCTGCAAATTCTTGACCTATCTCATAATCAATTCTGCGGCTTCCTTCCACCAGAAATGATGGATGGTTTTCAAGCTATGAAGGAGAATGACAGCCGAATACAGCTCAAAAACACCAGTGCCCGGCCATATTATGAAGATTCAGTGACTTTAGTGATAAAGGGATTTGAGCATGAGCTAAAGCGCGTCTTAACAATATATACAGCCATCGATTTGTCTTGCAACCAGTTTGAAGGAAGCATTCCAAAATCATTAACAAAGCTGAATTCGCTCCGGATTTTAAATTGTTCCAACAACAATTTTGATGGTGTAATCCCATCAACCATTGGGAACTTATCCTCCCTGGAGTCATTAGACCTTTCCGTGAATCAACTTGACGGACAGATTCCATCTGGACTTGCAAATCTGAATTTTCTTTCCACCTTGAATCTTTCTCAAAATCAGCTAGTGGGACGCATCCCTACAGGTCGACAACTTAACACATTTTCCCCATATTCTTATGGTGAAAATCCAGGATTATGTGGATTCCCACTTGAGGATTGCAGAGTATTACCTAATGGACAGCAAATGCAATCATCTTCGAGCCATCGCCAAACAGATGATCATGCCTTTATGGAGGGATTTACCTGGGAGTCAGTGGTCTTAGGGTTTGGTTGTGGATTGATTGTTGGATTGTTGATGGGAGATCTACTGTTTAATAGTAACTGGCCAAAACGGCTTAATGCAATTGTTAAAGATGTGCGTGGAAAACTACTGTGAAACTGTTGTGGGAAAAGGCTAGAGGGGTTAATGATGAGCCCATTACTGCATCATATGAGTATTGTATGCGTACCTTGGTGACCAGCATATGATTAATGGGATTACTGGTTTGACTTACTGTGTCGTTAAATTTCTGATTACCTTTAGTTTGATCATCAACTGAATAACATGAGAATGGAGTTAGCTAGATAACTCCACTGATTTTAGTTAGCCTGCTTGCTTTTGTTAATACTGATGAAATGCATGTTAGTATAAAGGTTACAACCTTTATAAGGGAAATCCTCAACGTAGGACAAAGCAATATAGACACGTTTCCTATTTGGCTTGGAAGCCTCCCAGAGCTTAGTGTTCTTATATTGAATGGTTATGGAATCGTTCCAAAAGCTTCGAATTCTTGACCTATGATATAGTCAATTCGATGGCATCCTTCCACCAGAAATGATGGATGGTTTTCAGGCTATGAAGAAGAATGACAGCCAAACACAGCTCAAAAACATCAGCCCGGCCATATTATGAAGATTCAGTGACTTTAGCGATATACCGCTGTTTTTGTCTGGAAACCTTTTTGAAGGAAGCATTCCAAAATCAGTGACAGAGCCGAATTCACTCAAGATTTTGAATCTTTCGCACAATCTTTTTGATAGGGTAATCCCATCAACCATTGGGAACTTACCTTCCCTGGAATCATTAGACCTTTCTGCCAATCAAACTTGTCGGCAAGATTCCAGCTGAATGGCAAATCTGCACTTTCTTTCCACCTTGAACCTTTCTCAGAATCGGCTCGTGGGACGCATCCTTACAGGTGGCCAACTTAATACATTTACCTCTTATTCCAATGATAGGAATGCAGGATTGTGTGGATTCCCACTAGCGGATTGCAGAGTAATTCCTAATGGACAATCGCCTCCGAGTCATCACCCAACAGATGATCATGACCTTATGGATGGACTTACTTGGGAGTCAGTTGCCTTAGGATTTGGTTGTGTATTGTTGGTGGGAGGTATATTGTTTACTAGTCACAGGCTGAAACGGCTTAATGCAATTGTTGAAAATGTGTGTAAAAAACTACGAGTGAAACTGTTGTAGGAAAACTGCATATTCTGTTTAACCTTGGTTTCCAATACAGAGTTGAAGGTATGATTTACCTAATATTTTTTGATTTCTTGTTCGATCTTCTCCTGGATTACATTATACCGGAGTGAGCCCAGCTGATTTCTTTTTTCTTTTTTTTTTTGCATATTGCAGGGTGTCTAACGACAGCAACAGTGACTAATCCCAGCTGATTTCAGTTAGCCTACTTACTTTTGTTTCTTGTTTATGTGAATTTAAAATACTGATGACAGATGACAGAATATGGGTTACTATAAAGATTACAGAGCATGAGATTTACAGATATTTTATTTGAAACAAACTTCAGTTCTGCACAAGACTTCAGAATATGGGTTACTACTTTCTGAAGAATACTTATGAATGCTGATTACACTATCCCATACATTCATCATTCATTCAATTTTGGTTTTTGTAATGCAAAGAAACTTGCGCCACCTTCTTTCTCAGATACATAAACACCAAAACAATCGAAAAGTCATCCAACAAATCCATTCTAGGCTAGTGATAAACTCAACAGAAAAATCCTTCCAATTTGTAAGGCTTTGGAACTTTATTCTTCGACATTATGGTCTTGGTGATTTTCCTCAAGAAGCTGTTTTCCTCTTCAAAAGCCTCCATCACAACCGTTGTCAAGATTCCATCTTTGACAGTTTCACGTACTGTTTCCTCATCAAAGCTGGTGCTAATTTAGCCGATGCAAGTTTAGCCAAACAGATTCATTGCTGTTGTAGTAAGGTGGGTTTTGAGAATCATGTTTATGTACAAACGGGTTTGGTCGATATGTATATGGGATGTCGGTGTACCGTGGAAGCACTGAACGTGTTCGATGAAATGCCTGAGAGGAATTCTGTGACTTGGAATGCTTTGCTAACAGGATTTATTAGATGGGGTGACTTGACTTCTGCTCGGTCTGTTTTCGATGGGATGCCTGAGAAGAATGTTGTCTCATGGACCGGAATGATTGATGGATATACTCGAATATGCCAATTTAACGAAGCTTTGTCATTATTGCGGGAAATGGCTCATCATGGCGTCAAATTTAGTGAAGTTACTCTTTTAGCAGTTTTTCCAGCCATATGGAATCTCAAGTCTATTCAGCTCTGTCAAATGGTTCATGCTTATGGAGAGAAAAGCGGGTATAATGCATTTGATATACGCGTCATGAATTGTTTGATAGATACTTATGCGAAGTGTGGCAGTATGGAATGCGCAGTTAAAGTTTTCGATGAGATATTAGATGAGAGGAAAAATGTAGTTACTTGGACTTCGATTATATCTGGTTTCGCTATGCATGGATTGGCAAAGGAAGCTACAGAAAGGTATAGAAGGATGATCAATACTGGTCTAAAACCCAATCGGATAACGTTTTTGAGTCTAATAAATTCATGCAGTCACGGAGGATTAGTGGATGAAGGTATTGAGATTTTCAAAAGGATGGTTAATGAGTGTGGGATCGTTCCCGACATAAAGCACTATGGGAGTTTAATAGACATGTTAGGGAGGGTGGGAAGGCTAGAGGAAGCAGAAATGATTGCTGCGGAAATTCCAAGCGATCAAAGCAATGCATTTGTTTGGAGGACACTTCTGAGTGCGTGTAGTTTCTATGGAGAGGTTGAGATTGGCGTAAGAGTCACAAAAAAGATTATGGAGGTTGAGAGGAAATATGGTGGTGATTACGTGGTGTTGTCCAACATATTCGCCAGTACCGGTAGATTTATGGACTCAGAAAAAGTGAGGAAGGACATGGATGATGCTAATGCTGCAAAAGTCACAGGACTAAGCTCTTTTTGAATTCTGATTTGTAGGATTAGTTTCTTTACTCGACTTGTATGTGTAACATCGTGTTTATTTTGGTTCTAAGGAAGTATTAAATTATGCTCGAAATGAGTAATCATCAAGTGTAAGTTGTAACGCATTCAATTCAAGCTGCTGTCATCACCATTTTTATGACTACTTTTCTATACATGAAGATGGCAGTGTTAGTTAAGAATTAGGTGAATCATGAATGGTACCTTTCATTAAGAAACGGATGGAACGTTTGGCATCATTTCTTGCATTTCCTAAGAAAACCATACTTGCATTTTGGTGGCGTGATCATTACGAAAGCTTTGAGAGCTAACAAAATTTGCAAGGAAGTTGTAATGTACTGATGCAAGGCGTGAGAATCTCCCTATAAAAAGAGCAGGTATTAGTGGATCTCTCGCAGTTCAAAATACATCATCGTATCACATAGCAAACTCAATTTGCTCCGAGTCCTCAATTTCCTCTTACTTTTCCTCCCCAACTCCTCCTCCAGTTTCGGATTATGAGAATGGGACAACAATGGTCTAGGCATGCACAAGAAAACAGACCTTATGAAGCTTGAGCGTGGTACAGCAATTGTCTAAGCATGCGCAACAGCACAAGAAAACACACCTCATAAAGCTTTCACAATACCTGGGCCATTGTTGTACGAATTTCAATAGTTCGAAACCTGGAGGACGTGTTGGGAATGTGGAGCAACGCGGTAGTATACTTTGTTCCTTTTTGAGGTAATTATTAGTGCTTTCATCAATTTGCCACTACTTTGTCAACATTTGGACACAGGCAGTTGTGATTTCCAGATGAGCAATTAATTTTACACTATAATGCATCCTTCTCTCTCCACAAACCAATTGGCAGATACTTTCAATACAATACATCAATTCTTTAGTATCATAGCCATGGAAAAACAGAAGCTGCAAGCTGTAAATCAGAGTGAGATAGCCCCAGAGGCAGTACTTCTGAATTTGTATTAGGGACGATGCCAAGCAAAAGGAAAACCCGATATCAGAAGATAATGCTTAAAAGTCCACTATCACTGAAGTATACTTCTTATCATATTCTCTTCACATTATCTCCATGGACTACGACGAAACCTTCAGTCGCAAGAGTGGCTAGAGCATGACGTAGCTGATACACAGGAAGAAAAAACGATGAACAAATTATTAAAGCAATTGCACAGAAATTTTACGAGAGTGAGATTCAGAAGTTGGGGACTTACATCACTGAGATGAACTTCTGTTCCAGAATTTTGTTTCTTCAACTCTTCGAGTAACTGATAACAGAATAGCAGTATGAATTAGCGTTAAATTAATGTACCTCAAGGGAAAAACCTACATTCAAGTTTAAGTTCATAAATGAAAATTTTGTACTACCTCCATCAGGCGTGTTGAAGATCCGCCAATTTGCATCTTTTCCATAATTATGTTGCGGGTGCTTGATACCAAATTTTCTCTTCGCATCCGTTCGCTTGCAGAAACCCCAGTTGTGATTAGATCCATGTCAATGGTTCCTGCTCAAAAAAACCGACATTAAGAACGCCATGCCACTACCAAACAGCATGTAATTTCACGGTAAGGTAAAACCAAAATTGAACTAGACCTGTAGCATGATCTGTTGCAGACTGCTGCAACGCAACTTGGAGAAGCCTGAAAGCCTCGGTCACATCCTGCTTTTCGACCTGTTTGCATTTATGACTTCAGGTGACGGTTTTTCCCGTTACATACAGTCAAAATAATTCACAAAAGAGGTAACTCACCCACTCAGAGAAACGAATCCGCGCTAGAGCTTCACTCAGGCGTATCAAGCTCTCGAGTTGTCTTGGTGTTGCAGTTATCACCTGGAAGACATGACAGGCAAGTGGTTTTAGCAGAAGCTTATTAGCAACATTTCCTTTTTGGAACATATTTGACTAAGCAATTTATTTAAATCGAGCTCCAAAAGGGACCCAAACTTTCTTTGAGCGACACAAAATAAGTTGACAATTTAATTTTTAACATGAACCTTCTTGCTACTGCCTGGGAAATTTCCTCTTCTTCTCATTTCCACATATCCTCTGGTCAACTCATCGGCAGCCTCATCAGACAGTTGCGGATGTATATTGTTTCGTGCATAGCTCATATAAGCAGTTAAGGTTGGAAGGTCAATGATATCCGGTACAGAAGTCTACAAGCACGAGCAAATTAGCAGATAAACAGATGGAACCTGCAAAAGCTATGTCATGTGGACAAGGAACTGAACATTTACCTCTGGATTTTCAAAATGCAGTGCAACAATGTGCTTTGCAAGACGCCTGTCTGTCTGTTCATCAGCCTTATCAAGAATTAAGTAGATCAAATCAAACCTGTGAGGAAAAATTGCTAGGTCAGAGAACAGAAAGAGACACATGCGGCTTTGGATCTTTTTCCACTTTCTTTTATTTACAATATAATCTTCAGAAACAAGCCTGAGATAACACATTTGATATTACACAATTTGCATCCACGTTCATTTGGATGCCATATTCAAGTGTATTCAATTGATTCTCACCTAGACAACAGCGTGGGAGGAAGATGTATATTATCTATCACGGATAGACGCGGATTGTAACGTGAACCAATTGGATTTGCACAAGCCAAAACTGAAGTTCTAGCATTAAGTGAAGCAATAATTCCTGCCTTTGCTATTGAAACAGTTTGTTGTTCCATCACCTGCAATAAATAGAGCAATATTAGCTACCCGTCAAACTCTCTCCTTGACAAAACCTAGTAGGACAGTAGTCCTGATGCAGGGACAACTTTCTCAAACCTAAACACAGCAATAAACAAAGTTAGCTATTTACCTCATGCAACATGCTCCTTGCATTATCAGACATTTTATCAAACTCATCAATACAGCATATTCCTCTATCACTCAGAACCAGGGCTCCACTTTCCAGCACCTACAAGGTTATTATAACATGAAATCCAAGTTTACTTTGTTGTGCTATCAAGATAGTAACAACTCAAAAGTAAGTTCCATACAGTTTCACCGGTCTCGGGATCTTTGGCAACGTAAGCCGTCAGTCCAACAGCAGAGCTTCCTCGACCACTAGTATAGATACCACGTGGAGACAGCTTGTGAATGTATTGAAGCAGCTGGGATTTGCTGGTACCGGGGTCACCAACAAGAAGGATATTGATGTCGCCACGGAAGCTTGCCCCAGTTGGCAACTTTAAGGCACTCCCACCAAAAAGCTACATTCGAGAGGAAAAAAGAAAAGAGCCATTCAGGCCTCATTACAGTGAATGACTTTCTGTCTAACAATTAAACTGATCATCGCTCAATGAACCTGGCAAAGAAGACCCTTCTTGACATCTTCCAACTCCCATATATTTGGTGCCAAAGATCTTGTTAATCTTTCATATATGTCAGGCTGCCGAGAAAGTTCCTTCAACTTCTCTATCTGTAATTCAAAAGAGAAAAAAAATTCGTAAAAGACACATTCAGGAACAAATTCTTCAGTGACCAAAGAGGAGAACATTAAACTACCTTATCTTCGTAGTCAACAGTTTCATCATCTCTATTGGTATCATTCTCAGCTTCCATTAGGTCTTCAGCATTCACTCTAGATTTGTCTGTCTTCTTTAGGTGAAGACAATCGATGTATGTCTGGTAAGAATGAGTAGCATCGAGGATCAATCATTGGCAAAATGCAGGAAGTTAAGCAGGCATACTGAACAAGATTTGCAGAGTAAAAACAGATAAAACCTTGCCTTGAACAATGATTTCACAGTTCTCTGTGTCGACCCAATTCGGACACTCATAGCCCTGTAGATTCCAGTGACCTGATAAAATGAGAACCTTTGGTCAAACTGTAAAGCATATGAAATAAACGACAAGGGCAACAAAATGTAACTTTGTTTGATACTTACCTCAACCCTGTCACCAGGTTTTCCAGAGTCCACCAATTTATCATGCATCAACAGGCTAACTGTATGAGGAGTCCCTCCTTCTGGTATCTCATCAGGCGTCTCCTGAAGTCTCACTATCTGTTTATCCGTGAACCTAAATGATGAAGAAAAGGCAGTTAACGAACACTTACTGCTTAGCTAAACTCTACAAGGATGTATGACAAGCTCCACAAAGAAATGTTACAATGGGTTTCAGGACTTTTGTAAGAGCTATTTTCAGATACTAATTTCATTTCCACATTCAATTTCCAACATCTGTTGCATTTCTTATATATGAATGGAACCACATGCACTAAAATACCAGTAGGTTATTGGCTATTGTTAGTCCAAGTTAATGGCTTAGCTCTATAGCAAAGGCTCAAAGTCACCGGTCAATTTGATTTCTACAAAAGAGGTAAACAAAAAAAATACCAAGTAAGAAAGATTACCTGCACCTATTGTGAACCAGGGTCATGGAATTTCGGGCAAGACATTCTTGCTTCCCACAAATCAACGGCTCAGTAATCCTTCCTGTTAGCACCCAACAGCTTAACTAAATACTCATACTAAGGTCAAATAATCCAATCTACAAAGCAATGTACCATCAACTCTGAATCATTGATAGATGAAGTCACATTACCTCTATCAACAACTACAGGATCAGAGTAGTAGCCACAGACAAGACATCTGAATATGGCTTCCCTTATCTCGGGTATGATTGAACTACAACGGATTATCATTCCTTTCAGTGACACCATCTTTTCAATATCTGATCAAACCATGGGGGGGAAGAAAAGAAAACCTCATGAGCCAGAGTTGCTTTGCTACTTAGCACCAACAGAGAGTGAATGAAAATGAAAATGAAAATTTTAAGAGACTTACCAGATGGATTAAGACTTCTCATGTTAGTGGAAGACCTCAGGTTAAAAATCCTTGCTTGTATATGCTTTTCAAACAAAGGGTTGATTCTACTGACCATGTCCATCAAAACAATATCGAAAATGGCAAGAACTTCCAAAGGGTACCTAACCATCTTGGTATACAGATCACTATCATAATCAAACACGTTTTGTGCATCAACCTCGAGAGAATCCCCTTCGATCTCAATGATATGATTAATTGCCCTCATGTATTTCCCCTCAATTTCCGCAGGGTTCTCCCGGAAATGCCTCAAAAACCTTAAAATCGCAGCATTCACATCTTGAACGCTGATATTAGTCCCCCAAACGTACATCGGAGGGGCATCAGGGTCGTCACCGTCACCGGCTTCAGATGAAATAGGAGCCTCATCAGCGGATGAAGGTGTAGCCGCGGCGGCGGAGCCGGTCGGGGTGGCCGTGGCTGCAGAGGATGCTCTCTTTCTCCGGCGCGGATTCGTGCCGCTGGACGGCGTCGGCGTAACTTCAGGTGTGGCGAAACGAGAGCTCGTACGCCGCGGCGGCGTTGGGGTGTCGTACGAGGCAGTTGACCGGCGACCTCGTCCCTGGCGAGTGCTATCGCCGGGAGAAGAGAACGTGTTTCCGATTGGGCTCGAAAGTGACTCATCCGGCGATGGTGGACCTGTATAATTGCAGAAATACAGTCAAAATTGGAAATGTAAATTGATTTAATTGCATAAAAATAAAGCTATTGACGTTAGAGCCGGAGAAATTACCACCGTTGACGTTTCCCGGAGACGAATCGGAAGCCATGAGTGGAGGAATGTGTGGGAGAGAAGATGCGAGTTCGTGGAGAGAGAAATGTGCGGGGCGGAAGTTCACAGGCTCGGATGGAAAAGATTGGTTTTTGGCGGGAAACGTTGGGTAATTTTAGCGCCAAAACTCCAGGGGGACTGCCTATTGGTGTGGTTTGGTTGGGCTGAACTGAAAGGTAACAATGGGCCACAAGTAGTTCCAGAAATGGACTGGTAACCCATATAAATGGACTCATTTTGTTCCCCAATCCAACGCCCCAACAACCAATTTGTACAACGCACTTTACACCCATTACCCGGATTGGTTAAATTTAATCTTGGCTTATACTCAATTTGAAGAATATCTGATTGCGATTGGATTGTTGAAGCCTTGAAGGTATGTAGCTGAATTGTAGTCCTCTGTTGAAGTCTCAAGATGGGATAGGTACGTTACAAAATTCTTTTAAGGATGTGACAAACATCTTCACGTCATTACAAATGATTTTCGTACTTTCGTAATTAATCAGAAATTTGTCAAAGATCATTGGTGTAATATTAATAAATACCAATGCGGTAAGTGTAGTTGGCTTTTTTTTCCTAACATTTTTTTATTAAATGTGTTGTCCTTGATACCGTCTTCGGGTGTGATCTGAACTATAACAATAAATTCAATAAACATAATACATCCAACAAACAATTTTCTATAGGGGAGGCTAACATACTGTTAGATGTCCTCCTTCTAACATTTTTCGAGACACAGCGTTCAATTATCGGTGGTAAATGTAAGTTAAAACTCTATTCCTAGAATTTTCACAAATAATTGCATTTCACGTCATGTGAGGTGTAAAAACTAAAAACAAGATATATAGTGAGTCTTTGTGTATAGTTGCTCGAGAGAGAAATTCATAGAGCAAAACATCCCATTTCTAGCACTTTCGTTGTTTTTTAACATGCTAATTAAAAAAAAATTGTTAAAAAAAACACCAAAATATGTTAAGTGAGGTGTTAAAGTGATGAGTTTGTGCGTAGAGTCCGAGTGAAATTCGTCCAGTAAAACATCCATTTTCTAGCACTTTAGGGGTGCTGTAATATTTCTTCCTTCACCCAAAACTCCTCAAACTCAATGTATTATCTTAAATGGAATTTCATTTAAAACCAATTCGTAATATAAAGAGTGATTAACTTATATATTGAGTTTGAAACTTTCTGATCACGAGCCACCGGTGTGAGATTGGGTTTGTGTTGGAGTTATTTTCAATATAGGAAGTTGTTATTGCCAAAACAATAATTAGCATCTAAAACAAATTCTTGTGATTATTCCAAAAATGCCCCTCCCAGATTATTCGTAACTTTCCTTTCTTTCCCCACCCCATCTCTCCATTCCAATCTATATATTCTTCTTTGATTAGTATCATTTACGTCTTCATCATGGATCAAGAAAGATCATGAACATTAATAAGTACAAAAATTAAAACCATATGCTTTTTTAAGTTTAGATTGTCTTTTTAAAAAACGTTGATAGTTTTTCGCCTTCATTTATTTGTGATTTCTGACTATTATGATAAAGGGCTTGAACTTGCAATTGTTCCAATAGGACAAAGAGGGTTGGCTTCGGAATTTCTATGATTGATTTAAAGGAATTGCAGTTGCCACCATTTATTTAATTGTGATTGAGGATTCTTATGTAATTTTATTTTTTCTTAAATTGTTTTTGACAAACAAGTTTTGTTTTATTTTAGCAAAACGAGGTTTGTTGCATAGTTGTTCTCTGTTGATTAAATTCAATTAATAATCATGTCATATTTGAACTTTTACAGGAGAAATAATTCGTAATCTCCTAAAAACGAAACTGGGGAGAAGTAATTTTCTAATCTAATCAACAAATAAATAAGACAAATGAGAATGATGATAATGACACGTTTCATTTCGATAAGTACATTGAATTAATCTGGTGGATTATGGAAGAAGAAGAGAAAGGGATAGGAGCGAGAAAAATGTTATTGGTTTTAGAAAGGGCAATTTAGTAAAAAATGTAAAAATTTGTTTTGGATACTAATTGTTGTTTTGGCAATAACAATCCCCTTCAATATATTGGAGGGACACAATTAATACGCTATGTTTATTGGGTATTTTCAATATATTGTAGAGATACAACTAATAGGTTGTGTCTATGAACTCTATATGAAAATACATTAACGAAAAGTTATGTTTAGGACCATAACCTAAGGTTACGTCTAATCCTCAAGAGTTTCCTCTAACTCTATAAATATGGATCATTTGGATGCTTTTAGTGTACAATGAAATCATCAAATACTTGGAATATTTCCAATGACATTTCTTATTCTTGTATCAGGTTGTTGGTTCACTAAAATGCATAGTGAAACAACATGATCTCCATTTTATTTTATAGGGAATTCGCCTAAACAATTGCACTGTATAGGGGAAGAATTTAGCCTAAAGGAAAGCAAGTTTACTTGTGACTTGGAGACAAATCTTTCTTTTGTCCTAACCATAAATTTTTCCTCTTGTTCTTTGATTTAGTGCAGCCATTGTTGTTCACTATTTTTGAAGTAGAATTCCAACAATATTTAGGCTAAATTTTCCTGTTAAACAATGGCTAGTAATACTTGAAGAATCAAGCAAGGATATTTTCATTGCACACGAAAATGGTAGAAATATTGCAGATCATTAGATTTAATGAAAAGGGCAATGATAGGATACAACGGACCTCGTCATCAAAGTAAGAATTATATTTTACTTGTGAATTGTGACATTCCAAGTTCAATGTATGTATATATTTAATAAATACATGAACGTAGTGATGAGATCTATGCCTGAGTGGAACATAGTTGTAGAATTCATTAACTTTTGCATGTAAAAGAAATTTACTATGCACTATTTGTTGATTACCCAAATGTGTGGTTTCTATCAAAATAAAATACTTAATTAATGTGATGATTAATTAAGAAAATGTATGTCATAAAAGGTTTGATAAAGAATTTGGTCATATTTTTATCATGCTTTGAAATGGAAATGCAAAATTGGCATTTGATATAGCAATAGTGCTTTAAGTGCACGTTATAAATTTTTATAAAGTCGAAGTCTGTTGGAATTTATTCGGTGTTTTGTTTGGTTTTGACAAATAGAGTAAAGTTGACATAGAAGTTGTCGTTCGTTGATATGTCTGACGATTTGGCTTTGTCGACTTGTACGTCCATAGAATTAAAATTGACAGAAAAGTCAACATATGTTAAAGTGTTTTGCTGTTTGGCCTCGTCGACTTAGTCGTTGCTTGGATAAAGTCGACAGAAAAGTCAACGACCGAAACCTAACAAAATCAAAATAAAATAAAATAAATTCTTGTGTGCAGATTTTTTGTGAGTGCTTCACATATTAATTGTTTGATTTTAGGTTAATCAAATAAAGAACTTTGATCCCAATAAAGTGCTAATTACGTGTATTTGTATTTGTTACATGGAATATTTAATTTCATAAATGAATTTGAAATTTATATGATAATTTCATGTGATACATAGTATGATAATAGCTATGAATTTATATCATATGTGTTAATATATGATTTAAATTCATGTCTAGTATATGTTTGAGTTGTTTATGTCAATACTTTAAAGTTTCCATGATATTTCAAAGAAAAAAGGAGATTATATGTTTGGAAATTTGGAACTCTTTATATATAATAAAAGAGTATGAAGAGAATGAAAAATTCTCTATTAAAGTTAAAAAGGAGAATAATCCTTGACCTAAGTATACATTGTGGAAAATGGACAAAACATCAAGTCCATGTTTGAAATCATATCAACTTGAATAACAACGAATAAGATAATATGAAAGCTATCATATTGTAACAAGGAATGGCACTAAGAGCTCAATTGTAAAATTCCTTTAACAAGAGAAATGGAGCTATTTCTTCAGGGAATATGAAGAAATAAATCATGACAAGGTGATTTTAAAACCTTCGTATTAGGGAAGATTGTTTTATTGTTGGTTGATTGTGAAATTTAAAAGAACAAATTGGTTCTTCAAATTGCTAAATATGATCATATAAATTGAAAGTTTGCATGCGTTAATGTTTAAATTGTGATCACAAGATAAGTTAATAAACTCAAGTTAAGAATATTGACAAGATTTGAGTCAGTAGACTCGTGTGAAGAGATGATCCTTAAAATTTGAGTTAACAAACTCATAAGTAAGGACTAAATATTGAAAGACATTTGGTCTAAAAACTGAATGACTTAAAGGGAAATGTGTAAAGTCCAGAAATGATTACTTGCATTGGAACCTCAATTCAACACTAGTAAATCCTCTAGTCCTGAATTCAATGAGCGATAGTATAATGTACAAGTAATTGAGCACTACAATATTTATCCCAACATAGTTAGTACTGTATATTTGCCGCTGGGTATCAGGTTGAGAATTGACTTTTTACAAACTCTTGTAAATGCCAAAATGGCGGGGGCATTAATAAGTTTGTCTATATGAATGTCGGACTGGGCATCCACAAAGCTTGAGACTTGACTTTGTTAACATTCATGAAGAAATATGAGTAGAAGACCTTACGTACAATACGCACTGGTAAGGTGCATGCAAGTTTGAGGAGAAAGAAACCTATGTGTGTTGATAATAGTGGCTTGTAAGATGTACGCACGGTACAAAGCTAGTCTACTCGGTTGTACTACAAGTTATGGAAGCGACATTAAGGTAGTGGTTCAGTCTAACGACACATTATTTTATGCATGGGTTTTGCTAGAATTATTCTAGATCCTTTTAAAATCATTTTCAATATATTGAAAATGGCGGGGGATTGTTGGAGTTATTTTCAATATATTGCAGGGACACAATTAATATGTTGTGCTTATTGAGTGTTTTCAATATATTGTAAAGACACAACTTATATGTTGTGCCTATGAGCTCCATATGAAAAGATATTAACGAAAAGTTATGTTTAGCACCATAACCAAAGGTTACGTATAATTCTCAAGAGTTTTCTCTAACTCTATAAATATGGATAATTTTGATGCTTTTAGTGTACAATGAAATCACCAAATACTTTGAATATTTTCAATGGCATTTCTTATCCTTTTATCAGGTTGTTGGTTCACTAAAGTGCATAGTGAAACAACATGATCTCCATTTTATCTTATAAGGAATTCGCCTAGACAATTAAACTGTATCGTAGGCGAATTTAGCCTAAAGGAAAGCAGGTTTATTTGTGACTTGGAGACCAAACTTTCTTTTGTCTTAACTATAAATTCTTCCTCTTATTTTTTGATCTAGTGCAGTCATTGTTATTCACTATTTTTGAAATAGAATTCTTGGACACCCAACAAGCGGTCCGTTGTTTTCCAACATGCCACTAAAATGATTTTACAGTAAGCAAAGAGGGGTTGAGACTTGGGAGGATGTCACATTAATTAATAGTTAAGAGAGTTAACAAAGATTTATGGTGATGCCATATCATCAAAAATGTATATATTGGTCACGAACATGATAATGACACAGAACATGAGGATAAGCTTTGGAATCCTCAGAGCTAAAAGAGCTTAGGGTCAAACAGAAGTACCCTATATTCTTTGACCCTATCATTTCTTTGGAGTTACACACACGGAAGATAGATACGTAGGCTGTAGATATTTCACGCTTGGTCAATTTGACACCTATAAAAAACCTTGTCTTAAAACCTTTTCTAGAAATTGACAGGAAAATTCAGACCTTGGTTAGACCACGATCCATTAGTAAATAGCGTTTCCCACAATTGTATCCCTTACTACACAATCTAAAATATTACGATTAAAAATAAAAGTGTATTTTAAGTAGAAAGTTGAAATCTATAGGGATAAATACTAACAGAAGAAAAAACATATCACACTACAAAAATATATAAAAAAGGGAAACACATAAATTTTTTTTTTCTAGCATACCGTTATGTTTTAGGATCATATGAGTAATATTCTATAGCTGAAGACATTTTTTTAAGAAAAAATTGAAACCGTTCATTACATTGTCATACATTAATAAACAATGAATTTTTACAAGCAACCTTATCAATTTTGTCTTATCTACACGATGTACAATGTAATTCTCATACAAAATACCCCCTGTGTTGTAAAATAATATTCCCTCCGTTTCATAATTATTGTCCAATTTGGATTTTCATTTTTAGTACAATTTAAACTAAAACTGAAAATCTAAAAAGGACAATAATTTTGGAACGGACATAATTATTGTCCAATTTGGATTTTCATTTTTAGTACAATTTAAACTAAAACTGAAAATCTAAAAAGGACAATAATTTTGGAACGGAGAGAGTAGTTCACGTTGAGTTTTAATTTTACTTTTTTTTCAATATAAGTTTGATAATTCAATATGAATTTTTTTATTGGACAGAGCAAGTATAACATTATTCCTCATAGTTTGACGAACGGTTTAAACCAAATTGTAATAATTTTTTGTAAATTCTCATGCACAACACTATATATAATTATGATCACGGCTTTCGAGTTTTTTTTTTTTAAAAAAAACAACAAATTAAAAAAGACCTTATTAATGAAGTGCATGTAAAATTGTTATAATGTAGTTGTAGTACTGGCTAATATGCATCTTTCTCTTTTGGTGCTTTTTTCGCTATATAAAGGGTGGAAAGGAAAGAAAGAAAAAAAAAAAAAAAAGTGTCGGAAGGGTGACAACACAGGAGAAATGAGGGAGCAGCGGGTTTTCCGGTGACTGACAGGACATAAGATTAGCTGGAGGAAACTGGGCAAGACACTGTCCGTGTCTCATAAAAATAAAAACTCAAAATAAGACTTCCTTCCCAGTTCAGTTCCCCCCCTTAATCCTGGGAGTCTAGTCCTGACTTCTCTGACTCCTAAATCCAAGTGCTGTTCCTCCCACGCCCATTTTCAAAATTCCACTTCCCTGTTCCTTCTCCTGTCTCACTCTTCTTCTCTATGGACTATGGTAAATACTCCACAATTAAACCCACAAGTAACATCATTTGATAAGCTTAAATAAAGTTTTTTCAGTGTGAAATTCACATAAACCGCCACCGAAATAGTTATTGTAATCTGTAAATATGGGAGGAACTTCGATTATGGTTTAGGCTGTTCAGTAACTTCGATTGGTTAAGTAGAGAAAGAAAAGTAGAAGCGATATATGGAGTTTAAAAAATATTGCAATCAAATTTACTCTCCTCCGACTCGAAAATGTCCAGTTTAGATTTATATTTTTATTATAAATTAAACTAAAATTAATAATTCAAACTGAACAAAAATTTAAAGACATACAAAATACTCCACTTCTCATTCATAATCAAAGTCAATTTTGTTTAGTACAGAATGAGAATGTATGGATTATTAAAAACAAATGCAAGCTGTATTATATTAACTACTAGTACTAATTATTTGTCACGGGGGAATATGTTTATAGGGAACTTTTTTATGTAATCATTTATTATTTTTTTTATGAATAAGTACGTACTTATAATGCATTATTTTTTTCAACGTGCAAGGTACGTACACACTAGAGAGAGAGAAAGAAAGAAACGGTACCATTTTTTTTTTAATGGAAAATATAAACTAATAAAATAATTCAACATTGGTGTAGTACACTTTCTCTGCCAAAGTTTTAACACTTGGAACAAAAAAAGCTTGAATCCAACCCTTTATGTAGTAGAAGAAATACAGTACCGTGGCTGCTTCTTTGATATTATTATTATCTCTGAGAGTCTGAGAAGAAGAAAGAAGAAGAAGAGGGAAAAAAAATCAAAACCCAATACATAAATCCAACCCAAATTTAGCAACAAAACACAAAAGCATCACAAACTAAACTGATCTCTCTTCTGTAGTTTGAAAGTGATAGAACTTAAGAAGTCTTTTACACATAGTATATATATTTTTCCTTAAAAAAAAACGCACACACACACACACCCACACACCCACACACAGAGACTCACACATGACTAGAAAGATAGTAGTAATAATAATTCTCATCATCACCGATCATCAATTCTGAGTGGTTGGGATGATGAGATGATGATGAGACAAGAGGGATCAGGAGGAGGAGGAGCATCGTCGTCATCATCATCGAGCAGGTGCCAAGACTGCGGGAATCAAGCCAAGAAAGATTGCTCATATTTCAGGTGCAGGACTTGCTGCAAAACCAGAGGATTTCAGTGCCCAACTCACGTTAAGAGCACTTGGGTTCCCGTCTCTAAACGCCGCCCCAGGCATCCCATTCCTCTCTACCCACCTGAACCAAAGCCCAAGAGATCCAGAGACACCGCTTGCTCCATAGGTATTTTGTTTATTCATAATACTAATTGAAAAAACACACACACTCACACACTAGTATATGGATAGTCATATATGTAGCCATGTAGGTATCTATTATTATCTATTAGTTCTAGAAAAAAAAAAAAAGAGAAGTAAACCCTTTATTAATAAAAAACAACAACACACAGTCACACACTAACACATGATGTTCATGTTAGTGCTGTAATAAGAGAACTGCCAAGTCCGTCTAATAGATGGTTAGGCCTAGAAAAAGAAACCCTAAAGTTATTTGTTGTAGTTAGTTAATTACTTCGTTTTGGGACTATATAATGAGAGGTGCTTAAGTGATTTGCTGATCAGTTAGCAACATAAGCTAGCTATAGCTTAGGTAGCTAGGTAGGTTTAGGTTAGCTAATCATCATTTATTAAATCTCTCTAAAGAATATTGATGGGCTTTTGTTAAATATGTACTGTTAATTAAATTATAATATATGCACATGTTTGTGGATCATAATCAGAAATTAAAATTTGGTTGTTTTGGACAGAAGGGAATTTTCCGGCGGAAGTGAGTGTTCCGGCGGTGTTTAGATGTGTCCGGGTGAGCTCGATGGACAATGTGGTGGATCAGTTTGCTTACCAGGCGTCGGTGAATATAGCCGGCCATGTTTTCAAAGGTGTTCTTTACGATCAAGGCCCGCCTCCACATGACCAGAATTTCCATCATCATTTCGGTCACGTCGGCGACACTTCTTGCGGCGGCGGCGTCGAGGGTGGTGTCGGCGGCGGCGGCGGTGGTAGTGGATTCCATCAGCTGCAACCGAGCAGTAATCTCATGGCCGGAGCATCCACGGCGTCAACTAGTACTGCTGCTTCCCCTCATTCTGGTTACCCTAGTCCGTTTAGTGCTTTCATGCCTCCCACAACACATATTTTCCAATATTCAAAATCTTAATTACTAATTAGTAACCACCATTTGATTGAACATTTCACTTGTTACCAAAAGTTCTTTTTATTTTTTTCCCGGCGAATTACTGACCACTTATTATTGCTGTTTCTGAGTCCTGACCCAAATAAATTAAATCTTTTGAGATAGAGAGAGTTGATTTAATCAAGCGTGACATTAAATGATCGTGGTTTATGGAAATTCTTTTAGTTGCATTTTTTTTTTTGGCATAATAAGGTTAATAAAAGCTTGATGATCGTGACTCTTGTGCAACTTATTAGTATCGAGTCAAAAGTGTCAGTACTGGAACAGTCAAACTCGTAAGAGTAAAATTTTGTAAGTTTCTTAATAAAAGTTGAGGTAAATTGTTTGAGTAATTGTACGGCTTGATTGATTAGTCGTTTAATATGGGATTTATTAACAGGATTTAATCGTCGTGTAGTTGTTAATTTTCTAATTTCAATGTAGAATTATTGGTTCTTGTCTGCGACTTTTATATTCCATGCCTAACTATATGGTCGTGTTTGTATCCCATCTTGTCTCCGCAAATCATATTTTGTCATATTGTGTTAATACCATGCATCTTCAAAGTATAACTGTTCCTTTTCAAATTTTTTTATGAACTTCGAAGCCACTTTCCGTCCTGATTATCCGTCAATTTGCCGGGGGTTCTAGTGGGTTGAATTCTGTGTCTGAACTCTGAAATGTTAGGCATAAATTTGATTGAAAAATACAGAGAAATACATCCGTATTATCAGTGTCGTAATAAAAATGATTCGGTGATCAACTTCATCTCATAAATTACGATAATTTTGTGATAAATAACTGAAACGATTAATTCACATGCTTCAAAATATGTCTGTCTAATTTATATCTTTTTGTCTCAAAATATTTATTTTATTTCAATTTTTATTCTTAATAAAAACAGTAAGGGACAACGAGAATATTGTTTGTAAAATGTTAACGGATGAGGTTTGTCTTTCTCATCTACGTACATCGCAGTGTTCATGGATTGCTTATTTTAGTGTGTTAATCCACTTTCCGTCTACTTACTATAAATAATTCATAAAGTTAATAGTATTAAGAAGCATATCATCCATCCAATGGGCGGCGGCACACAGTCTTGTTAAGGTTTCACACAATTATATATAGCAGCAGAAGGCAAAATGATCATCGTATTTGATATTGGAGTGACATGTTACTTAGGATTTGTTATCAGTACTTTAAAATGGGGACGATAATTAAGGTAATTGATTAACAAATCTTTTAATGTGCTTCATGTCTCCATCATACTTGTTGGATGGTTCTGGTCTTCGCCGAAAGTAACCTGGGATGGGATCCCCCCTTTCAATCCCATGTTCAGTTCCGAATTACGAAGCTTGTAATGGTGGTGTGATGTTGTAATTATTGCTCACAGCTAATATTGTTATTGCATTCACAATTCTTACTTCCTTCGAGCAAAGGGAAAGATAATTCAATCCCCCAAAAGGAACAACAACAAGTCAACAAAAAAAAAGAAAGAAAATGGAAAATTTTGATCAATCCATTTTATTGGTTGATCTCTCTCAATTTAAATAAGAAATGACATTTTCAACAAACTGAAGTTGGCACAAGCTTGATACCGCTTAAGCAAGGTCTCGGATTGAAATTTTGTGGATGCAAAAAACTTTTGTTGGGAGACTCACCTACCACAACCAGGTGTGCAACCGTGGTCGACCAACGGATTAGTTAAGGCAAAGCTCCGGAAACTGTGACAGGCAACCAAAAAAAAAAAAGGAAATGACATTTTCAAAAGCCCTTTTTTTAGTTTTTTCCATAACTTTTATGTAATTACATACATAGACTAAAATCCGAGACGGTAAATTGTCATACCATACCATAATGTAAGACTCACTTAGCCAAATGTTCATAAAGTGAAAATGATGTATGGTTACAGTTAAATGACAACATTATTGTTACCTGCTGCTATGGAAGATTATACGATTGCAGCAATTACGGCAATAATCGATGATATTTTCTTGTTCAAATCTTCTTTTCATAATTGTAAATTTTTGTTTATTCGAAAGACTTGAAACACCTCAAGTCGAAATTTAGTAACTGGGATTTATCTAATTAGTGCTCATAAAAGTGGAAAAAAAATATGGTTAGATAAAATTTTAGAAGTGAATAGTAATAGTTCGATTGTAAATTAGCAAACCTTCTTTTTTTTCTTATATATAAAATATAAATATCGCTTATGTAAAAGAAAATGATGTACGATTAACAATCTGATTTCTACATCGATCTAAGTGATAACAAACCTAATAAAAATCAAACATCGTTGTATCAAAATAATCAAGTTCGAACAATGAGAACCCAAAAGTCATACCGTGTATCAAATTATTCTTTCTTCTCCTTATATCATCATCAGATATTCAGAGAAAAATCTCAAGAAAAGTGCTACTTTCCCATCATCAAATGTTTGTACTTAGTATTCTATTGCATCCTGACGATGCTCGGTTACGCGCCGCCGGCCTAACGGTGGAACTCCGACTAGAGTTTCCTGCAAAACAGGGTCTCGGGGTCTCTCAAGGGTAGACACTCCGATACTTAAGTCAATAAAGGGTTGCTGGAAGGTTTAGATATGTAGTATGTTAAGCTGTAAATTGCGTACCTATATTGAGGTGTGAGCGACCCTATTTATAGGTATGAGAATACCTAGACAATCTCTGAATCCTATTAGGTTCTGGGAACCTAAGCCGCCTCAAGAGTCCCGGTTGGACTCTCTCTCCAGTTGATGGGCTGATCCAGTCTCGGTGATGGATATGGACTCGCCACATCCCTAATAAGAGAGTTAAAAATAGAATTATGTAATATGCGCCTCTAAAGATCATTTTATGAATACATGACTTAATTCAATCAATTAGTGTTATATCGTGGTCGGAATATGATTTAATTGAATTATCTTATTCCCGCAATGTACGTGTTTGAAACTAGGCGACTCCTCCTCTTTGCTTGTACCAAAAAAAATTTAAAAAAATAAAAAAGATCTTTTTATGAGCGGAATGATGGTAAATCTACGTATGACACACATTGTTGTTCAAAATTCTTTGTGGTTATAGAACCAACCTAATGAAAATCGCCATAAATTTATCATCGTCCAAACCAAAACCACGTCAGCTATGCAAACATGGGGCATTTTGATGTTGGATTACCCCACAACCAAATGAAAGCAAAATCGATCACTGAATTTAACCATAAATGGGTATCATGTAACCTAACCATCATTAAAAATAGTATTCAGGAGGGCAAAAAAGATGGATGGAGAAAGAATCTCGTAAATATTTTTTATGATGATAGTGACTCTCGAAGCAGAAAAGCACCTACTAAGCCACATGTTTAACCTTTTGTAATAAAGAGACATTCACAAGTCACAACACTAAAGCCAAAGGAGAAAAGATGGATACCCCCTCGACTCTTTGAGAGAGTAACTTACTTGAGAGTGTGAGTGACACAACCCCAAGAATATATCCCCTTAGGTACTTAAAAGCAGAAAAGAAGAATAGTAGTAGTAAGTTAGGCCTAAAACAGAAAAAAAAAAAAAGAAAAAAGAAAAACATTCATTAACCTGCCGAAAACCAAAAAAATCTTCTCTATTTGAATCGAACACTGGCAATCCTGTTTTGAAATTGCTCTATTCTCTCCCTGTTTATTTTTATCGATTTAAACCCGACCTGTTAGTTACATATTCCTCTCATACATGATTATCTCGAGATAAATCTTTTACTCCAGGACTAAAGTTAAAGAGAACGAATTCATGTGAAATATACAATGAAAGAACTTAGTGGCCGATAGAAATGATAACAAACGATAAGATATATAACCAACAATATATACATTTGAAAGGTTAAAAATGTTACCAACAATTATTTGGTTCAAGTAGTAAAAGTATTAAACCGGATTAACTATGATTCTGGATGGTCAAATCAAATAGGGACATGCAAAAATAATTAAAATACTTATTGAAATAATTTTTTCTTGCAAAAGAGACCTCCCATCTCGAATTCAAATTAGTTGTAACAATGATTTTAGACAACAGGTGTCTAATATACAAAAAGGGATGACTAACATAGTTGACCCTTCAACCATAGAAGTCCTCGGCAATCTACTATATAAAGAAGGATTAACCACCAAAGGTAAAATAAAAAATAGTCCCTCCTATCTCAATCCCAGACTAGACACGTCAGTCATGTTAGTAAAACGAGCTAGTTACTCAATGGATGCACCGATTATAGTGTGTATACCGCTGACTTTAGTATGGGAGTTTGGTCTCAAAATGAATTAACTGTGTACTTTGTCTATTTTGCAGGTTTTGTTTGGGGGAGGATGGATGAAAACCATCTGCCTTTGGAGAAAGTATCCATATGAAGACCATCTATCTCCACATTGCCCCTCCAACGAGACGGGCTCCATTTTGATAATCTTCAGGTGTGTTGTGTCCGTAATTAACTATAATTATTTGTATTTTCACTCTCAGCCCCGTTTGATAAAACTTAATTTAGGTCTGAAGTTTGAAATATGAAAACTGAATCATAAGTATTGAATTGATTAAGTTTGTCTTGTTTAATAAAAATCTAAACACTGAATAAGATGTCTGAAATCTAAAGTCAGAATACTGAAATTTAAAGTATCTCAACTTATAATTTTATCTAAAAAATAATTAATTTATATGAAACTACGATAATAAAAATAATAGTATTATTATATATTATGTAATAAAATATTTAAAATTTTTTTACGTAATTATTTTTCCAGTTAATAATAATGCCATATCTGTATCATTATAAAAAATATAGATATGATATTTTATGGTAAATATATTGATCATGGAATTTATTCAAATTTAATTTTTATAGTAAATAAATATTTATTAAATATAACTATACATCAAGATTAATAAAAATATTTCAAGATAAAGCATCAAAAGTATAAACATAAAAGTAAATAAATAGGAAAAAATCGTCTCAATAATTCAGTTCAGACATAAGTGATAGGTCAATCACTTATTTTTAGACTCACATTTGTACTAGTATTTCAAACTCACTTAATTTACTAAGACATCTTATTTTAAGTTATCAAACGAACTTAAAATTTAAGTCCTTAATTAGTTAAGTTCTTAATCAATTAAGTTGTTATGATATCGTGTTATCAAACAATGCTAATCAATTAAGCACTTAATGAATAAGTTTAAGTGCTGAATTAATTTATCAAACAGGGCCTCAGTCTCAAAATAATTGTTTAGATTAATTTTTTTTAAAATTTAAATTACACTAAAAATGAAAATCTAAAATGGACAATGATTTTAAGAAAACGTGAAATCGAAATACAGTAATCAAGATAAACATCTGACTTTCCCATTTTGTCGAATTATAAAAGGTCCTTTTATGGAATGCGAAAACCCGACTTTTTGGGAAATTGTTTTATTTTAAAGGAATCATGAAGCAAGAGAACCCAAGTAAAATGTAGTTAATGTAGTGTGCCACTAATATGCCAAAAGAGATAGTGATGTTACTTTAACCATGATGTCAACTTTAACATGCACCTAATCATCTGCTGCATTTTGCAAATTCCTGGGGGCATCCGACAGACATATGCATCCAATTATTAAAATATCAAAGCTTTTTTGACAAAAAAGAAATAGTGGAATACTTCCTAAACACTTTTTTTTTTTTTTTTTTTATAAAAAAACTTTGATCAGTTTGGACTTATTTGAGGGGGATAATCATGCTTTGATGCTGTGCTTTTTGGGGCTTTTGAACCGCGTGATGTGATTGATGATCATCAGCAACTTCTATAAAGAAGAAGAAAAAACTAAAAAAAGGGGAAGAATATGTACTTGTACGGATTTTTGATGCATGTGCATTTCCTCGACTCATGTCTCGTTACTCTCGTATGATTTGATGTGGGCAGAATTTCGCACCAAGGAAAAATAAGGAAGAAAGATGTGTGTAGAATGGGCTACATCCGCGTCCTTGTGGTCACGGTTCATATGGGCCTAGAATCGAATAAGTCCATCTCCAAACCGAATCAGAGGACATTGAGCCCACTGGTTATCCAGCTACAGTTCTTTGCTTCTTTTTTATCCAGAAATAAAAAACAGCCTAAGGGAAAGCGTAGCGGATTAGTTGTGTACTTGTGTAGCATAGTTTTTCCCTTGCGCTATTTAATTCCTAATAATTCGCCTTCGTTCCAAGATAGTTGTCATTTTAACGAACACCACTCTACAACTAATTGTCATTTTCTCAAACACAACTCTTGGAGACGGGTAATATGCACGAAGTAATTGTCACTTTGGCAAAGGAGACGAGTGACAGGCACCAAGTAATTGTCATTTTTGCAAACACAACTCTTGGAGACGAGAGTAATAGGCACGAAGTAATCGTATTCCTAATAATTAGTACCATACAATCATACATACCAAGTAAATGTCATTTTCGCAAACACAACTCTTAAGAGACAGAGTGAAAAGGATGAAGTAAACGTGCTACTAGCACAAGTTAATGTATTTAGCCACTCTCCCAAAGTGTTGTCCTCAAGTCTCCAGGGGGCAGCTGCTCAACCTGAGAACACATACTCAAGTGATACATTCACCAGAAAGATGAAAAATCCAGAACTGGTGCATACGCTACAGCACTACTTTACAGGACTCCAAACCAACCTATTTCTGGGGGAAAAAAAAAGACTTCAGGAAAACAGAGAACAAAAACGGAAAAGAGTTTTAAATCCAGCAGGCAACAGTTTCGGAAGAACAATGATGTCACACGTAAGTTCCACCGCCCCATTTAAAGTCAAACGGCCTAGTGGTGAACTTATCAAATTCGACAGCCTCCATTGACAGTCGAATGACCTAGTGCTAAACTTAAACTCAAAAAGAATCCGCAATCACATCCCAAAAGAATGACAACTTTCAGATAAATTACGAATGATCGGAGCCTTACCTTGTGGTTTCATCCCAGTTAACACATAGTCATGATGATGATTATTAGAACCATCTTTATCAGATGGATGCATCTCAAAGACACTACACAAAGCCACCAGTAATTCTTGTATATATTATTGCATACACAAGACTAGCAAAATAGGGGAGAACAAAGCACTTCTCCTTCAAGAAATTCTACCAAAGAAAAGTAAGGCCTCATCCCATATAGTGGTCTGCAAAATGGAAGGAAGGAAGACTAAAAACTACAAGAACCAAGTGCCACCATTAACCACATTTGAATCAAATCTAGAGAGAATTGCAAAATACGGATTCCTTAAAGATGGTCCCAATAAATTGAGAGATTCAAAACCCAGTCGAACAACACATTCACAGCCAATCAGTTTCCAACAAAATGTAAACCCAGTTCTACAAATTTGCAAAACCTGCCAATCAAGCTCCCAACAAAATAAAACTAGTTCTACAAATTTGCAAAACTAGATAGAAACGAATAACTGCCCGCTGCGAGTAAATTGTTTTTCAAACTTTTCTTGATGAACGAGAGAACAGGCTCCCGTCCAAATATCCAATCAACACGTCAAACAACATCTGCACACAATTCGTGCCTAATCACATATCTAGAAGTGTAAAAAGGCATGTTTGGCTGTTTCAAGCTTTCAAGAAATAAAAGCACCACAGCAATTCCCAAAACACGGTCGAGACAACAATTTCATCAGAACAACTAAAATTCATTCAATTGAATCTGGAAATGGAAATCATTTCAGTTGATACCCTTATTTACAATAGTAGAAATCCAGACGAAGAACTACCCTTGGAAAGAGAATGAATCTACACAGAACCCGACCCACCATGATAAGGAACAAAAGCCTAAAAGAAGAATTCATGAGCCCTAGAATAATAATACTTACAGAACCCCCATTTCAGAAACAGTTAAAACTTGATTCATGATTAAAGCCCTAAATACGGATCCAATTAAGAAGAATATCTGTGCTGCAATCCACTAATTCCATGCTTTCCGTGAGCACAGCGATAGACCAGTTTCTTGGACCCTTTTATCTTCGGGGAAGCCCTTTTCGCCGCCAATTTACTGATCCTCTGCTTCCCGAACTTTTTACTGAAACCCCACGGAACCAACTCATCATCCAGATCATACCCATCGTTGTAATCATCATAATCGTCTTCCTCGTCATCATCGACGTGGTTGCCGCCGTAGTCATCAACATCATCATCCACGACGGCGGCAACAACCACGCCGGCGGTGACCACAACACCGCCGATGTCGGGTGAGAGGGGTTCCATCTCCACCGATATGTCAGAAGACGGCGACCCAACGATCTCCACTGGGCCCTCTTCTTCTTCCTTGGTGGGCTCCACAGTCTGGTCTTCGTCTTCTTCTTCTTCACCTTCTTCGGCGATGGAGAAATCGTCTTCTTCTTGGTCGAAGTCGACGTCATCTTCAGACGAAGAAGATGCGTCGATGAACTCCCAAACGGACAAGTCATCGATGACCATGTCGTAATCGAAATCAGCGAATTCAGATGAGATGATGACGGATCTGTCGGCCATTTTTTTTTTTTTTTTTTTTTTGCTGCTTAGCGGTGGTTTCTGTTTTTCTCCTCCGGGATTAGGAGACTTCTTTTGAGGTTAAAATGGATGACCTTTTTTTTTTTGGTTCTCCTCTCACAACCAAATTCTCAGATTTTTTCTGGAGTATTAATAAAAAGGCTTTGATACTATCAGAGAGAGATAGAAAAGCGGAAAATAACCGCACAACTGCACGTGGAGGTCTCGCTCATTCTCATTTGTTGGAAATGTTGAGGTGTTGGACTCTGATTGGCTATTGTACGTGGATCCGTTTTGGGCCGACCATTTTCTCGAGAAATCAGAATCTTGTAGCTGGAGTTTCGTTCCGAAAATTACTTGTACAGTAATTCATGTTTTTTCTTCCTAGGAATCTTTTTTTTAGTTATTCTTGAGCTTATCTTAGACCCGTATTTACGCAACTAAAATCACATTTTTGAAATGGAAATCATTATTTAGGAGACCTTTATGCCCAAAGGAAGTCCACCCGAACTGAGTTAAAATTTGTTTGGTTGTAATTTGTAAATACCTTTTTTACCTGAAACATTTTTCCATACAAAAATATATCAATAAGGAAAATTGTATGGTTTTCTTTTTTTAAAAAAAAATTTTGTGCATGGAGTTATTGTGTTCTTAACAAGATTGAAATGTTGTGACATACTGACTCATTACTCGCATCACTATCATCACATTTTTCCCAATTACCGCTTGAAATGAATATAGTATTATTTATTATATGATGATGCACAGTGTTAATTGACAGGAAAAACCCATGCATCACGAAATCTTTTGGCGTAAACAGTAAACAGGTGGTTGGCGTAGTAGACAAGGAAAACTAATGGACTAATTAGTTTTTATCTACCACACTTTATGGAAAAGATATTGAGAGTTTGTTTGGTTGGACTTTAATCACTTTATCCCATTTCTATTTTATTCCTCATCTTTGCTTTTTTTCCGTCCTTTTGTTTTTGCTTAGACACAGTGCATTTTCAATACTACTGGTGACTTTACATTACTGCTTTTCCACTCAAAAGCTAAATTCGCAAAACCCAAGCTACGACGAGGGAATACGAACAACTGCAGATGTTCTAAGCGCGCTTTTTTACTCCCGCATCAGACAATTACTCTGAGATGGATACAGTATTTCTTATTTACTTTTTACATCTCCAATTAGATGGTATTTATATTTTGGTTCTTGAATCTTGACCAATGAGTGAACGTCGTGCTATTGGAGTATGGACCTTAACTGTACCTCATCCAGAACATGTATTAGGCAAGAAAAACTGCACCTCAATCTTTCAATGCATGCCTATTGTGACTTCCCTTGCAGGAATTTAACAATCTCCTCAGCTCTGGATTGAATGCCTTTTAAGTACTCCACAAGAACCCGCTGCTGGTATGAACCTCCTTCCTGATTATATAAGGAGTTGGCAAACTCCAATGAACATCAGAATGCACAAACAAAGGCTGTAAATGTAATGGATACAACAATTCAAACTACCGTCCGGATCAGCGTCCTTTCAATGCGTTTCTTAATGACAGCATCCAGTTCCTCGGGTGAGATTTCCCCTTTGCCAATGGTCATACCATCAATCAACATCTTATTCCACTCTTCCTCTGGGGCTGCATCAGTAGAAGCAGGACAATATTATATCCGAAGGTTTGCCAAATAGAACTTTGACCGAAATTTAGTAGCATAACTGAATAGTCAGAGCGAAACAGAAGCAAAGTTACACCGGGCAGAAAATCAGATATGCCTTTCACTACCTGTAATTAAGGTCTCAAGGAATAGCTCATCTCTCAACACTTCCTTCCCTGCGAACAAACAAAGACAAGGATTCCTTGTTTGTGATCCCTTTTGGCGGAAGAAAGAACAAATCACATACTCCTAAAAAACATGATTTGTTTTATCTATTAACCACAAACATAAAGTTTCAATGAAGAGGTCTGTTATGTACTGATTAACTGAAACAATGCAGCCGGAAATGACCTTAGTGTTCATCCATATTGAGAAAAAAATGAAAACGAGAATCAAACATAGTAAGGACAGTATACAGAACATAAAAAACGTCCACAATAGCATATTTGCTAAACAAGAATGTATGAGGCAAAAGAATTAAAATTTCGTAACTTAAAATGTAAATTTAGTGTTTTTGATAGCATAAAAAAATTTAAGAAGAAAAATGGCACCCTTTTTAGCGTAAGTTCGCTTTGAGAGAACTCTGGAAGCATAGAGTTGCAGAACCTTTTGCAACATAGCCTCGAGCCCTGGCTTGTCTCCATCCTCTTTGGCCTAAATAGTAAAGAGAATCAATTAATAACTTCCAAAAACTAGCTGAAGGAGAAGCTCTTTCAACTAGTATCATATTCCACTCGCCAAGAGAGAGAAAGAAGAATCAAACTTCGAACAAAGTTTTCGTTGCCTCTTGACTAACTAATAGTCAGACTCACAAGCAACCCACTGCCAACAGATTGTTAATGGGTCAATAACCTTAAAAGATTCTGCACACTTACTTGCCGTAACTGAGCTGAAACTTCTGATAAAAACCCTTCATCCAGCTGTCCTTCTTGCTCCCTTTGATGCAATTCCTGATAATTTTATTCATGTAGCTGCATGTTCATACTAAAGGCTAAAAGTAATATATCTTACACAAAACTTCAAAGAATGTGAACCCTACACAATATGTTTTGTGAAACACCAAAATAATATTGATCTCATCTTAAACAAAAAAAAAAAATACTAAATAACTGCTGGCAAAGACTAAAAAGATTAAAACATCTCTAAACACTAAATATGGAAACTGATGATAAAGAAACGGCCACAAAATCTTTCAAACAACAAAAACCTTCAAAAGGCATGACAGCCTATGTTGAGAGGATGATTACATACTCTCTTCATAAGATCTAGAGCCTCAGGATTCCTTGGAGGCCAACATATCTCTTCAACTTCATCAACAACTGGTTTTAGAATTGCCTTCAGCACATCAGTAGCTGATTCTATTTTCTCCTGTAGAGGGCATAAGGAACTTGTTAAAAAGTTAGAATTGAAACAAGAGACAAAGTGTAAAATTAGGAGATTTGTAGGAAGTACATTGGTCTTATGGACAAGACGGTCAACCACACTCATTACCAATGCAGCCAATTCCTCATAGTCTTTCTGCATGACAGAGACCAGGAACCAAATTATTTACATAAATGACGAATATAAGAGTCAGAATGCTTTAAAAATGAAAATTACTGTCTTAGAACCATGCTTTATCATCCTCAGATTTGCATGTTTCCGTTCGAGCTGCAAGTCTTATCCAAAAGCCCTCGTTAAAGGCAAGAATGTTTTCAGCAACAAGCTGTGGGAGCTGCAAAAAAATAAACAGATCAGATTTGTGTACCAAAAGCTCAGCAGGTAGAAGCAAATTTCCATACCTACGTCAACCAGAGTCACGTCATCACAAAACAAGTGTAGAAAAGACCACTAACTGCACAGAAGCTAACTAAGACCATGTCATAAAATTTTTACTCAGTCTGCGTTCAAGCTTTTACTTCTGTTATCTGTATAGTTCACCGCAAATAAAGAAGCCTTACAGTTGGTCCAAAACTAATGGGCACATATTTGTTGGCAACTCAATCCATCTTGAATATTTCAAACATGCAGGTCTCAAGTAGGCTAAACTAAGCAACACTCTTCCATTAGGTCATTTAATAAACATTTCAAGAAACAAGAAGCAAAATGAATAGTCAATATGCTTGTCGTAAAAACTTATTATGGTAAACAGGGATCAACTATCTTGTCAGAGTACAAAAACTTCACCGATTACACATATCAAAATTTAAAACAACACAATGGATTATGAAAAACCAGCAAACTTCAAAGCACGCATTACTTACTTCCTTGTCATTTGCGTCCCTCAGCAAATCGATAAGTCTGTCAATTTCCAGAGTCTTCTTGAATGATTCCTCCGCATTTCCACTGACAGCAAAGACCAAATTTCTCCTGCTCGTATTGAAAATAGCATGATTAGAATATTAAACGACCGAATTAGACGAAATATCACTTCCATTCCCGTTTGTTTCCATGTGGAATTTAAGAACATCATTTAGAAATGCTAACTACAAAAAATGAAAAAAAAAAAAAACGGAAATTCAGAATATCCATCGGAGAAATCACCTCATCTTCCTTTTGGCGAAATTCAGCTGAGAAAATTGAGTGGAATGCTTCCAGGCATGGCATTGTCGGTCCAATTCACAACGGTGTCGTTCCAATTCACAACGGTGAGAAGGAGATAGAGATTGGAAGATGCAGGGGATTACAGGCGTGACTGTAAATGCTGCCATTTTTAGGTTTTTCTTTTTCCTTCAATTTGGGAATTTGGGAGGAAAAGGATTGGGGTTGGGTGCCTGGTGAGTGGAGCAGAATGGCAAAAGCGCGGTAAATTTTTCTGTCTTAAGTTGTAACCGGGGGTTTTGGGCTGGGCTTTGAAAAACTCTCTACAAAGCCTTTCAGGAACGTCCAACAGATTAATCCAAAAATACTCCCGACGATTTTTAATATAAGAACATTTGATTAAATTTATAATATATTTTTTTAATAAAAAAAATCTTAAAAACATATTGTCAGAATTCTTATGTTCTCTATTGTTATGAAATTCTTTTAACATTTTTTGTTAATTAAAAAATATGTACTAAATGAAACCGAGTACAAATCAAACGACTTATATTAAAGACCGGAGGGAGTAAGACTTCACTTAAATGTTCGCTTGAAAGGGGATCTAAACCACTGTTTGTATGTAATATGCATAATATCTTCTCAATTATGAGAGTCTTTCCCATGGTAAATTTCTTTTCCACTTATAAGGAAACCATAACCTAAATTAAGTGGGAATATACTTGTAGTTCCAACCGTTACGGTCATTTAGTTTTTTTTTACTATGAAACGTAATATCTTCCCATTAATATACATCAACTAGAAATCCGAACTTAATCCTACTCTATTTTCCAATAATTTGGACAACAAATTTCCTCTTTGCAATAATTATCTTCTCATGTGTGCAAAATTTTCTACGCAACCTTGTGGATGATGAGGAATAACTTAGCTAATTAATAGACATTTTTCGTAAGAAGGAGAGTGGGAGTTAGGCTTTCCATTTGCGGCCTTTTAAGTTTGAATTGTTTTAGAGTTTAGACATAAGTTGGATGGGCACATGATTTGATTGAATGGAAAATTGAAAAGAACCTGGGGTATTTTGACTTGTGAGTCACCCAAACCTTGAAAGTTTCGATTCTCTCTTTTTGGGGAGTTTAGTTGGTTTCTCTTTTAATGTATTTTTTTGTAGATATACTTCAACCTATCTGATGGAGGGGAAATATAGATTCACAGGTCACTTAAAAGATAAGATGGGCATGACTTTAAAAGAGTAACAGATGTAGGAAATGATGCAAGTAGAAATCTTATATTATACTCCCTCCAACACAAAATTATTGTCCAGTTTGAAATTTCACTTTTAGTATAATTTGAACTAGAAATGAAAACCCAAATTGGACAATGATATTATTGTCCAGTTTGAAATTTCACTTTTAGTATAATTTAAACTAGAAATGAAAACCCAAATTGGACAATGATTATGTGACGGTTGGAATAGTCATTATTATAAACACATACATACATTTTTGGAACGCACAAATTAAGTTTGATCGAAATTGAAATTCCATTGGTAGTATGGTTCTCGTTGCACTGAATTACTTATGACATTATATATCTTTAACATTGAGTCATTGATGTTACTGAATCATACCATAGTGCGTTTTACAATCTAACCTACATATCGTATTTTTCAGTGCTTGTATACACTACTGTGTTGATTCGAATTGTGAACCTTTGATCAAGTTATAACTATCCATCTGGACAAGAGAAGGTACAAAAAAATGAAAATAGGCCGCACAAATTATACTTGTATCAAATGATCAGGCAGGGAACATAACCCTTGATCAAATTAGAACCTCCTTATTATGACACGAGAATACTCCTACGCCCCCTATTACACTTTCATCATATATAATTCTACCGTAACACTTCATCTCGGGGGCGGGGGCCATACTTTTCTTCTTTTTTTTTCTAACTTTTCCCGAAATGGTGCCAGTCCGGTTAATTGGTTTGGTTAACCCAGCAAGCGTTTATACTTGCACCACGCAACCGCAGCCACATAAAGGACGACGCAACCGGCGGTACTACCACCCACGGTCCAGAGAAATTCCGGGTAGCCGGCGAACTTCGGGTCGAACAATTCAATGCTGATGTTCATACCAAAGACACCCGCCACCACCACAAATGCACTCAGAAGAAGCGTCGCCATTGTCAACAAAACACCCATTTGAAGCAGATGGTTCTGTTTATCAGCCAGCATTACATTGATGTAATCTTCAGTGTCATCCACAGATTCCCTCAGCGTGAAGAGGTCGTTCAGTGTGCCATCAATCCGAACAAAATACGCTTCCAAAAGCATCTCCAGCTCTTTCACATCAACTTGCTTCCTCCCAACATTATTGATTTCGCAATCCGGGTTATCTTCTTCATCATCAAGTAGATTTGATTCCAACTTCTGAGTGAGATAAGTCTTTGCCATATCATCATCATCATCCAGAAGGTGTTCTAATTCATCCCTTACCTTCTGTACTCCTCCAGTTATATCAGCCAATCGACTTTTAATTCGTCGAACAGTTTCCAAATTCAGGGTATCGATTTTCGTTGTCAATCTATCCAGAGCGAAACGAGTTTCTTGCTCCAATGTCTTTGATTTGTTTTCCATTACGCTACAAACGGCTTCAAGGGACGACTCCAAAACGACAAACTCGAAGGGAAGTAACAGATTAGGCCTATCTAGTATCCTGTTTTGGAGCTCCTCGACGAATTGATTGACGGATGGGTCGGAATTGAGGAGGATAACTTCTTGGGCGGTGACGATGGCCTTGATGTGCTCAAGATTGATGACTATGGCCTTTTCTCTGCCCAATATGCTGGATGGATACGAGAGCTGCGGATCCAGGATTCGAAGGTCTCGGGCCGGAACTCCAGTCCGACGCATGATGGCCTGTTTTCCGGCTTCAAACACTTGGGTTTGACCCGAAGAATCCAGTAACAGCCAGGGTCCGACTCCTGCAGCCCTTTTCCGTGGAGCTACCCCGGCGCTTGGGAGGGCGTTGGTGGTTGCGGTGAGGGGATTTCCGTCATCTTCCGGCGTAGCGGCACCGTATTGCGGTGGAGGAATTTGGCCACTCATTTTCTTTATGTTCTCTTCTCACAATGCCGTCGTTGAGAATAACTCACGCGAACTGAATGAAGAAGCAGAAAACGCAGGGGAATCGGGGAAGAAGAGAATATGATAAGGCTTTCAGCCTAACTAATTCTATATTAGCTGGCAACTAAGTACAATTAATCTTAGATAACTAAACTACCTCTACGAAATTACAAGATTACCCTCCATTTCCTAACTACCAATCATCTAACAATTGTAGCGGGTTTATAGTTTGTTACATGTGGGCTGAAATGTTTTGTTGAAAAGCCCAGAAAATGTGACACCATGAAACAACTGATCCGAATAACAGCATCAGATGTAGCCCACTTAAAAAGAATTGCAAGTTCTAATCTTCGGAGGGGCAACAAGTTCTTTCGCTAGCCGATAGTAAAATGCTCGTCCCAAACCCTCGAGATTTAGGTTTGATCCTCACCGTTGAGCATGTAACTAGCCTTTATTTCGACTTGAATTCTCTCTTGTTTTGATTTTGACCCTACGAGATTTAACACACATTCTACCAATTTTGTCCCATACGGATTCTAACAACACTTGCAACCGGGATGTCCGGCGCTGGAGATTTCGACTTGAATTTTAGTGTTAAGTTTGGGACTTCTTCCACTCCTTATTTTAACTTAGTTTGATTTATCGAAAGAGTGATGTTGTTTACTCACGGTAATACGTATTATTATTAATTGTAAGTTAGTCACAATAATTTTTAAAGTGATTTAAATACGTAGTCAATATTTAGATTATATAAAAAATAGTTAAAAGAAATCATAACTGACCATCGCGTTACAATTTACTGTTACAATTTACTAAACGTCCAACACATTTTAGTTTTAACTATGCTTGATGCGATATTTATTATCTCTACTTTTGTCAACTCTATAAATAGCTTCAATTTCTACTACCAAATTGTCGACATTTTGCCTTCCGAGGTAGTATTTCTTTGGAGTGCAATTTGGTCAATCCTTTTCAATCAAACCTTTTCAACATGAATGCAAAACTCCAATAATCCAGCCATTCAGGTATTGTAATATCATATTCCATGTGACGAACATAGGGAATGGTCAATATTACGCACCACTTAGGCACACTTATTGACATTTTTATAATTCATTTTGGTTATCCTTTTCAATTTTGATTGTATGGATGTAATGCTGCCCACAACTTGCGAATCTCTTTTACTAATTTGTATATTAAGATTCTCTAAGGATGAAAGATCATCCAAAATCCCAAATCCCGAAGTGGAAAAAGCGTCTTTTGTCGTCTTGCGATTGGTGGAACCCACCCACCGATGACTTTTCTCCTACTAATAAAGTTTCATATTGTTTTTTCTCATATTGTTGGCCTTCTGTCACCGGGATCCACTATTAATTAAAATGTTATCAACAACGAGGGCAATTTTCTCAAGGAAGGAAAATGAAATAATTTTTTTTTTATAAGGTGGAAGGAAAAGAGTATATCTCGTTTATTATGCAATAGCAACATTTAAACTCCCTTCATTCTAAAATTATTATCCAGTTTAAATTTTATTTAATATAAATTAAATTAAAAATGAAAATTCCAACTAGACATTAATGTTGGGACAAAGAAAGTATTAGAAAATCGAAACTCTAATCCTCTTGTTAGATAGAGTTCTTACTGTTTGTCTTACCAACTTTCCTAATTTAATGGTAAATACGTATTATAGTTCTATTTTCAAATTAAATTAAATTAAAAAGACTGTGAATATCACTGGTTACAAAAATAAAAACCTATAAAAGCTAGAAAAGATACAAAAATGACCAAACAGTAAATAAAATTTTAGCTGCTAACCAAAATTATGGAGTTTAAAATTGTCAAGGTACTTCGTTTAATACTAGTATTTAGTATAAAACCGAATGTTATGAATAGAACCAGGCCAAGTATTTTCATATTATTAATTATTTTTTTCGATACTCGAATACATTTTTTGTCATTTTCTTTGAAAAAGTTTTTTTTTTTTTTGTCATTGTAATATGTATAAAAAAATTAAAAAAATACACAAGTTCCTATGTGTTTTGTTACACATTGATATTTGGCCATTCTTTGGCTGGGATCTCTAACCTCATAACAAACGAGGATACAGTTCATCGCGAGATTTTATTGGTCAGTGATCACGAGAGTCTGAACTCCGGCCATGTACTTATTCAATTGGAATGAAACGGTGATTTTGTCATCATTTCAGAACAGATTTAGAATATCATTAGATGTCGTCCCATGTTACTTTGTCCAATTACAAAATTTAAAAAGGATAAATAAAAATTCAGTATAAATAAACAAAATACTCCATCTGTTTAAAAATTATGTCCACTTTGAATTTTCATATTTAGTTTAAACTATACTTCCTCCGTCCCATAAAAATAGTCCAGTTTAATAAAAAAATTTGTTTAATCCAGTTTCACAAAAGTCAAAATTAATTGAATTGAAATGACTTAAATATCCAAAAGAGTAATGGTAAGGAAAACAAGGTGCACTTACTTTGATTTTTATTTTTTTTTTAGTTTTCTTCCATTTTTTTAAATGATTATGTCTTTTAATAAACGAATAATTAAAAAATGTATTATATATCAAATTAATCTACGTAACGAGATCTCTCCATCAATATCTATTGTCAACATTTTTTGAGATAAAAGTTTTGATGAAATTTAAGTTATAAAATAAATGCATATGTAGTTAACTTTTATAGAAATAACTAGAAGGAGCATTAGTGAAAGTTAGGAGCATAAAATAAGTTGTACATTTGGTGTGTTGACCAAATAAAAATATTGTACATTTTCAAACTGGACTATTTTTCTGGGACGAAAAGAGTATTAAAACTAAAATATATATCAAATAATAATCTCGAGACATAAAAGATCGTTATTTCGGGACGGAAATGTAACGCAGGATATACATTTGCCAGTTTACATGAATTATTTCGTACTTGAGTTGTGATCACACGAGTGACCATGCACATTGGCGCAGGAGAAAAATCACACCAACGTTTACGTTTTTACCTACCCCATGGAACTTGGTCGGCGGGTATAAACCGGAGTGTCCGGTTCGAGATTTGTATTTGCTAAATACGTCAGCCATGATGTCACCATATTAAAATATTGTCATTGGAATAAATAAATTAATAGTATTTCTTTTTCCCTTTTAGATACATGTATGTTTTCCTTTGTACAACCGTACGGTTTTCAGATTTCAATTTTTTTGTAGAATAAGTTTGGGGGTGGGGAATTCAAGTGGAACTTTTTAATAAGCAGATTCGGACATGGATGATGGGGTACTACTTATTGTTGGTAATAATCATTTTCCTTTTTGTTAGAATTTTAGATATTGATTGAATATAGAGCTTAATAGTGAAAAGTACTTGCTGTTTTCAATTCATCAGCTGCGCTTTAAATTGTTTTTCGGAGAAAATTTGACGGAAGAACACGACATTATTTATAATTTCACTTGAATTATTATTATGAACCGAATTTGGTTTTGTTAAATGACATTTCTATATTTTTCTGATTATGACAAAAAAAAAAAAAACACCATTAATATGAACTGAACTTAATTTGGTACAAGTTATGACAACCAGACTGGGAATGATATTAGATCAATTGGGTTGATGTGATCTCCTCCTAATCCAAAAAAGGTGGTTTTAATATATTTTTTGGTAGAGTAAAGAAGGTATAAGCTCAACGTAATAAGGAAAATGATATGTATAACGGAAAAAAATAGTGGAAAAAGATAGTGAGTGATGTGTAATATTCTTGGCCTCTAGTTTTTTGTCACTTTCCCGTTAAAATTTTATCTTTCCCTAAAAATTACATTTTTACTCTTAATTAATAAGTACACATATTTAGTGAGAATGGTGTATTTGTCTTTTAATTAGTCACTATTCCATTTCATTATAATTTGTCACTATCTCTATCATTGCTCATACGTGATAAATTATAGGTGAAAAACATTGATAAGATCATATTTTAATCATGATTCAATTTATTTAGTAAATCCATCTAAGTTATTGAGATCAGTCGGTTCCTTTTCCGCTAAAATCAAATAATTTGCCGCAAGAGGATTTAAATATTCCAATAGGGGGCTGGATGGAATCAAATCAAATGCAAATCCGATTTCTCTAAATTAGAGGTCGATAATGCAGGTCAATAGCATGGTTAGCACTAAGCACCAAAATGCTGTGAATATTTTGGAACTTTTTATTCTCTGTTACAATAACAACTCATGCCTAAATCTTTAGATTAATATACTACAGGGATACGTCATTTCTACAAAATCTTGCAACAAATTTTTATTTACCGCCTCTTATATCATGTCGTAATCAGAAACGATATTGCTGAGTTTACTATATAGTTCGTTAATAATGTGTTATAAACTACGTTCTATATTGAAATTGCATTCAATGTAGACATTCTTTCTTTCAATTTTTTTTTTAATTTCCAGCATAATAGCACTATTGTACCATTAAAAACTAAGAAACTATGTTACGAAGATACATAACCTTTATAACGTATGTTAATGGAATTTGTGTAAAACTTCACTCACTGTTACACTGAACCTCATCATCTTATTAACATGGTTTACTGCTAAAAATGTCATCATATTAATTTGTGGCTGAACATTCACTTGTATTCTCGGGTTAGCAATATAGTAATACACACAGTAATATAAAAAGATGACGAAGATAATGAAACATTATCGCGAAGAACATTCATATGCAATGATCATGAAGAACATACGCCAAGGGAACATAATACGAGAAGATAGTGATTCAAACTATTCAGTATGCATCATATGTATATATATATATATATATATATATAACAAAATACTCCCTCTGTCCCAAAATTATTGTTCAATTTGAATTATCAGTTTTAGTACAAATTGTACTAAAAGTAAAATTTCAAACTGGACAATAATTATAGGACGGAGGGAGTATTAAATACGTAATTGTGTAAAAGGGATATGGAGCATGACCTACGATGACATGCAATGAATGAAACAAAATTAGCCTTTTTTAGACCTCTGCAGTTTATCATTATTCAAATACAAGATGTGATTTGGACATATCAAGCTGCAATTTCTTAATTCGGCTAGTCGGCAGCACTTATTAATAGTTGATGTAACTTTACGGTGATAGATGAAGGTTGAGTTAAAAAACAAAGCAAAATCCTATTTAGTTGGACTTAGATTATTGATTTATTGACTTTCCTCTTAAAGAAGTAGATCACGTAGTAGCCGGGAGGTTTGTGTGAACAATTGAAGCAAGCACCTTTCCTCTTTGATTTTGCACTACTTTTTTCTCTTTTTTCTTTGTTATTTGTTTTGCTTCCTTTTGCTAGCGAGAAAGCACCTGCCCCTTTGCAGTTTATAATTTTACTAACATAATAAACACAACTGTTACGTTACTATTCAATTTCAAAATTACACTACAAAATCCAACCAAAAAAATATTTCACCACAAAACAAGTGGAGACAGAAGAAGTTCTAAGGAAATTCTCTCGGGCTCATTGTTGATTTAGTCCGTGTAATCAACCCACTCCATAAGAAACTAGAATGCTCATGTCTAGCTAATAATGTTACCGTGTTTTTGAGAAACTCTAAAAATAAATCACAAGTAAAGTAGTGATGAATGTTGTATTCCATCCGTCCCGAAATTATTTTTCAGACTGGGTTTTCAATTTTAATACAAATTGAAATAAAAATAAAAATCTAAACTGGACATTAATTTTAGGACCGAGAGAAATTTATCTCCCATGTCCATTACAACCAAAGTTACATGAAATGTTGAGGGTTGTATAAGTTTTGTATGGTTGGGCAATTATGATCATGACTCATAGAAGAACGTTTGATTCAAATATTTTTGTATCACTTAGTATTTTCTCGTAATTTTATATTGTTTGATGGGTTTTGTTACGGCATTCGCAATTTATCACCGATAAATATTGTTGGAAATTAAAACGATCTTATCTAAACGATAATAACACACACAACAAAAGCCTACAACCAAAGAAAATGATATATAGACTTCCATAAAAAAGAAGCAACTATCAAAAGTCCCTTATCCCATGCCGCCATGCCTTGATGTACAGAAACAAGACAGCAACACCTCAAAACCGAGCAGAATTGACAGTGAAAGCCAAAGCCGAATCAGGATAATCAAATCCCACAACCAACTTGTCACCTATAAGAAGAGCCTATAAGAACTGGGAAAAACAGCCATATCCAATCTGTAAAAAAAAAAATCCTATGTAGCCCCCATTTAGGAAGGACTCTATACATAACTTCTGCACTTTTTTTTTCTTCCGGAGCTTTCTTTTGTAGTCAGAAAGAAAGAGAAAAAAGAGATTTGATTCATAACTCCCACCCTTTTTGAGTTCATCTTTGTAGCCCCCATTGAGCTAGCTGTTGCTTTTACTTCCAATACCCATATTTGCCCCATAATATTTCGTCCCCTTTCTCCTAATTCACTACCAACCAACTCTGTCCCTATCCATTTCAGTACTACATTTCTGCTATTCCCCTTTACGCGCAATACGTACACAAGTATGAAGTATATATAAATACACACACACACACACACACAGGAGACATATCCAGTTCTATAGGCAGAGTTTGACAAAACAAGAAGGAATCCCATAGTTTATATATTCAGGATCCCGTTTTTCTTATTTTAATTAGGGGAGAAAAGAAAGAGGATGAAGATTCAGTGCGACGTTTGTGATGTAGAAGAGGCATCTGTCTTTTGCTCAGCAGATGAAGCTGCACTCTGTGAATCTTGTGATGCTCGAGTTCATCACGCTAATAAACTCGCTAGCAAGCATCTTCGTTTCTCTCTTATGCATCCTTCTTCTTCTAAAGAATCCCCCTCCTGCGATATTTGCCAAGTACGTCAACAAACACTAACACGACTCTTATTTTGGGACGGAATTTGAGTGGAATCATTATTGGGTTGGTTTCTGTTTTTGTTTAATTTGGGTTTATCGTTAATTTTTTTTTTTGCAGGAGAGACGTGCCCTGCTTTTCTGTCAACAAGACAGAGCATTACTCTGTAGAGAATGTGACGGTCCAATTCACAATGCTAATTTACATACCCAAAAGCATACCAGATTCCTTCTTACAGGAGTGAAGCTTTCAGCTTCTTCAACAACGTTTGCAGCTTCATCATCGTCACCGTCGTCATCATCCACATCCAGTTCTGCTGTGTCCAATAATGTTGGAAGTAGTAGTACAAGAAGTTGTACCAGAACTGATAGGAAGATCAAGGATCCGGTTGTCAATTTCAGTCCATCTTACCACATGGATCATAATAATAATTGGGCTTCTGAATCCACATCAAATCAAGAAGGCTTCTTCCCAGTCTATACCACTAATGATAATAATATTTCGGAGTATCTCACTGAGAATCTTCCCGGATGGCATGTTGGCGATTTTCTTGACCCTTCTTCATGTTCTCCATATGGGTTCTCCGAGGTTAGTGTTTTTTTTTTTAAAAAAAAAAAAAAAAATACTTTTTGTGATGATTTAAGAATGTTTGCGAGATTTGAGAACACTTTAATTTTTTGCTGAAGCTTTGATTTGATCTGATTTGATATTGATTATTGCAGGCTCATGAACAGAACATTCCGACATTTATGCACGAAGAAGAATTTCCCAGCAGTTATGGTTGCTACTGAAATGTGGGGAAGTTGTTATGGATATGAAGAATTCATACCATAAGGATGAATCCAGATGATTAATGTAATGGAATGAGGAGGATTTTTTAGAGGGCCTTTGGATCAGTTAAGACTTTAGAGACCCCCAGAAACCTTGAGAAATTCTTTAAGAGTCAAAAAATGACTGGAATGACTTTGTTGGTTTTGGTGACAATTTTCTTTTCCTGTTTTCGTTCCTCAGAGCAAAAAACAGATAGTCAACTTTTTGTTTTCTGCGGGTGATCAATCTTTTCAATTCGAACCCTTTTTGCTGCTCTTCATTCTGCTAAATGTAATTTCAAGCCATGGAAGCTATCCTTGTTTTTTTTTTTCCCTTGATCAAATTCAGTGTCTCATTTTTTCCTTTTTTTAGTGTATATTTTGCTACCTATCAGTCTCAATTGTAAGTAACTATGAACACAATGTGGTTTGGTTTAGTAAAGCCTCTGTCACAAAATAATTGTTTCATTTTCTGTAATTTTACTAATGGGCAATCACGTCAACACGAAAGAAGTATCATATACACGTTCCTATGACATGTTTACTTTGGACGCATAATAATATAAAAGATGTATTCGTGTACATAAAAAATACTCTCTCCGTTCTAAAATAAGTGTCATTCTAGAGTTTGCACACAATTTAAGAAAACATTAAATAAGGTAACTAAATTACTAGAATATCCTCAACCAGCCCTATAAAAATAAATGTTCATCAATAATATTATTCTTTTTGAGGGTATGTTTGGAAATTTTTAACAAAAAATACATTGAAATTCGAAAACATACTTATTTTGGAATTTTTTCATTTGACCAAAATGACACTTATTTTGGAATGGAGTAAGTAAGATAGAAAATTTTGAGCCATGTAATCGCTTCGTCGACCTCCAACTAATAAATACTACAATAATCAACCTTCAAAACACACGCGCACACACAATAATCAGCCATGACTTTTCAATTTAAAACATTCTCTTTTTTTGAGTGGCTAGCAACTAGCAAGTACACACTGGAAAAAAGTGCATTTTGTTGCTTCTTATCATGGCCCAAAATACTACATTTATTCCTTAAAGAGACGGGGCAAGTGGACTTTTCAGCGATATACGGCTGCCTTCATCACGTTACAAAGTTTTAAAGCAATTATGTAGTTATATTGGACATATATCTTAGAAAGTTTATTTTCAGAAAAAGGAAAATTCGTTTGCTCCTACTTGACATTCAGCTTCAGTTTTTTTGTTTGACACACATGATAACCGGACAAATTTGATCTTCTTAGGCAAAATGTCAATAGTCTAAAATCGGAACAGTGGCCACTTGCGAATTTACAACAGAATCAACGAGTTCAACATGACGTGTTCCGTCAATCACAGATCCGCAAATGCAGCTCATTCAAAATTTCAAATCTGATGAATGTTAGCACATCCGTGTACCTAATGTATTCACGTTAGCTTAAATGCAGGATGTTAACACTAAAAGGTTGTTTGAACTCGTGGGCTAGCAGGGAAAAAGAAGTTTGTCTGGTCACCCAGGACACTACTGCCGAAATAGAGAAATCATGGTGTCATGATTTTATAGAAACTTGGATTCACATTGATCATGGTAACAACAGTTTCTTCTGTACATTACAAATCGAGTTCATAGGACAGAAAGTAAAGACCAAAGCATATAGCTTCATGCTTTGAAAAGTGTTAGCAGCAGCTAACAGAATCTGCCTTTCCTTTGTACCTCTCTCTATCCTATCTCAGTATCTCCATTCTGTGTTTTCCTTTTCCACCACAAAAAGAAATGGCTTCTCAAGTTCTCTTTAATGGGCGCCTTTAATTTACAGTCCCATGTGAAGGAAATACGGACAAAAACCGCTTCAGCGAAGAGTTACATACAGTTTAACTATTGAAAGAATGTTACCCGCCACACCAGGATAATAAATGGATGAAAGATGACCAAAGCCTGAGGAAATAAATTAAGAGAAAGGATTACAGACTTGCTTAACACAAAAAGTATCTTACAGTTCACAGCCGCACCAGTTGCTTACCTTTCAGTGAAGTCCACTGTTATGTGAAGGCATATATCCTATCGGCAATCTTAGTTCGGCACATTGGGCATTCCGAACAAGCAAGGGAACAAGATTTACATACTGCCAAAGGTTAAAAAGAAAGGATGAATAACTCTAACTGATGAAGCCACCAATTTAAATGGTCAGAGGCTCAGAGTTGAGAAGGAAACTTACAACAAAAATGACGGCAAGGAAGCAGCATCGCTGCTGTAGGTGATTCAAAACAAATTTTACAGAAATGAGAATTTGCGTCCCCATTTCCCATGTACCTGAGTTCTTTTTCCTTCATCTCTTGCATTCGAGCCTGTAAGAAGGAGATAATCAATTATGCAGCATTAACTTAACAAAGACAACGTCTAATTTCATGGGATTAGAAGGCCAAGCAATGATGCACACTTAACAAACCCAATGGAAAACATAACAAGAAACCAGAACACATTTTTTCAGAAAACGAGGAAATAATAATCTCATGTTAGACAAGATTACAGTGACCGCGTTTACCTTAAGGCGTGCAACAAGAGGTTCTTCGTGGTGATTATCAATAGGATACTTGGATGATTCTAAAGGTTGCTCATCTTTAGGAATCGAATCTTTGTGTATATAATTGTCTATGTTGGAACCATTTTGGTGGTGGTCCCCACCATCATTCTGCCTATCATTATTCTTAAGTTCTTGCGTAGCACCTCCTTCTTTCTTCAACTGAGCAACAAGAACCCACATGTTAGCTAAATCATTTTCCAGGGCTGCCTCCCTTTTCTTTGCCTCTTCTGCCCTTTTCCTGTATTGATCTTCTAGAACTTCCTTCTCAGCCAAAGCAGCCTCTAGAGCAGCTTCTCGTTGCTTCCTTGCTTGCAACTCCATTTTGAGGTCCTCCTGGTCCAGGTTCCACGCGTCGAAGTCATCATGGACCAATCCCGAACCTTCATTTACTCGATTAGATACACGGCTTCTGCGTCCAGCCCTATTAGCATCACTGTTTTTGCGGTTGAGTCCACTTCCAGAATGCATATTTGAATTTCTGGAATTCAACAATTCTCGAGCGGCCACTAATTCCTTCTCGAGTTTGGCATTCTGTAATGAAAGCTTTGTGACTTCGCCGGCTAAATTTTTCAGCTCCACCGCAGCCGCAGAGGCCAATTCCTTTGCGTAAGAAGCTTCCTCTGACAGTTTCTGGTTCTGCACTCGCAATCCACTGTTCTCCTCCAGAAACTGAACATGTTCCAGCTTCAGTTTTTCATTTTCAATCTCCTGCGGAAATAGGAAAACAATAATTCATATATTCTCCACTTGAATGCATCTACATGCAACAAACCATGCGATTGATTTTGGAAAATCAATAGAACATGAAGTTCTGTCTTGGTCAATTATTTCAGAGAGTTACATTTCACAATGTTAACATAAATCATGAGAAGGAGGAGTGACAGGGTAGTGGTAGAGACAACACCCCCCCTCCCAAAAAAAAAAAAAAAAGAAAGCAAAAGAAAAATGGGAGAAATTATTTTTAAGTGAAAGATGATTAACAGCACCAAAGAGACAATAAATGTGGATTTCCATTTTCCAATTCATGTAGCCCCTCATATTCTAAAAGGTAACTCAATTCAATCACCTGAATCTGAACTTTCTTCCTCAACTCGTCATCATACTCATCTGATGTATGTTGTTCAGAAGAGGGTGATAATTTGTCACTGGTTGCTGATGCTAACTGCTGCTCCATCTGAGCAATTTTCTCTAGTAGTTCCTTGTTTTCTGCACACTGATAGTTACAAAAGAACAAAAAATTAGATGGAGAATACAACAGTTATATACAAAGAAATGCCGAATAGAAAATAAAGTTTCAACATGAGTAAAAAATATAATGCAAGTTGTCCCGAACCTTGTTCTGCAACTGTTCCTGCAGTATACGATTATCTGCCGTTTTGATCTGCAAAGAGGTCAACATAAAAAGCAATAGTGTCTAAAGCCAACATAATGCAATCATTTGCTTCACAAATCCTACATTGAAATTTGTTAGAGATAAAATGAGTATGAATACATTCATACATTACAAAATGAATGGCACTAACCTCAAGCTCAAATCCTGTTTCGCTACACTGGGCCATCAATTTTGTCAGAGTCTGTTCCAACGAAGCAAAAAAGATGAACGTTAACATTAAAATAAGTTAAGCGGTTTGATTAGAGGCTAAAAAAATCATTTAAACACAAAGGAAAGTGAAATAAAAATCAACTGTGGAAGTGAAGAAGGAAAAAGTTAACGAATATAACCTGTTGCATCTCAAGAAGAGATGCATTAGCAATTGATGCTTCACCACTCTCCACTATGCGCTGTTCTAAAATTCGCATTTGCTTTCGCTTTTCCAGAATTTCGCGCTCCAAGCTCTGGATCTGCCCAAAAGATATACGAAGCAAATATTAATGAATAAAAGAATAAGAAGAAAAGGTTAGTTTAAAACACGGTAGCAAGTGTAACATAACCAAGCGGAATAAATTGATTTCATTTTTTCAAAGTGGATGGATGCATGAGACCTGTAGCACTGTGCATGTCCATGACATCAAGACTTAAACTGACCATAAAGCATTTACAAAGAAAGGAGGGTTACTTGATCTCTTGAGCTCTCAGGATCATTTACGGACTGTTCAACTAAACGCTTCAACGTGCTAGTGCTGAACGCAATCTCGCCTGCCAACATCTTGACTTGCTCAACAAGAAGGTCCATCTGATCTGACATTGATATTCCATTCTACAATCCAGCAAAATACCAAAGAAAAAATCACATCACAATCTTCCCTAGAGGGCTCGGATTTTGTTAATCTACACAAGCAGGTAAACAATGTACCATCAACTTTCCTCAAATTTAGAAGTAATAATTGTACTAGGATAATGCCACAGCTAGTGAGGCCGTCAGGTTGGCAAAACTACTTAAAGCAACTAAGCCCTTGAAGGAAAAACAAACAAAGCAGATAATAAGATAAAGACTGAAACCTACTGTGGGCAGTTTTGAATTATAGGAAGAACCATTGACAAGTTCACCCGCATGAGTAGATTCAGTTATAGTACTGCCAGCTTGCGAGATATCATCATTCCACTTGCTGGATGACAAGGAATCTTTCTGATTCTCCCCATTTATGAGCAAAACATCCAGATTCTGATAGACCAACAGAATGAAACAAAGTTAAACTTGTTAAATAGAGAGGGGCCTTTGTCCAACAAAAGAACTATAAAGCTCAATGGGAACTTCGGGAAAAATTTCGCACGATTAGGAACATGACAACAACAGAATAAATTCACATCATGAATAGTTTACAGCAGAAAAGAAGTTACAAAAACATGAAATGTTATTCTAAATGCAGTTTTGAGGATAAACACACATATGTTCAGATCAGGAACTTCAAGTTCAAAATTTATTAAAATCACACTGGTCATCTTATATCTAGCTGAAATTAAGAAAATTAAAGCAAAATCTTACATCATCGTCACAAACAGATTGAGCCCGGGATGTATCACTCAAGTAGCCAGGAATTGTGTTTTTAGAGGAAACAAGTATTAGTTTTGTTAGCCTCTGGATTCTGCTCATGAGAGCTGCTTTAGCTTCTTCCTCTTCCTCCAATCTTGATTGCATTTTAACTTGACCTTCCTCCAACTATTCAGGAAACAAAGATATGGGAATCAAAAGCAAGAAACAACAATATACTGACATCAACATAAGAATAATGAATTTGCTCGTTATGGGCATCTATGAGAATTATACCTTTTGTTTTAAGGTCAGAATCTCTTCATGACTTACACCCAGAAGCATGCCCCTTCTGAGCTGATCAAGTTCCTCCTTTAGACATGATATTTCTTTTTGATATTTCTTAATTAAGGATTTTTCATCGATAATCTGAGGAAAGAAAAAAACATATAAGTGAGCTATCAGAAGTCTTCACTGTATAAAGCTCCCAACATAACAGCAATGGTTGTAACTGGCCGCAGACCTTATTTCGCGATGCAAAAATTTCTACACATTTTGCTCTGCTGGCGAACTTCAAAGTATTATGAGTTTCCTCCATGTTACTTGATGCAGGAGTCACTGTACATATAAGCTGCCAATGAACAAGACCACATAGGTTAAAGACAGAGTAGGTGAGGGGAAAACAATGCAATTGCACATCTAATTGCAGAAATTACAATCGTAGCTCAAGCACACACAATAGGATACATATCCAGAACAAGATATTGTGCAAGAAGTGATCAATACACAGAATTTCAACATGCTACTACATGAAATCAAATCAGTTATCAATACAACAAGCTTTCAACATACAGATTAATAAAAAAAGAAGGAAAAGGGAAAACAAATGCTACTCAAACTTACAGAAACATGTCCATGGCCACTCAAAGAGGATTGCAGTAAACGGGTGAGTTTAGAATCTCTATATGGAACATGAGATGCTTTCCCCTCACTCAATTTTCCGATCACCTAATGAAAAATAACGGGGGAGCTTGAGTTTTTCATCAAAAGTAATAGAGGGATAATTTAAAGAAAATTATATTGCAGCTAACCAATTGCCAAGGCATGGAAAATGTCTTTAAACTTACAGTTCCAAGAGTAAGGAGACTTTTATTAATGTATGATCCTTCTTTTCGCCTCAGCCCAGTAGTTTCAGTTTTCGAGCTCTCAGAACCGGCTAAATCAATTAAATTCTGAATCACGTAAGAGGAGCATAGAGTCAAATATGAGACATTAGAAAAGATAGCATCCTACTGAGTGAAAAAAGAATGTGCCGTACAAGTTGTGAGAATATAACACCGTCATATTCATCTCCATGGGCACTACTTTCAATCATCTGCAGAGAAAATTGCCAAAGTTTTAAAACTAGAATTGAAAAGAGTAGTTGAAAGATGACCTACGACCCAGGTTACTGAAAACAAGAGCATAGAAAAAGGAGATGATGATGTCACAATTGACCATTGGATCAAGACCATAGATAGTTGACATGTTTTTTCTTTTAAGAAACTGTAGCTTAAATGAACCAAGGGAGGTTACATACCAAAGTAAATATTGTGTGACTACGGCTGCTGAATAAGTTAAAGTTGTTTGAACCAACATGCCGATGCTCTGCAATTTAAGGAAAATGAATTAATTAAGTTACAAGAACTCCTTTTGATATTTCAGTGGTGACTACACAGTGAAATTGATGACTCCTCAAGTACCTTCCCCAGCAGCAATAAATGAGAGAGCATGTCCAGGAGACAAGACTACTTCTTCCTTTATCCCTTCAACATAAGTTCCCTGAGCATAGAGCATGTGTATCAAAACGAAAACCCAACATGAACATGGATAGATTTTGATAAGAACAAACTGTCAATATTGAATCAGGTACAAACTCAGCAGACCTGCGCATCTTCTCTCACTCGTAAATTTTGACCAGTTGGATCCAGCAAGTCATTGATTACCTAATATTAGAATCATACAATAATTAAGATCATTGCGATCGGAGTTGGTCGAGAAGTAGCAAATTCAATATGAATAGAAGCAGAAATGTCAGACTAATAAGTAGCGGAAGATCAAGCTCAGGACTAATTGGAACTAACAAATATGCACAAGAGAAGTTACGGGCACAAGGCATGAGCTCCATTTGGTTGGTAGGGGCAGAGAGAATATCAAAACCCAAAATTGAAACTAACCTCGTTATATATTTCAAGATACGAAACTCGAAGCAAGAATTCACGGCCTGGGGTCTGGAAAGTACAAAAAAAAAGAGGGGGGAAAAGGTCATAGACTGAAAGAAGTAAAGATATAAAAGATAGAAAAAATAGGCAGAGAAGCAAAGGAAACAGCATAAACAATTGCGGGACTTGGGAGCAGCAAACTAAATTTCAAGGCATGAAGATTTTGCTTACATCCTGAATGATGCTGAAAACATCCTTTATTGCTAATGGTATGATACCGGGAGAACTATGGTCGCCCTGTGACAAGAAACGTGTCAATTCAACGAACGAAAACCAAATACTGCCTAAAACACTTTGTTCCACCAAGTTTCCACTGTGGTGATCAGGATATGCAACCTAAAAGAATAGAAATTACGAAGAAACTACAAAGCCAACGCGTGATGTTTTTAAAAGAAAATTATAAAATGTGATAATTACAAAAAAATAAATAACCAACAGAAAACTTCAAAGTCATTAGTTGTATTTTGATGTACCATAACCAGAAAGTGGAATACTCAAAAAGGGAATAAATGAAAGCGCAACTCAAATGCAAATTAGCTATATCCGTGTACTTTATTGTCAAAAAGGGAATACTCAATTAGCTATATCCGTGTACTTTATTGTCGATTGCACAAAACAAATGCAAATAAACATCTAGCAGTGCGATGCTAATTCGTGACATGCTACAAATTATTTCACCACCCTACATAACCCTACCTCTTACATAGAGGATAACAATAAATTAATACAGGACAGCACTTCATCGAAGTGGCACTCATGTAAAACAACCAACTTTTTAGTATTATAAGTTTATAAAATAACAACTTTAAAATTGGGTGTTCCATACTTTCATCTTTAAACATGTGGATTGTGGAAACCAAAGTTGTTTGTGTTAGAAGTTACTTACGTGCATAGTATGCGTCTTTCCACTACTAGTAACACCATAAGCAAAGACAGTTCCTGCAGTATGAAATCAACAAGAAGACATCAGATCGTGCTTGCAGAGACCTATGATGTCTATCCCACAATGTGGCCACTATGTAGGATTGGCTGTATGGACTAGGAATAATTATTCTCATTCAACAAAAAATATATCTCTAGTAATAGTTCCTTTTCCACTTCTTTTTGGAACTTTCTTCTCGCCTTTGATGTAAACTAATGATCCTAAAGTTTTCTACTCTTATTTTAGTACCACAAAACCAAAATGGTACAAAGCAGCAAAATCATTCCAATGCAGTTTCTGAAAGTGTTATTCCAATTAAACGGTACGAGTTCCACAACTCTGGTGTGTTACGAACCTATTTATACAAATTCTGCACCAAGTTCCCAACACATAACATATCCCCTACTTTTGAAATTAAATACTTAGCTTACCATTTATCCCTTCCATTGCAGCCTTAACTACTGGTCGAGCAGCAACTTCATACACCTCCTGAGTGGTTGTATTCTCTCCAAACACTTTGTCTATCACACAAGAAAATTTGCTTGAGTAAATAAGGATATTAATGGTAATTCTCATCAGCTACTCATCATTTACATCTTTCCCATTAAATTCAAATGTCGGCAAAAAATCTAGACAGAAGGGCAAGGATTCTAACCAAATGCATAAGCTGTCATAGGATTGTACTCATTCCGCACAATTTTATCGCCATCAGGATACCAAGCAATCTCATCCCCTCTCTGATACTCCCGGTCACTGCCATCACAAGTTCAGCAATCACATCTTACGATCACATTATCCCCAAATTAACCCTAGCCTCAAAATAACATTCAAATTTACTCCAATGCCACTGCCGAAAGATCTAAAATCAAATCCAAATCAGATCTAAGCATTCTTACCTCAACGGCCGAAACCGAATCGTGACCGAAATACTATCCCCCGATCTCGATGTATCGACAGGCTCCCCCATAAGCTCATCAACTGAAGGAAAATCAACCGGCGAACGATTATTATTATTATGATAACCTCGCGGGTACCCCCCCGAATCGCTCCTGCTCCGGTTCGGCGTCATGGATCTGGAGCCGTATCCATTACCCGAGCCGTAGAATGAAGCCGCGGAGGATGAGCAGGAGCGGGGCATAAGCTTACCGTTCATTAAAGACGACGTGGAGGAGGTGGATGAGTAGGGGCTCGATTGCTTCCGGTAGTGAAATGGTGAGCTGCTTCGTCCTCTGGATGAAGACGCCGCCATTGCTCACCGAAACCAATCCGAAATCCTTTTTAAAAAAAAAATAATACCGCAGTGACTCAGTCTAGTGCGTGACTGTGTGAGAGAGAATGTGAGTGAAAATAAAAGTGGAGAAGCAGAGGGGGGGGGGGAAGGAATTTGTCAGTGTATCACATGGTGTGATGACTAAAAAGCGAAGAACATTGTTCCATTTTTTAAAAAAAATTGAGCTTCACGCTTTCACAACAAATGCAAGTTTTTGCCCAAAGTGTGGAAGAAGTTTCAGATGATGATGAAGAGTAGAGAGAGAAAGTTCAGCACCAAATTTGGACTATATATGAGTGTGTGACTGTGTGAGAGAGAAACTGGAGAGAAAGGGAAATGAATTCTTTCTTCGTTTCTTCTTCTTTAAGACAAAGTGATGAGTTGCAGAGTAGAGAAATGGAGAGAGAGAGAGAGAGATGGTAGTGACAGGTGAGTCCCTGAATAGTAGTAGAGCAAGGAGGGAGTTGAGAACGATGGGGGGATTATTTGTTCTTTGTGGGATTTTTTTTTTTTTTTTTGGACAGTTTGTGTCTGCTTTATTTTGAATTTAAATCATTGTTATTTGCGAAAACGAACCTAAACTCTTTAGTATATTCATCTAATTACCATGTAAAAAAACTATAGTTTACTATTCCCTCCATTCCAAAATAAGTGTCGTCCTAGACTTTGTACATAGTTTAAAAAACTCTTAAATAGAGTAATAAAATTACTTAAATATCCTCAACCAACTCCATTATAAAATTGTCCACCAATAGCATCAACTCTTTTGAGGGTAATTTTGAAAACTTTTGACAAAAAAGTACATTGAAATGTGAGAACAACACTTATTTTGGAATTTTTCCATTTTGTTAAAACGACACTTATTTTGAAATGGAGGGAGTACACTCCAGTGTTTTGTAATTTTCTCATTTATTTATTCAATCTTATTCCCAAATTTGTATTTTGAATTTACAAATCATATGTGAATAAATATTGTGATATATTAGAAACGTTGTAAGCAGCATGTAAAGCATTTGTACAGTTAATTGTAAAAGAATTTATTTTTGTTCCATGACCATGGGAGAGGAAGGATGTCATGTTATGCCTAATTTTTATTTAGCTAACTTCTTTTTTTTTTAAAAAAAAAAAAAAGAAAATCCTTTCTGGAACTATTTTAGTCAAATTTGTTGGATTAATTGATATTTATTTTGTTCGTCTAACTTATAAATCGTAGTTATAAACTAAACACGATTATAATTGTATCTCAAAAATAGAATAGCAGGAAATATTTATATGAAACGCGGTGAGAACAATTGTGTAGTATGTAAACTTAATAATAAAACTTGAGGAGTTAATTACAATTTTAGTTGATTAGTATTTTGGTGGATGAGTGGAGAAAAGGCTGGAGATTTTTGGAGGAGGTGGAGTAAACAAAGGGGGAAGTAATTTGAAAAGTATGTATGTAGTCACGTGGCGGGGTTGGGAGGAGGAGTTTACAGTTCAAAGTTTTAAACTCAGCATCGGGTAGCCCGCGGTGTTTTCAAATACCCTTTTTAGATTTTACTACAGTACTTCTCAAACCCACCCACTCAATATGTATTTTTGAAAAGTATGAGGTAAAGCGGGAATTACACTTGCGCCACGTCGGACAATTTAAAGTGATGACAACCCACGGTGTCGGAGTTAATTAACCTAACTCCGGATTATTTATTAAGGTAGACCTTTATTATGGTGATTAGACTAGTCTTCTCTTCAGCATAAGAGTACAAAACGTGGAGCTTAACGTAATAAATGGCTGAATTATTCTTCTGTAAAAAAAAAAACTGTAGTTGAAGTTAGGTAGTCCAAACAAATACTAATAGTAGTTTTTTTTTTTTTTTTTGAAAAAAACAAACTACTTTGATGAGACTTTCAACAAAAAACTTGTCATGAGAATGGAAAATTCGCATTTCTTTTGCTCGTATTTTTTTTGTTTTAAAAAAAAACTTCTTATTTACAAGGCCCAATGGAGTCATTCATTGACATTCTGATTGTATTTTCGAAAAAAAAAATAGTGTTATCTCCTTTATCCATGCGGGTATATTTAATATAATTACACAACCAGTCACTCGAACACATAGTCACATACTCACATGCTATAGTTGTTGTAAATTTTCAAATTTTTTTTTAACTTAAATTGTTGACATTGACAAAGAGAATTCAAATGCTTGACCGCTACAAACTCGAATTTCATTTTACTATCAATTTTAATAGAAAAAATGTCGTTCTTACTCAAAACTTTACCCTCGTCGTCAATCATACCCAATAGATTTTCGATTAGCCAACTTTACCCTAATGTTTGAAATTTTCGTCAATTTCGTCCAATCGGCCCATTTTCCGTCTAAATTAACGGTTCTCCGTTAGTTTTTTAATAAAATAATAAATTTAAATACAAAAACACCCCAGTAATTTTTAAAAATTTTAAAAATAACCCCTAAAATATATAAAAATAACAAAATAGTCCTTTTTTACTTTTTTATTTCATTTTTCTCTATTTTGTTTCATTTCTCTCAACTACTTTTAATTCTTATACTTAATATAAAGGCACAGTAGGCAAGAAATTAACTGCCCAAGAAATATTCAGGGCCACCTTCAAATTGATCTCGTACGTCGGATGGCCTTGACATGACGCCAGCGACTTATTGGGGGCAAAAAGGAGAATGCATAAATTCAATTTCAAATTAATAAATGAGAAAAAATCTGAATTTTTGGTAAAAAAAAATCCCCAGATATCAAACAACATCGTTTTATACCCTTATTTTATTCCCAGCAGTGAAAACGACGACGTTTTTGTATCAATGTTTTCTTTTTAAAAAGAAATTTTGTTGAATCCCCGAAACAAAATGACCACAGATTATACTTGCGCTTCATCTTTCCTTTTTTTCTTCTTTTTTTTTAGCCTCCTCTCTCTTTTTTAAGACCTCTATTTACGCTAATACCCCCACCGTTTTTCGGGACCGAAGGATTATATATAAAAAATTGTTACAGACACGAATTGGAACCGCAGTTCCTCCGTCGCGACTAAAACTATAGCTGCGGCTAAATATCAAACTGCCGCTAAAGACTACCTTCAAAATTAAATTGCCGCCGCTAATCACCATAACCTCCGTGCAGAGTTGTTGAAGTTTACCGTCGGAACGTTTGCGATTGAGTCCATAGATTCAATTTTGCAACCTTCACCGGTGAGACTGTTGGGGACAAAGATAAAGAGCAGTAACGAGAAGAGCAAGGGGCTCTAATCTTGATCGATCATAAATCGTGGTGCTAGACAAGATTTGAACATTGTTCTATATACACTACTTTTTCTACTTTTTCTTTTTCTTTCTATTTGGGCTCTAATTCTATTGCTGCGAAGAGGCGCTCACCGGATTTTTCAGAGGGTTTTTTCCTCTTCTCTCCTCATTACCGTGGATTGTGCCACCAACTCACTCACAGGAAAAAAAAAAAGTTCGGTCATTCTGTACTATTGTTGCTGCTTCTTTTTCCTTGGAGTCTACTCCTAATCTTTTCTTCTTCTTTTTTTTGTTGATTTTTGTTAGTGTTTACATTGCATAATTTTCTAATAGGGTAAAAACCAGAATTGAATAATTTCCGTTATTTGTTTCTGTTGAGAGCTCTCCGTGCAAAAAGAGGACACCAAGCCACATCAAATGCCAAGGACAATCAGAAGGACTTTTTTGTTGGGGCTCTCCGCAGTTCTTGAATTGTTTTATTCTCCAAAAGGTTTGTTTTGGTGTAGTTCTCTTTTTATTATGATTTGTTTTGATTATGCTTTTGTCATTCAATAGGGAAATAGTTACTGCATCATGAAATCTTGAATGATATTTAATCTTGTCTATGCTCACTGAATTTCACTTGGTCCTAATCTTTTCTTATTTTTCAGGTTGCCTAATCTGTTGTTTTTTTCATGGATGTTCCAATTAAACTTCGTGGAGATGGTATCGTCTTCGTCGTCCTCCTCGTAAGAATTTGATTATTTGTTCAAGTTATTGTTGATTGGGGATTCTAGAGTAGAAAAAAGTAGTCATTTGCTCAGCTTTACTCTAGATACCTTCGAAGATCTCTCTCCTACCATACGTAATACTGATTTTATTTTTCCCTTTCATATCTTTTGTATTAAAACGAATTTGAAGTTTTGATCTCAATATTCACATGTGGTTATGATTTTGGATGGAAAGGTATGATTTAACGAGAATGTTTGAGTTGCTGAATTCTATTTAATCTAGCAGAATTTCATGTAATTGTGTTTGTTTTAGGTTGTTGTCGGTTAGTCATCGAATTGAACTTTTTCAGAATATGAAGAATTATAAGGAGAGTGAGAAATGGAGAGATATTGTCAGCAGAAATAGCAGAATTGTGGAACCTGAGTCATGTTATAAGGACCTTTGCAAGATAGTTCATTTTTAAAATTTCTTTTTTTGAATCCTATTAAATTGGCCGAATGTTTGTTCTTCTTTTGTGTTTCAAACCAATTTTAAATGTACATGGAATATGGAATATTTGCTGATCAATTGGTTTCATGTCAATTTATCTTATGTTAGTTGGACAAAGGTGCAAACCTTTCAACCCTGGTAAAAGTTCTCATGACTTACTATTTTTGGAGATATGATTATGTTTGCATTGGTGTATTGTATACTTTCTCCACCAAACCTGGTTTGTTTTGAACCTATCTAATTGCAAAGTGAAAATTGAAGTGGAAGGGAGGCCTTTTTATGCCTTACGTTTGAACACATGAAATTTTGGTTTATTGAACTAGTAGACATTCTTTGTTGTTGTTCCCTAAATATGATCTATATGAGAATACATTATCAATCACTTTAAAATTAATTGAGTTACAGAGGTTCCTTTACTGTCAACAAAGTGAATCACGTGGAAGACTGATCAAATGTAGTTTAATATACGATCGCAACAACATTACATCAAATTGGGACCAAAATTTGTCATAAATCCTCACTCCACTAGATATCTGCACCATAATTTGTACTTATGTTACTGGTTTTATATATTTGTGATATTGTAATGTACTCTTTTTCTGACTTTATGTTTCTAATATTTGACTGTTTTATAATAAAAAAACTAAAATACCATCTCTTTATATGTCAATGGTTCAAAAAAGTTGATTAGCCTTGAGAAATTACCTCCATGTCTAGATTTGAATATTTTTCTCTAATTAATACGCCTAGGCTCTCTTTTATATGTATGTTGGATTATTTGAAAATTTGGAATATAATGATGAGCTACTTTAGTAGCATGATAAGGCTCTTGGTGTAAAGGAAAAAAATGATAGCATATGGATTTGCTACACGCATTAGTGAGCCACTAACTTGATGCCCTAATTATGATAATTTATTTGTGGTAAATTTTGCTTTACCAAGCAAATAAAATGATGGACACTTGGCTACTTGTCTTAATATTAGTTCCTGATGATTGGGAATGCTTTGGGGAGAAGCTACCCGTTTCTACTTTGGATTAACTAAGCATAGAGCATACTGCATTACTTCATATGCAAAGCTCATTGCCTTTTTGTTGTTCTTCAGGTTCAGGAACTTCACTGATTGTACCGGATACAGATAAAACTAGCAAAAAATTTGCAATTGAAAGGCGTGGGTACATTAGGAAAAGATAATCACTGTCTCTGTATCATTTAAAAAAATTTTGTTTCGTAAGACTTTCTGGTGGCTTTTGCTTCTCTGCCTTACTATGCTTCTTATAATCTATGCCAACAGTCATTTGGTTGTCAATAGTGAGAAAAAAGATTAGTATTTCGAGCTTCTTTACCTACTAAATGTCAAAAGCAGGATTAGTATTTGGCGTACATCTCTATACTTTTATTTGGCGTACATCTCTATACTTTTATTTTACTGCTAATTAGGCATTAGTTTCTGGTCTCCATTTCTATTTTTTGCACCGATGTTTCCATATGTCAAACCTTTTCCCACAAACCTGGTCTGATGGTAGTGTTGACAAGTGATTCTTTGATAATCCTGTGGGGGCTTAAAATCTAGCCTTAATACAAATAGTTCTATTATTGTTATTCTTTGCACTGCTGCATTTAAAGTAATGCCGCCATTGCTGTCAAGACAAACCCAAAACAATAGGAAAGTGGTTCATTTCAAGCTCACTTTACCCGAGAAAACAAGGCTTCTTCACCTCCTAAGGCTACTACTTTGATTCTTTTGTAGTAATCAATCCTAATTTATGAGCTCCTAATACAGAAATTCATAAAGCTCGAGTACTACCTTTTACTTCTTCCCGATTTGGTGAATACAAATAGTCTTATCGACTAAAGAAACGAATAGAATACAAAGTAAAGTCAAAGATTAAAAAACAAGCTATATTCCATAATAAAAAAATTAAGTAATTGTAATTCAAATTATTGACATAGAATTCAATAAAACAAACTATTTTTATACTTTCTCTGTAGCATTACTTTTTAGTTACGAACACAGTATAATAATTATATAATACAAACTGGTAGCGCAACGCGCGACAAAGACAAGCCTAGTGACCATAAAAGTATATTATATGAGTTTTAAAAAAATATTTATTTATTTTCAAACACTACCGTAAAAATTAATCTTTGTATAGTTATAACACATGATTGTATTTATATAAGCATGTTAATGTTTTAATAATATAATTTAGCAATAAAGACACTATTTTTCTGATTTATTTTATTCTTCCTAACATGAAGATTAAAAATATTTAAATGAAACTAATATTCCACATAAAAATAAATATTAGCTCAAATAAAAAATAATATATTAGTAGTTTAGTGTATTACAATTTAACTAGAGAGACTACATGTCATAATATAATTTATAAAAAAAATGTTTATACTTATCAATACAAGGATTTAACATTTCGTAATAATTATTTCAGATATTAATATATCTTACTATAGAGGAAGTCTTACTAGCTTATTCTATATGATTTTAGTTTAAAATAAATGAATAGAGGTAACTATATAGTAATAAGTTGTTGTGATAGAAAATAGGTTTTAGATTCAAGAAGGAAAATTTATGTTTGGAGGATTTTTTTTAAGATTTTAATTATTTTATATTTTAGTTATTTTTTTATAAATTATATTAATGCAAGTTATAATCTCTTCAATTAAATTAAAATACACTAAAATATATTAATTTTTTTATTTGAGATAATATTTTATTTTTATGTGAAATATTAGTTTCATTTAAATATGTTTAATTTTTATGGTAGGAAGAATAAAATAAATCAGAAAAATAGTGTCTTTATTACTAAACTATATGATTAAAAAAATTAACATACTTATATAAATACAATCATGGGTTACAACTATACAAAGATTTATTTTTACAGTAGAGTTTGAAAATAAATAAATAAAATTTTAAAACTCATATAATAGACTTTTATGGTCATTAAAAGTAGTAAAGAGAAATGGAACAAGATATAGAAAAATAAAATAAAAAAGTGAAAAGGGACTGATTTGTTATTTTTATATATTTTAGGGGTTATTTTTAAAATTTTTAAAACTTACTGAGGTATTTTTGTAATTAAATTTATTATTTTATTAAGAAACTAACGGAGATCCGTTAATTTAGACGAAAAATAGCCCGATTTGACGAAATTGACAAAAATTTCAAACATTAGGATAAAGTTGGCTAATTGAAAATCTATTGGGTATAATTGACGACGAGGGCAAAACTTTATGTAAGAACGATAAGTTTTCCCGATTTTAATGGTAAAAGTTTCGTTTGATTTATGAAAAAACATGAGGAGTAATGAATAATGTAGTTTCTATTTTGAAAAAGGAACAAATGTAATAAAAAAATTGGGGGAGCAGATTTTTGCAATATAACTTTTGTAGCTTTGGTAGTAGTTATGGGGCATGTGGCTCGTGAGTCCTAATCTAAAAAAGGTCGAGTGCCACCCCCTCAAAACTCTCTCATTTCTCCTTGTTTATATTGCGGGAAATAGATTCTGTGACGCGAGATTTTCGTAGGGAGAAAATGAGGGCATTCGGTGAGTGGACACGAACGCCGTGTATTTTGGAGTTTCACAATTTATTTTCCTTTTTCTTTCTTTTTTTTTAAAGGCAATATTTGTTACAGTTTATTTATTGGTATTATCAACTACATGGAGACAAAGAGGGGCTGGAGGCAAAAGTCTGTCTTTAATCGCCCCGTACGAATCTTTACAATCACCCGTCACACGTAGTTCAATTTGTTTCCTTTGTGTTCTTCTTCTCCATGACATCAGAACCGGCGGCCGCTCTGATTAACAACAAGCACGATTATGCCCGTTACCAACAATTGAGAGGCAATTGTGGACAATTATCAACGCGGGGGAGATTAAATAACATAATTGTGACCGTACTTGAAATCATTATATTTTTTGGATTATTCTGTTATATCGTAAAAGCGAAAAATTTAAATTGAATTACCATTTCGAATTGGATGGAATTGGAAATCTACATTATAATAATTTCACACTAATATAACATAGCTACTGTTAATTCAAAACCTCTCGCATTACTTTTGTCAGTTTGTCCAGATAGAAGCAACATACTATATATGTCAATTTTCCCTGAGATTATGTATTCCCAGCTGTAGTATTTTTTTTTGTACATTGTACATTGTCAATCTATAACATATCCATGAATGAAACAAACAATAAGTAAAAAAATTTAAAGTTACTCGATATAGATGTCCGTAACTAGTTTCCATTATTTGGCAATTGATCTTGTTCAATCACATTTTGAACCCTTTTTGTTGGAGTATTTCACATCCAATATTCCACGTGGTGGACCGCAGGAGTTATTTGGTTAGAAATCACATCTACCAAATCATCAAAGATTCAAGAACATATTGCGCAACCACATGCAAAAGTGTCCAGTCTACCTATCATGCTAGTTGTGCTGTGGTCACCGATTACCTGTGTTACCTGCAACACCATTTCACTGGGCTTATAACACCATTGGATTTAAGAGTGGCAGTGTTAGCCCATCATTCAAAGTTGGTATCCACTTCTTCTTTTAAATATTTACGCTGGATACGTGAAAATTGAAACATTGTCTAACCTTCATTATTTAAAGAACACGAAACAACATTAGATTATAAGTACATATTTTTATTTACCAAAGCAACGTGTAGCAGAATAACGTGGATTACTATATAGTTTAGCCAAATTTAAAACTTGTTATTTGTATAGACCACGGTTTTACAATTTTTGGAAGAACAAAGTAAGCAAAACAAAATTTTTCAAATGAATTGAAACTTCAACTTCTTCGCTTGGGCCCAAAAGTCCAGAACTGAGAACACTCCATTGTGAACAAAACAAAGAAAAAGCTTGAAGAAATAAAAAAGAATGTGGTAGAATGATAAGGACTCCTCCACCCTTAACTATAGGTTGATGGTTCGGACATCGTCATGGACATGGAGCAACATTTAATTCTTTAACTAGCTCCCTATCGAGGTGTCTAACATGAGCGAGGGAGATTAGTCACTTGAAAAAAAAAAAAAAAACTTGAAGGAAGTTTCAACTTCCAATTTGAACCGGCTTTTCCAAAAAATTTCTTCAACTTCAATTTGAACCATTTTAGATCTTCCAGATTTGAATCCCACCAACTAGGAAAAAGGAATTACATAGAATTTGATACATCTCAAAACACTAAAGTAGGTGAACTAACAGGAAGCATAGTGTCGTCTTTAGTGGAGAACATTAATCCTTTTCTAATCATATCCACCTCTAGTCTTCTTGCATCACTAGCCATCTCTTTACTGCTCAATCGTGAAATCCATTCCGGCCGGAATTCCCCAAGCAGTACTTTCTTTCTGAAATCCGGGTTCTTCTCATCGTTCAAATTAAACCGCAGGGACCTGTACTTGGCTTTGTTGGGTCCGTAGAAATCACCCCATGCCTTGAACAATTCCGTTTCCACCATCTCAGCAATCCGACCCGGATCACACGACCCGACCCTCTCATTCAGGGTCGGATCAACCTCATCACCAACTTTCAACAAGGCTTTTGCGAAATATTCTCGATTCAAATCTCTGCTCCGATCATTTGTTCTCTGCAACGAACCCAAAATCCTCTGTTTCTCCTCTTCCCTCTGTTTTTTCTTCGTGTCGGATTCGGATTCGGATTGGTCGCGGGTTAACTTATTTGGCTTTTCTTCAACCACCACGTCGGTATTTTCGCCATGATGATGATTCTTGTTCTTTTCATTGCGTTTTCCTAGAGCAAACTTATCCATCCAGTCCTTAATTACATCAGATGAAACCGACTGAATACTCTTACTCCGATGCTTTCTTAAACTCTTCAGTTCCTCGAGACCCTTCCTTCCTATGGTTGCCCACACAATATCAATTGGAAATTCCTTCAGGCGTTTCAGGGCATCAAGACACCTCAGCAACTCCGGCGAACAACAATCTCCGGCGACGTATTTCGCACCCGTCGTTGCCTTTTTATAAAGAAGCAAAATCGACTCTTTAACCTCCGCCATACTCTCATCCCCTGTTTCTACCTGGACAGTAGTATTGCCGCCATGATCATCAACATCACCATTAGTACTATAATTATTATTCTTGTTGCCCTCTTGATTGGATGATTCTAGCGTATTCTTCCACGTCTTGATTACTTCAGGACAAGCTAATCGGATTCTATTGCTCGGATGTTGGTTCAAGCGTGGGAATAGTCCGGCGCGATTTCCGACCATGGTTGACTTCATGAGGGCATGGGTAACCGGGAAATCCTTCAAGAAATTCAGGGCGGCAACACAGATGTCCTCCGCCGGCGACTGGCCGGGTTTTGCAGCGGCTTCTTGGGCAGCTTTCTCTGCCTTCTCGAACATCAAGATAAATTCTCTCTCCATGGCTTTCTTTCTTTCTTTCTTTCTGTCCTTTGGAAGAGGAAAATCGTAAACGGTGGAAGAAAATAATGGACGCATTACGCATCCATATATAGAGGAGAGGGAGGCAGGGTGTTCAATTTAGGAAACTCGATCGGATTCCGTTTCCTTGGGGACTTGGGGTACAAGGATTCCCAAATCCAAAGTAATTTGTAGAATTAGTTACTCCGTTGCTTCCTGAAATATTACTCCAAAATTTTTGGCAAAGTTTGTTGCTAATTTTAGAAATTTATTTTATCTATATTTATATGCAGAAAAATATGAATAAAAGAAATGATGTTTTGAACTTTGTTAACTTTTGGAGACGTTTATTTTGGGGGTGTAGTAAAACATGACAAAAAACTGACATAAAAGAATTGGACCTAAGAAAAAAGTTTTACTCAAAGAAAAAAAAAAAAAAGAAGAAAACTTCCCTTAATACTAATAATTCTGCAGGAATTGATTAATCTTATTACTACCGTCGTCTACATAGTTATGGTCATTATTAATATGGTTTATTTATTAATATGGTTTATTACTCGTATTATATTACTCGTCTGATTAGGCCAATACCCTAAACACTAAATCCACCAAGCGAGTTGTCTAAATTAAAATTATTACTAGTTGTTTTAGTGTTAAAAATGTCCTTAAAATATTTTGCCCTATCTTCTAGTATTATATTGAAAAAATAATTCGAGGACATGCAAACATAAAAAGGGTCTATAAAAGGCGTTAAATTGGAGACACATGTTTTAGCTGGGCAACCTCATCAATTTTATCCCATTTCCTCAGCAGCAGAGGCGGGCTTACTTCAAGAAACCAAAAAAAAAAATTAAAAAAAAAATGGTGGCCACCCTTTACTCTTCTTCTTCTTCTGCATTTCCATTGCCCCTTCATCAATTTTCACATCCAAAACAAAGTAAGTTTCAAGTACCGCCTTCAACATCATTGTATTATGACATATGATAATCTTACACACAAAATGTTCAATGTTTCAGGACTTTGTAGTTCGGAAAAGCTTAGAATACTTGGCAAAAGATCAAATTCTAAACTGCCGATGATCACTTCGAGTTATAGAGATAGTAAAGATGGTACCAATGCCGATATTGAGTCGGGAAAATGGCTTTACCTTGGAATGGATTTTGGGACGTCTGGAGCACGTTATGCTGTGATTGATAAAGAAGGGAATATAAACGCGGAAGGCAAGAGAGAGTACCCTTTGTTCATGGTGATTAATTAAGCCCTGTTTTACTGATTCAATTATCTAGATATTTATTTAGGAGTGGATTTTGCTAGATTCTATGTGCGTGGTATTTAGTTCAATTTAGGACAATAAGAAATCCGTATTGTGTCTCGTTGAATTTTTTTACTTAAATCTGCTTGCATTTACTTCTGAATTTTCGATTCAGTAACTTCACAAACTGATTGTTTTGCGTAGTTCAAAGTTGTATGCATTTATGGTTTTATGCTTGAAGTAGTATAATTTCTATTGCAGTTCGGAAACTGAAATAAAGCCACTTTTAGTGAGTGGATCCTCAATTTCGTAACTTTTATATTAAAGGTCATATCATTTAGCATTTGATTCCCACTAAGCCAATGGAGCAGGGTCAATGCTGGAGACCATATGAATAATTCGTCTTTGATTGTTGTGATTCAAAGGGTTCTGTTGTAAAGTACCACTTTTGTCGGGCATAAGCTGGAATGAAGAAGTTTAATATGCACTTTTAGATCTTTGTTGGTTTTTAATTGTTTGATATAAAAAGGAGTTGAAAGATGATTTCATAACTTCCTTGTCGTTCCTGGATTGTCCATTGTGTAGACCCTCAAAACTGATGTATGTTTGTTTTCTAGAAAGAGTGACGAATCTGTGGATTGGTTGAGCTCTTGGAGAAGTACGCTCTTTTCACTCCTTGAAGATGTTCCTGTTGGTCTTCGATCACGCATTGCTTCCATTTCTATTGATGGAACTTCGGCTACAACTATGATCATAAATAGGTAGATACTCCATAAATAGTATCTCTGGTAATCTTTCACTTTTAATTTAGTTGCCGAAATTTAAGTGTAAGTTCAATCGAATTTGATAACAGCAAAACTGGAAAACCTTTATCAAAGGCATTTCTCTACAATGAGAGTTGTGGTGATGCTTTGCCAATGGTGAAGTCCATTGCTCCCGAGAACCACACGGTCTGCTCAGGATCTTCCACTCTATGCAAGCTTGTGTATTGGTGGAATTCTTCTGATGCAAATAAGGAATCTGCAGTATTGATGCACCAAGCAGATTGGTTATTGTGGCTTCTTCATGGAAAACTTGGAGTTTCTGATTACAATAATGCATTGAAGGTTTAAACTTATTTAATAACTTCTGTTGTTAATATAATTTGTTCTATTGTCTTCCCTTGTATAACAATTATGTTTGACAGGTTGGATATGACCCGGAAATTGACTCCTATCCGGCGTGGCTAACTGTTCAACCCTATTATTTTGCTTTGCCGTCAATTCAAGCTCCTGGTACTCCGATTGAATTCATGAAGGAGGAGATCAGAAAAAATTTTGGTATGCTTTCGATCTTCTTTAATCTCATTCTTTTGACCAGTAAAAGGGCCAATGAAGTTGCTTGTCATGTGGTGATTAGCAAGTTGATATTGTTGGTGCTCCCGAACTAGCTCTGCTTGATCACTTTCAAACATTAAAGTTAAGTCACAGTATTACCAACTGTTTTTACATCTTCCTGTTTGAACTGAATTCTGTTTTCACTCTCTGTTGGAATTCCTGTATAGATATCATTAAGAAAATGTATTTCCATTTCTCAAGGTTGTATAGTTTTATTGATGATACGGCCTCTCAAACTCAAAGGCATTGGTTGTTGCTTACAAGAGCAACAACAAAGAATTTAAAAAGGTTATCAGTTCCACACCATTGTTCCAATTTCTGTTGATCCATAAGAAAAGGAAATGGGCTAACTAAGCTGGAAAGGTGCTTAAGAAGTTGTTGTGCAGAAGCTGTAAAAGCTCTAAAATGGCCAATTCTTCTAACTCTGTGATTGTTAATCATGATCATTATTGACAAAAGCGTGATTGTAATGTATGATTCATATAGGTGTAGGCTTATTTTGTCGTTGACATCATTAATTTATCGTCTTAATTTGACAGGATTCCCAGACAATTGTGTTATCTGCACAGGAACAACTGATAGCATCGCAGCCTTTCTTGCTGCTCGTGCGACTCAACCTGGAAAAGCTGTGAGTTCTTTTTTTTTCTTCTTTTCTGCGAACTTAAGTGTCTTGTCAAAAAGTTACACATTGTCCATTCTCAATAAATTGTTTGCACAAATGATCCGTAAGCACGCCTATATTTGTTATATTTCTTAGGTCACATCTTTGGGTTCAACACTTGCTATAAAACTTCTTAGCACAAAAAGAATAGAGGATTCAAGATTCGGAGTGTATAGTCATCGTCTTGATGACAAGTGGCTCGTTGGAGGTGCCTCCAATACTGGTGGAGCTGTCCTTAAACAAATTTTTACTGATGAACAGTTAGAGAAACTGAGTGAGAGGATAAATCCTATGGAACCATCTCCTCTTGACTACTACCCTCTTCAATCAGTTGGAGAAAGGTTTCCCATGGCAGATCCAAACATGGAACCTAGGTATTCAAAACATTTACTGTGAAAACAGCTTCTACATTTTGTCGATTTCACTATGTGACGCCGGCTGTATAAATGAAGTATATGCCATGGTTTGACACACAATGTTATTCACTCAATTGGATTTGTGGTTGTTTATATGCATGGGTTTGCCATCTTTTGCAGGTTGCATCCACGTCCAGAAAATGATGTGGAGTACTTGCATGGTATCCTAGAATCCATAGCTCGAATTGAGGTACCAGTCATTTCTCATGTATCTATATGAGTAACAATTTGTGGCACGATACAAGAACACGACCGGAAGACAATTAATGGTTCTATTTGCATAAACTCAAATGATAAACTAATGCAGGCAAAGGGGTACCAATTACTGAAGGACCTTGGATCAACCCCGGTTGAAGAAGTATTTACAGCCGGAGGTGGATCAAAAAATCCAAATTGGATCAAAATTCGAGAGAGAGTTTTGGGCTTGCCCGTTCATAAGGCTCTCCAGACAGAAGCTGCGTATGGAGCTGCGTTGTTAGCCCTGAAAGGTTCTGCTGCTTCGTCAAGTTAATCCAAAACAGGCTCAAAATGGAAGGAAGTTTTTGAATTTCTGTAACAAGGCCATTATACATATCTCAAAATCCAAGTCATAAGTACTACATTCATTTTAATTTAACGCAGATCATTCTTTTTCCCTACAGTTTTTTAGTTTACTAGACAGCTTAGAGCTACTTCCCTTCCCTTGTCCATGGTTTTTCTGGACTAAAATTCAATGGAAAAAATGGTCATTTGGAATACATAAATATGATTCCGGCGTATTACTAAAATACATATACCGGCTTTTCTTTATTGGATGCAAACGATATTGCTGGAACAAATGGTCTTTATTGCTGGACTAAACCAGAAGTGGACATGGTTCATTTTTACGCATTACACTACTTGTTTTGACCCAGCCAAAATGAATAATAGATTTAAGCAGATTTTAGCTCAGGGTCCTGTTATTTAATACTCCCTCCGTTCTAAAATAAGTGTCGTTTTAGTAAAATGGAGAAATTTCAAAATAAGTGTCGAATTTCAATGCACTTTTTTTCCAAAGTTTCCAAAATTACCCAAGAAAGAATTAATACTATTAGTGGATATTTTTTTAGTGGAGTTGATTGAAAATATTCAAGTAATTTTATTACTCTATTTAAGAGTTTCTTAAACTATGTATAAAGTGTAGGATGACACTTATTTTGGAATGGAGGGAGTAAATTTCAACCGTGTTGGCGTTTGGAACTTGGAAGTCTGGTTACAATTTCGGGAGGCAAGAAGAGAGGCTGGTTACAAAAGTGTTGTAGAGAGAAACCAAGGGAACATTCTCCTGTCGGGAGATTCATAGAGAGCGGCCTGTTGTTCGAATCTTCACCATATCCTTGCATTTAATGCTCTTTCAGCATCCCAAATAATATTATATTCTGTCCAATCAACAATTTCGGACGGTTAATGCACCTTCATCATGGCACAATGGCACTCCGCCTCATTTTTCTCCAGAAGGATTTTTTTAGGGCAAACTACATTTTAGCCCCCGAATTTTGGCCATATCTACCATAAACCTCCCAAGTTTTAGTAACACTACCATATACCCCCTTGACTTATAGTCAACTTACCAAATGCCCTTTTAATATATTAACATCATCATGAAATTTTTGTAAATGGTAAAAAATACTCTTCAATTCATATTTTATAAACTATTTTATAATCTTTCTAAAAATATATATCATAAATTAAGTTAAAAAAAATATACTCCATATTAATCATTTTATATTAATGCAGTTAGATAATAATTTTTTTGAAATTAACTATATTATGTTTTTTGAAATGAAATAATCTTCATTAATTATTTTTTTGAAATATAATAAACTTACATTGTTAATCATAGAATAACTTTCATTCATTAACTTATGTTATAATTAAATATAAAAATTATAAATTAAGTATTTTCATTTTCCATGATAAAAACACAAATAAAAACAAAGTGAAAAAAAATAAAAGAAAATAAAGTGTATGTAAACAAAGGTTATTTTAGTCATTTAATATTTAACCACCTGACCAAGGGGTATATGGTAATGTTATCAAAACTTAGGGGACTTATGGTAGATAGAGCCAAAATTCAGGGGACAAAATGTAGTTCGCCCATTTTTTTATGTTAACTTTCAAAACTTATTGAGTTTTAGAAATATAATTCATATTGAGTTTCGTGATTAATTGTCATTAAATTTTATAATTTATATTACGAATTTTGATATGTATTTTTTTTGACACAGAAATAATAACATTATATTTTCGGCTTCATAAACAATATCTATTTTGTCGAACTAAAAATCAGTTTGTAAGTCGTCAAGAAAAGAAACTTAGCCAGCCACTGATGTTAAAGATCATGGGCGCACGATTTTGCTAAATTTCAGTTTCAGTACATATTTTCACTGCCTTTATATTTCTACGTTTATATAATAGTTTGTCTTTTTTTTTTTAAGTTAACATATGTAGTTTGTCTTTCTACATGTAATTTATATAGTTTGTCCGAGGAAATGGTGAATGGTGATATTTTCCTTGGAAAACCATCGGCCGAGTCTGAGGCTCTGAGCAGCCTCCGGTAGTCTGACTACAATACCAAACCATCAACTCTCAAGTCACTATGCAAGCAAAGGTATAGAAGGAACTAAAACAGGCAGCTACGTGGCTAGGTTTTCCTTGTCCAAGAAAAAAATTGCAGGGTTTGTACAAGTCTATATAACTATCTCCTCTTTTCCTTTTTTTTCATTTTGGTTTTCATTTTAGAATCATTGTTTTACTACTTAATCCCTTTTATTTTTTAAATATATGCTTGGTTTTATATCGTATTTAATGTTAAAAATTCACCTAAACTAACAACATTAATTTTAATTCAGTATCTAAAATAACCCTCAAATTATAAATAAAATACTTACATAAATAAATATCCTAAAATATGGAAAAAAAAATCAAGCTATTTCAAGCCACACGCCTACATCCCACATATTTGCCACATATTGTCATTCTTTTTCTTTTTCTTTTTTTTTTTTTTGAGAAAACATATTGTCATTCTTAATTAGTCTAATGTTGTATAAAATAAATAACTTTAACTTTGTAAGTATTTTGTACTATATAGGAACCAAAAAGTTTCGAACTCTGGTATTAAGAGCCGGACAAATTGTCGATAAAAGTTTGATTATTTTTACACACACTATTAGCACACATTAACGTGACTTTTAACTTTTTCTAAAACTAAACCAGTATTTAACGAGGGCAGTTTCAAAAGTTTTCTCAAAATTTCCAGATGTTATGGAGAATTTTCCATCTACTATCAGTGCTTAAATGCTTGTGCAAAGCTGAGTTAGAGACTGAGAGTTTAAAACAATTAAAGTTGGGAAAAAGTAACAAATCAGACTTTAATTTCATCTTACCATATTAGGAGAATGTCAATTTCATCTTGATATATCACAATTTGATCAATTTCACCCTTTTGTCATCTTATTACCAAATTCCAACCTTTGACTTGGTTGGAGCTTGTCGGAAATTTTAAAATTTTTTTCGATATTTAAACTTCAGAACTTCCAGCCGCGGTCAGCGGTGGTGGACGATCCGGTGGTAGTGAACTTGGTATAGTGATGGTTATTGAAAATTATAAAAATAAATAATAAAATAAATTTTAAAAAGTAAATGAAAATATTGTTATGGGGAGTGTTAATTGTTTCTCTGCTATTTGAGTTTAAGTGGGAATTTAATAAAATTTTTGTTGCCTCCAAGAAGCTGGCCATATAGGTAAGCAATTGAATGGGTTAGGTCAAGGACAATTCAGTAATTTCATATTATAATCAAATATTTTTAAACTTGTGAATTTCATATAATATTCGTATTTTAGACAGGACCATGCAAAGAGTAATACTACCTCCGTTCCAAAAAATAGTCCACATTGAGTTTTCAAATTTGTACTAAACAAAATTCAAACCTCAATCTGAACTGTTTTTTTGGGACAGAGGTACTATTATTCTTTGATTTTAGTACTTGAACTTTTTTTATAATTAGTAAGGATGATGATTCAACAAGTAGAGACCTTACCGCGGCTTTTTCTTTTGCTGTAGCCAAAGCAAATTCGTTATCATGTGTTTCACGTCTTGCTCTCTCCAGTGTTTACCCCCCCTAACAAAAACAAAAACAAAAAAGGGAGCAGCATTACGTACTCAACTTAATATGAGTAATATTTTTGCCACAATTTAATTATAACGGAGGAAATATTAATAATCTTATTATGCCGTCAAGGTTTAGAATGACCTTGACGATTTGTTATGGTATTTAAATTAAAATCAAAATCTCTTTTGACCGAATGTTAGTACTCCTCCATCACCTTCACCACATTGGCCACCAAGAAGATCAAGATCCTTACTACTTCCCGCTCTGGCCGCGTTCTAATCTCGTCCACTGTCGGCTATTCATTTTACATTCTTATATAATCTCATTAAATTATCATCTACTCACGTTTTATCAAATAATTTTCCTATTTTTGTTTGATCGATTTCCACTATATCCATTAGGGTGTTCACGGTTCGGATTAGTCCGGATTGATAGCAATCCGTAACCAAACTGTCCATTACGGTTTGAAAAATGTTCAATCCGTAACCGAACCGGATTGGTGTATAATCCGGACCGATCTAATACGTTTTTAACGGTTTAGTTTGGACGGATTGGCGGTTTGGGCTTCTGATTGGACTTTTTCATTTTGGACAAAAAATTAAACCTTTTTTTGTTGTTGGACTTTTTTGGAGGCTTTTCTTGAAATTTTTTGAGCCTTTTTCAACCTTTTTTTTTTTTAGGCTTTTCTTGAAAATAAAAAATAAAAATCAGTCCATGGGGGATTCGAATTCAGCCTTTTTTTTGAGGTTTTTCTTGAAAAAAATAAAATAAAAATTAGTCCATGGGGGATTCGAACACACGACCTTCAGCAAAGTCTAATGTAGAGGGAACAACAACAATACCAATGGTACAACTTAGCATTTTCAATAAAAATCTCTATCCGACGCTATATATACAAAACTAATGTATTATTATTTTATAATATATATACGGTCTGGTCCGGATTCACAGACGGTTTGACACAGTGTCAAACCGTAATTCGGATCAGATTGACCGATTTTTAATTTTTCAATTCGCCGATTTAAAAATATAATTATAATTCGTTCGTTAATCCGAACCGATGACCGAATTGGACAGTTCCACCGGTTTGAGCCAAATCGTGAACACCCCTAATATCCATAGTACTCAAAACACTATTGTGCTTTTGTTGTGCCATTTTAGTGCAGTTACGCGTATGGTGAGCTCCATCTAACAATAATGAAATAAAATAAATCTTGCCCCATTTTTTTTTTTACTTCATTTAGTCGCATTTAAATAACAATAACATTGAGCGGTGTTAGGAAGCTTCACCTTCGAAATATTAAGCTAGCTAGTTACTTTATGATAAATTGAAAAAATTCGTATTTAGACGTAGGGTAACTTCCTTTCTTTCTTTCTTTCCCGACATGGGACTTTCTAAATTGAGTAACAAAGAAAACTCAAAAGTACCGTTTAAGAAAATTCGATACTCCTTTATTCGAAATCATTTGAGAATATGTTAAGTTGCGCCTTTTCCGACGACACTCATGTAAATATTAATTTATACAAAATCGTTCATATTGCAAATAAGTCAAAAAAAAAAAATAAAAAATTGAAGAGAGGTTGGGTGATAGCGCTCAAATATGTGTTTCGAGCGGCTTACTTTCTAGTGAATGATATGGCTTTGATGGCAGTAAGGGCCAAGAGGGATGCAATGGCTTGAAACACCACCCACATGCTTTAAACAATTATTTTTTTCTTTTGCTTTCTCTTCGAAGAGTTTCTCTTACTCTTTGATGGGTATTTTACTCACTCTTTGATGGGTGTCTGGTTTTTTCGGTTGGGGATCTCGAATCCTCCTTCTTAGGAGGTTTTATTGTTTATTTTGTTGTTTTTAATTAGTTTCTCAACAAATCTGATAGAGAAAGTATGGATCCAAAAGACACCAAAAAAGAAATCGTAATACAGGGAGAATCATGGACTCAAAGATATGTTTGTTTGGTAGATTTGTCATTATATTGAGTTTTAGTTCAGATTAGATTGGTGTTGAAATTTTATCCTATGCATTAGTTCTATTTGTATTATTTTTCTTTGGTAGATTTGTTTGAAAAATTCCAAACTTTAGTTACCACAAAAGTTGTTTCAATCTATTAAATTTAGCCTTCTCAATACTTGTATACAGATGATGGCATCTCTGCTCCTCCTTCGTGAGTTGAAGCATTAGATTAATCATCGGATTATGAAGCTCAATTCTTGTATTGTATTGCTTAATTGTATGGTTAATTTATATTTTCTTTAATATTAAGTATTATTATCGCTTTTGACAAAAAATAAATAAAAAAAAAACAATTGTTGGATGTTAATAGATGCACAAAGTAAAATTATTGGTCGGTTGCTTTTTCTCCAAAACCCTAAGGAAAAATTGAAAAAAAGAACAAGAATAATAAGAACAAAAAACTATTACTGGTGGCAAAACACAATATTTAATCTTTATAGTTTTGACTGAATTTAGTTGGCAATTTTTAAAAAATTTAGAAGTGATTCATTCTAATCCTTTGTATCGGCAATTAAGTCGAAAAAATGCGATTATAAGATTACAAATTCATAATACCTAGCTAATCATTCATAAAATAATTATTCAATAATTAAAATTTCATTTCATTTTGTAACTTACATATCAGTGACAGTGACACGCTTTTACTTTTAGAGATTTGTTTATAAAAATTGAATAAATATCCAAAAATAATATTTCTGCCAAAAACATTCTACAACCGAAATACTAGATACACTTTTTCATCCAAAAGTATTACTCGTATTTAAAACAAAAACAGCACTCTTACAACTATTCACATCTCGAGAGCAACTTTATTTGTTTGTTTTTTAAGCTATAATACATCAAAATTGGCGAAGAAAAAAGATCATGATCCCTCGATGCATATATTTGAAGTAAATTAAGGACTAAATCTAAAACCATTGTTTGGGATGATGAATAGTTGTGTTAGTTTAATTTTACGGCCGCTGTTGTTTTTTTGGTTGGAAGCCTTGGAAATCTGCCATGTACAAACCCAAAGCAAAATAATTTGATCATATCTTCTTTCCCACATGGCTCTCTGTATCAACTTCTCCAGTGTTATTTTATTTAATCATTTTTACCACCTACCAAAATAAAAACTAATCATTTTCTCCTATTATTTTATTATATTATTAGTAGTATTATTTATAAACTGAAATTAATCCTCTACATTATGTCAATAAAAGTAGTGGCCGAGTTCATTTACAAATTCCATGTTTTCCTATTTGAAGGGTCAACCAAATAGATCAGCAATGTTGGGACTGCGTAGGAGAATGGAAATTTTGTCAATATAAATATAAGATAACATTTACTTTATGTGAATGTATTTTAATTTTTACAAATGCATTTTTTCACCCTTTTTCATACTTCACGCGACAAGCACTGATACGAGATCATTTTTCAAAAAAATTGTTTTCATACCATATCTTATAGGTGACGTCGGTGCCTTTTTATTTTTACTGAGAATTTAAATAAAAATAAATACCTAAAAGTAATGTATCTACCAAAAGTTTTTTCTACCCAAATGCTACATTCACTTGAAATCATTTTAAAACAAAAATGCCACTTTTATAACTTTGAGAGTGACTTTATTCATTTACTCTTTAAACTAAAATACATCAAAATGCAAACAAAAAACGATGATGAAGTCGGTCCTTAATGCACTACTAATCTATTTATCTCAAAATAATTATTCAGTTTAAGTTTTACTCCCCCAGTCCCATAATTATTGTCCAGTTTGGGTTTTTCTTTTGAGTTCAAATTGTACTAAAAGTGAAATATCAAATTGGACAATAATTTTGAGACAGAGGTAATATAATTAATTATTCTCACCATTCTAATTAAATGGCTAATTGAGTAATTTATATAATATATCCCTATTAATGACTAGTGATTGCTAGTTAATATAGTGAGATTGGGAAGTAAATTCAATTAAATATTTTAAAATTTGGTGATAGTTGGGGGTATGTAAAAAAATTCATAAATAAAAATAATAGTGTCTCAAATGAAATTATATTTTGTAACATCTTGAAAGGAAAAATGAGTCTATTTATATTGCACAACTATTTCAAGGAGCGAAGGAGTACTAACATTTGAAGCGGAGGGAAAAAGAATTGTTTGCAAAGTGCAATGACGAATAGTGGTATCTTTTCGGCCGCTGTTGTTTTTTTCTTTGTGGTATGAAACTAGGAAAGCCTTGGAAATACGCCATGTACACCAAACCCAAGCAAAATCATCATCACATCTTCTTCTCTCCCACCTGGCTCTATCTATCCCACTCTCCAGTGTTATTTTATTTTCATCATTTTCACTATACCTACCAAAAATAAAACAATCATTTTTATTTTACTTACGCTGTATATTCATTCATTCCACTTCATCTCCTTTCACCCCATCACTTTGAGACTTGAAAGCAACCATGAATTCCCAAGCTTCGGCTTCTTCCCGCGTGACTGTCACCTCCCTGAATCCCGACGCGCCGTCTTATTTCCCTTCCCTAATCTCGCCGCCGCCGCCATCAACAACAGCAACAACTGCTTATACTTCTAATGAAGAGGTGCTTAACCTTCAGGAGTTGATCCTGACTCCTCCTTCATTCATACCGCCGGCGATTCATGTCCCACATGAGTTTTTATTACCCTTGAATCACCCACCCATTTGGCAATCATTAAACCATCACCACCTCACCATCCTTCAGCACCAACTTTATACTACTAATCATTTTCTCCCTCCACCTCCACCGCCGCCGATGATGCTCTCGGCACCACCTCCGCGGGTGGAAACCATGCCTGTTTCCGTTGATACTCCGGATCAAACACCAACTGTTGGAGCTACAAAGGTGGTGATTTTCACCCGGACTAATAATAATGGGCCGCGGAACCGGCGGTTGGTGAAGGCTGTGAGGGGAAGAAAAGGGGTTGGATTCCGGTTCGGGAGAAGGGTTACGGGTCGGTCGTCGGAGCCGGTACATGAAGAGAAGAAAAGTGAAGATGATGGAAGAAGTTTGGGGAAGTACCAAAGTGTGAAGCTCAGAAGGGAGGAAGATAAAACGACGGTCATGATCAAGAATATACCTAATCATTTCACGTCAGTACTGTTGAATTGAATCTGTCCCCCTCTTTTTTCTTCGATATTCTTCTGATCTATATTAATTGGCTAGTTGGATTAGATGGTGTTAGAGCAATGAAAGAAAACCTTCATTTAATGTCAAACCGGCCAGTTCAGTCTATCATCTGGTTTCAGTTCAATTAATTTCTGTCATCTTCCTTCATAAATTTTTTGATCTTTTGATTGCCTTAACCCATAAATGCAATTCCGACTGTCTGATTTCCTGACTATTTTTGGGTTATGTACTAGTAGTATATTTCTAGCCCATGCATTTGACTTCACTTTGTTAGTCCTCTTAACGGCTGAATGTTTTGACCTAGCTTCATCGGATTTTTTTTTGGATTTGTTTGTTTGTATATGTATGTATGTTGGTGGAACTCATCGGATTCATTCTTTTCTATCTTTGAGGTTTGCAGGCCTGGAATGTTGGTGGAGTTCGTGGATTGGTTTTGCTTGTCTGAAAATTCTAAAACTAGGCAGCTGGGAAATGGAGGTGATGAACACAAGGCTATTTCAGCTTATGATTTCCTCTACTTGCCCATGGATTTCAAGTGAGTTTAAGCTTAGTAACCTTGTACATACTTCCAAACTATATTATTAGGCTTTTCACTGTATCATACTTTTCTGATGCCTTTTTGTCGTGCTTTTTCTCAGAACGAATTTGAACAAAGGTTACGCCTTTGTTAACTTCACCGAACCAGAAGCCGCCTGGAACTTCTTCTTGGCTTATGACGGTCAAAGATGGGATTTCAACCGTTCCCCCAAAACCAGGAAAATCGTCTCTGCCAGAATCCAGGTGTAAATAATATCAAAAGGGTTCTTTCTTTGCATTATTGCCCTTTCAAATACTCTGTGTTCTAGATTACAGTTTAAAGCTGTGAGCTTTTTTTGCAGGGAAAAGAAGCACTAGTTGCCCACTTCAACAAGTCAAATTTTGACTGTGAATCCGATGAATACCTGCCTTTCGCCTTTAGCCCAGCAAGAGATGGCTCCGGGAATGAGGTCCAGCGTACAGTAATCGGACACCGAGTTCAAAAATCTCGCTGCTTTGCACGTTCTTAAGCTCATGTTCATCATCTTTCCAAGTCCAAAATCCTCCGGACCATGCTTCTGTCAGTCTATCATCATGCTCTACTGCTGCATTTCTAGCTGCTATTAAAACAGTGAATTGGGTTTCTCTCTTTTCAAGCCTTTTCACAGTTTAGGTAAACTAAAAGGCTAAAAAGACATCTCAGCTCCAATGGGTCTGTTCCCTCCTTTCATGGGTTTGTTGTTTTCATTCAGGCTGCTTTGCTCTGATGTATCTGTCGTGTTGTAGTATAATTAGTTTCCTGCAGTTTCACTTTCTGGTTTCTTCAGTCAAAAATTTCCCAAACCCAGAAAAAGAAAAGTGAAAGGGGAAAAAAAAAATCAAAATTAGTAGTGACAAAAGGGTTCTTTTTCATAGAGTGGGACTATGAGTTAGGGCTTTTTTAGCTTAGGTTTGTTGTATGAAAATGGGGGGTGGATCCTGGCACCTGAATCCCTCTGATAAAGTCTCAGATTTTTACTCAATTCAGGTGATTCGTTCCACCCTTTTTAGTAGCTGTTGTTGTTGTTACATGTGAGGTATTGTGATGTTTCTTCAATGTTGGAAACTGAGGTTTCCTTTGTATTGTTGAATTGTCAACGTTAACCCTCCTTCGATTATAATCTTTTTTCGTTTGACTATCATTTGAATTCAACTCTCTCCATATCTTTCTCAGACGTACGTTTGTTTGCTTGTGAATTATTGTGGAACGATTGAAATGTTATTTACCGTGTTAGAAAAAGAGAGACAAAAATGTGAATGTCGGTGAGGGGAATTGATAAGTATTAGGGTTGGATAATGTCAACATTTGTTTAAAATTTCTAGTAAAATTAGGGAAAGAAATACTATTGCATTAGAATTGAGGGTGTAAAGGCCGGATGAGATCTGAGAAAATGGGACAAATACTTTCACTTTTTGTTTGTTTGTTAATTTTGTTACTAGCTTGAAGAAAATGTGACAATAAGATTTAATTTTATGGGTGGATTAAAAAACAGGTGAAAGTTCGGGACAAACAGAGAATTTCTATTGCTGTGAAAGTAAGATAGGTTTTAGAGTATAATTCTGTCTTTTTAACACATGGTATATTTCATTTCCGATAAAAATTGCTTTTCTTCTTATTCTTCCTCTGATTGTAAGGATTTTTGTACTCCTTCCATTCCCAAATAAGTGTTATTTTAGCAAAATAGAAAAATTCTAAAATAAGTGTCGTTCTTACATTTCAATACACTTTTTGTCAAAAGTTTTCAAAATTACCCTCAAAAGAGTTGATGCTATTGGTGGATAATTTTATAATGGGGTTGGCTGAGGATATTCAAGTAATTTTATTACTCTATTTAAGAGTTTCTTAAATTGTGTACAAAGTATAGGACGACACTTATTTTGGAATGGAGGGAGTACTAATAAATTTTATTTTGGTTTAGGTGGGATTCTCTTTACTGTTTTTCAAAGTTAGAAATATGCATTGCGAATCCAAGTATATTTGTTTCGTTTGTTTAATGTGTATTTTTGGGTTATTTTTATATTAAGAATGTAAAAAGATGTGTTGAAAAAGTAAAAAGATAGGTTGGGATGGGCCAATTATTAATAAAATAAAATAAAAAGAAAACATAAAAAAAAAATCAAACAAACAGAGTTCATTACTTCGTAAATCGCTACTTTTAACATCTCAATTATCGGCCGCCAAAATTCTTAGGGTACTCCCTCCAGTCTCATCGTTAATGTTTCTTAAATCTTGTGAATATTATCTAATGACACTATTTTAGAATGGAGAGAGTAAAATTTAATGTGTGTCATTTTTTTATGTCTTTTTGTTTTTTTAGAAAAAATGAAATTCCAGAAAATTATATCCCTGAGAACTTTCAAATTTTCAGTCCTACTGCTAAATGAGTTCTCACTCGTTGGATTAACTCGAGATTTTCAGTCTTCAGGCAGATATAATTTTCTTTCCTTCTTTCATTTTCTTTGAGTGAATTTGTTACAATCATTGTATGATTGTAGAATACTACCTTGCATACACCCCGTTGTATGCAGGGAAAAAAAAAAAAAAAACCCAGAAAAGAAACACATGTTTTCCTCTTAGTTTCGCATCAATTCTTTTTATTTATATGGGGAATAAATGATTGTATGTGTGCCCATTACTTAAATAGTGGTCAAATGGGTTTGATAAAAAAATTAATGAAACTTGTTATTTTTCGTAAATGTTGAGAGAGTTCGCCCTCCAAAAAGAAACTTTATCGGTTCAGTGCAAATTAATTTGAGTGCAGAAACACTTGGGACACTGTGCACATATGAAAAGAAAAGTTAACATTTTATAGATTCCAAATGCATACACGAATTGGAAATGTATGAGCAAACATTTTATTTCTTCTTATTTAAAATTTAATAATACTATCATTGGATATTGGTTATTGTTTTTCTATCCTGTATTCTTATTTGCAATTTTTATCTTTTTCCAAACTTAATTATCCTTGTTCAGTCTTTAATAGTCAGATGCAAAAATATCATTTCACCATGTTGATGCAATATTAAGTAAAATGAGTAGCGCTTTTAGCCCTAGCCTTTTTATTAATTTATTCAAGACGAACCACATTTTACCTTTGAGTTTTTTTTGGCTGTTTTACTATTTTCTCCTCTAGGTTTAAAAATACTACCAAAACTTGAGGAGGACATTCTTGTCTCCAAAATACAGAGAAACAAATTTCTCATTACGTCTCCTTATCTATCTTCATTGACAATTAGCATTTTCATGTTTTTCTTACATATTTATAGAGAACATTATATTGAATTTTAGTACAACTATCAATGATTTAAAACTAGGTTTAAAACAAAAAATGAAGCGAAAAGTTTATGGGACGGATCGTCAAAGTATATAAATACTTTAGTATCCTATTTTAAAACTAATTAGTAATGAGTGGGGTGGCCTTTGATATTTATATACTGAGTCACTTCTCTTTATGGTGGCGATGTAAGACAGAATAATACACCTTAACATCCTCCCTCAAGTCTAATAGGTCTTTGAACTTTTGTCTAAATAGACTTGGATCAGGACAACAACAAAATAGTCCACGAGTCAACGCTCCAGTGGGAGAAAACCAGCTATATCACTGATTCGGTCTACAACAAGCTAACGAGTCAACGCTCCAGTGGGAGAATATAAAATCATCCCAAGCCACTTCCGACACAGAACTCCACCACAAGCTCAGCACGTTCTGATACCATGTCAAAGTATATAAATAACTTGGGCTCCTATTTCAAAACTAATTGGCAATGAGTGGAATGATCTTTGAGACTTATATACTAAGTCACTTCTCTTTACGGTGGCGACATGAGACAAGATAATACACACTTTAACACAGATCCGATCACCCAATTTTCCCCTCTTTTGGGGAAAGTAAATGAGTATTCTATTTGATTGTTCTTGACATTAGATACTGGATATGGTTTTTACGTTTTCTAGCTTTTAGCTTCAGGGTTTAGATATAATCATGATTGCTAGGGTATAGGCCATTTTTATCTCAAAACCGGATTTCGTGCTTGATGTGATTAAAGATTTGACACTCTCTGGTTTTGCTCTTTGTCCTGGACATCTCTAATTATGGTAGATGAACTAACTAGCTTTAAAAACGTATGCCCTTTCAATCACAAATTACCGTTTAATGTAAAATTTCATTTTTATTGCAAATTATACCACCAAAGTAAAAATTTAAATTAAATAATAATTTCAAAACAAAGTAACAATAAATCATATTTATGTTGTTGAATCATGACGATTGATGAATGGATCTGCATTGCTAGTTTTTGTCATGAAATCAATCTTTAGAATGAAAGCTAGCATCAGCACTTCGCCATCTCCATTTCTCTTTCTGAGACCGAGGCGCGCATTAAAGAGTGATAGACCTTGCCATCTGACGTGGGGAACTGGGGCTCAATGGCTGCAAACTTCCCTACCGCCATTTTTCTTAACAAGAGTAAAAAAAGAAACACGAAAGTAGGAAATAACTAAAATATACTTTAAAAAAATAGGGGTGTTGCGAGAATCGAACTCGCGACCTCTCGCACCCGAAGCGAGAATCATACCACTAGACCAAACACCCACTTTGCTCATGTTGGATCACCATAAGAAACAAATATTTCAGAATGATACCGTATTTAAACTTGTTAATAATTATGATATTATCCCGTCGCATCGGGAAATCATTTCCCTGCTCCCCCAAAATGTTACTCCAACAATTGCTCCGGCCACCGCCGGCTCTTGTCTCTATCTTTCTCCTCAAACCAAAAACGCTTCACATCCCACCATTGCAAACGACGTCGCTTTTCACCTCTTCTTTGCCTCTTTCATCCCGACGTTTGCCGGCCGCCCTGTTCAGTTCGGAAGCTCTGTTGGAACTCCCGAAACAGCCAATCGAGGGAGAAGACGGCCAATCGGAAGCTGAACGGAAGGAAATTGTTTCTGCAACCAGAGCTCGTGTTCTGGGAACCAACAACGTTGAAGAATCGAATCGTAATGTACCGAATCTGAGCTTGAAAGAAAAGAAAGAGTTGGCTTCTTACGCCCACAGCCTAGGTAAAAAGCTAAAGTCTCAACAAGTAGGCAAGTCTGGGGTCACCGATACTGTTATAATGGCGGTCGGCGAAACCCTCGAAGCCAATGAGCTTGTCAAGGTACTAATTCTATCTCCAAATAAATTTCCATTACACAATTTGCTTTTTTTCGTGGAAACTTCTGTAGCAATTCATTAAGAATTCTGGGTTTTTTTTTACAGCTCAAAATACACAATAACTGTCCTGAAGAAATGGATGATGTTGTGAAGCAATTGGAGGAGGGTACTGGGTCAGTGGTTGTTGCCCGGATTGGTGGGACAGTGATTCTTTACAGGCCGAGTGTTACCAAGATGAAGCAGGAAGAGAAGAAGAAACAGGCCTTATTGCTACTTAGGAAAAAAAAAGCAACTTTTAAACCTTTTCAGGTTCTTTTCTCTTAGCCCTGAATCTCTCGTTGTTAGACTGGATACGTAAATATTTGTAATGTTGTCCATTCTGTTTCTCATGAATTGGAATACGAAATCTTGCAGAGTAGGAGTGCCCCTAAAAGACAATCACAGGATCAACCAACAAGACAACCCAGTCGTGGACGCCGGGGAAGCAGTAGATATTCGGAGTAGATTTTGGTTTCTGGAACTACAGACTACTTCCGTGAGTTTTTAATTGACCAGAACCGAGGAGTAAAGATCATCTGAGATTCCATGCAGTTTGCGCAATGAAAATTAGTCAGGATAATGTTACATTCAAGCCATCTTTCTGCGGAAGATTTTTTGTTACTTGATGCATTTTGAAGAGGATGTAATCAAGTTCATTCTTATTTGGTCACTTACCCCTGGATTCTCTCTGTAGCTGTATCTTGTGTTGGAAGATTTAGTCCCTTTTATCTTGCCAGGGATGTTTGATGTACCAGTCTTGGTGATCACACAGTTTTGATACAGTGCTTCAAGTCTCTTGAAAAATTGATAAGTTCGGGGTTAAATGTGTATATTCATAACATGTGACAGATCATTTAAAAGTGATCGAGTGAGATTGTGAGAAATGTCATGAGCTATTTTGGCAATTGAATCGATAACTAATCTATCATTCTTGCAACCATAAAGTTTGATACAATGTGTAATGGTACAACATACAGTAACCAATCTTGAGATGGCTAACAGACTACACTGAGTATCCTGTGTCTAAAGAATTCATGGTACACCAGTTGGTTTTTAATGTAGCCAACCTTCTTCTTTCACTGCCGGACAGCAGAATGAACTCGTCCTTTTGGAAGATTAAATCTTCTTCTACCACTAAAATAATTGTTTTTTCTTTTTATATATGTACAAGCATCTACTCCCTAAAAATGATCCATTTTGCTATTTCAAGCAGACCTAAAAGGCTAAAAAGCAAAAACTATGCTGCTTTTAGCTTTCCTAACTGGTAACGAGTCAAGTCTTCAGAATAAAGTATGCCATTTGGCGAAGTGAGACGTCGCAAAGCAACTGAAAATCGCGACTGTAGATGAACAGGCGATTCAACACCATCAGGTGAAAGTCAAGACAAGATAAATGAGCATTAAGAAAAAAATCAAACCACTGCTTACCCATTGAAATGCAACAAGAGCAAACCAACAGCCTGACAAACCATATCCCTTCGAGCTCAACAGCTGGTAAAAAGGGATGAAAGTAAGAGCCACAAAATTCACACATGTACATGTGCTGAATGTATATATTTTTATGTTCCAAATGTACGAAGACTTCAGTGCAAAATGATCATAAAACTGAGAGTTGAACATGCACAGAATTTTTGTGGATCGAAATGCATCAAGAATTAAGTAGCAAAATGAAATCACAAAACTGAGTATTGAAAATTTTGAAATCGTCATACCAGCAGGAGAAGGGATCCCAAACAGAAAATAGTGCTCATCGATGAACTAATAAATTTCAAGTCTCTCCCAGCCTGCACAAACATACAACTGGATTTTAAGTACTGATTAATTATATTATGGATATCTAGTAATTGGCAAGTCTTGATTACACAGAAATCTGGTATCAAATGCCTCAGTGTAACAAGGATTGGAATACATTTACTTACTAAAAGTGTTCCTTCAAGGCTGTGAGTACTTGGTGTCACAGAGAGGGCAATAAAGTAAGGAATAAGCACTTTGTGCATCTGCAAAGACCGAGGAAAGGATTCCTGTTATAAAATAAGGCACCAATTTCCATGTACTGGTAGAAACTACTTGACTATGTTTCTCTTTTATGCCAGAGGAATAACATGCAGCCATCATACAAACATGTAATAATCAAGCCAAAACATACTATCCCATGACATTATCTGGTAAATAATTTGCTTCTTGAAATATGAGATGATAACAAAATAAGAAGACATTTGATTTTGACCTATGTAAATTTTATGAAAAAAGGGAAAAAGCTAAACTGACCTCCCCTATAACATGAGAATCATGTGAAAAGAGCTTGGGAAACAACCAAGGGACCGATGTTCCAATTGACCCAAGTATTACCCCACTCAATGCTCCAATTATCACCAGAGACTTCAACAGCCTTCGTGCCTGTTTTAAAACCAAGAAATTTAAATTAAGGTTTCACGATCTCTTTTTAGTTTTTCTCCAGCAAAACATCAACCCATACACCAACCAAATGACAAATCTGCTAGAATGTTTTGAAAGTTTTTAAGTCAGAGAGAAACAATATGAAGGCAGTGACAGGAAATAAAAAAAAAGCAACCTTTGGTAAACTTCTATTCGCGCCATATAACAGCTCAGGCATAAATGACTGTGCAGTCTGAGAAAGAGGCTCACCCCATACCGCACACATGCAGTAAAGTTGTATCATGACCTAAAAACAAATAATATATGGTATTAATACTGACATTAAACAGATCAAACATTAATTTTAGGGAGGCAACGAGATACAGATGAACTCACTTGATGAGCAGCAACCATTTGTGTGCCCATTGATGTGGCAAAATAGACAAGAAGGGAGTAAAATAACACCTGATATTCATCTCAGTCAAATGAGCTCTACAACCATAGATAACCAGCAAAAGAATGCAACAAATATTCACTGACCTTTGACATCATAGTTATAAACACTGGAGCAGCAAGCGTAACTATCTGTGTAAGCTCAGTAACTGATGGAATCGAGATGGAAAACCCATTATAACCCTTGTTATTCAGAGCTTCAACCATCATATAAGCAGCTACAACCTAAAGGCGATTGAGAGCAAGAAAAATATGTCAAACCAGGTGCAAGTGAAATAAGACCAGGAGAATAAATATCTTTATGGGAGCACGAGAGTAAGTAAAAAATATTGGTCCCCATACTTGTGAAACCATTGTTGCCCAAGCTGCCCCAGCAATACCATATCCTAAGAATCTGCACAAAATTATGTCACCCAGACCATTGATAGCACTAGCAACTGCCAGAGCCTTTAAAGGTCCCCATGAGTCTTTCATCCCGAGGCTGTTTAAAAAAGGAGAGGACAAGTCCACATCATTAGTAAATTGAACTGATAGTAGAATACAAGTTAGGAAATTAGAATAGCATTCAGTCGGAAACCAAAAGGTCCTCCTTTTTCATTACTATATCAGGCATGAAAGCAAAACAAAAATAAAAAAGGTTGCACCTTGCGCTTTGAGCAACCCATCCAATCAGCACTGCTGGCCAGGCTAAGCCCCTGATCTATCAATATAAATATTTTGGATCAACTGAAGCGGAAACTGGGAACTCGGAAATGGAAACCAAATGAAAATTTAATTGAACCCTCAATTTCCAATGATTTAACATATCACATTACTTCGCACCTGGATGTAAGGCATCAATAGTAAATCCATGTAGCTAGAACATAACTCATGAACAAACAGGCCACTTGAAAGAGCAGAAAAGAAAGATAATCTTGTCAAATACGTGCATTCATACTCGTCTTGCGGTAACATGATTTTAGTCCATGACAGAGAGAACTCTAAATTTAGGCAACAATTTATAGTCACAGGGCAGCGCAGACCTCAACTAGTTTTTAAAACAGGGAATACTAGAGCCTTGCGGTCTAGCATCCTTGAACAATAGATGTCTACCCGTTTATGAGACTGAGCCATAATTATGTTTCCTCGATTTGATTTCCTTAAAATCTATCTGAACCGGTGGCGGTATAATTAGAAGTCCACGGAAAGAATGATCTTAAAATTCAATGGCACAACTAACTGAAGAACTTTCACAGACCAAACGATACACTTTCCAGATCATCAGGATCAAAATTTTACACTTAAATGACTTACAAAGTAGCAACTCAAAAGTAGGACTAAAACCTCGTTGTCCCATAAACACGTAGCAACAAGCTAGAGCTCAACTTAGGATTCAATCTAACCTGGACATATGTGTTTGCAGCAGTTATGATTTCAGTATTGCTTGCCCCAGTAAAAGCTGAAAAAGACAACAACAGCAATCATTCACCGCAAATTCTCCGCACGATCATATGCATCAATCATGTTTAAACCTCAAGAAATCACAGAAAATAAACAAAAAGGACATTACCCTTTATTGCCCATTGGCCAAATAATCCGGTAAACAAGAGCATGAACACACCACAAGCCAGCCCAATACAAAGCAAGATAGATATTTGATGCTGCACTTCTTCTTTATCCTGCCCCAAAGTTTTTTAGCAAAACAATACTTCCCATCAATGCTGAACACAATTATTTAAATAAAAGAACCGACTCAATCATAAATAATCTGAATCACAAACTTGACTGTCTTCATATAATTCAACTCATGATTACAGAAACCAACCTGCCTGGCAAGTGCAGTGGCGACCAAATTGGAAGTAGCAATTGACAGAAACATGAACACGTAACTGGTGTTATCACAAAACACAGTTCCTGGCCCTGCCCATCAGAAAATCAAAAGCAAAAAAACAACTTAAATCAAATGACGAACCTTTTTCTTTTGTCTTAAGTGAAAAAAAAAGCACATTCTCCTCTCTCATAGTTCTCATAGTACCTAAAGCGGCTAGCTCAATGGAGCTTCCTTGACCAATGACGGCAGTGTCGATGAGACTCATCAAGGGCCCACATAACCACAGCCCAACAGCTGGCCCAGAGAACTTCACAATTTCCACCATTTGATTCCACAGGCTTTCATCCGCCGCCGCAAAATTTCCCGACTCTGCCACCATTAACCTTTCCTCCGCTTCTTCTTCTTCTGCATAATTATCAACTAATGAAGAAACTGAAGCAGAGGTTGAAGAAGAAGCCTCTTCTGAATCTTCAATAACTGCAGTCTCCGGAACTATTTCTTCTTGGGCAGGACTAATGCAAGTGGGTACGATGCTACTTTTGTGATTCTTTCTAGAACGATTCAGGATCCGGGTTCTTCTTGTCAACGAAATTGCAGATGCAGGAGGAGGAATAAGGGGCAGAGATTGAACAAGAAATGAATAATCTTTTCGAAATGAGGCCAAGTTTCGATGATGGAGAGTTGGGGTTCTAGAGAGAATCATCATAACTGTTCTGTTTCCGGCCGGCGAGAGAATGAAGGAAGGAAATCAAAGTCAAAGAGGAAAATGGTTTGAAGAGTTGGCGGCAGCCCCGGGGGCCGGTGGAAGAGAGGACCAAGGAATTTTGGGGGAAAGGAGAAGCGTGTAGAGTGGGAAATTTTTTCGCGGCTCCGAATTTCTCTCACACTATTAACGTCCACTTGTGTGTTTATATTTTTTTGTCTTTGTCGGGAAAACCAAATGGGAATTTCACTTTAGGAAAAAAAGAATTTAAAATCAACAATTATGCAATAACTCTTTTATTTTTCCGTTTCTATTTTTAAAAAATCAATCCATACGTTCCAGGATAATAGATATCTTTTTAGATGTTACTCACTCCGTCCCAAAAAAAAATACACATTGAGTTTTCAAATTTGTACTAAAACTATTACAAATCTCAAAACTTAATGTGAACTATTTTTTTGTGACGGAGATAGTACTATTATTCTGTAATAGTGAATTAGACTATTTTTATTATGCAATTATAAACTTTTCACTGATTATAAAAATAAGGTTGACGGTAGTTTATTGCCGACTTCCAAGTTCTAATTGTCGAATGCCAGGAATAAACTTCGTGTATAATATAACTATTTTTCTACGTATAGTTTAATGTTCACAATTGTATATTTCTAAATATAGACTTGATATTTACATTCGAAGATCATATCTTTCAGAGTAGATTACTAGGTGCCCAACATGCTAGAAATGGTGATTCATTATTTCTATTGCATTTTTTGTATTTTCGAAATTCTGAATCATGCGTTATAATTGAAAATTTTGACAGATGCTAATGTTATTCAGCTTACATCCACTGAGTTGTAATGTAAAAATCAATGATGACTAAATTACAAATCTATTTTATCTAAGTCGCCACAAACAACTGTTATTTAACTAGTGAAATCATATATTATCACTTGAAACTCATATGATTTTATCCATAAAATGTCCACTACTAGAAGAATTGATTTTTCTTCCTCAAATTCATCATTGAATGTAGATAATATATATATATATATATATATATATATATATATATATATATATATCATTTCCCTGAGGTGGTGGAGGCGTATGGCAGTTGTACTCTACGTCCCAACCACAAAACCATATCAATTGTACTCATATGATTTTTTTTTACCTAGTGTTGCTTGTCTAAATGTCACAATTTAATAACAAGAAAAATACGCAAATACTGTTCGCGGTGTCCTTCTCTCGACAAAAAGAGTAACCTTTAGTCTTAAAGCTTAATGGATGTTGATGGACTATTTTGTTCGTAATCACTCCAATCATTGAACATTCTGAATGTGGTTCGTTTGGGGGAACTTTTGGGTATGCTTTTGATATTCTTGTTTGTAGATCTTTAATCTTTAAAGATTTATGTATGAAATCTTTAATTACAACCAAAAACAGAAAGAATTATTCATTACTCTTTATTAATTAGTAATGATTAATGTCTAGTATCTAGAAGCACTTACCATAATAAGCTCTTTTTCTCTTCAATAGTTGTTTGTTGTGCTGGTGAAATTATATTCCAAATTTTATTTTGTAAATTTAAAAAAACATATGCATCGTATTTTTCTTATTAAAAAAATTGGATTGACAAGCAAGAATTAAATCCATGAGCTCTTAGCAATAATAATAATGATTTCCCAACCTTAGTCCCTTATTATTTATCGATTTAGTTACGTATATATTATACTCTTTCCACTTCAAAAAAATAATCCATATCGCAAAATACATATAGTTTTTTAATTTGGTAAACTCAATGAAGATAAAATAATTAATTATTCAAAATTTCCAAATGCGTACTTATTTAGCTTGTTTCGAACTCAAAACACGGATTTTAACCGTTTATAGTGAAATTAATTTTGACTTTATAGTTTTATTATTTGTTGGGCAAAGTTTATTATGGGACTGGAATACTTTTCTGAAAAGAATGGACGGACTATAATTTATCTAGTCGTCAAGATTTGAAAATTCAGAATCAAAATCATCCAAGTAAGAAAAAGAATTTGAAAGGGGAAGAGTCTCATTATCATTCATTCCGCCCAAAAATACAATGGTGTTCTCTCTTATGCTCAAACAAAAAGGTTCTGAAAAAATGAGAAACCGTTTTACAGCTGGAAGTGAATCAGAAAAGTACTATTTCTAACTTTAGTCATAAACCCAAACTATCAATAAATGCCTTTAATGCCCGAATCTTTGTCTTTCTTTGTTGATCGTCTTTTATCAACATCAGAATTACAATTAGACCCTTGAATTCATGACAATCCCTCCTGGACAATCCCTCCTGGACAGATCATCCTTGTCCTCATGACAATCGTCTTTTATCAACATCATGACAATCCCTCCTGGACAGATCATCCTTGTCCTCAAGGATGAAATTCAGGGAACTGATTCACTATGAAGGCTTCATCTTCCCAAGAAGCATTGTTAAGCGTTAAGTCCTTCCAGAGAATAAGCCACTGCACAACTTGTTGTTTACCTCTGAAGACAAAGCGGCGTTGCAAGACTCTCTCCAGCTGTAAAATGGACTCCTCAATGACTGAGAGATCAGGAAGCACCGATGCAGTGATAGGATGAGTTCCATAGAAGTTCTTCAGCAAGAAGACATGGAACACCGGGATGTACTCTACACTGAACAGGCAACTTGAGTTTGTAAGCTACTGCCCCAATCTTCTCCATGATCTGATAGGGTCCGAAGAACCGTGACATGAACTTCAAGCTTGATCTCAATGCGACTGAAGACTGTCTGTAAGGTTGCAGCTTTAGCAATACCCAATCTCCCATTGTAAATTGCCTTTTAATACGTTTCTGATCAGCATAAAATTTCATGCGGTGCTGTGCTTTGACCAATTGATCCTTCAACAGCTGTATAATAATGGCCTTCTGTTGTGCCAAATCTTGAGCAGCAGGAATGATGATGTTGGTGAAAGGACCAAGGAGAAATGGTTGAGGTTTTTCTCTGTAAAGTGCTTTATAAGGGGGCATCTGGATGCTAGTCTGAAACGTGGAGTCATACCACCATCCTGCCATGGATAACCAACTGTTCCAAGATGATGGTTTTTCATAATAGAAACACCTCAGGTAAGATTCAAGGCATTGGTTGAGCATTTCGGTCTGCCCATCTATTTGAGGATGATATGCCGTGCTCATCTTCAACCGAACCCCAAGGAGCTTGAACAACTCTTGCCAAAAATGGCTAGTAAATACACTATCTCTGTCAGTAATGATATCATCAGGCAGTCCATGAAATCTGAACACCTCTTTTAGAAATACCTCTGCTACATTCTTGGCTGCTATTGGAGACGACATGCTGATAAAATGGCCAGACTTTGTAAGTCGATCAATCACTACCAGAATCGTATCCATGTTTTCTAACAACGGAAGCTTAACTATGAAGTCCATAGATATGCTTCTCCAGGGATGTACTGGAATGGGATTAGGCTGGAGCAATCCAGGAGAGGCAACATGCTCCACTTTGTTCTTTTGACATACTATACAGCATCTGATAAATTCATCTACTTCTTCCTTCATTTTTGGCCAAAAGAATAACGACTTGATTCTTTACCATGTAGCCAACTGATCGGAATGTCCCCCCAAGGTAGAAGAGTGGAAAGATTCTAAAATAGTTCTCCTGATGTCCCCACCCGAGCCAACATAGATCTTTCCTTGCTTCCTTAAAATGCCATGCACCAAACTGTATTCATCATTGTTCTGAGGGTGAAGAGTAACATTTAGGATCTGGTTTTCAGCGAATTGATCCCCCTGATAACTCTATCTGCAATCTGTTGAACCCAATCAGGAAGAACAGTGGTGATGGCATTCAAAGTTCCTGCACTTTGTACTGATGTAACCAGCCTTGATAAAGTGTCAGCCGCAGCATTGTCACACCCCTTTTTATATTGAATCTCATAGTCGTATCCAAGGAGTTTAGTCAACCATTTGTGTTGCGCATTACTAACTACCTTCTGTTCTATCAGATACTTTAAGGACTGGTGATCAGTCCTTAGGATAAAATGCACTCCCAGCAAATAATGCCTCCATTTGGATACAGCAAGAACCAAGGCCATGAGTTCTTTCTCATAAACTGATAGGCCAGAATTTTTCTGCTAAATGCCTTGCTTATGTAAGCAATGGGTTGGTTTTCCTGCATAAGAACAGCTCCCATGCCAATGTCACTAGCATCTGTCTCAACCACAAATGTTTTATGAAAATCTGGCATTCTTAGCACCGGAGCAGAAGCCATAGAATCTTTAAGCAACTGAAACGAGTTTTGAGCATCTTCATTCCATTGGAAGGCATCTTTTCTCAAAAGATTCGTCAAGGGTTTACTAAGGATGCCATAGTGCCTGATGAACCGCCTGTAGTAGCCAGTAAGGCCTAAGAATCCTCTCAGTTCTTTAATGTTGCGAGGAGCTGTCCAATTCACAATACAACTGACTTTCTCCTTATCCGTGCTAACCCCTTTATCTTAAATGGTGTGCCCCAGATAATCAACAGAATTCTTGGCAAAACTGCACTTGCTCATTTTAGATTAGGGTTGCTGAGACTTCAATATTTCCAACACTTCCTTTAGATGCTTCAAATGATCCTCTAAGGTGGAACTGTAGACTAGAATATCGTCAAAGAAAACGAGAATGAACTTCCTCAGCTGTGATTGGAACACTTGATTCATCAGAGATTGAAAGGTGGCCGGGGCATTGGTTAAGCCAAAAGGCATAACTCTGAACTCAAAATGTCCGTGATGAGTTTGGAAAGCGGTTTTATGGATGTCCTCCTCTTTCACCCTTATCTAATGATAACCAGCTATTAAATCCAGCTTGGAAAACCACCGTCCTTCTCCCAACTCGTCTAAGAGTTCATCAATGATTGGTATTAGAAACCGATCCTTGACTGTCATTTCATTCAACTGTCTAAAGTCAACACAGAGTCTCCAGCTTCCATCCTTTTTCCTTACCAATATAACAAGCGATGCATAGGGACTGTTACTACGTTGGGCCACTCCTTGTTCCAGCATTTCTGTGAGTTGACTCTCAATTTTGTCTTTGTAAGCATGGGGGCATCTATATGGAGGAATCTTAAAAGGTTGTGATCCCAACTTCAATGGAATATGGTGATCCACCGCCCTATTGGGGGGGGGGCAACCCGGCAGGAGTTTCGAACACCACCTGATAATCTTTCAATAGTAACTCCACTTCCCGTGGTGTAGTGTTCTTCACAGCTCCCTTGTGATCAATGGTTCCAGCCTCTGATTGCAGTGATTGCAGTTGCATGAGAAACAACCTTCTTCTTTGTTCAACTGAGTACTTGGGGTTATTTTTCTCCTTAATTAGTCCCATGCTAGTTCCACCACAGCTGCCAAACAGAATGTACCTCCTACCATGCTTACTCAACTTGATGCTAAGATCATCAAAGTCAAAAGTAATCAGGCTAAAATGCCTCGTCCAATCAACTCCTAAGATCATGTCATAACCACCCAATTTCATGATCTTCATGTCAAAACTGAATTTGAACTCGTTTATATTCCATTTAAGGTTTGGACAGATCAAACTTCCAGTAACCTTGGTGCCGTTTCCCACGGTAATAGTATATAATTCAGATTCTTTATAAGCCAATTTCAACTCAGATACTATTCCTGCATCAACGAAGCTATCTCTGCTACCAGTATCAATCAAAATACTCACAATTCTGCCCTGAATTCTACCAAGAATCATAATGGTTTGCTTAACTACAGTCATAGTTAACACATACATTGACCCTTCTGGTAATGTTAAATCAGTCAAGTCCACCCCGTCATCAACAGGTAATTCAGGAATATTCAATTCATGGATAACATCATCATCTTCTGAAATCGTGATATTAAATTCTCTAAGTTTACAAATGTGACCAGGTCCATACCTTTCTCCGCATTTGCCTGTACTGCAATTCCTGGGCGCTCAAGTGTTTGATCAATTTGGGATTGTACTTCCTTTCTGGCTTGGCTCCATTGACATTCTTCACCACCTGTGGACTTGTCCTCTGAGTAGAAGCTCCTTGGGTTTGACCTTTCCCTCCATTGATATCCAAATTGAGCTCCTGTAACAAAGTTATATCATAAATGGATGCCAGTGTTGTAGGATTGAACATGCAAACTGTCGGCTTGATGGTTGGTTTCAAGCCGCTGATAAAACTTGACACAAAGTATCCCTCAGACAATTGATGCTCTCCACACAAGATCCGAGACCTTAATTCCTCAAACTGTTCTTGATACTCTCTAACAGAACCCTTTTGAACAAGTTTGCTAAACTCTTCGATCTCATCCACCACAGTTATATCCCTCAATCATCGAATCAGTTCAACCCTGAATTCTGCCCAAGAAATTCGAGGTTTGGTTTTCTTGATAGCTTGAAACCAAATCTCAGCCTTATCTTCCATGTACAGCTCTACGAAATCCACTTTAGCTTCATCCGATACCTGGTAGAGAGTGAAGAATTTGTCCGCCTTACGAAGCCACTCATGAGGTTTTGAACCATAGATGATAGGAAGCTCCAGTTGTGGCTGAACGAACCACGGATATTTCGCCCCTTTGTAAACTTCCCCAAATTGCTTTGCCGCGGCTCCGGTGAAAATCATATTGGGTAGTGCCAGATTAATCAAAATTGGAGTTTTGTCTGATAAATTCGTCGAGTCTGGAATTGGTGCAGGTATCGAGGGAACCCTAATTGAGGCGGTTTCTGGAGGGACGTTGCCGAATTGGACCGATGCTGCTGGTTGTGACACAAAACTTTGAAGTAGCTTCGCCATTTGCTCCAACAACAACGACACTGATAATTTTACTTCCGTGAGGTCGTTGGCGTAACCTTCCACCGTAGATCGGAGCTCTGTGATTCCCAACGATCTTGGTGGTTCTTGCCGTCGATTGTCCGGATCTGGAGCGGTCTGTTAACGCGTGGTAACTGCCATTCTTCGATGAGAATCGTTGGCTCTGATACCAAATTGTCAAGATTTGGAAATTCAGAATCAAAATTATCCAAGTAAAAAAAAGAATTTGAAAGGGGAAGAGTCTCATTATTCATTCCGTCCAAAAATACAATGGTGTTCTCTCTTATGCTCAAACAGAAAGGTTCTGGAAAAATGAGAAACCGTTTTACAGCTGGAAGTGAATCAGAAAAGTACTATTTCTATCTTTAGTCATAAACCCAAACTATCAGTAGATGCTTTTAATGCTCGAATCTTTGTCTTTCTTTGCTGATCACCTTTTATCAACATCAGAATTACAATTAGACCCTTGAATTCATGACATCGCTCGCATCTAGTTATCAATTTGTAATTTGGGCCTAGAGTCTAGTCCTCGACATCGTTTCGCGATTTGCCTTCCCACGTCCATCCAATTCAGGAGGGCAACTTTGTTCTCCAAACAATTTCTTTTTCAATAGTTCCCAACTTTGCTTTTCATTTAAAGTGGTCATACGAAAACAATGAAGTGCAGGATTGTGGTGAAATGCTTATATCTGTCATCTGAGCTAGTGAGCTTTAATTTATTTTCATTTTATTTTTGTTTCGGTACAAATGAAGCACCTCAAAGCTTTAATAACCATTCAAATCCAGACCAGTAGATGACACTAGAAAGTGAAACAGATGTTTCTATTTTGGGCTAAGGGTCCTCATGGATCCTCGGGAAGAAATGTTGCCTCAATATCATCCATTGGGTTAAGAACCAATCGATGTAAAAGAGCCACTTCTAGAGTCTAGACTCTGGATCCAACTCAAAAATTGAATGGTGTGTCATTTTCACTTCTACAATCTAAAAACATTTAGGGTATACTACGGGCCAAAAAGGGTGGCCCAAGTGGTAAAGAGCTTGGCATCCAATTCGAAAATTCCGGGTTCGAAACCTCACGGGCAAAATGTTGTCTTTCTTTACAGGTTGCAGTTAGAAGCTCTTCAAGCATCCGATGGACGCATGGAAAGAGTCGTTGCAGGCGTGGAGTCGTCCTCCAATAGACTAGGCTAGTAGTAGGTCCTCTTCCCCCTCCCCCAAACTCACGCATGTAATAGCCTAGGTGCTTGTAAGAATTGTATAAAAGAGAAAAAAAATACTACGTAGTGTGGATTATGTGATTCATACTGCATTGTGAAGACATTTTTTTATGTATAAAATAAGAGAAAAAACATGTAATGGTTGAAGTTGTCAAAATGAGATCGATGTTTACTTGCATCATATATAAACATCACTGAGGTAAAGTTTTGAGTTTTTCTATAAATTTTATTTTGTAGGAAAAAATGAAGGGGCAATACTTTTGTTGTTAATATTATGATTATTATTTTGCAATATCTTTTGGTAGACTAGACTAAAGTTCATGGAAGTTGATATTCATGGTACCGTCATAGTTATTTTTTTTTTTTAAGATTTTGATAGAATTTATGTCCCTTATTTAAGATAACTTTCTGTCATTTCACTATGTTGAGTAGTGTACTGTATGCATGATATATGAAGTCGAACATATAAACATCTTTAATACTTTATTATTTTATAAATTCATTATCACAGATTTTTAATGACTTCAAAAACAATAGTGTAAAAAAATTTGAGTAATCACATATTTATGATGTCCCAAAATAATTGTTTTATTTAGATCCTTACTTAAAAAATAATTTCTAGTACTAAAAATGGATATCAAACTAGGTAATCATTTTTGAACGGCCAGAATATTAATTGACTGCTATTACTCTCACAAGTCCTACTTATACGAGGTGGGTTTAAATTTTTTATACGGACCAATAAAAGTTGGAGCAAGGTAAAATTGATAATTTTTTTTTTAAAAAAATATGCGCCCCAGTCAATTCGTTTTACTTTAATGATCTGCGTAATATTGATGGTGGTTGTTGAAATGTTAAAGAAAGAAGTTTTTGATAGAAGATAAAAACGAAGTAGTAATATGTGTAAATAAGGAGGGTGAAATTTGGGGGAAAAAACATTATATGGGTACATTGTCCAAGGAAATGAAATTAGCCATTATAAAGAGAAAATGGATAATGGCATATTTCAGCTTTGATGAATCAGGGGCGTTATATTGCCTCTAGCATGAGTCGTTTTCAAGCGATATCAGCAGAAGATGCAGAAGGAAGAGCTTGTCTTATGGGTCTACAAGCAGTAGCAAACTTGGGATTGCAGGATTGCCAGCTCCAATTAGATAATCAGAACATAGTCGATTTTATTCTTGAAAGGAAGGTTTGTCCAGCTGTTTTAGTTTCATTGCTTGAGGATGTTGTAAGTGTTACGTCTTCTACATCTTTGTCTACAAATGCTATTAAGGTAAGTAGAGATATAGTCGAGGGTGTGCATAGACTAGCTCAAGCGTGTCTAAGGCTGGAAAATGTATTGTAACTTGTCATTTTATGAATTGAATTAGTGTTTTTATCAAAAAAAAAAGAAACGGCCGATGTAAGCATTTTCTGCCGGAACTAAAGTAAAGATTCCGTATTCGAGAATTTGAAGTTTTGTTGTTCAATCGTGCATGCGGTTTTCTCCTTTTCCCCAGTCGTAGTCAGAATAGAAAGATGAGAACGTTTTTGGGATTTGGAAGGATATTCAAGTGTCCGGCCGACGACAAAGTTTTGCCATTGTTGAAGCCGAAGATACCGGCGGCGAAGCAGATGCCGCCACCGGCGAGGCGGCCATTCTTCAGCTACGCCATGCTATCAAAGCTATTGAACCATCATGCAGATGAGGTGTTGCCGTTACTGAAGCTGAAGATGGCGGTGAGAAAGGTGGCGAAACAGATTCCGGCGGAGCCGCCGCACTGGGCATTCTGTCACACCATGCTTCCCAAGGTTTCAACAGGCTTCGCCCTCCTCATTTCACAGATCGATGCTGATCTTCGTGACGCGGTATATATGCCGTTTCATCTAGTTTTGGATAGAGTTCCAAAACAGTTAATGAAGGGTAAAATAGACATTTAACACACAAATTAATCATTAAATGATTGTCTCCTTAGTTTGCGTGTAAAGGTTAAAAAATTTACATTTTGAAATGGAGGGAGTAGTAAATATACAACTAGCTCCTAATGCATTTTAATGACTTTTACATTTGTTTTCTTTGGACAGAGGATGACATGAGCATTGATGCTGAGGTTAAAGTACCCATTCTATTGGACTTTTATCGTCACATACATGATCGGGATTGGCATTTTTCATGTAAGTTAATTAACCTCAGCTTGTATTCTTCTCCTGTAATTTTTCTTTACAAATTAAAATTTGTATCCCTTAAGCCATTTAGCACATTGTCCATTATCTACAGCTGTCTTTCATTTTCTACTGCTCCCTCCATTCCAAAATTATTATCTAGTTTGGATTGTTATTTTTAGTTCAGATTGTACTAAAAGTGAAATCTTAAATTGGACAATATTTTTAGGACAGAGAAAGTATAATTTTTTTTTTTGTTTTTTTTTTTCCCTTTATGGGAGAAGAGTTTTAATGTAAGACTGAAATCAACTGCCTTCCTTCAAAAATGAAAATTGAATTTTACCAGTTTCTATTTATGTAATTAATAAGTCTCGATTATTTTCCACTCCAACAAATTAATCAGTTAAGCTCATAGATTATGAACCATTCTATTATAAAGCTATTATAATCACATCTTAGTGTGTTTTTGAGGGTTTTTTTTTTTCATATATATACTCCCTCCGGTCATTTTGATTTATTTTAGGTTTCACCTATTACATATTTTTAATTAACTAAAAAACCTTAAAAATATTTCATAACAATCAAGAGAATATAACAAATGTGAAAATATATTTTTAAGATTTTTTCGTCAATTAAAAATATACTAAAAATATTACAAAACTCAAAACTCAATGTGGACTATTTTTGTGGAATGGAAGGAGTATAACAAGAGATAACTATATAATATGTTTCTATAATAAGAGATAAGAGTTAACTATATAGTATACATTTTAGTCAAAGTTTTACCTTCTAGCATGTCATCTCCGATTCTTGCAGTCAGCCTTTTAATGTGCTCAATCTTAATGTTCATTTTGATAATTTTATAAAGCACAGGACTTGCAATATGGGGAGAATTCTGCAAAGGCTGTTCAATGTTTGAATGAAATGGTCACAGACTCTCTAATTCCCGTAGAGGATTGCTTCAAATTCTTGTCCACTCTTCAAAATCCAAATTTCTTTCGGTTTTGGGCTTTTACAACGGTATATTTATTGTTATTCCTCATTTCAAATACTAGCTAGCTTTTTATTCAACAATGTATATAGTTTTTTTTTTTTTCTTTTCATTCTTGACAAGTAGTTATCAGTTCTTCTGGTTAAATTAAGAATAATTTATAGTTAAGTCTTTGATAACAAAACTTCTCCAGGCTCAAATTTAACAAGAATCTTATTAGACACGGTCTTTGGTCCTTAAATTGGGTCCCATGCATGTATTTTTCTGATAATCATTTTAGAACCGAAGAAAATAATAAAAGTAGATGAAATTAAAAAAAGGGTTGTTTATCATTATAGTGTGTGGTTATAATGATTTTTTTTTTTTGTTTATTGTTGTAAATTTCGTTCATAAATCTGATGACAAACTATACTTGTTACTATTAATTTGTCAATATCAGATCGTGTCAATGGGAAGATTAGCAACATACTATAACAACATTGACGTCTTCAGATGTCATGTGGACTTGAGGCCTGGTAATTCTAATTTGATTTACTAGACATTAGTCACTGCTATGCGTCTTATTGCCATGTGGGAGTATGAATTTCTTGAACATATTGCTGTGTTTTTGTTCTAGGTCTCACTGCTAAAATTATTGATGCAACCAAATCAATGGCAGACGTACATGAAGCTATTTATGATTTTTCGTGTAATTTTGTCTCAGGTATTGGCACTTCATCTTCATTTTCCCCTTTAAGCTCATACCAATTTCACCCCTCAATCTTTTTTTGTGAATACCAATTGGGTTATGATCCATTATGGTTAGACTAAAAAATGTTAATTCAAGAAACCCTTTCTCTTTTTTTCTTTTTAAGTAATGTAACGACCTAAATTATCAAATTATTACATTACATCATAAAGAAATATTAATAATACTATGTTTCAATCACGACTATTTATTTATTTTCTTAAAGAAGACCTTTCTTCTTTCATTCTTCCAACATTTTTTGTTCCTTTCTTGTTGGAGCGATCACTTGTTTTTCTTGGTAGGTGAAATTGAGTATATATGCTGCGCTTTGTGTAGGTTGAGGATCATGATCCTAATGCTACGAAAACAAGAGGCAGTTTAGAATCAATTTTGAAAGCCTGCCATGACTCCGAAACTCTTGACAAGAGGTTTTTGAGAAGTTCTTAGGTTTTTATAATTATGTCGACGAGGTTTCCATAATTGGACGCCTTAAGTTCAAAAGAGACTACTAAAATGTGATTTTCTTTATCAGTCGCTGCTACTGAATGGATCACGAAATGAACACAGCGAGTCAATATTTCATCTTTCATTTGATGTGTTGATGTTTTTTAAAGGATTATGCTAGCTTATGCTATGGACCTTTGTACTCCTTTTATTCCATGAGATTTGTCCAATTTAATTTTTCATTTCGCAACAGAATGAATATAATAAAGTCGGACTATATATGAAGATATGAAGTTGAAATCAAATTCTAAATTTCGAAGTCTGAATTCCGCATCTTACTAAACATAATGAAAGTCAATTTTATCATTCAAAATCACATTATCTCTGATTAAGTAGTGGTCAGTGCTCAATATCATATCGGGTAATATCTTCTTTTAAAAAAAAAGATATCGGGTAATATCATTTCACTTGGACTTGGTATATGGCTTTACATTACAATGATCCACTAAAAATTAGACCTCCGAGTTTGACTTCTTCCAGGGTACTAAAAACCAAAAAACATGAATTTACAAAACCATATAAATTAATGCCTCGATTAACAATAGTTTAAGGCACACACGAGCTGACTTCTTTGGTAGTTACTACTACACACAATAGGAGTCAAAAGTCCATCAATTTACACATCCCCGTTAGTCAAACTAGCACTACAAAAACAACCACTTTAATATTCCTCTAAACTCACAACGTGATGAAAATGAGAGTTTTGGGATTCTTAATTTTGACTTCGTCACTATATTTAGATATTTAAGATAAAAAATAAAAATGTGTATTGAAAATTGAATGGAAAACCATACAATAGTCGAATCACAGTCCATATATCAAGTGTAGGTGTGTGTAAAATTAATTTGTATGATTCTATTCTATTCACACTAACATATGGCCATACACTTTTTTCTTCTATTTTAAAATTAAACACCTAAAGATATTTTTATTGTGTCATAAAATGATTGTTCAGTTTGAATTTTTTTTTAAATATGATTGTACTAAAAAAAATGAAATCTATATATATATATATATATATATATTTGAAATGAAAGAAAGATAATACGACAACAGTGAGTCGTTTGACACAATTTTATTTTATTTTTGGGTTAGGTTGGATACAACTAGCTAGGTCGTTGATCTTTTAATTGGGTAGCTGCCAAACTCTGTTTTACTCATTGAGTCTAGCCCAACAACCTGAAGAAAAACGTACCAATTCACGTGCTTTCATTTAATTGCTGCTAATTTAGTTTGTACTCCAAACTTAGTATACATAATTACCTTGAGCCCTTGAGGCTTGAAATGTTCAAAGTTTGTAAAAGTACTACTAGTTCCATATCGTTTTTTTTCAGGTCCTTCATATGTTTAAATATGATATTTTTCAATCCCTTTATTTTGGGAATGACACATCTCGATAAGAAATCGATCAACCGATATAGTTGTGCCATTTATGTTTATTAACCTATTTGAATATTGGAGTAATTCAGTGTAGAATGAACTCTATAGAGCTATATATGCACCAACCAAGTAAAATAAGTGACCATGAGTTTTCTTATGAAATCAATTTATGCATTTCGCTTTATCATTATTGATGATGACTTATTTAAAGTTGACAATTTTGCTTTGGCAAAAAAAACTAAACTATTAAGCGAATATATCTAAAGTATATCATACTCCCTCCGTCCCATAATTATTGTCCAGTTTGGATTTTCATTTTAGTACAATTTGAACTAAAAAATTGAAATTTCAAACTGGACAATAATTTTGAGACGGAGGGAGTACTTCAAAAAAAGGTTGTTACTGCATAGGCATGATGGAATCAAGTTGTTATTAGTTTCATTCTAGAGTAAAATAATGATGTTAAACTAGAACAATGGCTCTAATGTTCTATTCAACATTTCAACTAGAGAAAAGACAAAAAAAGAAAAAGGAAAAGAAAAAAATAGAGTTACGAATTTACAATCACATAAAGTGATAGAGCTACCAGCCTAAAGATTGAACTATAACAATATGCCAATCCCGCCAAAAATCATTCTCAAGAATCTGAACCAAGAATAAAAAAGCCTTTTTTTATTTTTTATTTTTTTTGAAAATAGAATAAAAATGTTAAAATTCAAAAGATAAATGTCAAAGAGAATGGACTAAAATTGTATTTTTCCAAAACATACAAATCAGTTTTCTTGTCCCTTTTGGCACAAAGCCACACAAACTCAACTCACACATGTCAAACTCAAAGAAGGCTCACAAAGGCGAAACGCAACAAAACACATTCACAATCATGCGGCGTCAAACAATTGAGGCTATTTATTGTGATAAAATCCTTATTTATGGTACCGTTCAAACCTACACACACAGTTACAACAGCATATACTGCCCAAAATTAAATGCATAGTCTTTTTAATTCCATCTTTCACTGTTGGATTCTGATTTCTGACTTTTTCCTCTCTTTTCCTATCATTTTTTCAACAATCAAATTGTCATTGTTTTCCTAAATAAAAAACAAAAGTCCAAATAATGTACACACACACACAGTCACACAGTCACGCAGACACGCACTGGCATCTTTTCTTTGAATTTTTCAGATCCATATAAAATTCACCTGGCCTAATATTAACTACCACCATAATAACTCTTGATATTCCCAAAAATTTGCGAGAAAAGGGAAAAAGAAATACAAAACCAAAAAAAATCCTCACGAGGCCGCGAATTTAACGCGTAAGTTTCTCCGCCGAATTCTTTCTCTCAACTTCGATTCTGCATTCAACTGATTTGATACTTAATTGTTCTTTGTTCCTTCTTCATTCGTGATTGCGGGAAAGAGGATTCGTTCGAATTCGTGTGATTTATTTCTTTCATTGTAACAGAATTTTTTTTTTGAGATAATGAGGAGTTTGGGAGCGGTGTTGAAGCATCCGGATGATTTGTTCCCGTTGTTGAAGCTGAAGCTTGCGATGAGGCAGGCGGAGAAACAGATCCCGCCGGAACCTCACTGGGGATTCTGTTACTCTATGCTCCATAAGGTTTCTCGGAGCTTTGCTCTCGTCATTCAACAGCTCGACACCGATCTCCGTGACGCCGTAGGTTTCCTACTCTTCTTTTATTTTCCGCCGTTGCAAATTCGCTTGTCTGTTTGTCATTGCTTCTTAATTCATTTAGTTTTTTTCTTCTAGTCATTCGTACGCTAATCGAATAGTATAGCTAGTTTTTTTTTTTTTTTTTGTTAGACGCGTATCTGGTAAGTTTATGATGAGTAACAATGACAGTGTTGGCATTGATCTTAAAATTGGCACTCATTGCGATGATCCTGTGAGGAGGAGAAGTTATGTGGTACAGTGGTGATTAGCTGGAACTAACTAACATTCACTTATATGAGATATAATTTGCAGAAAGATGAAGTAATTGAAATTGCATGTCGCTCCTTATTGGAGGAGTGAGTTGGGATTTGTGATCTTTTAGAAAACTCTAATCTCCAATTTGTTCCTAGAATGAGTAACATTCGTTGTGTAATAGTGGAAATTGTGTTACATAGTGCTATCTGTTGCTGGAAGCTCCGTACGGTTGCTCCTGGATAAAGAATTTTGGAGAGGACTAATATCTTGTCATTTCTATCTGTTCAGCAGAATCTTTTCTCTGTCGAATAGCTGAAGTTCTCTTTGCATTCTATCCTGCCGAACTGATTATGGAATTTCATTGAATATTTTTCTTGCAGATTTGTGTCTTTTATTTGGTTCTTCGGGCACTGGATACCGTAGGTATGATACTTATACTAAAAAAACACTCAATTGTTAGAATCTATGAACTGTTCCAGGAATAGCCTTTAAATCTTTATATAACACTGCTGTTAGCTTGTCTTGCATGCATGCACAGAAATCTAGGGATATGGTTAATTTGTTTGTTCCGATTGAACAGAGGATGATACAAGCATTGCAACAGAGGTTAAAGTACCCATTCTGATGGCTTTTCATCGTCACATATATGATCGTGACTGGCATTTTTCATGTAAGTTGCTGTGGCTTTTTTGCCTGATTATCTTTATTAACCTTGTCTTTCTTTTGCATGATTCCACTGATAGTCAATTAAATAAATAATTCAATGTATGCTGCTGGAGAATCAAAAGCAGCAGGGTATTAGAAAGTGATGTGTTACCTTTTAGCACATTCGGTCGCCAATTTCTTAACCGTGTTTTGGTTGGGTTGTGGGCATTGGGGGACTTTTGCTCTTATATTAACTTATTTCCTTACTTTAGGTAAACTTAGAAGGCATGCTGCATACTCTATAACTTCTTCTTGTTCTTCAGACAATAACAATCTATTTCATTCCCTTTTTACTTCAGGTGGTACGAATAACTACAAGGTTCTAATGGATCAGTTCCATCTTGTTTCCACAGCCTTTTTGGAGCTCGGGAGCAGGTCTTTTCGTACCTACCAATCATTACCTGTCCACAATTTCTTACCCACATTAACCCTCCCCTCCCCCCCCCTCCTCACACACCCCTCCCCACCCAACTCTTCTGTTTAGCTCCTATCTGCATGCATCAGAAATAACTCTTGTTTTGTGGCACAGTTATCAGGAAGCAATTGAAGATATTACGATGAGAATGGGTGCTGGAATGGCAAAATTCATTTGCAAGGAGGTATGGATAATATACTCTCTTAACGTTGTACCTTAATTTATGAAATTTCTCTTTTGCCCATCCTTCTTTGGGTGTTTGGGTAGAGCCAAGTATTACTTCTCTTCATTTCTTGCATTATGCATTTTCTCACTCTGTCTCTCTTTGTAACTGAACCTCCAAAGCAGATATTCTTCATGTTCTTTCTGCCATATAAAATCTTAAATAAAGCTTATATCAGAACAGTAAGCCACCCTTATCTACTTAATCAATGCCATCAGGTCAAATGTAGGAACGCATCGCTTCTGCTGTATAAAACTTGGTTATAACTGAAGTGGATGATATGAATTGCTAAAATTATTCAAATCTTTGGGCTTTTGACATTGTATTGCCTCATGCCTAGCTTTCCTTGCATTTCTTGGAGATTGAAAGTGAGTAGTTTCTAAGACTTATCTATCATCTCTTTTGCAGGTGGAGACTATTGATGACTATGATGAATATTGTCACTATGTGGCTGGCCTTGTGGGGTTAGGATTGTCAAAGCTTTTCCATGCATCTGGAAAAGAAGATTTGGCTTCAGATTCTCTTTCAAATTCAATGGGGTTATTTTTACAAGTATGTGGTTTAAGCTTTTGTGGAAATGGTTACTTGTTTATGCTTTTGCTAAGATGTATGAACTCCAATTGTTGCTACATTCATAGCTGCCTTGTATCCTTTTGAAACAAATTGCAGAAAACAAATATCATCAGAGATTATCTAGAAGACATAAATGAGATTCCAAAGTCACGTATGTTTTGGCCTCGACAGATCTGGAGTAAATATGTTGACAAGCTTGAGGTTGCACTCTTTTCTAATTTTTGATCAATTTAGTTTTCCAAATTGTCATATCTAAGTTGTTTTCTCATCCAATTTTACGCTTGCATATAATTACAGGACTTAAAATATGAGGAAAATTCTGTTAAGGCTGTCCAGTGTTTGAATGACATGGTCACAAATGCTTTGATGCATGTAGAAGATTGCTTGACATACATGTCTAACTTACGAGATCCAGCTATCTTCCGGTTCTGTGCCATCCCTCAGGTATACCATATTGTTCTGTTGCATTTGTGGTTTTGTTTGGTGAATAATCCTGTACTGTCATTTCTTTGGTTCAAAGTTGTCTGAGTTGTTAGCGATAATGATGAGGCCTTCCTCTGTGGTTCAAAATAACAATAAAAAAAAAGGAAAAAAGAAAAAAGTGATGTTTAGCTGAATTCTCTATGGCATGATGAGAGCTTACCCTTCACATTTTAGGGGTCAAAACTCCAAACTGGAAGTTTTATACTTTGTTAACTGTGGTTAAGTTTTAGAGCAATATTTGTCCAGAAAAGATCTCATTGTTCATTCAACTTTGTTTTAGTTCTCCAAATCTTATCTCATTCTGTATATGTTATTCTTTGTTGTATCAGATCATGGCAATAGGGACGTTAGCTATGTGCTATAACAACATCGAAGTTTTCAGAGGTGTAGTGAAAATGAGGCGTGGTAAGTTCTTTTTGAAGCTTTTAATTGTACTTCTTACTGTTCAGGAAGGAAAAAAGATCTTGCTTTTCCCGTCTCGTCGTGCTCTATAAAATTTTTTTAAAGTAGGTAATCATCTATTTTTGTCTCTTTTAGAATCTGTAGAATTTTAGAGTTGTCTTGCTTGTTACCATTACAAGGAACAAAATTTTCTTGTTTTTCTTCTTAATTTTTAGTTTTTATGTAAATGGTCTCCTAAGGTTTGCTCAAACTCAGCTTTGCTGAGCACGCATATATAAAGATACCATAGATGACAGGTCATATGGTGATTCTCTTATATTTCTAGCTGAACTTATTTACAATTGTTGCTGTGAGTCTGAGTTTTTTTTTTTGTGTGTGTTTTAATTTCAGGTCTCACTGCTAAAGTTATTGACAGAACCAACACAATGGCAGATGTATATGGTGGCTTTTATGATTTCTCTTTAATGCTCAAGTCTAAGGTATGACAATGTATTATTTGCCTTGGCTTAGAAGAGCTTTGACCCATAGCTTTACTTTTGTCTACGACTGAAATATGATTCCAACTTGTTAATTGTTACAAACTCCAAAGTGAAAGAAAATACTACTTTGTAGGTCAGTCTTATTTACATCACAGCATATTCTTTATCATGTTTTCTGTGAATAATTGTAGCATTGGCGGCATATATTATCTCAGTTAACTTTTGGGATGACTTTTTTTTTTTTTTTCCTTTTTTTTCTTTTTGTTTGAAGACTGTGATTCATTTAAATCTTCAATGAGAACGTTAATTATTTTAATCTTTTTGGAAAACATAACAATGTTTTAGGTGATACATGATCTCGACTCCTTTTTGCGTACAGATTACTTGGCAGATTGTTTTTCACGAACCATGTCATTTGATCCTTTTCTGTTGCTTAAATGATAAGCTCAACAGATCTTTCTATTGTATTTTCAAACCTTTTATTGCATCAACAATCTCTGTAGTCATTACTATTTACAAGCTGATTACGGGAATCTAGTGAACAAGAAAAGTTAAATCCATGTCTTCAAGTTTTCTTTATGCATGCACATCTGGGCTGAGTTATGCCTGCTGTCATTATCATTATCATGACTACAATGATGTTGATTGACGGGAATCTTCTGTTTTTTATCTAGGTTGATGACAATGATCCTAATGCTAAGAAAACAAGGAACAGCATTGAAGCAATTCTGAAAGCCTGCAATGACTCGGGAACTCTCCACAAAAGGTCTGCGATCTACTTACATCTTTTCTCACGAATCTTGTTTATCAAACATCTAATAACCAGTTCGAGGTTTTAGCAGGAAGTCCCTGAGAGATGAACCTGGATACAGTCCTATGATTGTAAGTGCTTATACTAATAACAATTTAAAATCAGGTTCATCCAATTTTCTCCTCTAATCATTGTTCTCCATTGCAGATTGTTATCTTCCTCATTATATTGGCTATTCTTCTTTCCTCTATTTCTGTACAACGTCAAAGCGATCTTTGTAAGGGTCTTTCAACTGACTTTGAAGTTAAATATGGCAAAATCATGTCCAGTTCATTGACATTTTGATCTGTTGTACTGCAGGATTGTTCTTTTGTGGAGGAAACTCATTTAGTACAAGCTGTAACAAAAACCTTGTAGGTACATAATGTTCAACTACACGAACTTGTAATGTGAAGTTTTCAATTTCCTTTATTATTGGAATTTCTTGTTACTAGATGTAGTAGACATGTAACAAATAAACTCGTTGCCAGATTTTCCTTATTGCCAAATTCATTTGTTTTGTGCGTTATGATTTTCAGCCAGGCCTAAGTCAGCCCAGCAATATTCTTTTTACTTAACGTAGATGTCGAGAATTGGGTTCTTGCTCCAACCTAATGTCAACAGTGGTTTCTTTCTAAGGGCATATTCTATTTGTGGTTTTTGGTGAATTTGTTTTCCTAATGAATCAGCTATTTGAATTTTCATTACCCTGTTGCTAGGATTTCAATAATCAATTTTGGTCCAGTAACTTCTAAATAGAGTAAATACATCGCTGCGAAGGACTAACATCGAGGTTTGATCTTTCCATTTAAAGTGGGACTATTTTAAACCTCATTTCCCAGAGTAACAAGAAGCCCGGAAAATGCATATTTCCTTGTTATGATCTTTGATGTTTAAGCTCGATCTCAATTGAACTTTTAATCATCCCAATTATGGCCTAGAATGCAGTTCAAGCCCCAACGATTAAGGCCTTTTCTGTTCACAATACAAATCCAAACAAAAATGTTTAATTTACCCGAGCAATCTAGACCTTGTCTAAAAGTTGCTTAGAAAAACTAGTCCTAGATTTAGATTGGCCTCAGTCAACCCTTCCCTAAGAGTTGCTTTTGTATTCTAAGCTTCGGCTTCCTCGGTATATGAAAAAAACCTACCGTAGATCATGTTTTGTGCATCCTCTCAGAAAAAGAAAACGCTACAAATTCAACGAAAAAACCTTTTTCATTGCATTTCGTAAGAAAACTGTTGACTGTCATAAAGTATTATTAACACAATCGAGAATTTGTAAATAATAATTTAGCATGAATAAAATATAAAACATACAACGCTCGGATATAAACTATTTCACTCATTTCACTCTTCTGCCCAACCAAAAAATATCTGGTACAACCAAAAGAAACTCACGACCACACAATGACAAAAGAACCTATATCTTTCTTATTCTCCTATATCTTAAATTCAGGAATTAATCAGATTAACAAATCAAATAAATATCATTAAAATCGAATCCAGAAAATCAACTCTTCCTGGGTAGAGGAGAAAAGATGGGAGAAGAAATAGCACACAAATTATCATTCAAAAGAATGGGACTAAATATTACATGGGGATGACCAAAGGTCCAAAATACAAGGATGACATGTATAAAGAGGGTACCAACTTTTTTCATTTCGCAATAAGTGTGAGGAAAAAAATAGATTCAGGTATACACGACACGCACAAAAAAGAGTCCTCTTGAATCCTCAAAAAACTTCAGCTACTTTGCTAGCAAGAACTCGATCCCTTCTTTCAATATAACCAAAAGGAAACCAACCTGCCTTACCTTTGCACTCTCCTTCAGCCCAACCATTGTTTGAAACCTGTGCAAAGGTAGGAAAAACAAATTATCACCATGTAATTAGCTTAAAATAAAGAGATAATGAAAATCAACATTTCCCCCCAACATATCCAAGAGCGCTACGGGTGTACGCTCAAAACCTAAAGATTGCCTTTTGTAGAGAGAGGCATGAACAGGAGTACTTCACTTCTAATTTTTTGGCTTTAAAACCACCTCAGGGGAACGGCCAAAACAGGGATTTTAGAGTGCAAATTGAGCCATTATATGCAACATTCAATCAGCAACATTTATGTCGACATAGTTACAAACCACTACAAGAATATGATTAAGGCAAATAGTTTTCACCAAGCAGAATACAAACCTTTCGAATGACAACATATTCTCCCACTGACAAATTAAGCTCCACATCAGATTCAGCACGATATGAGTACATGACCTATCAAAAAGTGGCAAGAAAATAATGTAAACAGCTGTTACATGGAAACCATCTCAATATATCATTAAAAGGATAGTTGCTTACTTCCCCAAGAAAATAACCCATGCCATCAGTTGTCCCATTTTGTGCAGGAGAGGTAGGCACATCATTCACTTCCTCATATGATGGAGGGGGGGGCATGCTGTCTGTATACGGATTAGGAGGACTTGGGCTTGGACTTGGAGCTGCTTCAATTCGTTGCCGCTCTAATATCATCTAAATCCCAACAGAGACAATCCCATAAGATAAACTTTGAAAGAACAAATCCCGATAGAGACATGGAATCTTCTTTATGCATACCTCACTTTCCAAATGATCAAGTATTTGAAGAATTCTCTGGTGGTAAGCCCGCTCAGATTCAACCTACAAGAAATACATGAGAAATATATAATTAAAATTCAGGCTGACGTTGTATTGATACTCCCCAACATGGCATAGATAATTGTAATTCTAGACCAAGGGTATGTTACAACCATGGATATCAGTCGCTGAAGGGTTAATCTTTGTTGCTGAGCTTCGACTGCAGCCATAGCTGCAGCTGCTTCCTTTCCCAATGTAGCCGTATTTGACTTTAGATCTTGCAACTTTGCTTCAGCTGCTTCAAGTTTTAAAATCATGTCAGGGTTACCCGTCCCTTCCCTCACTCTGGCTTGTCGCCTAGCAACTTCAACAGCCTATCTAGGTTTCAAATAACATGAAAAAAGAAAATCAGAATCTAGCAAGAAGACTCTAAAGGGCCATAAAGTAGTTTTTCTTTTTATTATGTACAAACATATGGGGGCGCGTGTTAGCGTGTACATTTTATAGTTACCCTTTTCTTAATGTGTGTGGAGGGAAAGAGAGGGTTTATGTTAATTGGATGGGTTCAAAATGCATCAGCATTTTCACTAGCTTTACTCAGAGCATTGCAATGCAAACACCCATACAGCTAATAAAAGCATTCACCCACTTTTCAAGTTCTGCTTACCAAAAGGAAATATAGAAGTAAACATATATATATATATATATATATATATATATATATATATATCAGGTATACAGATAAACAAAAGAAATGAGGCAAGATGTGAGGTACCAGTACAACATCAGCCCCCTAAAAAGCATCACACTAAAATGAAGCAGTTGCATCTTCAACTCGGGTTTGAATCAAGAATCTCAATACGTAAATTAAAACAACATAACCTATTAAATAAAAAAGAGAAGGGTCGCTATCTTATTTAAACGAAGCTATTAACTTAAGAATAAGCCAAATACAGAGGTGCAGAATTTCTTCGTCTTAATGTTGTTTTGAACCAGGACTAGAAACTTAGGAATCTAATACTCACAAGTCACAAGAACTTCTACTAGAAAGCAAAGAAACAACAGCCTCTGGCACCAAATAAGTACCTGAGCTTCAGCCTCTTGTCGCATTCTATCATATCGTTGGGCTAGATGTCTGGCATCTTCCAATGGTGCTCCCATTACCATTGCTCGCAGTGGTTCTGCAACCTGAGATACATGTTATGTCAACAACTTCTAAGACACGAATTGCTAAAACACCAAATGCAGCATTTCACAGAGGCAGATTATTTTAATGAAACAGAAAGGTCAATTGATCAAGTTCACATATAAGCCTCATACGTAGTCAATCTGCATTGCTCTTCTCAAAGGAAGTATCTAGGATATTAAAAAAAGGGAAAGAAATTCCAATAGTTAAGATAGCAAGCTAACCATAAGGACTTTAAACCGGAACTCAGGAAAACTAGTTTCTTATAAACCACATCAAACTTTGTCCGGTAAAACTAGTCACAACAACCTGATCTTAAGGTAACCTGGTGCAAAATTAAACTTACCACTTAAATCTAGTAATGTATGGAAGTTACAAACGCATTAATATAACAACCAGGGAAACAAAAAAAGAATTCTATCAGCTTCGCGATATAGCAAATTGATTTCAGGTACAAAATACTATGTAAAACTTTTATCCTCATCATGAAATCTTAGTTCCAAGTTCCATACGCTCAGAAGTGGTGAAGACCATATACATATGAAGAATTATGATGCTCCAGAGGACAGACTGATGGCCATGATAGCAGCGAACATTTTGTAGCTTCTTGCAATTGAAAAATGAAATATATAATATGGCATTAACATCAAAATATACGACAGCACAAATGGAACTAATCAATATGCCATTTGGGATAAAATCCCCCCACATCCTATTGCAAACGTGAATCCACCAAAACATGCCAAACCAGGAAAGCAAACAACAAAGCATCTATAGAAGTTTTCTAATCTTATAACAACCTGTGTTCCCAATGCTTTCAACAAATTTCCACGTTCTTTCTCCATTTCAGCACGAGCTCTTGAAAAATTTAAAGCTGCTTTAGACAATGTGGTACCGCTAGTACATGTGTTTTCAACACCATATTTCCTGCTATCTTCAGACAACTTAGTTCCTGTTTAAGTGAAAAAGTATAATGATAACATGGAATAAGGCAGTTTTGCATAATACTAAAAGAAAAAACAGATCCACTAAAGCTTTAGCAAATTACCTATTTCAACTTGTTTCGAACCAGTAACTATGTAGCCTTCAACACCTCGAACAATATCCCTTTGGAAATGCTGAAAAGTAGTAGTGTTTTAAAAAAAACCCCAAAAAATACATAAAAATAATGCTAATACGCTTGAAGTAAGAGGATATTAGGCAACAAGCAACCTTAGCGGCACGGGTAGAAATATACAATTTCTCAAGCTTCTGGTGCTGCTGGAGTTCAACTTCATCAGCCAAAACATCTGAACCCCCATATCCACCAAACTGCTTGAGCACAGCCTAAAAACAATCTTAACTACGTCAGTCATGAGCATGCATGTTTTCAAAGCTTAAATACATTTAATTTATCAAAGACACCTGGGACTTATACAAAATCAAAATCACAGCAATGCAAGACATTGTTTAAGCTATTTAGAAAACTCAAAAGGACATGGCAATAATAAGAGATAACAAAATTGTGAGTCGAATACCAAACCAAAGAAATGTATGACAATGCAATGTTATCCCTACACTAATCTTTTATTCATCTGGTTTATGGCCACTGTCATCTACGTAAACCCTTCGACCTTAATTTGAACTTGTAAAGCATCGAAAATCTAGAAACATCCACTTTGCAAAAAGCAAGGGTAAATCTATGTACAAACATCCCTCCCCTGACGCTCTCGCAAAGTGGAGAGCCTTTCGGCAGTGGGGATTGATTTGAATTATGAAAAAGCATCAAAATTCCAAGGAGAAAACTGACATTGAGCATTCACAAAAACCAGACCCTTTCTAATGCTAGGGTAAGGTGCCATAAGTCCTAAATGTTAAACCTCACAATTCTCCTACCACATGCCATCTCTAATCAACATTATTACTTCACTATGCTGGTTACCATTCACCCTATTCAAGTGTGCTGCATTAAAATACTTCAAACATCATCATACAAGCTTTATCACTACCTGAGTCCACTACTTGTAATCTAATTACAACTCTATGTCTTCAGTCTTTGCCTATACTTTTGAATCATAATAATGCACCAGGAAAAACTAATTAAACATAAAGAAACAAAAGAAGTGCTAGAACCTAAATTCATTAATCAGATCAGAATCAGATCATCCCCTGGAATATGACGAAATTTCATTCTATATTGTACAGGAACGTTAAACCAACAAACTACCTTAAAATTGCAATCACATAAACATTAGAAGAAGGCAATCAAAACAAATAGGACTACAGAAACTTCAAAAGCAATCGAAATTCAGAGAGATAACAAGATAAAAGAGCTAAGAAACTAGCTAGCCAAAATAATTCCAACAGATCTCAGTGACGAACACAAAATCGCTCGAGAATTTAACCTAATCGAGCAGATTAAAGTATGATTAACACAATGAACTCGCACGAAATACACATTACAGGAACAAAAATGGAGAGAGTGAGAGGGAAAATTGCCTGCTGTTGCCTCGCGACTTGTTCTCTGAGCCTCGTGGCTTGTTTGCGGATCGCTTCCATTTGGAGAACCGATTCCTCTCTGGAGTTTCTGAAATCTGGAAAGAATTGACAGGAATGCACAGAATGATTGTACAAGGAGGAATAGGAGGAGGAAGAGAGGATTAACAGGAAGTTTGTCTGGAAATGGAAAAATCAATTTCAAAGTTTTTGGAGATTTCAAATTCAATTTTTACGGTCTGTTCTTTTTGTTGACGATCTTTTAAATGAGTGATTTGGTTGAATATCGACTTTCAGGAAATTGATACACGGCGACGTTTTATGAAAGTGAATCGTAATTTCCAAGATAGAACTTTTTTTGGAGGCGTCTTTTTTTTTTTTTAAAAAAAAAAAGAAAATTGCTTCTACTCGGCTTTCTTATATTGGAAAGGAAGCTAATTTGAGCAATAAGGTCGCACGGGCAGTTGGGAATGAACTTTTATTTCTCTTTTACTTTATTTCGCGTAACCTTGTACTCTCTCTGGCCTAAAATTTTGTCCAGTTTTAGATTTCACTTTTAGTATAATTTGAACTAAAAATGAAAACACAAACTGGACAATAATTATGGGACGGAGGAATATTTGAATTTAGATGGTTGTATTTTTGGGGATCAAAGTTATCAAACTTGAATTATAATGAGCACCAAATTTGTGGCGAAACGAGGGACTTATTTGTGATCAAAGTTATCAAATTTTGTATGTGTGCAGGACTTATTTTGCAGCAAACGCACGAAATGAAGGCAGACAGAGGATGCTTTTGTGCTCTTCAATCTGCTCTTAATCAAAATCTGTTGCAACATTTTGCTAACACAAAATATGTACTACTTGCTGGATACTGCTCAATTTAATTAGTGGCGACCCCTTAATTATGAAGTCAACTGTATAACTAGTATCACAAATTAAAAATAAAATTTGACAGCAACCAATTTACTAGTTGTGAAGGCCACTAGCTAGACATTCCTGGGTGCGCAACATTTCTGGTGGGACAATTGCGTCATAAGTCACTGATGAAGTTCATTCATTTTCTAAGCTACCAACTACATCCCAGTTTCAGGGTAGGTAAATACATATAGAAACGCAGACACATTCTTCTTATACATTAGGGCTAATCTAATTGCTATACCTCTTCGTCCCATATGATATTCATGTTTGTTAAACATACTAACTATTTTCAAATAGAGAGATTCAGTTAACGTTGTCTAACTATATACATTCCTAATTCATATAGTTATAGAGGTTGCTTGAATGTAATCAATGTTGTCACTATTTATTTACTATTCTTTTCGACCTGAAAAAATAAGAATCGAACAATCATTTCGGAATAAAAAGAGTACTAACAAACGTTCCATTTCTGAGGGTTAGACAAGCACTAGGACAACGATTCCACTCGCCGGACATTATTTAGCCCCAAAAAAGGCCAAACCCTTCTGATCTGATTTTCAAACGCCTTTTCCATTGTTAGTCTTTCTGAAACTGTATTTCATTTTCTGGGACAGTCACCTTTTAGAACTTGAATAATCAGTCTCCAATTTTATGTGTATACATTTTACAAATTTCCATGGCATCCTTAAAAAAATCTAACTGATTGCGGGATCTGTTCATATCACTAGTACGATTATAACAACTGGGAGGCTACTAAACACCCTAAAAATTCCCCTTGAGCGCCCTAATGTAATACCAAAAGACCATTTTGCCCCTACATGATTTTATAAATTAAGAGTTTCAATTTCATTCTTTCAATTCCTAAATCAATCTTTCATTTCAAATTCTCTCAATCCAAACTCCCAAAAACTTAGATTCAATGGTTGAACGAATGAAACGGCTAAGTAAAGAGCTACGGAAACTGAAGGTATGTAAATTTGGATTGTTTTTTTGAATTAGAATTATGTAGGAGTATTTAAAAAAAAAAAAAACCACCACAGCCCCGGCCGGCGAGGGAGTGGTAAGGAGTGGCGAACCACTCCTTACAGAGCTGGCGCGGATCTGCGCGCCAGCTCTGCACGCCCCGGCGCGAATCTCCCTCGCCGCCCGGGTCACGGGTGGCGCCCGTTTCTTCGCCGCCAAAAGGTGGGGTGGCGAGAAAAGTCTCGCCAGGCGCCTGGCGAGATTTACCGGCGCCGGTTTTTTTTTTTTTTTTTGTATTATGTTAATTTGTTATATTATTTATTTAAATTTCATTGTTATTTATGAATTGTATAGTAATTGTAATTTAATTGTTACAATTAGTAATTGTAAATCTTATGAAATTTAGTTTAATTATTTATTATTAGTTAAATTTATAATTTTATAGTTTAATATAGGAATTTATTTCATTAGTTTAATTTATTTAGGAAAACACTACTATTAAAAGTATATGTTTAATCTTCAGTAAATAAATTAGTTATAATACTTTTGTAGTTTTAGGAATTCAATTGTAGTTTTAGGGAGCTTAACGATTTTTAAATTAATTTGGATTATTATGAAAGTTATTATAATTAATTTAATTATAGAAAATCTATTTATTGGATTAGTCAGTTTAATTGTAATTAGCCTAAAAAAATATCAAACATAGAAATTAAATACTTAGTATAGGAAAATCAAATAAATAAGTTCATATTAAAAAAAATACAAGAGGTTAGTAGATAATTAGAGTTAATAAAAAATATTTATTTAATTGTGGTTAAAATTAAATAATAAATTATATATTTATTTAATTTTGGTTAAAAAATGAACAATAAAATATGTAGATATTATTAATTGTACTTAGTAGATTTAATAAATTGTACACTTAAGATGTATAATAGATAATTTTATAATTAGGTATTTAAATAATATAAAACTGTATCAAACTAATTAATCTAAGTTACGTGTAAAATTTAAAACTTTTGTAGAATGGGATATCGCCTCTTGAGGGATCTGGACATCGGCATGCAGTTACGCACAATCTGTATGCCGAACATGGAGCAGAAAAAGAAAAAAAAGTTAAAGAAAGTGAAAAATGTACATCCTACGTTTGGCCCACTTGGTGAGTCAGCCAACATAGACGATGATGATGATTTTGAGACCCTCGTATTCCTCGCCTGAGAGGAGGGATATACATATTGGAGATAACTCAGTACTGAACCCCATTGGTCGTACTGATGATCAGACTCCAGTTCACCCTACCCGGGGGGAAGACCCTTGTTGGATTATCGGCCCTGAATTCAGCTTACACTTCTAGTGGTTCCAGTGTTCGTGTCGGCCCACAGAGTACTCTTTTTAGAGGTCCCAATACTACTCTTCATCATGCCGGCCCGCAGAGTACTGTTTTTAGAGGTCCCCCTCTGACTAGTCAGCCTCGTTCCCATTTTGGTGGCGCATCCATTGGTGCCTCTATCCGTCCTGAGGCAGTTGCATCGTTATCAGGTACGTATTTGTAATAATTTCAACATTCATTACTGCTTGGTCAATTTCTTAATTGCATTCGGTTAAGTATTTATACACTATTCTTTATTCGGGTTTCAGGTACTAGCAGACGGTCTAAAGTTTCTACTGAAAAAACTGATGATTGGGTTGTGACGGACGACGTACCTGGCGGGCCATGTGATGGGTCAGTGATTCCTAGTTTTCTTGGCCACACTGCTTATCAGTTGTGGAATGGAGAACCAAGAGATTACCTGACGATGAAGCCAGTGAAGAAGAGTTTGTCTAGATTGCATGGATGGTATGCGAGGTTACCGGAGAACGCACAGTTACAGATTCAGAATATCGGTTTGTATCATCTGATTGATACCATGTATGATGACATTGACCTTGCACTTATTTCTGCATTCATAGAGAGGTGGCAGCCCAACACAAACTCTTTCCACTTGCCGTTTGGGGAGATGACCATTATGATGCATGATGTGGCACACATTTTGGCGATTCCACTTAATGGTTACTTGTTGACCCAACCTACAGAAGCTGAAATTTTGAAGATGCAGGTTGCGAGATTGCTTGGGATGCCGGTGGCTGAGTTAAAGCGTGCATGGAGCTACGGAAGTGTGAGCGACATATTGATTGAGGAGTGTTGTCGCAGGGTCCTCCCCGCTGTTCAGGTGCAAGCTTGGGTGTGGATCTTATTAGCCTCGACACTCTTCCTTGACAGGAGTGGGGGCAGGATCAGTGCTTCGCTTATGAATGAGCTGCACGGAGGTATCGACAATATTGCAGAGTACTCCTCGGGATCCGGTACACTAGCATTCCTCTACTGTCAGCTTGGGATTGCTAGTCGAGCAGGGTGTACCACGATGGCTGGTTGTATGACCCTTCTCCAGGCATGGATATATGAGTATTTTTCATGCTTCCAGCCTCCAAGAGGCGGGGACGTCGAGGTGTTGATGGTTGGCCCAGAGCCCGAGACTGGACACCAATTATCTATAAGGGCCCGAAGCCTATTCATAGTCGTCTCCAGCAGATTCGTGCCAGCTTGATGCGATGACTGAGCAAGAGGTAGTCTTTATATTTTATTTCTGTGTATTGCGTAAGGGGTATTTCATTGTATACACTATAATAAATGTTGGTAACGTTCGCAGGTTGAATGGAAGCCATTTGGTTGCGAACAGGCGGCAGCATATCCGAGTACCATCTTCAATGGGTGGATTATGTACCACGACTTCCAGGAGCCATACATGTCGGAGAGAGTGCTACACCAACTCGGTTACGTGCAGTACATACCTCGTGCGCCGCTCACGCCGGTCACTCAGTTTCGCGGGAAAAATGCGCACAAGTATTTTGTTGATCGTCCGATTGCCGAGACCTGTAACTGTTGGGTTAGATTTCTGGAGTCAAAGTGTATCAGACTCAGTCATTGTGTGCCGGTATCGTCTACTGAGGTAGGACAGGCAGTTGTAGATTACCCCGACTGGTATAAGAGCCATTCACATCCATTTCTACTGCCGGAATCCGTACCGTCTACATCACGCATCCCAGGGAAGAACTGCACCACTTACGTAAGTTCAACTCTAACTGGAATACCCCTTTTTTAATAACACACGTACTATCTTTAAGGGTTTAATATGGTTTTATTTAACATTTGTAGTGGATGCGTGAGATGGAGAGGTTGACTCGAGGTTGCATCGACGATTTGAAGAAACTCGATATGGGTCTTGGTGAGGAGTGGGATACTCGCCTAGATGATGTCATCTTCCATCACAGTCAGGCCCCATGACATTCTACTCAGTGCTTTTTCCTTTAAACAATTATGTAACGATTCTGTTTTTGTTAACAGTATGTACTTATGTTAACTTTCAATTTAAATTTTCATTTATGTGAACATTTAGGTAAAGAGATCATAAAATTTCACCAATTGCATAAAAAAAAAAATATACACAACATATCACCCGAGATCACAAAATTCCCGTGTGGGTCTTATCGGAGGTACAAAAGTACGCCATAGCTGCAGTCTGGGTTCAAAAGGTACTTCCCAACCAATAACATTACTATCACGACCATGCCGCCAAATGGGGTGAATGGGGAGAATCGGAAAATCACCCTGCAAATTGCGTCGAATGAAGTGCTGTAAGGCTCAAGGTGGCAAATAACTATCTGGAACTCTGGTCTTGTTGCCCCGCCCCGTGCGATCAGTGGTAGCATAGTCCAACAGGTGCCGTTTAGATTTACAGCACCGTTTGTTCTGAAGTAGTACACAACAGCATTGAAGTATGTAATAAGGGGGTAAAAGTGCTCTGTCGACATCCAGTGACCTACGGAGGTACCAGTCCACCGTATGCGCTCTAGGCTTGCAGGTAATTTTTCCCACCTACAAAGACAAGTAAATGAAGGTTTTAAATAAAACAACATTGATGCAAGTGTATTAAAACCGCTCACCAAAATTAAACTGGCTTCATACCCGTAAAGGTTCCCGTACAGGCCAGGGTTATTTATAACCTCATCATAACATATCTGTCTGCACAAAACATGATTATTTTGCCCTCCCAACATGCAACTCGCAAAGACGCGGAAACCACAATTGCCGTCAGGAGCGACATCAAGATATGACTGAACATGATTGTGGAGTACGTGCGGAATCTTATTCTTGTGCCTAAACTGGAAAAGTCTGTCTGCATCACATCTTTAATCACGTAAAATAATATCATTATTTCTGAATTATATATCAGTATTTAAGAACAATATAAATTATAATCGTACCTTCGACATGGGTTCAGAACCCAACGTGCGGCCTCTACTGGAACTGCTGGTGTTCGTCCCACCTTGCCCAGTCCATGTACCTTCTCTCGCATGGGTCAGTAACAAAAGTGCTTTCATTAAACCAAGTAAAATAATATTTCGCACATTTAAAAAGATAAAGTAATATTGGACCTCTGCTCTGATCTTCAGCTCCCGACGTATGGCCTCTACTGGAACTGTGGGTGTTTATTCCATCTTGACCCGAGGTACCTTGGCTCGTACCTGCTTTACTGGAACTGCTGGTATTGGTGCCACCCTGACTGTCGTCCATGTATGCCCACACATTTGGTTTGTCTTGCTTTTTTTTTGCGATGCCCCTTTTCTTCGGCCTGCCCTTGCCTCTCTTTCCAACCCGCGGTTCATTTGATCCGGCTTGGCCCCGGGTGAAGTTTGTTGTACATCAATCTGGTGATCTCGCGCTGTATTGGCTCCTCAACAGCGTCCAATTCTTCCACTAACTGCCTGAACAACAATCTATGAAGGGGAACATCATCCGAACTATCCTTCTCTGTAACCTCACCGATGTCAAGTGTGCTCCAAAATTGGTGTAAGTATTTTGGAGTCAAAATCTCGTTGGCCTCCATTATACGCTTAAGTATACATGCACAAGGAAGGGAATGAGTTTGCTTCAGGTAATGATTGCATTCCCAGTACACATCATCTCCGAGTTGTTGTGCCCTTTCCAACTCATTTTTCAATAGATCCAAGCAGTAGTGTGAAACATTGCATCTTAATTGGTAGAAAGGGTATTTGTTGTGTTGTCTCCCTATTTTCTGCCTTGATTCTTGCAATTTCTCCCTATGGAGGAATTATAACAAATTAATTAAACAAACTAAACACACAAATTAACTAAAAAGAGATCAAAATCCAGTACCTTATTTGCGTAAGCTGTGTCTCCAGTAACATGTGAACCCTGTGCCACACTGTTTCAAAAGAAGCATTTGCAGTGCCGAGCTATTCCTTTAACAACTTGTGTGCGCTCTCCACTCTATAAGTAGTGGTGTTGCCAATATGCAAATAAGTGTTGGTCCATGCATGCACAAACTTGTCCGCCACCACTAACCATATCTTCCTAACATACTCTAGAACGGACTGAAATTGGGACCAATTATGCTCCAGAAACTGCACTTTTCTTCGTATTCTTCCCGATTTGCAGCTTCGATTACTGTTTTGAAGGTATGATACGCGAAACTTTTTGCTACATGGGCATTTCCGTTCAAAATTCTTTTCACATTTTTTTCAACATCCCTGTAAACGTGCCATGTACACAACAAGTGATGTGATGATGGAAATATATCATCAAGAGGCCTCATCAGTCCAGGCTCCTGATCAGTCACGATGACACTCGGATGCAGATCATCACCATACAAGTTACGGAGCTGCCACAGTGCCCAATGGTAGCTGTCCCCCGTCTCATCACTCAGAAGAGCATATGCTATAAGGAATGTCTGATTGCAAGGGGTCATTCCAACAAACTCCACAAGAGGCATTTTATTTTTGTTTGTGTTGTATGTGGAAACTACACAAACCCAAGGATACGCCCGCAACAACAACAAAGAATCCGGATGTGCGAAAAACACGTGGGATAACCTCTGTGTCTCTTCATCGCACTCCGTGAAGATGATGTATTTGTGTTGTTCTGCGACCTCTAACACCTTTCCCACGACGTCCATGGCAGCCAGGTCATCTAGAATTGGAAACCCCTCCTTACGCAAATGATTTCTGTAGTTGTAGACTTGTTTGGAGGTAACATTTTCATCAGGAAATTGTGTCCATATCGCCCGTGAAATGTGGACTGCCTTAGTCCCAGCTTTAGAGTACTCCTTAATAAGCTCTTTCACTTCTGCACTCAATGGCCTCCTGGCTTGAGGTGGATCTTTCGATGAATGGTTGTGCATTCCCCACGGACCTGGATATACACGGATCACCCACCTATCATATATCTTGTGAATAGTAACGCAAAATTGGCATCCGGTCATCTGTGTCTTTGTATTAACTCGGGCGCGCACGTTTTCATCCACTGTTGATCTTGGTACCGCCCTCCTTTATGACAAAGGAGTATAGTACTATTATCCTTGTGCGAGGATACACTTAACTTCATATTGTAGATGTTCGCAATACCCTTCGCATATGCAACAGCTTCCTTCTTCATCGCAAAAGTCTCGTCTGTAGCAAAAGCCGGACTATAATCGACTCCATCCCCCGATCAAACCTATCATGCACACATTAAAAATGAATTATATCATAACTTAAATTAACTATAATAATATTAAACCACAAATAATTTACTATGAGCAAAAAACAAAATATATAATCCGATATAATGATCTTATACTTTAAAGATAATTAATATATACTAATAACAAATTAAATACATTATTAACAAAAACTCATTATTTTAACAAAAATCCTAAACCCTAACACCTATACCCATTAACATACTACCTAAACACCCATTTAACAAGAAACAAACTACTTCATACGAACATACTACATAATTAACATAATTAAAACATATAACAATTTAAATACATTATTAACAAGATATTAACTCATTTAATATAACAACTACAACAACTACAACCTATGAACAATATACATAATAAAAAAACATTCTCTAAATATCATAAACCCTAATTAGCATAAACCCTGATTTTCTAAACAAATATTAAACTACCAAACAAATACTCAAATAAAATAAATACATGAATTAATTAAATTTATTAAACTAATAATAATATTTATTAAACTAATAAATATTAAATATATTAAAAAATTAAAAAAATAATTAAATTAATAAAAAAGGGTCACCCCGGACAAAGGTGGCGCCAAATCTGGCGCCACCACCTTCACCGATGGCGAAGGCCGTCTCAGGGAGACGAGTTTATTGCACGCCACCCCCATACGTGTTTTTCCTGCCCCAGCCGTTAATGGTTGGCGCGTTCCTCCCGCGCCTCCCCCACTTTTTCGAAAGAAAAAAAAACTTACCTCCATTTTGCAGGGGCGTGTCGGTCTTTCGCGGGCACTCAAATGAAATAATAAGGGTGCTCAACAGTTCGACCCTATAACAAAGATAAATGCCTCGAGTGATTTTAATGGTAGGTCCAGGCACCACCAAAATCAAACACTGTTCGTACCATTCAGTAAATATCTTGATCAGGTACCATTTTCGGCATTTTCTCTATTAAATTTGTTATTTATAAGCTACCATGATGAATTTGCTCAGTGTATAATATATAATATATGATCTTGTTTTAGGCCTTTTACTTGTCCATATGATGGATTGTTCAACATTTTATGCCATTATTTTTCTTATTCTTGGTAGCCAACAACGTTATTTTCCAATCCCAGGTGTCGTTTCCAGCAATGTGAGTTTTTTGCAGTTCACTTTTCCTTAATCTAGTGTATAAAAAATTTCCCCTTGTCTTATGTTTCATGTTATATTTCAAGGTTTACATCGTTTATATGGGTGGTAGAAGCCATGATGACCAACCTGAGCTAGCTGAAGTTTCTCACTATCAGATTCTCTCCAACATTCTTGGAAGGTTTAATTGCTGAATTATATAAATTGTTTTTGCTCTAAATTTTTAGGGAAAAAGAAAGGTTATCATGCATCTAAATTATCTTTTTGGCCTTGAAGACATATGGAAGATTGTTGATGGATTTACTTGGCCTGTGTTGTTTTACCAGTAAGGAAGCTGCACAGGATTCGATTCTGTACAGCTATAAGCATGGATTTTCCGGGTTTGCAGCAGTTTTAGAGCCTTTTCAGGCTGCAGCTATTGCAGGTTTTTACTGACTGTCTGAACCCTTTTCAGCAGTAATGATTCTTGACCTTTTACAGTGTTTAAAACTAGTTTTAAAAATGCAGGCATCCCAGGTGTTGTTCATGTAATTCCTAATAGAATCCTTAGTTTGCATACTACTAGAAGTTGGGATTTTCTTCAAGTTCTGCCTTTTAGGAGTGATGGGATTCTTGCAAGAGCTGAATCTGTTGGCTTAGGTTCCATAATCGGTGTTTTGGATTCTGGTCGGTTTACCGAACCTCGTACTGGTTCAGTTTTGTCTTATTTGTTTCGAATTAGTACTCTATTATGACACAATCTCCTGTTTTTTGTTTGGTATATCTGTTTAGTACAGGGATATGGCCAGAATCTGAAAGCTTTAGAGATGACAAAATGGAAAGTGTGCCACCTCGTTGGAAAGGAAAATGCCAGGCAGGAGAGAAATTCGACCAATCAAACTGCAATAGGTCATCTCATTCAATCAAATTTTGATTACAACTTAACAAATTATGACTGAAATCTGCTTTTTCAATTGGCATACAACATGATAAATTAGGTCTAAGAAATCTGTTTGCATATTGCTTGATTATAAATGACAAGAATCAATCACAGGAAGATCATCGGTGCTCGATGGTACATAAAAGGATTCCAGGCCGAAATTGGTAACATTAGTACAGAAGATGGAGCCGAATTCTTATCAGCCCGAGATGCCACAGGACATGGAACGCATACATCATCTACTGCGGCTGGCACATACGTTGAAAATGCTGATTTTCTCGGGTTAGCGAAAGGGCAGGCAAGAGGAGGTTTCCCTTCAGCGATGTTGGCGATATATAAAGTTTGCTGGGCAAGTGGAGGTTGTAGCACTGCTGACATCCTTGCGGCTTTTGATGATGCAATTTTTGATGGCGTGGATATCATTTCGATGTCTCTGGGTTCAGTTCCTCCACTTTCATCGTACATTGATGATGTTGTTGCTGTCGGATCTTTCCATGCTGTGGCTAGAGGAATTCCGGTGGTTTGCTCTGGTGGAAATGGCGGTCCCTTTCCGCAAACGGTTGTAAATACCTCTCCATGGGTGATCACTGTTGCAGCTAGCACAATTGATCGGGCTTTTCCAACTGCCATTACCCTTGGGAACAACATAACCATTGTGGTAATCCTTCCCCATTATGAGAACATCATTTTAAAACTATTTCACTAGTATTGATTATTTAGTCATAGTTACTGTTTCAATTTTGCCAAAGTGATGCATGAAAAGTGTGATGAAGAATTTCAATACCACTTTTATACATTCTCCACATCTTTTAGCTTGTAAATAATGACATTGCTCAGACTTAAACTCTGTGTTTTCGGTGACTTGTCAAATAGGGCCAGTCTTTATATGTGGAGGAAAAATTTGATGGGTTCTACCCTATTGTTTATGGTGAAGATATAGCTTCTGATGATGCAGAGGAATTTGAAGCAAGGTGAAGAGTTATTCTGAGAGTTTTTGCTGTCTCGTTTTAGTTAGAGGTTTTGCATGTTCCACCTAAACACTGACTGAGCACGATAAATACATATAATCCTAACATGCATTTATGTAATCCTTTGTTAGTCCTCTTCTTTTTTGTGACAGAAATTGTGATGAGGGAGCCCTAAATGCAACTCTTGCACAGGGTAAGGTCATCCTTTGTTTCGAATCACAGTCTCAAAGGTCCGCGATTTCTGCTGCAAGAAATGTACTGATTGCTGGAGGAGTTGGACTCATTTTTGCCCGTTTTCCAACTAAAGAAGTGGCACTCTGCACTGATGTACCCTGCATACAAGTGGACTTTTCACTGGCAACAACTCTGCTGACATACATTGGAAGCGCAGACAATCCAATGGTGAAGTTCAGTGCTCCCAAGACTTCTTTGGGTAAAATGATCTCCCCAGAGGTGGCTCTCTTCTCTTCTAGAGGACCGAATTCGCTGTCTCCCTCGGTCCTCAAGCCCGACATCGCTGCTCCTGGAGTTAACATATTGGCTGCTTGGTCGCCTGCTTCCTCCGTCCTCACAAATGTGGATGCCGGGAAGACTCGAGCAGATGAATCAGCAGCGCTTTTGTTCAACATCGTATCAGGAACTTCCATGTCGTGCCCCCATGTATCCGCAATTGTGGCTCTTTTAAGGGCTATTCATCCCACCTGGAGTCCTGCTGCCCTTAAATCAGCCCTTGTGACCGCAGGTATATATTTTCCTTAATGAGGACTTGTAGATCACATTTCTGAATTTATTTGCAGTCTAATGATACTAACTGTCCATGTAAACTTCAATATGATATAATCTTGTTCTTTAACTTAATTAGTAATCTTTTTCTTAGTTAATTGCAAATTAAGTTTCGATTTGGACTACTAAAAGATCAAATCACCTAGTTGATCTTCTGTATTCTAAGTAAGTTTGAAGGACCAAACGGATATGGAATCCATAACATGTACGATCTGTAGTGCATTTGTCTAATATTCAAATGTGGCCTACTAAAATCAAAGCCATTTGTTAGTGATCATTTCAGAGTTAACAGATTAAATAGAGGCGTGACACCAAGTTGTATGAATAGAAGTCATTGAAGTACTAAATATTTGATGTCTGTTTCCCTTCCTTTGCAGCTTCTTCAACTGATGAATACCGTCAGCCTGCATTTGCAGAAGGAGCTCCACACAAACAGGCCGATCCATTCGATTATGGCGGTGGCCATGTTGATCCAAACAAAGCCATAGATCCCGGGTTGATCTTCGACCTAACGACAAAAGACTACTTAGGTTTCCTATGCGCAATGGGCTACAACAACACAGCCATCAGCTTACTAACTGGCCTTGATCATTCCCCCTGTCCTAACACCAGTAACAATAACTTCCTGGCAAACTTCAATCTGCCTTCCATATCAATCCCTGAGTTGAAGCATTGCGTGACGGTATCAAGAACAGCGACGAATGTCGGGCCTGAGGAATCTGTTTACTTTGTTCGGGTTGAATCTCCACCCGGGATAGATGTGGAAGTGGATCCTCCAATGTTGAATTTTGATAATGGTGCTAAAAAGAAGTTGAAGTTTAAGGTTAGGATATGTCCTAGGTTGAGGGTACAAGGAAGCTACGTTTTTGGAAACTTGTTTTGGGAGGATGGATTTGATCATGTGGTGAAGTTACCTTTAATAGTTCGACCTGTCATTGACAATTTTGTGTACTAATAGTTTGCAAATAATGCAATGCCTTTGGTTATCTGCAGTCTTTTTATTTTAGTAACTGCGGTAGAAATCAAACCGTCAATCTTTTTAAATGTAATGATGTTAAAATCGAATTGTATCTAACATGCTTACTAAAAGCCCCGCTCTTTAAAATATTTGAAAATCTTCTCGGCATGGGTTGTTACTTATATGTCATTTGCTTGACTAATTTGGGCAATTGATTAAGATGTTGGAAAATTTGAGGTTCCAATTTCATATGAGACTGACAGGGTAATATACAGCAAAAACATATTATTATACACAAATCTATTGTCTTTTTAGTCTTGTCTTATCAAATAATGCATATATCCAGGTAACTAAGGATAAAAAGCTTTTTACTTTGTGAAAATGAAATCCTTTTTATGTGTTTAGTACTATTATTCAATGAATAAATTAATCATTATCTATAGTACTTAATTAAAGCAGCAAACAAAAAGGATATGTGTCAGCACCACAATAAAAATTTTTCAGCCAAAAGCTATTTTCAGTATAAAATCATTTTTGACACGTGGCACTCTAACTAATCAAAAAAAAAGATGGAATAGATAAATACATAAATTCCTTAATTATAGCTATATAAACATCTCTTAATTATAGATATATACTAATCCCTTAAAACAACAATATTTAGTTGATAAAATCAAATGTAAGGAAATTCCCTCAAATAAAGTGAAACACCAGTAATGTTTTTCCAATCCCCAATTTCAAAAGATCTCTTCCATTTCGCTCCTTTCTCACATCCGGGCCTTTAAATCAATTACTTAAAATCTGACATCAATTATCAATCCATCTCTTTCTACACCAGAGAAAAAATAAGCTGTCATAAAAGAAATTTGATTTTTTATGGATGATTTTTTTTTATTCTTCTGTTATAGATTTTGTTTTATGATTTATATAAACCCAGGCATAAGTTAACTGTTGTAAATTAAATATTGTAAATCTGGGCATAGATTTACGTGTAATAACTCACTTCCTGTCCTTTCAATCGATTTTTATTCTTCTATTTTTTATTTATTTTTTTTAAGAATGATTCGTATTTTTTATTTAATTGATTTAAAAATACAAGCGGCACTTCGGGCATTCGCCCAGAGCAATCATCTAGTATATATAAAGGAAAGAAAGACAATCGACACGTGTCGCTCATTGAGACCATCAAGTTTCAATTAACACGTGTCGTTTGCTAATTGGTTGATCATTAATCAGTTAAAATTTTTTGTAAACAGTTAATAAATTATTTACAACTCCCTCTGTCCCACAAAAATAATCCAATTTAATAAAAAAATAGTCCAGTTTAACAAAAGTCAAAATTCATTGAATTGAAATGACTTAAATATCCAAAAGAGTAGTGGTATGAAAAACAAGGTCCACTTCCTTTGATTTTAATTTTTTTTAATTTTCTCTTATTTTTTCAAATGATTATATCTTTTAATACATGAATAATTAAAAATGTGTTATATGTCAAATTAATCTACGTAACGAGATCTTTCCATCAAGATCCATTGTCAATATTTTTTGAGATAAAAATTTTGATCAAATTTAAGTTGTAAAATAAATGCATATGTAGTTAACTTTTATAGAAAACTAGAATGGGCATTAGTAGAAGTTAGGAGAATGAAATGAGTTGTACATTTGGTGTGTTGACCAAATTAAAAAAGTTGTACAGTTTCAAACTGGACTATTTTTGTGGGACGGAGGGAGTATATAAGATTTTTACAGATATTACAAATTCTTGTGAGCTTGAAAATGAATATTTTTAAAAATTGCTGAGAAACTCCCAACTTCAAAAGTCCTTTCATTTACGAGTTTAAACTTTCAACCTATTGTCATTTTGGCCCTTAAAGTTCCATTTGTGTGCTATTTAGTTTTCAAGTTTATCGATTTTACATTTTCAAGGACGATTAATTGTGTCTCATATTTTATTAGAACGACATCTAGTCCCCAAAGTCCACTTGCCTATAAAAATAGGCCATATGCATCTAGACATAATTTACGTATTTTTAAAATATATTTTTTAAACCAAACATAACATTAGTTAGTGGTAACAATTTTTATTATACAACTTTTGAAAATCTTTGTTGTAATATTTTTTTACCATATCTTACAAATATATTTCTCATAAATAATATCAATACCTCTCATTTTGATCTAAAACTGATTAATCAAAAAAATATTACAGTTGTAAGAAATATTAGTAACTATATTTTTTTTAAGAGAATAAAGTGTAATTACATTATCTAATCAATTCTTTTGAAATATAAATTTTTAACGTTGACAAAGCCGCGCAAATCGCAGGACACACACTAGTATGGTATAAATGAAAGGTTTAGTAATTACCACATGTGAATTTGGGTGGTTGTTATCCGTTGGTAGGGTAATTAATTAGTAAATTGTAATTAGGAGGATGGGGACAATATTATGCCGCCCAGGTCCCAGTTTGTTTAACGCCCCCTTTACTAAAATTTCGGTGCTTTTGACTAATTGTATAGCCTATAAATAAAGTTCTTTTGTTTAATCCTAGCAGCCCTAGCTACTTGCAATGATGATGGTTCAAATTCTGATTAAGTTACATTTTTAACATAACGTTAATAAGATTTTTGAAATATTTATCCTAACATACGATAAGATTTTTTTATTAGAAAATGCGAATTATTTACGTAACGTGTACTATTATGATGGAAAAAAAAAATTTCATTTAACTATCTCATATAATGTTTTAAGCTATAGTATATCGTTTGAGTGTTATCTCGACACAACTACACTTAATATTTTTATCCCGTGTATGTGCAGCCTTTGACGAAAGTTACATATAACTAAGGCAGGTTACTAAGAATGGAGCTAATTAGCTCAATTAATTCGGATGTTACTACTACTAGTCTAACCTATCGATCTAATTCTATACTGCATACTACTACTAGCACAATGTTTAGACCATTCTAGAAGTTATTAACCACTTCAGGCGGAAAGTCAGTAATAAAAGTAAAAAAAAGGTTTTAATTTCCAAATGAGTAATTTTCAAAGTTAGTCAATATAACTAACTATTAAAATGAGTCATGAGATGGCAATGTAATGCAGTGCAAAAACACAGCATATAATAAGAAATCAAATAAGTAGTGTATTCGGGGACGAGCTATCGTAAAAGTATTGCTTCTGATAACAATTTGCATATTGTTCTGATCTCTTAAAAAGGTTTGCAAACCTCATGTCTCCCGCATTCATGAATTTATTGATCGATTCATTTGCATATCACAGTAAATATGAGCAAAATATTGCTCATAAGTTACGAGTTACGTATGATATCAGATAGAGTAATATTGTATTTTACTTTCTTCTTACCTTTTCTCTAACTAGATCAAAGTGATATGCATGCTAACTCACCAATGTGAAACTCTTTTAGGTTATGTTTGTTTCGTTTTTTTAGTGTGTGTTTTTAGGTGTTTTTTGTATTGAGAATATAAAAAGGTATGTTAGAAATATAAAAAAGTATGCTGGGATGAGACAGTTATTAATAAAATAAAATGAAAAAACCATAAAAAAAATCAAACAAACAGAGCCTAATTTTTACCAAACGAAAACAAAGATTTTTTATATATATATAAAAAATACTACTGCCATATGTTGACATGTCGGACTAATTAGAATGGTTTATGCCACCTGATACGATTTAGAGTCCGTATACATTTTTATTTTTATTTTTTTTACATATTTAAAAGAGTATACTTCCTCTGTCCTAAAATTATTATCCAATTTGAGATTTTACTTTTAGTACAACTTGAACTAAAAATGAAAATCCAAAGTGGACAATAATTATGGGACAGAGGGAGTAGAATATATGAAATGCTGAGGACCCTATAAATTTGAAATAAGTGTATTTAAAAAATCAAAAAAATTGGTTTTTTAAGTAAAAATCGGAATTAATAATGTTTATGTATTGGAATGAAAACTTTCTTTTGTTAAAATTATTGAAAAGATAAAAGTTCGAAAAGGCGAAAACGTACAATTCCAGAGTAAAGAAAAGCGTTTGATACTGAAGTTTTTCAGTATGGATGAAAGAAATGTGTCAATCACTCAAATGTCAAAGATCATACATGTGAACGTGAATTCTGAAAATCGGGGAGCACGTTGTTTCCGTTCAATACCCTCAGATAATACGTGTAAAGCTTTATTTTTTTTAAAAGAAAAAAAAAACTCACTCTCTAACATAATTAGTAAAATAGATCGTTTTAAATGTAATTTATTAGCGTACTCTTTTTTATAAAAAAATAAAATAAAAGCAATGTATTGTACAAGAAAGATATTCATCTCGTCCTGTAATTACCTCAAATAAAATACAATAAATACATAATTCCATACGTAATAATTGGTCATGCAAAAAAAAAATCAGATACGGAGGAAATCTTCTTTTAGTACGGAATAATTAAAAGCCTGACATACTGGAACTTTGGAAAGAATAGTAGGCAGGCCGCAGGCGTATTTCATATCTGCAATTTTGTGTCCCTGAAAAATTTTTTATTTAAAAAATAAAAAGAAAGGAGAACAATAAATAGAAATTAAAAAGAAAATATAGGTAAGAAATAATCTCATACTGCATGACAGCATTGACAGGCCCAGCCACGTCCCAAAAATTCCAACCAATAAAATTAAAATGCATGGGGTTAGCTCATTTTAGGTGGTGTAGCGGTGATTTTAATTATCCAAAAGAATAAAATAAAATTGTTGTATATGTATAAAAGGGAAAAAAAAAAAGAAAAAGAAAATGAATAGTCAAAGCATAACAGCGTTTTCTTTTCTCGGGCCAGACTCGTATTTTCAGTGTCCTGATATGGAAGACCATTCCCTACGGTCTACATCTCCCATTTCTTCCATTTGACAAAATTTGACATTTCAATAATTCATTTTTGGGTCAATACATAAAGAGTTAAAATTATAAACGACTCCACAAAAGTTATCCCACCTTGCAAAATATACTTCACTTAACAATGAGCATTCGAAGACATTGTAAATCACGCTCTTATTCATTTTAGCCCAGCTTCTATAAAATGGAAAATTATATTCTATAGTAGTAATGATACATATATTGAAATATGATCGAGAACGGTATGATACTAATGTGAAGTGCACACAATTATATGCAGTAACTTGTGTTTCTATTTTGGTGGTTAACTAAGAACTTAGTTTTAAAATTTTATCTTTTCGTCAATTATTATTTCATTTCTTTGCAATTTATTATTGAATATAGTCGTTTTCAATAGTTACAAATTACTACCTCCGTCCCATAAAAAATGGCCCAATTTTAGAAATGTAAATCTTAAAATTAGAGTTATGAGATCATTATACCCTAAAATTGATTATTAAATTGATAAATAGCTATGAAACTTTATTCAATTTTTCATATTAATTTTTTGGTATACAAGATTAAATCATCTAATTTTTATATTTTAATTTTTCAAATTGCACTATTTTTTTTTGAGACGGAGGTAATAAAACATAGAAACGTCTCCATATTTTTTTTAATGTATGTCATTCTGCATCTTTCATCACCATACTCCTAATAACAATAGGAGTATATAATATACTAGAAGGTTGATTGCACAAGGAGATAATGGAATCCATGGCCTATCATAGTCTTGCCTAATTTTCAGGTTTTGAGTTACTTAGTACACATTAAGCAAAATTATTCACTTTTATTAAACTCAATCCAATTCATAAGCAAAAGACTTTTGACATTTTCAACAGCAACTATTTTTAAGAATCAGTCAACAAAATGAAAGTAAAAACCTAACGTCATCAATGCAATATTAAAAGAAAAAATAAAGAACGAAAGTAAGAACATAAAAATGTCATCAAAACTTTCAAATAAAATTAATTTTTAGGGATGCGGGTAGATACAATTACTTTAGGAGGGACGATTAAGCAAAATAGAATAACTTAAATGACTGATTTTGCAATTGACCCACAATAAATAATAAATACACCGAAAAGTAAAGAAAATACCACGCGTAACAGCCAAGCGTAATAAAACAGACTTTTTTGGTGCAGCCCAGAAAAAGAAAAATCTAGTACTAGTATATAAAAAATAAAACTCAAAAGATAATTATAGAAAAAGCAAGAAATACCATTAACCCACCCACCAGTTTCGCCCACGAACCAGCCCTCATTTCAGTGCTTTACCCACCATTTCTTCCTACTTTTCTTTGGGTTTTTTTTTTCTTTTTTGGGGTTTCATCATTTTTTTCAACAATTCTCAATTTTCTTTCCCTCTCTGTAACGCCCTCCTTTTCTTTTTATCTTCTTTCTTTTATCATCATCATCATCATCATCATCTCACCACCACCTGGAACATCGTGCCCTTTTGTTTTCATCTTTAACAAAGTTATATAAAACTGCTCACCCTTTTTTTCTTTTTTATCCCCCTTTTTAATTTAGTCATCCTAAATTAATTTGCAGTCTGATTTTTCGCGAATTTTTTTTTTTTGTCTGGTGGCCAATTATGGATTGCATGGCTGCAAAAGCGTTGAAGAATTCGAGTTTTCTCTCTGATTTTGGCGGGAAATCATCCACCCTTCAACAGCAGCAACCAGGCGGCTCAGTGGATGATGTTTGGTATGTGGCCTCCGCCGGCGCCGGCGGGCTTAATTTGAATAATGTCCCGGGTGATGATTTTTCGGTGGATGATCTTCTCGACTTCTCCGATAAAGATTTTAAGGATGGCCCTTTGAAGGGAGAAGGAGAAGAAGATGAAGAGAAGGAAGAAGACTCCATCTCCGACGATTCCTCTTCCTCGCCGCACCACCATCGGAGCTCCAATTTTTCCTCCTTTTCTGAAACTGATGATTTTGGGTTGCTCCTCGCCCAACAACTTACAGCCCCGGTAAACCATTAAACCCCGCCCAATTATGTAATTGTTCAATTGTTTTGCAAAAATTCAGTGTATATAACTCTGTACATATTTGCATAGGCGGATAATTTGGAAAATTTGGAGTGGTTGTCTCAATTTGTGGATGATTCCCAGTCGGAATTGTCTTTGTTGTGCCCGGTTGGAAGTGTGAAGGACAAGAACGGGAGCTTTTCATTTTCCGGCAAGTGGGCCCAGCCGGCGGCGGTTTCGATGATTAGAGTTCCTTGTTTCCCTTTGCCGGTTCCGGTTAAAGCGAGAAGCAAGCGGTCAAGGCCGAACGGCCGGGGTTGGTCCGGGTCGCCGTCTTTGACCAGTATCACTACAACCGAGTCGTCAACTACCACGACGTCGTCCTCATCGTATGGCTCCTCCGCTTTGTCGCCTTTTGCCGCCGCCTTCTCGAACGCGGTTCAGGACCTGGACTTGTTCTCTAGCGGCGAGAAACCGCCGGCCAAGAAGCAGAAAGTGAAGAAACCGCCGGCACCGGCAACTGCCGTTGCCGACACCGGTTCCGGGTCAAGTGGGCTGGTCGTGTCACGTCGGTGCACCCATTGCCAGGTTCAGAAGACCCCACAGTGGCGGGCCGGCCCGTTGGGCCCCAAAACACTCTGCAACGCATGTGGGGTCCGGTATAAGTCCGGCCGGCTCTTCCCGGAGTACAGACCGGCTTGCAGCCCAACTTTTTCTCAGGAAGTTCACTCGAATAGCCACCGGAAGGTTTTAGAAATGCGGCGGAAAAAGGAGATGGTGACCGGCAGCGGTTTCACTCCGATGGTCCCTAGTTTTTGAGGTTTTACTTTTATTATTAGGAGGAGGTTGGGTAGGGCGAATCGGCCAGTTCGGTTAGTGGTTCGGTTTGGTTTAGGTCTAGCTCGGTGCGGTTCAAAGTGTACAATTTTGGTGGCGGTTTTGGTTATATTGTAGGAAGGACAGGCAGGAAGGATAGTGAGGTTATAAATTATAATGTTGAATTTAGGATATTATTATGACGTCATTTTTATCCCCCTTTCTTTATCATGGTTGGGTTTTAGGTGATCTAATTTGTTTGCTGGTTAGTTGTTAGAGTCGGAGAGTCTTTGTACTAATTGGAGATTTGCAAAATCAGTATTAAATTTAGAAAATCAAAGTTTCTTTGTCTTACGTTTTTGTTTTTTAAGAGATTAATATTGATCCCTCACTCAACAAAATCTTGCATTATTCCAATTAGTAAAAGTTACGTTTTGAATAATCCAAACTTTATGTTACTTTTAAACCAAAACGGTGGAAAATTACTAAAGATTGGACAAATTGATAACAGCTGTATCGTGATGCCCGTTGCTAGAATGGAGAATGGATGATGCCATTTTCTGAATTCTAATTGTCCCCGTCCAAATTAAATGCCGTTTGCTGTCTTTTTTCAGGTCATAAATACTCCACTCGTTCCATTATTATTGTTCAGTTAGAGTTTTTATTTCTAGTTCAAATTATACTAAAAGTGAAATCTTAAACTGAATAATAATTTTGGGACACATGAGTAATACGACTTACTATTGTCCTCTATATTTATAACGCATCATTACTATTGTCCTTCTACACCAAATATTTTACTCAAATAAAAGCATTGTATTGTTATTTTTTTTAGTTAAAATATGGAGTACAAGTAAAAGATAGTACTTTCTCGCTAAAAATAATTAGTCGATATTACAATTTGTAAATTGTACTATTTTTACTATAATTCACAAATTAAAATGTGAATGTGAATTATTTTTATAAAATAGATAGAGTATTATTTTGAACCGGAAGAAGTCAAATAGATTCATTTTTGAAAAAAAATACCTTGAGTTGGAACAATTCTAACGAGTTGAAAACCAATTCTTGGATGGTGAATTACGGATTTCACAGTAAGGAAATGATACTCTGGAAATGAAATTGATTTTTGAAGCAATGAAATGATTGGAATACTTAGAATTTGTAAAACCGTCACATTAACTAGTTCAAAACTGAAAGGCGGGAGGAGTGCGAGCCGTGTAAAACCAGTAACTAATCTTTTTGGATGATTTCAGTTTGAAAGCTCAGTTATATCAAACTAATTCAACTTTATAATCAGAATTAAAATACTCCAACATTAAATATAAAGAAACGTAGCTATCTTCTTTCGTGCTTAATGTTTTAAATTAACCAAGTCATAATAAACGTATATAACATCAACTAGATGCTTGTCCCGGGCAAATGCCCGGGGACGTCCCACCTAATAAATCGATATGTAAATAATCAAAACTGATTAGGAATGAATTTAGTTTTTGATGAAGATGATTGATTGACTAGAAATTAATTTTTTCGGAAGTCCTAAATAAATAGAAAAGGAAAATTTCATACACTGTCAAATTCAAAATTTGAATGAACGTGACCATCTGATCTCTTCGTTAATATTGTAAATATATTTTTTATTTTTAAAATGAGGTGACACGTGGCAGAATGATTAATGCAATATGGTGCATTTGGAGCCAAAACATTTTAATAAAAAAATGCCACATCAGCATCCTGTTTTCTGCTTTAATAGAGTAAAAGGGATAGCCCAAAAATATCAATATTATTTATTTTACGTAAAATGTGAAGTATTCTCAAAACTTATCCTATGCAACGTCATTTCAGTTTATTCATCTTTGGTGAGATTTTTGAAGTCACAAAAAAAATTGGCTTGAACACAATGTAAGTACGGGATAATGAAGAACGTGGAAATGAACAAATAGATCATTTTCTATTATGTTATAGTTATTTTAAGTATGGTTTGGTTTTTTATTCTTTTCAATATTGACTAGTATATATTTTACTATAATATTCACTGAAGGGAGGATTACTCTTATCAAACACCCACAAAACGAAAAGAGAACTATTATTAAGGACATTCGACTAGAGTCAGTTTAATAACCTTCTGGTATCCTTATTTTTTAATAACCTAGGTTTAATGAACAAATACAATTTAAGAAGTTCAATTAACTAAAAAGGGAAAAAAAAATGGGTAGAAATGGGCCCATATCGCCTCATCAACATCATCAAGTAAGGTGGCTTAGGAGCCCACTAAGGCCTACTAACTCTAACTAATTGACTCCTCTAAAAGTTAGCGTGGTGCTGCCAAAAGCCTAGTGGGTTTGGAAATTTGAAATATTTGGCAAATCACCACTAATAATGTGAGAGCATACTATGTACTCTTTGGAGTACTCACTCTCGGTATTTAATATAAGATATTTTAATTTTTTCTAAATTTTACATAAAATACATTTTTTAATGACAAAAAAATTTTTAAAATATATTTTTACATTCGCTGTGTTCTATTGATTATTATGAAATATTTTTAAGGTTTTTTTATCCATTAAAATTGTATACTAGGTAAAATTTAAAAAAAGTCAAAATGCCTTATAATAAAGACAAGAGGGAATAGTTTTTTGCTCATAATTATCACAAATTAATAAATGAAGATGCTGCTGACTCGACCGATTATCTCAATTCCACATGTAGTGTACGAGGGATCCAATAATGTATGGAGTTTTAATCAATGGAGCGTTGTGAAAGTGAAGCATGTTATTTAAAGTCTTTCAAGACCTTGACTAAGGAAGCAATGATATTTAAACCAAATTAACGGTTCTAGCATTTTGGACTCATTACTTCTATTCAAGAAGTCGCTTTAAAGTACATCCTAACCACAGGTCTCAGTTCGAGCTGCCCAAAATCCTTTCTTTTCCTTTTCCTCCAATACTTGTTCTTTAATTTCTGATGGTAGTTTAAGATTTCAAGTTGAGTCACACAATTCTCCCCCTCCCCTTTTTTCAGTACTCGTTCTATAATCTCTGATAATATTTTAAGAGTATCACGTATTTGTGAGAATCTCATCTCACTTCGTGTATCACCGAGAAACAAAGAAATATATGTAACTTTTTTAAAAATTGAACTTGATAAACATTTCTTCTGTTTTAATAGGAAAAAATAGTTTATTTTATTGAATTAAAATAATATAAGAAACTGAACTATTTTTTTGAAATGAATGGAGCACAATAGTTATTGCATAACTTAGAGGTAGGAGTAAAACGGAGCGTGATAGGTCAATCTGCTTGTAGATTCTGTTCAACCGTTCGTGATTGTAACTCTTCATCTATCATTTTTGGGAAAATGGAAAAAAAAAAAAAAGAAGAAGAAGAGTTGTAACTGTAATAAAATACAAAGAATATCTAAAGTATATACTTTTTGGTGATCTTGTTTGAGGGGATACAGAAAGGCTCATGTGCATCCCATGTGGGAGTAGTTAGAAATGATTAAAGACGTCCATTCCCAATAACGCGATAGATCATTAGATATACTAAAGAAAACAAAACGAAGTAGCGAAAGAATTCATCTGAGTATGGTAAAGCTTTAGAATAAAACATTTATTTGATAAGCTTGAAATTGGAGTTTTCTACACGCGATCAGGTTAAGGACCAAAGTTCAAGTCAGAAAAAGTAGGCTTCAACCTGGGCGTTACAGACAGTATAACTAATGGAGCACATCACATGACTATCTATGTCATCAGCATCTTTTGATTGCGTTTTCCGCTAGTTATTCCGGGCTGGAAAAGGTCATTATTGCAACTGCTTTTTCTTTTTACGGTTACGGGATGGACATAGAGCAGGACATAATGCATAACTTACACCAAAATTATTTGAACTCGAGACCTTTGTCTCGCCCACCACGGAAACTAGATTACGCTGAAGACACGATTACTCAACAGAACTACACAATTCAAACTTTCCCGCTGCTTAACAAGGAAAAGGAAAAAGTAAAATTTGATAAACATGTGAAGATATATACACAAGAAAATAGCAGTCAAGTGCTCTCAAGCAATACACCCCAGCAAGTGTTACGGAGCAGTTCTTTAAGTCATAACATCAGCAAGAGTGGACCTGAGAAAACAATGAGACACATCCTTGGAATGAATTACTGTCAATTTACCAATTCAGTGGTACCCACGCCTCTCAATGTAAAAGTTTGAAGACGCGTGATCAGATCATTACGGAAAGAATACAATGCACAAAGGCTGACACCTAAGAGTGGCTGTTAACATTGTCTACATCTTAGATTCCTCTGGAAGTGACTATAACACAAAGAATGGAAGTGAACTTCAGTTCTTTCACTTCTTGTCTGGTGCCATGATGCGAATCACTGCTACACCAATGGCAGCGATGGAGGCTAGGGTACCTATACAATATTTCATGATTTCGTATTTTCCAGCTTCAATTTGGGCCCTCAATGCATGGATCTCCTGCATGTAGATACTTGTCATGTGAGAAATAATGCTATCATGGAACCAACAATCAGTTATCCCAATTCAATGAAAGCTCACCCGATCAATCTTGTTAGTTAAATTGGTAGACTCTGCGCTATGCTTGGACAGCTCATCACGCATTCTCCTGAGCACAACATTCAAATGAGCCAAAATATCTTAAGAAGGTAACGGATAATGATATTGATGCCTTTCAGAACCTTATTCCTCACCCTTTTTCAAGATTTACATCCAAACGTAAGCCAGCAGCTACCTTGTCAAGCTCATACCTACAGAACCCAAAGAAGAGAATGGTTCTCACTGATAGAACAATACTCATTCAAAAGTAGAAAGCCCATTAAACTAGTGAAAATAATCCAGGCTTCAGCCTCAAAGGCTTTACACTTTTCTACAACTCTCTACCTTAAGTCATTGCGTGTTTTATCCATATCATTATGCAGCTTCTCAGTCTCACGTTGCAGCAAAGAGAAATGATGCTCCTGAGTGAAACAAATAAAAGAAAATGATGAAATGATACAGAGAAGGATCAAATTTTCTTTAACAAATGCACATAGTGATACTTTTGGCAGTATGGTCAAGGACTCGAGGCTATTTGAGTGAAAAGATCATATAGTATCAACACATATGAACATAAGAATTTTTCGAAATATCTGGTCAGTCCTCCTTTCTCAGGATTACTTTTAAAAGGACATTTTAAAAAGGACAAAATGCTGAGTCCATCAGTCACACTTAAACCAAAAGCTTTCCAGTATGAATATGTTAGGGCAAAAAGTTTCTAGACTTCAAGGCTTGATAAGGAGCTATTATTTTTTATAGTCTCTTTATATACTTATATTACTATTCACATACAAAATTAGTACCCCATTACAGTTGACTCCTCTGCGAGAACAAGACTTCAGCAATTGTTCAATGAGGAATGACCAAAATAAACAATCACGAATTCTAAAACTCTAGAAACAAATATACAGATATATACATGGTCCATTCAACTAAACACGATCAATAAAAAATCGCATGGTATTTAAGGATCATGACTGCACCTTGAAAGATCAGATATGCTCATAGAAAGTTCAATTTTAGATGTGCCTTTTCAAAAACGAAACTTCACTGGAAAAAATTATCCATAAGAATATGTACAAGAATGACAATCAATTTCGAAATGCTAAGTTAGTAAGGAGGTCTTATACTAAGTTTTCGGATACAGGGTCCATTCAACAAAATACAATCACTAAAAAATTGCATGGTATTTAAGGATCATGACTGCACCTTGAAAGATCAGATATGCTCATAGAAAGTTCAATTTTGGATGTACCTTTTTAAAAATGAAACTTCACTGAAAAAATGACCATACGAATACGTCCTCATACTAAATTTTCCTACTTAACATTTTGGCACTATTATCTGGTAGGTCTCAGCATCACAAGCCATTTTGATAGTGATACAAAAGGTATTTTAACGTCTTTGACGACTGTACAAGAATGAGAATCCATTTCAAAACTTCACCGAACAAAAGTGCTTAAGAATATGTACAAGAATGACCATCAATTTCAGATTGGTAAGCCAGTAAGAAGGTCTAAATGCTAACTGTCCTAATCTTTTCTCTTTTTCTTCCCTTTTTTTCGGTTTGCACTATTATCTGGTAGGATTTCAGCAGCGACAAGCCACTGTGATAGTGATGCAAAAAGGAATATAACATCTTCGACGAGTGGACCAAAAACTTCCACATTTGGATAATGAATCATGCGGTAGTAATAAAGACCATCTTAGAGTTGCATAAGGGGACCAAGTGCTGTTCACAGTTGTATTTTCATAAAGAGAAAAATGCTTGCAGTCAGTAACAATTTAGAAGGTTCGTGAATTTAAGTACTCACTGGGTCAAATGACTAAGGAAAAGGTTTCTGCATATGGCCTTGGTCTCTAGGTCTATGAGTTAGTAAGATATGCAGCAACTAAGCCATGAAGGAGTGACATCATCTTAGTTAACCAAATTAGGTTTGAACAGCTGATATAAGTGCAGCAATGCCCTTTCGGAGTTTTAGTTTCATTTAGACTTCCGTTGCAGAGTCTAAGTACACAAACTGAAAGTTTATACTAAATACTGTACAAGAACTTATAGTGCTGCTTGAGATAAACCTCAAATACTTGGTGGAAATGTTATCCATGCATTCATCTGCATATCCAATATCGAAAAAGCCAGGAAAAAAAGTAAAGTGTACCTGAGAATTCTTAATTTCTGATTTGAACATTTCAAGATTAGATTCATGTAATACTGCAGCCTACAAAGTTATCGAAACAACAAACAGTAAATACAGAATGCACCCAGAAAGAAAACAATTATGCCAAAAAGAAAAGATAACAACAAATAAACCAACTCTAACCTGCTGCATTTCACTTCTTGACAGAAAAGAATGTCCTACATTTTCCAAACTACCATTGAGAACCTCAATAATAGCAGACGTGATAGCCTCTGCTTGCTGAGAAGGCACACCTTGTGCTTCTAAATTCTTAACCTACCATGATCACAAAAGCAAAGTTTCCTAAATTCAATAACATATCGAAAAACAAAATTACACATTCTTGAAATTGCATATCATAATCAATGAGTTGCGTAAAAGGATAAAGTAAATTAAGAAATTCTTGACATTGTATCGAGCGCTCCACAAAATCGGTAAAACGACAAAAAAAAAATAAATAAATTAGGGGAGAAAAAGAATACCAGCTGTAGCGTATCAACGAGACAGACACGGTTTTGGTTAGGTTGAGAAAGCTGAGAGATCTGCCTGAAATCGAACCGTTTAACCGGCGTCCAATTCGAAGAAGGCGAACTGTGGAAACTCACGGAGGAGCCGGACTTGTTTACACCGACAAAACCATTAGCAATCGGAGCAGAAGAAGAAGAAGCTGCTTTACAGGTGTTGAGGCTTCGCAATCTAGACAATCCAGAATCAGTTTCTAACCGAACCAGGCGCCTCCAAGCCGAAGCCGCGGCCATAGATGGAAGGTTTCCGTTCCGTTCCGATTATCCTTTTCCAGAAGCGTTTCCGGCGATCGCAAAGATTCTATTTCTTTCTCCCGATTAAACAAAAGGAGAAATTAAAAATGGCGCTTAGTGAGAGCAAAGCGAAAAAAAAAAAAGAAACCGAAGAGGCGGCGGCGGAAAATTGGGAGGGAGGGGGGATGAGGGGGGAGAATGTTGATGGTGGCCGAAAAATGTGACGGAATCAATTGGCGCACTTTTCCTTCTTTTTTTTCTTTTTTTTTATAATACTCCTATACATTATTTAACACGGTTTTGCTTTCTCAGGCTTTATTTGGCGTGCTGCTCTTGTTTTCTTTCTTTGTTTTTTTTTCGTTTTAATTCTTGGGGACAAATTCCGCTTACCAATGTTAAGCATTTACGAAATTAGAGTGTGATAAACAACATTTTGCTCAACTGATTTGGATGGCAGGATATTTGGTGTTTCCCCGCTACCTTATGTGAGTGGAAGAACTATTTCCTTTCCTCCATACCTGAGCTCTCATAATTTATTCTCGAGTACAGAGAGAGAGAGAGAGAGAGAGAGAGAGAGAGACTGGGGGGGATAACAATCATACAATTGATCACTGAATTTCCTGGTCAACATCGCCAAAGCCTCAAATAATCAATCTGTGTAACACATAATTCTAATTCTACAAACAGAAACATATCAATTTCCCTGGATCAATGACCCACACAAAACAGCGCCGATGAAACCAAATCGTATTATTTGGACTGCACCAAAATTGCGCCTTAAAGAAACAACGTTCTGTGAACTACAAAGTTTTACAGAGTAGAAGAACTATGAGGAAACCACCAACGAGAAAATAAAAAAAATAAAAAAAAAAATTCTAACCTTAAAATTACTGTACAAAAATAAATTAAACCTTTGCTAGATCTACCTAGGAATGAATGTAATTGCATCTATTCCCTTTCCTACATCTTCCGTGTGTGTTGTATGGACACAATATATCTCTAGGAACATTCCTCAGATCATTTCCTCCTCTTCTCCCAAAAGATGATTGCCTATTCCAAGGTCTGCCCCCACCATAACCCGGATCCCCACCTTGAGACCCATTCCCCCATCCTCCTTGATTCCCAGGTGGTGCCCCCCAACCCTGGTTCGAGGGACCTCCTTGATTTCCAGGTCCCATTGGACCCCAACCAGATCCAGGTGCTGGAACTGGACCACCGGGTCCCACATTTCCACCAGGAGCCCCCCAACCAGCAGCACTGGGCACAGCCACTGGTTGTGCAACCCACCCAGAGTTAACATTGCCCGGTATCTGCCCTGGTATGGAGGATCCTGCATCTCCAGGGGCAGCAACCCAACCAGAATTTGCATTTCCGGGAGCCGGCCCTTGAACAGTGGAGCCCCAATTCATATTCGGGGGACCTTGTGGCGGTGCAACCCAGCCCATGTTCGGCGCCCAGCCAGTTGTTGAATTGTCAGGTCGCAGTGCAGGAGCAGCAGGAGAATTGGTTTCAGCGTGCGGCCCTGTGCCCCAACCTACATTCGGCAAGGGTGGAGGAGTTTGCATATTGGTCTGATTGCTCTGACCCCAAAACTCGGGCTGAGGCATTACAGGATTCTGAGCTGGAGGGGTGATTGCAGAACCCCACTGATTATAAGCTTGCTGTTGTTGTCCAGGCACAGGAGTCAAAGGATTTGATTCTACCTTCTGCATAGGAGGCCCACCCCAACCATGAGATTCAGTCTGAGAATTCTGATTACTGATAAGTGGAATCCCATTTGGATTATCCTGGGCTCGTAGATGATGACCAAGGTCCTCCATTGAACGTGCTTCTCCAGTGTGTGCCAATGAGGTAGCTTGCAAAGCGTGTCCAGAACCAATTGTTGCACTCCCAGAATCACCATCTCGACCATTGATCAACAGCTCCTTGGTACCTGCTGAAGAATTCACAGAAGCAATGTTAGCATAATGGGATGATAAACCTGAAACTAGTGATTGTGCTCCTCCAACCTCACCTGCATTACGTCCTGGAGTTGGAGAAGGAAGATTAGATAGATCGGTCCTACTCCACTTTTCAGTAGGAACCTCAACAGAAGGAGCAACTGAGCCTTTTAATACAGCCATCTGCTGCAATATTGATAGCCCACGGTTTTGTTCAGCATTTGATCTTTCCCCTAATGTTTCTTCTCTAGACAGTTGCAACTGTGAATCAGGAGTCTTTGCATAATGTCCAGATAAGCCATGAGCAGTGTTAAGAGCGCCTGCAGTCGCCAATTTACTCTCTACTGAAGATTCCTTCTGAAACCTTCCTGCCAATGCATCAGTCAAAAGTATAGAGTCATCTTGCTTTTCGCCAGTTTTCCAAATTCTCAAATTACTGGGGAAGTATCCAGTGTTGTTCCATTTTCGCAACTGAGTCATAGAAAAGGGTCCCTGAACTTTCCCAGAGGGATCCTGGTAATGCCACATTTTTTGAGTATCGTTAATCTTTACAACATTTTCTACTTCTTTAGCTGTTTGAGAAACCAATGAATTCACCGTCACACCCGATACTGATTCAGTTCTGGTCATAGAATTGATATTCAATCCAACATTTTCAGACTGGCTAGATAAACTGAGACTTGATTTAAGTTCAGCTTTATCTCTTCCTTGACTCCACGAAGTATTATTATACCCCATGTCAATCGGAGTGCCACCATCTTCACCAGAGCTAGGCAAGTTTTTACTGAAAACATTTTTGCTTGATTCCCAATTCTTGCTCGGAGTATTTCCCCCATTCCACGAATCTTTAGGAGAAAAATCACTTCCCGAAGAAATCGGTGCTCTTGCACGCCTTGCAAAGCTGGAACCCGAGGTTCTCAGGAGACCTTCTGCAACCACAAGAATACCATTTACTTTATGTCTTGTCCAACACATCAACTTGCTATACAACAAAAGACATAATTACAAGATTGAAAACCTTGTTTGTTTTCTTCAGTTTCACTGTCGTTGTCTTCAGACTCGTTGTTTGGATCCATCTTAGGATCGGCATGTATTTTTGGAACTTCTTCTAATCTTCGCAACCGCTCCTCTGGGGTCTTCAAAATCTGTAATTTCTCAACGCATTCCCTCAGCGTGAATACATAAGTCAAGGCCAACACTAACCCTTCAGAAACGGGTGCCATTCAAACACCATGCATGGGCTTATGATAATGGTTTAGTAACGTGCAAATCAGTCTCATAACCACAAACAAAAAAGAGTACTTCAAACTGATTAATACCAAGACACATTCATCGCAAATGTTGGGCCATATTTTAAAACTATTCCAAGAACAATCAAATGACTCAGCTCATTTCATTTTCTATCGAAACATTTGCCCACCTGAAACAAGTTTAGAACATGAACACCCATAAATTTTTAAGCCTTAAAAACATGTTAGGCAAATTCTTAATTTTGCCAAACACCTAAACCAAACGACCATATGGACACAAGCATCACTATCAAACAACGGCAAAGAACAACATCCTCGTGATGGAGACGAAAAGAAAAAAAATGCAAAATAGAGTTAATCTACAATCTAGAAAAAACACCAAACTTTCGCACTGACTTAATTTTGCAGGACCAAGTAAAAGCCTAAATAAGTAAGCTGTGCACAATTAGAATTAAGAAATTAGAACCAAGAAGCCATACAAGAACAGTCCGACGACCGACGAAAGGACAATGCTATTACTGAAGATTTAAGTCACAAAACTGGTACACCGTGTGTCCCCAAGTACATCAATATACTCAAATGGCAAGGAGAAAATGCAAAATTTAACTCCGGGGCAAGCATTAAGCTAATGAACAAGCTAGTACTTATTAACGAGAAATAAGAAAGAAGATTATATGCAAAATAAGGATATTCCTTTCTGTGCCCCATATCACTTGCTCGATCACGAAGATGGCTAAGCCGCTGAGTTTCTGATTCCAGCCACTGCAATACAAATATGCTGAGTATTTGAGGTAAAACAATGGCACAACAGGTTTACGCTAAAGCCTCGAATGCCAGTAAAAAATTTGGCCCATGCTTGTTGGATTTTGCAAACATATATAAACATGAAGAACTGGGAACAAACTGGGCCACTTAGAAAATCTTCATGGAAACAGAAGACTTTTAGCTGGTCATATTAGCAAGCAAGCACCCTGTGGTGATCGATATTAGATTAAAGCATCAACATAAATTCTCGTTGTCTATAATTCAACAGTTTATTTTAACCATCAAGAACAATTAAAATCCAGCAACAGGACTCACTAATGCTTAATGCACTAGCGCAGGCACATACAGATGCCTCACATATTTGTAATTTGGAGAATGTGAAGCAATAAAAACGATGATCAACCAAATCAATCAGAGGCAAACTTACATCATTCACTCTGACTGTCTGTAATTCCATGGCCTTGTCAAGAATGTCACCCTGTTCACATCCAAGGTAAGCAAGAAGTACTAAATGAGATTCTTCATGTCCAAGGTACTAACAGAAACCAGTTTAGTAATTACCACAGTCATTCTGTCAAGTAGACCGCATTTTATACTCTGACGCAACCTTTTGCATTCTTCCTGGTAAAATGAACAGTATGTTAAAACTTCATTAGCTAACCTTCACAGGAAAATAAGACTAATGGGTACATTTCTTTTGTTACAATTGTCAAAAGCAAAAGGCCAAAAACAAGAGCAACACATGAAAATAAGCTCAGCAAATTTCATGAAATAATTGAAGCAAAGCCATTTATCTTCAAAGAAGAAAACATTTTCCAAAAATAAAACACCACGAGAGTAACACTGGCTCCACAAACAAAGCACTTCTCAGACTATGTAGCGAATATGTTTCAGATTTCTAGTAGTGCTACTTTAATTACCATGCACACTTAGGTATCTAAACTAAGTGCAGAACCACTAACACATACATATGAACACTGCCTGTGCAAATAGGAGAGAGTACACGATTACCCCAAACAGGAAGGTAAACTGAAGTTACTAAACTAAATGTTGTTGCACAAACGGCTCGTTAGTACAACTTGCAGGGCAGGAAACCAAACAGTTAAATATTCTCTAAAGGACTGCGAAAATAATTGATTATTGCAACAATTTTCCAAATTGAGCCACATATTAACAGTAACTAAAGAACGTGCAAATTCTTGCCACAAAATAAACACTTCCCCTAAGGCAAAGTCTATACTTAATACAGTACTAGAAAATTTCAATTTCCTCTCTCCTCGGAGTGGCAAAAAGGTGTGCAATTGAGCAAAAGAACTAATTTCATGCACAATGTAAAAATTTATGAGATATGGTTTAGCATTACCTCAGTGAAGTCTTGATTAGAAATCGCGTCAATGGATACAATCTCTGTCTTGTTTAAATTAAAAATCTCTAACATCACATCAGTGGTCTTTTTGCCAACTTTATATGGCTCAGCCGCTTTGCTTGTACCTATATTAAAAAAATGAACTTTTTCTTAGATAAAGAACAAATTTTGAACTTGGAGCTTGCAACTGTATTAATCATAGTATACAAGAATAACTGAAGTGGACATGTTATAAGTCGTTACCCACTACTTTCACAAGCCTATAAAGGTCTTGCTTTTGATTACTCCCAGAAATTCTTATTCTTACAAAAGTATTGGTAACTTTATTCTCAAAGTTGTCACCATCTTCAAGAATATCCTCCATCAATTTCCGACGCAGGTATATCAAGCTAATATTATGTGTATCAATGGCTGCATAATCATAGCGATTAGATAGAGGAACCCTATCACTCTTTTTACGTATTTTCCGTTTTTTCTCTTTAGCCCCCTTTGTCACAGTGTCATCATCCTCATCAGCTTCTGTCTGGTTCACTTCAGAGTCAGCAGCACTGCCTTGAACATCATCGGTATGAGCATCCTCTTTCACAAGAAAGTGAGATTCAAGTAGTTTCAACATTTCAAAATGACCCACCCGAGGCTTCCCGAAAATATTTTCAAGTCTTGAGTCGCAAATGATTTGACTCTTCCGACGAGGATCACGAAGTTTGTTTCTTTTGATGTATTCAAGCAGGAGGGCCTGTACATCAAACTGAGAAAGAACAGATGCATCACCATTTTTCATATGCATAACAAATTCCAAAAGCTCTTTTGATGCCCATTCCTCATTGCTAGGTGATGAGGGTGCATCAGCAGAGTCCTCTTCCTCGGCAACGGATCTTGACCGCTTCTTAGCCTTTTTCCTTTTTGGTTTAGCTCCTTCCGAATTCTTGGCATCATTACTAGAAACTCCACCGTCCTTGTGCCCTATTGGGGTCTCAGGTGATTCCTCCTTGCTGATGGATATGTCAGAACCCTTCCAAGGATTCCTGGCCTTGCCAATTTCAGCTGATGTTAACGATAATTTAGATTTCAAATCTGTGTAGTAATCCTTAAAGAGAAACTCCCAACTACTCTGGTCATTGAAATCAACCTGACAAAGCAAAACATGGCATGCAAAAGGTTTTCAGAATCACCCCAACGATAGAGATGAAATATTCCAATGCTCAAGTCGAACATATTTCACATCCCAATCTAAAAAATCCAAAATGCCAAAAAAATTCATACTCCCTACAAGAGAAGACATGAATATTATATGCCAAACTACCGGAGCATATAAACCGCAACATGCTTCGTAAAAATTTTAAAAATTTCGAAAAAAGCATCATGAAGTTCTTATTGAAGAGTTTGTCTAATGAGAAAATTGTATGAACCAAAAGAAGTCAAGTCCAAAAGAAAAACTCTGTCAAAGGGATCAATCACTAGATTCCATCTATCTTACAAAATTGATAATTGTGATTTAAGTTAATAATAAGAAGCCAGGACTTACATATTTGGAACTTATTCCATGTTAGATCCCAAAAAAAAAGTAGATATAACCAATAACCACGTTGAAGATGCATTAGTCATATCCAGTAGCTTCACATAAGAACACTTATCCCAATATAAGACAAACCAATCAAAAGATGAGGCAAGATAAGAGTCCTGGTCTAAGTACACATCAATTAACAAGCGTTTTTTTGCGCGTATGCGTGTGTGTGTTGGGAGTGAACATACATCGTTATTTCCCTCTGAACTGTCTTCTATCAGCTTGACTGTCTTCATGCAAGTCTCACAAAAACCTTTGTTTCCTCTGACGCAAAAGATCACACCATCCTTTATACATCCTTTACATAAGGAATAGGGACAGGTGTAACACATATATTGAGCATTCTTTTTACAAAAGTTGCAATAATGCCAACCTGAAACAAATTGAACACCGGACCAGTTAATGCATAAAGCCTTCTGCGGAGGACAAATTTTTAATTTAAAAAGGCAGTAATACCTCAAACAATTCAACAGAACCTAAAAACAAACCAATCTAAAACCCTCAACTCTTCATTATCCAAAACAATTAACATGAGTGTATTTAAGTAAAAGTAAGCAGATATGAAGTTACCACAATTCCAGCGACCCTTCGTTTGGAAAAAAGCTTCGTCTCGATCTACACAAGAAGTATGATAGGCCTTGGAGCAACCCCTGCAAAAACATGAAGTGTGTGAAACTCTGTAACTAAAAAAGGGACTTGAGGAGATTGTATTACCCTGCAAATCATAAACAACACCTAAACTCTTTTTTTAACTTTTAAAGTGAAGAAACAGGTCTCCCTAATGAGTTTTATGGCCAACAGAATTCAGTTAACAACACCACCAAACCTACCGTCGGTCACACAGAAAAAGGTCCCCACCATCGAAGCAAATAAAGCAAACATCTTCCCCCATGATCTTTTGAGTTTTTGATGAGGTTTTAGACTTGGTGCTAGCTTTAGCGTTCTTTCCCCTCTTGCTTTTCTCTCCAACAACCCTGCTTGACTCCCCAACATCTGTTTCAGTTTCTTCTGCCTCCGCCAAAGCAGACTCCTCAGCAGCCATCTCTTCAGTTCCCTCGTTCTGGGGAACATGATCTATGTCATCTATCTCAGGCAGACCCTCCACATTATCAAGCGCCTCTTCCTTCTCTGTCGTTATCATTGTGTCTCCTGTTTCAGTTTCTGTGTCCATTTCAGTTCCAGCTAATACAGACCCATCCTCAGTAAGCATCTCTTGTTCCTCTTCATCTAGTGAAGCATGCTTAGCATCATGTGTGGTGGGGGTAGCATCTACATCAGCAACCTCTCCAATCTTTGTTTCAGCCTCCTTAGCCTGCTGCAGTATTAACACCCTTGGTTCCTGCCCTGCATCTGATCTGACTTCCATTTCCGACCCGATCAAATCAGGATCATCATTAGCAACAACCTGTCCGTCCCCATCTCGGGGAACAAGCTTAGCATCATGTGCACTTGGAATAGACTGGACAATATCATCAACAGTTTTTATTTCGGCCTGATTCCCTGTTCCTGATACAACCTCTTCCTGAAGCACGTGTGTTTCAGCATCCAATCTCGTATCTACCATGCCACCTTCCTCTTCAGCAACTAGCTCTTCATCTTTATCGTCACCTTCTTGCTGAATAAAGGCAGTGTCTACTGGCGCCTGAAGGGATTCAACATTACTACTTGCATTAATAGCCTCCGTCTCAGCCTCCTTTTTCTGGTCAGGCAGCAATTCTTCATTGGCTTTTTCATCAACCAGGATGACTGGTTGTTGACCATTATCATACTGCATGTCACTCGACCCAAGATTTTCAATTTCTTCTGTCCCCTTTATGACGCCGCCCACTTCTTTGTCTTCAATTCCTTCTTTGGGCACCTCTAAACCCTCCAAGCCAGAACCCTTTTCTGGGTCAGATTCCTCCTTAATCACTTCAAACACTGCCACGGCATCCACTTTAGACTCAACCTCAGCCATTATCATCTCTTCAGCAGTTGTTTTTCCTCCATCCAATTCATCTACCTCTTTCTCAGCTCCCATCATCCCGACTATCTCCACTGCCATTCCTGCACCTTCCTCAGCGCCTGATGCAACAGTTGACTCCGTATTGAGCTTCTCTCCTTCCGCGACAGCCGTTTCAAAATCATCCAAAACGGTCTCATGGCTCCTTTCGTCCTCCGAAACTGAAACGACTGAATCATTTTCCTCTGTAACACCTCCGGCAGTCGCACTGGCAACTTCTTTAGATTCCACCGCCTCAGCCGCTTCTTCAACCTCTTCGGTTGCACCCACCAAACCGGTTTGCACCGACACCAACTCCACAGGGGTTTCCTCATTCGTCACCTCGACGTCACCCCCAGTAAAAACAGAATCCTCTCTTCCAACCTTTTCCGTCAAAAACCGACCATGGCCGCCGCCGCCTCCTACTTCTGCCTCCGCCTCCATTTGTTTATCTTCCACGTTGTCAGCCCCGTGCATGTCCCCTGTCTCCTCCTCCTTTCTCGCCAACCCTTCCCCGTCTTTCGAATCAGGAGCTGACACGTTGGAGTCGGCTGATTCCGGAACGAATTCACGTTGCTCCACCGCATCGTTCAGAGCTCCGCCGCTCAATCTTTTCTCTTCAATTGGGTCTAGCTGTTCTTCATTCGCTGCATCCTCCTGCGAGGGTTTATCAAAATTCGATGACGAGAGCATCTCTTCTCCATCTTCTCCCATTAAAAACAACAACAACAAAACAAATTGAAAAACCCTAACCCTAAAATTTCTTCGCAGGTTTTGGTAGTTTTGCGTTGATACCTCTAACTAAATAAATTAGGGTTAACATGTGCGTTTTACGATTCAATTTGCGGGGAATTGAACGAATTCTGGAAGAGAGAGTGAAGTAGAAGTGAATTGATTTTGCGTTATCTCAAAATAAAATTTTTTCCCTTTTCTCTTTTTTTGGGTAGAAAGAATTGGGGGGTTTTGGACTTTCAGTAAAACTACCTTGATACGCAGCGTAGAAAGGAGGTATCAAGCGTGTGCGTGTCAATGGGCCTCGGGGAATGGGAAAGCTGGACCTAATTGACCTGATCATTTGGGCTGATCTCGGACAAGGTTTCTTGAATTGCAGAATTATCTTTGGGTCCTTTACTTTTAGGTAATGTATGGATTACTCCGAGAAATGCAAAAAATTGTTGGATTTTCTTCCTGAGCGAAAATCACACCGCCCATTTTTTTTTTAATTTCTTTCTTTTTTTAGAACCAGCACATATTAGTAGTTGGGACTTGGGGAGAGACACCAAAACTACCACTCGCCCCGATCCTTAATATAAGGCATTTTAATTTATATTATATTTAACCTAATACATATTTTTAATTGACAGAAAAATCTTAAATATATTTTATACTCTCTCCGGTCTTTAATATAATGCATTAATCGACAAAATAATCTTAAAAATATATTTTCATATTCGTTATGTTCTCTTGATTGTTATGAAATAATTTTAAGGTTTTTTCGTCAATTAAAAATACGTACTAGGTGAAACCTATGACAAATCAAAATGCCTTATATTAAGGACCAGAGGGAGTATAAAACATATTTCGATAGGGCATACCCGACGACCGAACAATATTATCATAATGTTTCATATTTCATCAATATTTCCGCCTACAACTATAAAAAAGTCTTTGATTAGATACTCAAATCTTATTTCAATGTTAAATGACCAAAAAGTTACGAACGTAAATATAAGGATAATTTTAGTCAAATATTAAAGTAGATTATCAAAATGTGCACTTAACCTAATATAAAAGACTATTTTTAGATTTTTAGTCTATTTACAAAAAAGGGGAAAAAATATATAATAAGATGTTGCATTGTGGTTTTGTACGAGAGTATATCAAATAGTTACATATGATGGACGGTCAAAATTCGGTAAGTAAACTATGAATTGTCTTAATAAAAAGGGTTGTTATCTACAAACCCCAGTGAGTTAGGATCCTACCAATAACGCAGTTAAGAGAAGTTGGTTAAATCAATATAATTAGGTGTAGTGATGGACGGATCTATTAAGGGACTTGGAGGTGATAGAGCATCTCCCCCGCCCGGAATTCTAAGGGCGTCTCCAATCGGCCCTTAATGGAGGGATTTAATCTCCAAGGGCATCTGTATTTTAAGGGAGCCGCTCCGCCATTCCTCTATATGCCTCCATGCTCCTGGACATGTCCAGGGGCACTGTTCACCCGCTACTTTTATGGTGGGTGGGGTTCAGTCCCCATTTATTTATTTTTTCAATTTTTTATTAGTTTTTGGGCTAAAAATTAGGCTTAATTTAGATTAATTCTGGACTTCTTTGTTATTTTATTTAGTTTGATTGACCGAACTTCGCTAATGAAAATGTAATAGTAGTATTTTAAGTAATGGTTGTATTGTTATATTTAATTATTATATATTTATTTGATAATAATTGAAATTAATTATTTTAATAACCTACTTATATGTAATTATTTCATGTTTAATTATGTGTAATAATAATATTAAAATAGCAATGTTATTTTCATAATCGGATAATTATTGTAAAAAAGAGTTTAAAACTAACAAGAAAAGTAAATTATACAATTACACAAACAAAAAATAAATATTGATAAACTTTAAACACAATCCATTCTAACTCACTGGAAATTAAAACTTCAACATTACACTAAATATTAAATGACTAATCTAATTATAATGTTGCTACGTATATATTTTTTACTTGTAAAATGTATCAAATGATTAATTATAAAAACTACTTATTAGATTTAATAAATTAGAAAATAATATAATGAGAATATTCTTTTAGATGGAATTATATCTGATACCACTTGTAACGCCCCAACTAGACTCCCATCCTTATAGCGAAGGAATCATAGTCAAAACGCGCTCCTAACTCTCGCTAGGTCTCGGTAAAACAGTTCATAGGTGATCAGGAGCAATAACTTAAGACCTTGCCAAGTCAAAAGTTATAATTGATATTTTGTATAGGATTTATTACATGTATATTTTACAGCATATTGAAGAACAACGTTCTCCATTTGTGTAACTAACAAAAGTCTGTAGAACTAAAATACAACTAAACCCGATCATCTTCATGAATGCTAGGTTTTCTGAAGCGTGTCAACAAGGTAATTTAGCATTTCTATTCATGGAGTATAAAAAAAATATAAACGCTCAATGAGGTCTCACCGATCATCTATTAATAATCTAGATGACCACATAGTCAAACAAGTTATCATAGAAAGTCACATAATATAAAGTAAAGTTACTATGACTAGTTCACCGAAAAATGTTATAATTCAAAGGATAAAGAGTGGTTACCATTAGCCAAATACATAAAAATAGTAGCACATTAGTGGGGGATATGAGTGAGAGTAGTTAGAAGTCTGATCCTGCCTATATGGCTTATGGAATGAACTTCTAATTATTCTCAAACTTGTAACGAGATCACGATAAAGAACAAAAGTATGCATCGACAGCCATCGCCCGGAACGATAACGATAGGGGGTATATCTCGAGATTATACCGGAACGCCCTCTTGGGTTGTCTGGCCGGGTGATCAAACCCGTTGCCGACTCAACAGATGTTGACTTCCCAACAGGTTTCGTGGATCCACTAACGAACATGCATACGTTTCAAGCAGGACACGGCTAGTATATAGAACATGCAAAGATCAAAGATACATACGATAAAGTACACATGACCCTGTACAGACACAACAAATCTAGACATTTTAAAGCCCAACCAACTAGACAGATTTCAGGTTCATAATTTAGTATCCAACAAGGAGGCATATATACATACAATGCAAACATAATCAAGTACCCGGTGAGATAAAGTACACACGCGGGACAATCATGATATACAATGTTTTCAAATTAAAGATTAATAAAATAAAAGTAGGCATGCAACTCTAGTTTCATGGTATTAACCTAACTAGTTTACATGCAATTATTTATATAGTGAGATTACTCACTGTTGTGAAGCAGTGCATTGCCCTAAGATCCATGATCTGCATTCCTTTTAATAATCTAGTGAGAGAATTATCTAGCTGAAACTTAGTCAAGTTTCTCTGTTAACTACTATTCCAACTAATTCATCTCCCTTTATTCATTTTAGTTACTTTTATTGTCATTATACTCTATACTTATTTTTATTTTATTTCCTTTTTCCCATGAAACCACGAACCAAATTCTAAGTCCCCCTGTTGCTAGACCAATATCGTAAGATAGCTTGTTGCCCTCGTCCACTATATCTGTACAACAATTTAACGATATTATATGAACTCTATATTTACAAGATTACGACTTCCTAACACTGTTGAAACTGTAAAATAGAGGAATTTTATTGTAGAAACTGTAAAATTGAGGAATAGAGGGGTGTAGTATTGGAGATGCCCTGTAGGAAGGTATTCAGGGCTTTGCTATAAATAATTTTCTCTCATGATGCACATCCAAAGAGTGCATAAAAACCCTTTTGAGGAACACTAAGGTTTTCAAGTTTCAACAGCGATATCCATGAATTGAAAAAATTTTCGATGAATGATGGGAGAAATTGATTAATTTTGTCCACGAGAAAGTTCACGGTGAGAGAATTGGAATTGCAGGAAGTAGGACGAAGACGACGATTATTTGTGTTTTATAGTTGAATTACTTATTTGGCCCTTAAATAGCACAATTAACAAATAGTGAGGAGGCTCTTTTTGGAATTTTACTACATTTTGAGTATTTTGATATTGGGTGATTGGGCCGCCTATTATTGGTACATGTAATAAGCCGGATACAATTATAACTTAGTGATTTTTGTTTTAGCCATATAATTAAACAATAATTAAGCACAAGTGAAGTGACTTAATGGCCCATAAATAAATTTTTTGGGGTATTGAAACCAAAATCATTTTGCACTTTCATAATTGGATTTCAAAAGTTACAAATAACGAATGTTTGTTAAAAAAGTGAAAAAAAAAATTGAATATAACTTACACTTATGTTCAAAAATTATTAGCATATTATGCACCAAAAAAAATCCACATAAGTTCTTTTATATATTGAGCACCTTCGACCTTAGGGCCTATTTCTGTCCCTGGGTGTAGCAAGTTAAGTACTCCCATCATGTAGTATATTCTTCCAATTGAAGATAAAATCTTAAAAATATTTAACAATAACTGAAAAACACAATAAGTATGAAGATACATTTTCAAGGTTTCATTTTCAATAACAAGAGCATGCTAAATAAAATTTAAGACAAATCAAAATACATATACTCCATCCGATTCTTATTATGAGACATTTTGATTTGTCGTAAGTTTCACATAATATATTTTTCTGATTGGAAAAAATAATTTAATACTATATTTTCACATCCATGTGCTCTAATAATTATTAGGAAATATTTCTGAGATTTTTTTTTGCAATTGAAAAAACATATTATGTGAAATTTATGACAAATCAAAATACCTTATAATAAAGACCATGATGAGTAATAAGGACCGAAGGGAGTATTAGTTTTTCTGATAGACCTGAATAATATTTTTTTTAAAAAATATCCACCTCAATGGACCCCACTTAAATGTGGGTCAAACTCACCTTTACAATCCTTGTTGGAAATCAAATTCTGGTCTATTATCAGTAAAAGGCTAAGGGTAGCAGCCTAACCACTATGCTGTCATTTACTTTCTCCGTCCCAAATAAGTATCGTTTTAGTAAAATGGAGGAATTTCAAAATAAATGTCGTTCTCACATTTCAATGCACTTTTTGTCCAAAGTTTCTAAAATTACCCCCAAAAGAATTAATATTATTGGTGGTTATTTTTTTAATGGGGTTGGTTGAGGATATTCAAGTAATTTTATTACCCTATTTAAACTATGTGTAAAGTGTAGGATGTCATTTATTTTGACATGGAGGGAGTAATTTCTAACCTAAGTGTTCTATAAAAATTAATGGATCCACAATAATGATTTAGGGGTATTGAACTGTAAACTTAAATATCTATCGATGCACTTCTTACAACATTGTAAAGACAAAATGATAAAAATAAAACTGAAGAAATAATTAAATATCTCAATTGAAACGTTACAAGTGCAACAAATATTGTTACAACTTACAAGATTATAATGTATAAATAATATAGTTTAATCGTTAATGGCTCAGAAAGGCAAAAATATTATATAACCCCTTCTCTACAGACCTTATATTACCTTAGCATAGGTATTCCCTAGAATGTTATATTGAATGCACCCGATTTCAGAGAAAAATAATATTGTATTATACTCCTTCCGGTCTTTATTATAAAGCATTTTGACTTTTTTTAGGTTTCATTTAATACATATGTTTAATTGACAAAAAAATTTTAAAAATATTTCATTAAAAAATGAGTACTAGGTAAAATCTAAGAAAAATCAAAATGTCTTATATTAAGGATCAGAGGGAGTAAATTAAAATTTGATCGTATCACTTTTTACAATTTTTTTTTTTTTTTTTTTGCATATTGCAGGGTGTCCACCGTCGGCAACAGTGACTAATTCCTCTTGATTGTGGTAGGCACCTCGATTGGTGAAAGAGCTGGCCAAAAAATTTAAGGTTACTCCATACTCATGGTGAGGTTCGAACTATCGACCTATGGTTAAAGGTGGATGAGTCTTTACTACTCCACCACAACCCCTTTGATTACCACTTTTTACAACATTGTAAAAACCAAAAGAAAGAAAATAAAAAGAAGGAAGAAATAATTAAATAACTCGCAGTGAGACATCGCAAATGCAACAAAAATAAATACACAAATGTGAAATGTCCATGTGATAAGTTTAATTGTTAAAAAATTATGAAAACACCAAAAATATCGTAGAACACACAATATGATAATTCGCGAAATAAAGTAACGTTATTCCCATTTATTTTGTAAAGTTATGTAGCAAAAATACTTATCTCTACTAGGAAAGAAAAACAAAAAACGTGTTATTTGTAAAAAAGAAAAAAAAGAAAAAAGAAAAATACTCCCGAAACCTACGATTATAACAACAGAAAATAATTCATTGTTACGACCTACGATTTTAAGACAAAAGCTGGGTACGAAACTAACGACCTTAGCAGTACACATGATTTGACACGCCGACACGACTTTAGTACATTAGTTCTTAAAGCGAACAGTCACTACTAAAACACAGGCTTTGTTAGATCCCCAAATCCAATCATCGATACCAGCAGCCCTAGCTCTTCTTCTATCCACACAAGCAGAACAACTCCGACGGAAAAGCTTCTCTCAATCGGTCTTCATTCTCAGGTTTCTTCTTCTCCTTCTTATTTTCCTGCACGGGTAATTGCTACTGTTTGTGTAAGATTTGGATTCTTGGGGGCAAGTAATTTTTAGATTAGGCTGCAAATTTTTCTATATAATAGTTTCGGAAAAGCGTGGTATAGTTTCTTCGCGTGGTATAAAAAAAAAGCGTGGTATATCGTTGCTGGAGGTTTACGAATCAGTAAAGCTCTGGATGCAGCATTGTTGACGGGACTTAGCAAATTAATGTCAGCTCTTACTTTTTTGGGACGTTTTGTCTTACTATTTGAATATTTTCATTGTGAATGTTCACCGCGTACAATGTTAATTAGGGGTTGGGGAACTGAATTATTCTTCGAATTAAAGGGAAGACATGGATTTTTTTTTTTTTTTGGGAATTGGGAACTGAATATTCTTCTGAAGCAGAGGAAAGAAAGGATTTTTAGTAGTTTGGGGTTTCTGTTCATGGTGAGAGCTACTCAGTAAACATTTATATGAATATAAAAAGTTCCTGACTTTTTTTTCGGTGGGCTTATAGTTAGAAGCAATACATCTTATACGGGTTCGAGGAGTGGGAATTGGTCAACCTTGTTGGATGTTTCCATCTGCCATTGTCTCTTACTTTGTTGTTTAGCTGGTAAAATATGTTTCTGATAATGTTAGCGATTTGACATGAGTTAGCGGATATAGTACGTCCTTTTTAATTGTTACTTAAGTTTGGCATGGTCAATTTATCAGCCGAACAAAGCCCACATTGTGGGATCGGGGTTCTAAGTTGTTTTTGTCGTGGCCTCGGGCAAAATTGAGATCAGCATTGCCATTAGCTATTTTGTTTATTTTTTGGCTTTGTTTATTGATGTTTGTGTCACTTTTCCACATGTTGATTGTCACAAAGGGAATCATGTTGCAGTTACGTTTATTTGCAAGTTGATTGTGGATGGTTGGCTCGAAAACTAAAATTGTACTGTCCATTAAACTCATCTCCACGAATTCTCTCTGTTGGAGGCTGGAGTGTGTGTGAAGTCTTCTAATGGTGCATTAATTTTGGTTGGGGGAATGAATCATCATGTATGATCATGATTCATGGTCCATGAATAATGTTCAGATGCACAGATAGATCCATATTGGAAGACCCAAGCAGTGGACTTCCAGGTGGATCTTTGTGAAGCTTCTAAAAACATGAATTTGTAGAAGGAATTTTGCGCAAGTAGTGATTCATATTTGCAGTTACTGCCTATTATACCCAATTATTAAAGGTGTTGTAGAAGATGATTAATTTCTTGTATCAAGAGCTCAATATTAATGTTGATACATATGTACAGCTGATGCAATTATAAACTTGAATTGATAGGTTGTGTTGTAAGAAGAAATTAGCTGCATGTTTAGCTCTGTTTCATGGAACTGGCGCATGGGTGGTTCTTGACTGAATCGATGATGGATGTCTACTAGAATTTACTTTTTCTGCTGAGATAATCTTTCAACATTACTAAGTTGTGGTTGAAGGCAGTATGTTGAATCAATGTTTTCTTGGTGGTAGTTAGCAAGATGTGTGGCTGATGTGGGGATGCTTTTACTTGTTGAGAAATATATGCTTACTAGTGTTGGATGTGGTGCTTGAAAAGGGCTCAAGGTTCTATTTTGGAGTTATTGATGTGGTCTTGGGTGTGTGGTTGTGGTGGACAGGGAGGAGGCAGTGGCTCCGGTGGTGGTGGTATTTGCAGATCTTAGGTGGTCAGTGTTATTTGGTGTAGACTTGGAATATGAGCTCAGGAAGCAGGAGCAGGAGCAGGAGCAGGAGCCGCAGCAGGAGTCCAATGGATCGTAAGATCCGTACTCAACGCTATTCCTATCGTGATGCGCCTTATAGACGGGAGACAAGGCGGGGAGGATTCAGGTTTCTGGTTTATGTTATTTATCAAATACTTAACTTTAAATTATGTTATCAAATGAGTAAGAATTGGTTGAAAGGTGGAGTATGATTTTGGGTTCTGCATTGAATGGAGCAGAAGTTGATGGTGTGGCATGGTGGTGGTAGATGCTCTAGTACGAGTGTCTGGATATTGTAGCTGATATTTTATTTTTAAACCAACAAGCAGCTGTCAGTTGCTGGATTAAACTTCATAACTTAAAGTTTAGAGCAGAGCTTTTGTCATGCTTCTACCGTTTCTGTTCATGCATGATTTAAATGTTTGCATGATAGGTGCTCAATAGTGTGTTTAGTCTTCTATTCTTTCTTATGTGGATGTTGATTTGTACTTTTGTTTTACTGTCCTTCACAGTCAAAATAGTCTCTGCAAGAACTGCAAACGGCCTGGTCACTTCGCGAGGGATTGCACGAATGTTGCCATATGTCACAACTGTGGTCTTCCTGGGTAAATATTTATTTCTAAGTTTCTTAATTTACTGCAGCAATAAAACTCTGTGCTTATGAAATGTGAGGATTCAATCCATGTTGAAACTTGTTTTTAGATTTTTATTGTTATTTTCTAATGAGGTGTAGCAAGATGCAATAGAGAAATGCATGGATTGGTAATTACTAGATTTGTTTAGTTTTTTTAACTAAAGACTTGGTAAAACACAGAAGAAAACTCACTTTATTATTGAGTTCATTTTGAACTTGTGAAGACTATGTTTCATGAGCCCTGCTTTGCTATTTGAACTTCAGATTTTACTGGAGGTAACATGAATTATTTGAACTGCTCTTCATGAGAAAAGTTGAACCATTTAATAGCACAAGCAGTGCTGCTAAAAACCACCATGAGAATCTACGGTTCTGTTTTGTGTGCTTCAGTAGTCATATTAATACTTATGAATTTTCATGTGAACCAGGCACATTGCCTCAGAATGTACCACAAAAGCTCTCTGTTGGAACTGCCGAGAACCTGGCCATATGGCTGGAAACTGTCCAAATGAGGGGATCTGCCACACCTGTGGAAAGGCTGGTCACCGTGCTAGAGACTGCTCCGCACCCCCTTTGCCGCCTGGTGACCTGAGGCTCTGCAACAACTGCTTCAAGCAGGGGCATATGGCTGCTGATTGTACAAACGACAAGGCGTGCAAGAATTGTAGGAAGACAGGCCACCTTGCGCGTGATTGTCAAAACGAACCGGTTTGCAATTCATGTAACATATCCGGGCATGTAGCTAGAGATTGTCCGAAATCTAATGTTCTTGATGAAAGGGGTGGTGGTCCCCGCTTTGGTCTTGGTGGTGGTCCCAGTGGTGGTGGATACCGGGACATTGTATGCCGAAACTGTCAGCAAGTAGGGCATATGAGTAGAGATTGCATGGCGTTGATGATCTGTCACAACTGCGGTGGGAGAGGACACCTTGCATATGAATGCCCTTCTGGAAGGTTGATTGACCGCTTCCCTCGAAGATATTGATGAATGTTACTGTTATCGGTGTACCACCGCATGATGTCACCACAATAGATTTGGACCGGAATTGTCGTCTAGTTTTGAGAATAATCTATGTTCCAAAAAAGCTTATTGTATTTGCTTTTGGTTTTGTGTTTGGACTATACAATCATGCTTGTGTTTGTTTGAATATGATTGCAGTGATGATGTACTTTTGTGCTCTGCATGGTTATCAAACCTGCCAGTTGATGAATTAATTATGCCATGATTGCTAGAATGTGTTCCCTATTTAAAATGTTGATTTTTGTTTCTGGAGGGCCGAACTTTTAGACAGTTTGTAGAGATTGCCAAGGTTGCTGTTCATTGGTAGTTATGTTAATCGTTCATTGTAATTGAATCTCTGAAACTGAGGCACATGTTTTGGTAGTGAATGCACGTAACCTCCCCGGGGTTTTTTTTTTTTTGGTCTGTTGTTTTGGACATCACTCTGGAAAATGTCTTGAGTTCTTAGCGCCAGAGTCATCAACCCAATGGATAAAGGAGATTCAGAATTGACTGAATCACAGCAGCCTGTGTATTCCAGTGGATAATCATTACAATTGGACATTGGACTTGCATTGCTTTGATCTTCGGATTCAGAGGTTGGATAGCAAGTTATACACTCGACTCCGAAAACGAAAACTTTCACTTGATACACACAATAAAGAGTCAGGAATTAAATAACAATCTAGTGGTTAGGTTGTTGTACTTCTTGATAATAGACCAAGGTTCGACTCCCATCGGAAGATTTTTACCCACATTTAAGTGGGGTTCACTGGAGATCAAGTTCTATTTCATTTTCACCTTGGGTCACTTAGAATTAACACTTAATTATCAATAAAATACCATAAGTTGGGGCTCCGTCCTTACTATATACCCTAAGTTCAAATTGTCTTTATTTAATACCAGAAGTTGAATTCTCTCTTTTCCGTCCATGAAACGTTTAAAAAGAAGACGGAGGCGTGCAAGTCACGTGACTATTATATAAGATTAACGGAGGGACATTTTTGCCTTTTAACATCTTAACCCACCCAGCCCGTGGTCACGTGCCCCGCCCGTGCCTCCCAATCATGTGGGACCCACTAGGCTACAGTCGAGGTAAACTTAGTTCATTACCCCTTTGACTCCCAACACTTTTATTTTTTTCCTTCTCGAGTCAAACTACAGAGAAAAAAAGAGGAGGGAGGGGGGAAATTAGGGTTCAGGGTATCGAAGGTAAAAAGGGAAAACGAATGTGGGTAAAATAAAGGATTTTTGAGACTTGAATAGGTTTTAGGTTTGAGTTTGCTTGCTTGTTCATCTTAGGATGTGGAGAGGAGTGAACTTCAATCCTCCGAATGAGTACGAACATGAAGCTCCTGGCTATGGTAAATTTTCTATTCGTACATCTGAGTAGATCTCAGTAGATCTGGGTAGATCTGAGTATTTTAGGTTTATTTTTTATGGGTTCTTCACGGGAGTTGTGTGCCTTTTCGATTCCGACTCTAATTCTTTTATCGGGTTTCAGAACCTTCGTCTCTGTGCAGATTGATTTTTTAATTAAAAGTTTTATGGGATCCATGCGCTTTTTATGGAGATCTGGATGTCATAGGAAAAAAAAATGGTTCCTGGATTTCTGAAACTCTTCGTGTTAGTGTTTAAAATTTATGTTTTTTGGCTTTTGCTGAGAATCTGTTTAGAACATGTGTTTTTTAATGCATTTGTATTAGGGTTTAATTACAAATCGGTTATGGGGATCAAAAAACAAAATGGAACGAAGTCTTTCTATTATGACGTCATAAGGTGACAGTACGATGACGTCATTGTGAACAGTGATGTCAACTTTTGATTTTGAAATTTGAATTTTGAATATTTGATTTAATCAGTTATGTGGATATTTGAATTTTTAAATTCTGAATTTTGAAAAAAGTCCTGCTACGTCATCATCAGGTGACATGTACGATCTGACATGTACAATGACGTCACTTTGAACAGTGAAAGTCGACTGTCAGATTGAAGGTTGAATTTGAAATTTGAATTTTGAATATCTGATATGAAGGCTGTAACAGTATAAAGTTAATTCATTTCTGTATGAAGTTAGGTTAGGTTTAGTCCTTTTGTTTGCTAGACTAATATTACACCATAGATGGAATTTTTATTTGGTTTATTTTTTTGGTGCTGCAGCTGATGGATCGAAGATGGTAACAGTGAAATTGCGGCATAGTGGTGGTTTCATTCTCCAGCGTTGTTACAAATATGTAGAGGGCGAGGCTGAGTATTTTGACAACGTGAATTACGAGTTGCTCACAGTTGAAGCTTTGTATAAGCTAATTGACAAGATTGGGTATTGTAGGCCACATAAATTGTTCTATCTTGTGCCAGATGATGTGGGCACTCCCAAGTTTACAAGGATTGAAGATAATGAAGATATCGGTAGGCTAATTGAGATGAAGACTCCCCACGGGTTGGTGGAAGTTTTCAGGATAGCTTCAACTGAGTTTGATCCATTCATGAAAACTGTCCGGGTTGATAATGAGGTGGATAGTAATGAAGATGAGGACAATGAAGATGAAGACTATGTTGATAGTGAATTTGAGATGAGTGAAGATGATGAAGATTTTAGGAAATATGTCGATGAAAGGCTGGAATCGACTACATGGTGCTCATATAGAAGTGAATCAGAGTTTGTACGGCATGAGGATGTTGGGGTGGGAACTGGTGGGGAGAATAAAAGTGATGATGATTGTGGGTCTTGTGATGATCTGCACAGCATAGGTGGAAGTGATGAAGATGATGATAGTGAATGCCATGAACAGAAAGACCTAGCGTTTGACCCGGAGAAATACATGGGGAACCCAAAATTTCAGCTGCATCAGCAATTTGCAACCAAGTGGATTTTATTGGCAGCTCTAAGATAACATGGAATAAAGGACAGGAGAAAGATCAATTTTCAGAAAAATGATAAGAAGTTTGTTAGAGGATACTGTGAGAATTGCAATTGGGAGGTTTATGGAGTGAAAGTTGACGATGAAAAGGATCCTACATTTCAAATTAGGACAGTGAACACCAAGCACACCTGTGGAAGAGTCAACAGCAGCCGAAATGTGAACTCAGACATAGTTTCAGATTGGTATATCGCTGATTTTGCGGATGATCCTAACATCAGTATGAGTCACCTGCAGTTTAGGGTTTTGAATGAGCATAGGCTGACTATTTCTCAGACACAAGCATGGAATGCAAAGAAAAGCTCTTGAAAAGGTTAAAGGGAAGATCACAGAACAATATGCAGATTTAGAGTGCTACATGGAAGAAGTTACAAGGGCTAACCCAGGGACCTCAATTTAGGTGATATGTGAGGATGATGATCCCAATAGGTTTCTACGGATGTATGTTTGTTATGCAGTCAGCAAGGAAGGGTTCAAGGAAGGGTGTAGGAAAATCATCGGGGTTGATGGTACCTTTTTGAAGACTCAATGTAAGGGGCAACTGCTGACGGCAGTAGGTTTCGATGCAAACAACAACATATTTCCAATAGCATTTGCAGCAGTTGAGACTGAAAATGAATCTAGCTGGACATCTCTTGGCTTGTTGAAGATTTGGGTATTCGAAACACCCCAGAATGGGTTATCATTTCAGACCGTCAAAAGGTAATAGCTCATCTTGTTTAATTAAGTTGCACTTTTCTCTTATCTTTTGTAGAATATGCAGTCTTTAATTATATTGGTCTGTTTGTAAATGTGTGCGCTTACTCAGTTTGCTGTCTTTGCATGTTTTAGGGATTGACGAATGCTGTAAATCAAGTGCTGAATAAAGTATCACATCGATATTGTGTCCAACACTTGTGGAACAATTTCAAGAAGAAGTTCCCTGATTTGGAGATGAAGCGAAAGATGTTTGATATAGCCAAGGCCACAACAGAAATGGAGTTTCATAGGTTGATGGATGAACTGAAGGATTACAATGAAGGTGCATGGCAGTGGTTGAAGGAATTAGAACCTAGTTCCTGGTCAAGAGCCTACTTCAGACTAGCACTGAATGTGACATGCTGGTCAACAATATTTGTGAGGGTTTTAATAGAGCCATATTAAAACCAAGAAGGCTACCCATTATTGGTATGTTTGGATGGCTGCGACTGTATCTGATGAAGAGGAACAAGAAGAAGAGGGACTGGATCAATAAAAACTTTGCTGTTATTGGTCCAAAGATTTTTAAAAAATTGGAGACCTACAAGGATAGAGCCACAAGATTTAGCTACGAATATGCTGGAAATGGGAAGTATGAGGTGAAGAATCATTTAGAACAGGTGTGTGTAGATCTGGATAATCGGACATGTGCCTGCAGGAAATGGCAATTGACAGGTCTTCCTTGTCCACATGAAATATGTGCAATCTGGGATAAGATGACGTGGTAGAAAACTATGTGGGTGATTGGTATAAGAAGAACAAGTACCTGAAGGCATATGAACCCGTAATGTATCCAATCAATGGGCCTAAGTACTGGCCAAAGCGAATAGACCCTCCCATTTTGCCTCCACTTTTCAAAGTTCAACCTGGAAGGCCAAAGCATAGTAGAAACAAAGAAGCTGTTGTTACTCTTAAGACCAACAAAAAGGGTTCACAAAAAGCCAACAGGAAGGTTGGTCCTGGCAAAAATAGATGTGGTTATTATCGGGGTGAGCACAGTAAAGAAACGTGTCCTGATTTAGAAGAAGCTAGAAAGGCTGGAATCCCACTGTCAACAATCAAACCAAAGGTGTTAGTTTGTTTTTCAGGTTTTGAAAAGTAATAGAAATTTGGTTTTAATTTCTTTAGTTTTCTTTTTAATTTGTTCGTTGGTGATGTGACAGCCACCAGTGGATCCACCTCAGCCAAAAAAGAAAGGCAGGCCTCCGAAGGCTAAAATAACTACCAACAATGCCGAACCACATGTTGGTCAAAAGAGGAGAAGGGGTTCGAAACCAACGCCAAACTCCTTCTGTGTATATTGCAAAGTCACATGACACTTTGTATCAATCTGTCCAGCGTTAGAGAAGAGAAGGGAGAAAAATAAGGCAGTGGAGGTAAGACGGTAACAATTCTTTTCAATCCTTAGTGTTTAGAACGTTTTTTTTATGTTAGGGTTTACACCTAGGTTTGAGATCAGTGATGTTTTTCCAAGTTTGATGATGACATTGTTGTTGTTGCAGCTGCAGGAAATAAGAGATGCAGAAGCAAACATGGCTGCTGGAAGGCCACATGATGAAATACTGCCACTTTGCGAGTGTTGTGATCAATATGGCCACACAGCCGACACATGCGAAGTTATGGATTTTTGTAATTGGATGCAAGATAACAACATGGACACGGAGGGTGGTGGTGCTGGCCAAACTATTGGACCAGAAAACAGTGAACCAGCAAATGACACAACTGCAGATGATGTCATTTTGCTTGACGAGGTGATGTGAACAATGTTTCACCCTTTGTGTTCTATTAAAACATCAGTTTAATATTATACATATATATATATATATATATATATATATATATATAAATACGTTTCATTTGTTGCCTTCCAGGTGATAAACACACCAAATGCTCCAGATGAAAGTCAATTTGAACATGATTTCCTACAGTTTGACGCAAATACCTCGTACTGTAGTTGGCACGATGCATTTGGCCATCATACTGACCATTGTCCTCAGAACTTTGTCAAGTGTGATTACTGCCCGCAATATGGTCACACTAAAGTGGATTGCCCAGAATTTGAGGTAAATTCCTTAAATAGTCGGGGTTTATTCTTTTTTAATATATATACATAAAAAAAAAATAAGGATTACAAATTAGAGTTTGAATTTTTTTTCCCTTTTTATCAGTCTGATTGCCGAAAAAAGTCCAAATCTGCTGCTGTTGAGGGACTTGGTGGGTCAGTTTGTACCAACTTAAACGGTGATTTTCATGCTGTTATTCATGATATTATCAACAAACTCAGGCGGCCACAGGTTTGTTTATAGTATTTTCATACCTTCCTTTAATACTATTCTTCAAGAGTTAGATTTATTTTTGTTATTTTTTAACCTTAACTAACTTCCTATTTGCTGCAGAATGATCCAATTACGGAGGACACTCCAAATGTTGACAACTTGCAACATACATTCGAAGTTTCGCAGGTACAAAGTAGTGGAGTTTATATAGTGTTTTGATGTTAATGTTGGTGCAACCATGAAAAAAGGCATTGACTAAACTTCACTTGTTGTAGGCTATTAAAAGTTCTGAGCGATCTGCATCTGTTACGAAACTGGGGCGAATGGAACATGCAACTGGTGCGGGTGATTTGGATCATCACCAAACGAGACAAACTGCAGTTGTTACTGCACAGGTACTGTAGTGCCATATTGGTTGTTCTGGTACTTTTTTCATTCAATTTATGTGCAATTGCTGAAGAACTCATGAATATGTTCTATCTACATGACAGGTCATGGTCTCATTTGAGGAACCAGGTGTGTCTCACGCAATGAAGAAGAAAAAAAAGGCAAACAAAAACGTTTGTGCTCCCATTGAGAGAAGGTGCAGTGCCAGGCTGAAAGTTGCCCATGCTTTCAAGAAAAAGAATGATGGACTTGGACAGACTGCGGCTGAGCTCGTCGTGTTGGATGACGAGTGCCCAGAACAAACAAAGAAGCCAAAATCTATCAAAGCCTAAGCCGTTCGGCATTTCACTTGTGTTTTTTCCTTTTATGTGTTAGTACACTATCAAGTATGGTTGATCTTGGGACAATTAAGTATTTTGGTTAAGTATTCTATTTTGGATTTTGCACTTCCATTCTCCGAAACTGTCGTGTGGAAATGGTTGTTAAATATGGGTTGTATTTTGGACATGTTGGTTGCCATAATCAGGTTTAACCCTAATGAAATGCCGGATGCATTTGTAGATTTCGAAGCCCTTGGTATTGATAACCAAAAAAAAAAAAAGAAAAATTCCTTCAAGTAATGTGGGAAGATGCACTTTTGTGTACATTTGTAAGTGGTTACATATACTCCAAATAGTTTGCCTTTTGATTCAGTGCAACACTTTTGTTAGATGATTGAGGCAATAAAAACAACACCAAAGTGTTGAAACGATTAGTTAATGTAGTTAGATTACTCCAATTAGATGAAATACAAAACTTTAAAAATTTCATAAATCGATTTACTCTAATTCATCAAATTCAAGAACATATCGTCGATGATTTGAAGTACCAAATGCGAATTTTATTATCCAAATTTCAATAACAAACATAGTCGACAATTTTAACAAACAAAAGTCGACGATTTTCATTAAAGTAAGAACTAAACTTGACGATAACAACACACAACCGGCTAAAGACTAAACTTGACAATAACAACACACAACCGGCTAAGAACTAAACTCGACGATAAAAACACACAACCCAACCAACCGATTTCACTGTACTAACAGAAACCTAACAAGTACATTCTAAACACAAATAATTCTGATTATAGTTAAAACAATAACACCATCCATAAATAGATTCTCCTTCAAATATCTAAAACATTAAACACTAGTTTACCTTCTAAAAATAATAACCAACACTATTAGTAGAACCATCAAATTGATAATTGGCCCTGCAACAATTAAAAAAATGGCCTCCAATGTACTCTTGCATTTGCTGCATTCTGTCGAACCCTTCTTCAGTCTTGTGGCAGTCTTTTCCCCAGAATCGTCTACCCCTTCACCATTCAACACAGCTCCATGTAAATCACCTCCATTCACGAACCTTCTTCTTGCATAACGGGACACCGAACTCGATTCAATAAGGGTGTGATCCACCCACTTCAGGAACTCATGGTTGTGGCATATATAATATAACCGCCCAGGATTGTCGTTGGACTTCAACGGGACAACATAAGCCTCCCCTTTACACTTGCTGCAAACAACATTCTCCAAAATTAAATTTCCCGACGATATGCTACTGGACGACATGACCGGAATCTATGGAGGGAGGGGATTCGGATTGCAGTTCCGTGTCAGATCCACCCCAATTCCGCTAAAGCGCAACAATTACAATGGTGGTGGCTTGATTTTCTAATAGGATAAGAACAAAATTAGGGTTTTGTTTGTTTTCGATTCGACCTATGTTTACCGGAATCGAAAGATCGATCCGGTACTTTCAAGAAATTTTTTTTCTTTCACTTGCGGGATTTCTGAGTTTCAAAGAAAGGTTGGGGATATGGTGGTTGGGTTTGGATCGGGTGTTGGGTTGCTTTTAAAAATATGGTCAACATGGTTGGGAGGCATGGGCGGGGCACGTGACCACGGGGCTGGGTGGGTTAAGATGTTAAAAGGCAAAAATGTCCCTCCGTTAATCTTATATAATAGTCACGTGACTTGCACGCCTCCGTCTTCTTTTTAAACGTTTCATGGACGAAAAAGAAAGAATTCAACTTCTGGTATTAAATAAAGACAATTTGAACTTAGGGTATATAGTAAGGACGGAGCTCCAACTTATAGTATTTTATTGATAATTAAGTGTAGAATTAAATTACTAATATATTTACAAAGTCGGGACTGATTGCAGTTGAAGAGTGTATACTAGTGGGAATGTTGCTCTGCGAGTTGCAATTTGCACTGCCAAAAAGTTAAATTGACAAAGAAACGAAACAGGGCGTCTGTCTGCCTAACTGAAAAAACTGAAAGTAGACTGAATTATGTATGCGGCAGAACAGAGCATCTGCCAATTTAGTGAACCAATCACTTTACAGTTTAAACTTTCAAGAAAGGCAGGTAAACTCAACGAATACCCGTGCAGCAGCAGCACCAACACCAAACACCAAAAGCATCACCTACCCCATACATCTCATTAGTGATGGCTGAATTGAATCTCACACTTAATACTACTAAATATTTATCGTAAATTATATAGATGGATGAAAAATCGAACATATTAGATATTTTATTCGTCCCAAAATAAGATTTTTAAAAAAAATTTTTTTTGTTACAAATAGTTTAAGGAGAATTCTTATTTGTGAGGAAATGAAGTTCCTTAACTCTGTGGCGCATTAAGGACTCCAGAATCTTTTGACCGTGCACGGTGCATCAATACATTTCGTTTTGTGTACGTCCGCCACTAAGGAATAGACCAAAACCAAAGTGGAGGAATCTTATAAAATGGTAAGAACATTGAACAAGCTTCACCACACCAAATCGGTTCCACAATCCACATTAAATTATGACACCATAATTGGTATACAAAACTGAAAAATAAAATACTCAATCGGAAATGGATAATCTACCTAGTACGAAGAGATAAGATAATTAATGGGGGGTTTTCTCCCCTTTTTATTGATTATTGTCCGTTCATTTTCAGTAGCATATCAACACAAATATACACAATAAATGACTGGTTTTTATACCCCCAAACCTTCCAAAATTAAGAGACCACCGGCTTTATCATTTGCCATTGTCTCCTAAACAAACACTTCTTTTTTGGGTTCAACCACCCACAATCGAAACCCCCGTGCACTACTACCACACACGTCAGAAAACCATTATACAGTGTTCTTCCCGATTCTCCCGATACACCATTATCATCATTTTAACTCTGCAAATACGAATTTCCCCTTTTTTTACAATCATTTTCGTGTGCAACTTGTTACGTTAGGCAACAATCCCTCTGATACAAGAAAACATTCAATGATTATTAAATACCATAATTATATCACAGACAGTTAACATTTGAGGTGATTATTAGTATTACTTTTTAATTGCACAATGTGATAAAAGTAAGTGAATATTTTCCTCTTCCGACACTCACTAAGGTTCATTCGTATTAACCGTGAAAATCAATCACTAACCGTAGCCATAAATTCACAATCATTAAAATTAACTTACTGATCTCTTTTGTCTACCCCCAAATATCGTCAAATCATAAATTTGGTGAGTAACACAGAACCACACACATCCTTCCATGTAAAGAATAAGGGAAAAAAAAATAAAATCATAAGATATTGCTTTTAGCTCATCCTTTTTTTCTTTCAAGACTCAGAGTCAGGGATGTGAAATGTTACCTACATTTCTGCAGTTAATTACGTTCCAAACTTCCAAATTATTGTAGGATGAACAAATAATCATCTCTGACCTTGTTCTTCTTTAGGTTACACATGATCGAATGCGTTTTCAGTACCCTCCATACAAAAAACACACACCAAAAAAAAAAAAAATTTTAACGAGACGGATATTTCATATTGCACAAGACAGTTATTGTATGGGAAAACCGATCTAGAGAGAGGACCCACAAAGAGCTACAAAAAAACCTCCATGAATCACTGAATTCTTTCTCTTTCTTTGCATAATGGACCTGTGACTGTGTGAGTAGTGGAGTCACATTTCTCGCAGGCATGTGATTTATATTACTACTGACAAACCCCAAAAATCAAAACTTCCCCTCATTCTTGTCGGCGCTAATTCCTTCAATTTCTCAATCCCTTCTTTCAACTCTCTCCCAATTCCTCATCCCATATATCTCCATACCCGTGACGCCAAAAAAATGTAGCCAAAATAAATTAAAAAAAAACCCAAAATCGAAAACCAACCAAAATTCATCCCTTCCACTTCCACAGCACATACTATATGAAACACCTCATTTTTGCAACAAACCCATAGCCAAAAAAAACCCAAAAAGAATTTTTTTTAAAAAAACCCATCAAATTTCCCTGGGAGAAAAATGAAGAAGCTGGTAGCTTTAGTGACCATTTTTCTTATAGTGTTGCCTTTTAATGAAGCAAGTTATTTGGAATACGGAGAGGCATTGTCGAAATGCATAATGTTCTTTGAAGGGCAGAGGTCGGGTTACTTGCCGGCCGACCAGAGGATGGGTTGGAGGGGGAATTCAGGGCTGGGTGATGGGTGGACGGTGAATGCGGACTTGACCGGCGGGTACTACGACGCCGGCGACAACGTGAAGTTCAACTTTCCGATGGCATTCACGACGACGATGCTGTCGTGGAGTGTGATCGAGTTCGGCGAGTTTATGCCTCCCCAAGAATTGAAGAATGCTTTGGTTGCCATCAAGTGGTCCACTGATTATCTCCTCAAGTCTGTTTCTCAATTGCCCAATCGCATTTTCGTGCAGGTAATTCTTGCTGAATAGTGTGTGACTGTGTGTGTTAAAATTGACTCACTTTTGTCTCGTAATGTTTACGGGAAAATTTCGATTGAATTACGTACATTTTTAATCAATGTCTCTTTCTTAAACCATTTTCTACATCCAAAATACCGGCCGTTGAATGGTTTTTGACATGATTCTGGATGAGTCTTGACTCTTGAGGATATAATTTTTTGCTTTTCAGAAATTGTAATAATATGACACTTTGTCTCAAAATAATGAGTCGTATTCGCTATAGAACTAACACGTTTGATCATACAAGTCTAATACACCTATTTGAACACTTTAATCCTCTTTGCATGGGAGCTAAATCGCATTAGTCATTACAGAAAGGGTATACTCCCTTCGTTCCAAAATAAGTGTCATCCTACACTTTGTACGTAGTTTAATAAACTCTTAAATTAAGTAATAAAATTAATTGAATATCCTCAACCAACACTATTAAAAAAATGTCCATCAATAGTATTAATTGTTTTGAGGGTAATTTTAAAAATTGAAATGTGAAAACAATACTTATTTTGAAATTTCTCCAATTTGTTAAAACGATATTTATTTTGGAACGGAAGGAGTAAATTCATTAATTAGTTATTAACACAGGACACGTATAAATGTAGTATTATGATTTGATTAAGGACATGAAAGGTGTGACTTAACTGTCATTGAAATTGAATAGTGACACGATGATGGTAGTCTTATTTCATAATGTATTATGATATTTTTATTTACCACAACTAGAATTTTGGGAGACTTAAAAAGAAAATTTAAATTTGGAGATTTAATCTTAGGTTTGGCTGCATTATGAGTTTATTATGAACACAAAAAACAGACTTTTGTTATACTCTGCTGATGATAATAAAAGTGGGTCGTAATATTAATCCCGTGACAGTTCGCAGTTCGTACCGTACTTTTTCTTTTTGCTTTTCCTTTGCTGATTAAAATTAGAGGATGATAGATAAGTATGCTAATTTTGTGGTTCATATTTTTTAGAGTGGACAGTGGACGTCACTGACTTTTATGCCCTGCCTCTTGTGTCTTGTCCGCTGTTTTTGTCTTTTCGTCGAAGGTGTTTTTCACTTTTATGACATCACCTAAAATCACTTTCATTTTTCTTGTACTACCTCAATTATTATTATTAACCTCGTACTGTATCAGCCAGTAATTTTGATTAGGATTCATCTAATTGAAAAAGACACAGTCCAGTTACTGTCTTTTTTTTGCCGTTTTGAGAGTGTTGAACTTTGAACTCACAATTTCTAATTGAAGTTATGAAAATCCTACCTATTGACCTAATTGAATCCAGCCAGTCTCATTCTTAAATCACTTCACTTCTTTCACTCTCTTCAGTTACTACTCTTAACCTTGAGAGTTTCACACTTTCATTTTCACTTCTTAAATTTTTACCCTACCTTTAGGGTTGTTGGAACAACCTTTGGTGGTGAATCCAGTAGACCACCAAATTTTGACAAGTTGCATTGACATTTTATTTCACCATTAGTGTCAAGGCTTCAAATATAATATTTTTTGTTCCAATTAAAATGATTATCTAGTTTAATATTTTAGTTCTACTACAATTTTTAGTATAAGTAAAAAATTAAAACTTGACAATCATTTTGGGATAGAGTAAGTATAATTATTTTTTTGAGATAGAAAAAAATATACTACCACATAATAGATTAAAATATTTGAAATACTCCGTGACATCTGGGCACTTGCACCAATTGGTTCTGCCGTATTGGGAACATTGTAGGAGTCAAGTTGCGAGTAAAATCTTCTTGATCGTCCCAAAACTGGCAGTCTTTTTGTAAGAATGCCATTGTTCGTGACAGAAAAATGTGTTATTAATAGTAAGAACTTGGTGGTTGGATTCTGTACAAGATCGCAGTCATTAGTTTATATCACTGGCCATGTTCACTGACTCGTTCCTTCCCGCCATTTCTTTTTTGTCTTGTTCACTGACTCTAACTTTTCACAGGTAAAATTTTAGAAAAATGTATTACATTGCTATTGCCTTTTGACATTCGAAGATTAACAAATTGTCTACGAAATTTATGCTCCTTCTCGCAGTCATTTTAGGATGAAGGAGCTACTTCATTTTTATTAAAAAAAAAAAAGAAAAAAGAAAAAAAAGGCGGGAAAAACAGTTAAACACCAAAAGGAAGGTAAATGAGATGATGTCAAAACACTTTTAATTCATAATGCTGGACCACATATTTCAGCTTTGCTTTCCAGGGAAAAGTCACTGGACCAGGATTGGATTAATGCTGAGGCGACAAAAAAGAAAAAGAAAAAGAAAGTTAGTTTAGGTTTATTTTTCACGAAACTGAAAATTGTGAATCATCAACAAATCATATTTGTTACTGAATTCTTTTGACATGGTTATTGGAGAATGAATAAATTAAATAAAAAGTCATTGTAATTTTTGACGGTGTAATTAGATGATATGTTGGTTTATTATATTAATTTTGTTGCAGGTTGGGGACCCAGTTGCGGACCATAACTGCTGGGAAAGACCGGAGGATATGGACACTGTTAGGACTGTCTACACCGTCGAAGCTCCTAATCCGGCTTCGGATGTAGCCGGTGAAACGGCCGCGGCATTGGCAGCTGCCTCGATCGCATTCCGATCAGCGGATCCCGGCTATGCCGAGACACTTTTGAGAACTTCCACAAAGGCATTTGAATATGCTGATAATTACAGAGGAGCTTACAGCGATAACTCAAATATTAGACAAGGGGTTTGCCCGTATTACTGCGACTTTGATGGATACCAGGTAAGAGTAATAACCCGATTCCGCATCTCTGTCGTTATCATATTACTGAAATGATATCGTTTAATTGACAATACACTATATCTAGTAATTTGTAGCACTTCCGCAACGATTGATTTCACTGATTGTATAGTACGTACACACAGTAAATGAGACAGATGATCTGAATAAGCATCGTTTCTTTCGCAATCACTTTCATCCTCAATTCCTCATCATCTACTTTTTGGTTTGATTGGGCAGGACGAATTGTTGTGGGGAGCAGCTTGGTTAAGGAGGGCATCGCAAGACGATTCCTACCTCAGTTACCTACAAAACAATGAGAAACCATTGGGAGCTGATGACATCAGTAACGAATTTGGATGGGACAATAAGCATGCTGGCCTCAATGTCCTTGTTTCTAAGGTCTTAATTTCACAATAATTACTACTACTACTTGTTTATGCATGCTTTCAACTTTTTCTTTTGCAAATCACATTAAAAGCTCCTTAACCAATACTAACATTTTGCATCAATTTTTCGAAGTGAAAAAGAGTGTGAATTTTTATTTATTCACTTCCTTTTCTCATTTTCATTTTTGGCATCAACAGGAGGTACTTGAAAGCGGGACATACAGTTTACAATCATACAAATCATCGGCCGATAGCTTCCTGTGTACAATCATCCCGGAATCCTCATCATCCCACATAGAATACTCTCCGGGAGGCCTAATCTACAAGCCCGGTGGCAGCAACTTACAACACGCCACATCGATCAGCTTACTCTTACTCGTTTACGCCAACTTGTTGGAACGATCATCCCAAACAGTAAACTGCGGTAACCTAGTTGTCGGACCAGCAAAACTACGTAGCATCGCGAAGAGGCAAACGGATTACATCTTAGGCGAAAATCCTAAAGGAATGTCGTACATGGTAGGCTATAGTGACTTATATCCACAACGAATCCATCATCGTGGATCCTCGCTTCCTTCAATTAAGGATCATCCTCAACCCATCGGTTGTAAAGACGGCTCGCCTTATTTTAACTCGTCGAGTTCAAACCCGAATGTGTTAGTCGGTGCCGTGGTAGGTGGTCCAGGGGAAGATGACATGTTCGATGATGATCGCGGCAAATATCAACAGTCTGAACCAACAACTTACATCAATGCGCCATTTGTTGGCGTGCTGGCTTATTTTGCTGCCAAACCTACAATTAGTTAGTTAGAATATTTTCTCATTTTCTGTGCATAGCTCAGAATCAAAAGGGAAAAATTAAGTGAGGAGACTCAGGGTCGGAGGAATGCAAATTAGTCTCTCATCTTGTGCAAAGCAGAAGAAGGAAGAGGCTGTGGGAATGAATTAATTCATTTCCACATTAGTCTTAGGTGTTGGTAATTACTAGTTACCAAAAAGTAGCTCAATTATTGTTGTACTGCTTAAAAGCAGAATTAATGGGACATGTGACATGTTGCATCATTTACCTTAAAGTTTAATTTTGATGTGAAATGTCTCAATTGAAAGTTTGCAACCCTCATAAATTTTAAAGGTTTTTGGGCTTTTCCAATGCTCTCCCCCTCCTACGCTGTCAAGGTTGATCATATCATAGTTAAACTGGTCTCGTTCCTTGGATCCGAAATGTCTTTATTAACAAGTTGTGCATTGATTTTTACATCTCACCAACCCGAAGTACGCTTTAGTAGTTGGAGAAGTACTATTTGTGTTGTGGAATTAGGAGAAATTATGATTTCATTACAACCTTACCCCACTAGGTCACTGAACTTATGCACATTATTCACTTGGAGTATCAATGGATCCAAAGAACATTATCATGAACAATGATTAGTATGCTCCAGAACTTCAATCTTGTCGAGACGATTACAGCCTCAAGAAAGAAAGGCAGGGGTAAATCACACTAATGTTACTTGCAGAAAACATGTGCTTCCTTCTATTTTTTGGGACGGGGAGGAGTAAAACAATTATGACGTATCAACTTCTTGTGGTAGACCAGATTCAATTTTCTCACATTTAAGTGGCGTCTGTTAGGTTTTTTTTTTCTTTTTTTTAATGGTGATTTTCAAATTATGATTTATACAGTTTGGTGTATTATTCACGTATCCATGATAGAAATCAAAATAACTTTTTTTGATAATACTCATTGAGTCGCTAAAATTCAGACCGGTAAAACAATTAAGACGTTCTCCTCATAGTAGAACTCAAAAACTTCATTCAAACAAGTAAAACAGGCGCAGGAATGTGATAATTGAAACCAAATTATTTGTCGAGTAAGTTCGGGACATTTTTGAAAATAGTTCGGGCTTGGCCCAAGCGTATTTTGTTCAGAAACTTATTGGATCAGAAAACAAATCCTACAGAATGCTGGGCATCCAACACGAAATAACTTAATAATAGGGTCCTCGATCTCTTATTTCCTGAAATTCTTAAAATCAACCATTAACCTGAGCCAATTCGAGTTATTTCCGAATTTCTAGGGTTAAGCTCGCAATTGGGAAAATGGCGACGACGAGTAAATTCTTCGCCTCACTAGCGAGGAGGACGACGGTACTGAAGCCAGTCGATCAGCGAATGACATTTTCAGCGTTATCGGCGTCAACATCTCCGGCCGGAGGAGGGGCGCCGATGCCGATTCTATGCGGCCGAGGGGATAAGCGGACGAAGAGAGGGAAGATTTTCAAAGGGTCGTACGGGAACTGGAGACCAAAGAAGGAGAAGAAAATCGAACGAATCAAGGATAGGCTTGAGGTTCCGAGATCCACTCCTTGGCCTCTCCCTTTCAAACTCATTTGATTTCGTGTTAGTTTTTTCGTTTTCACTAAAGTTTAGTAAAGCTTTATTGCAATGTTAGTGGTTCTGCCTTAATAGTACTCGATAGAGATTTTGAATTGAATTTCGTTTGCCCTTTTCGCAAGAATGTGTACATTTTCAAAATAAAGAATGTTGAAAATGTTGTGGCTGTTGTTACTCTTTGATTTTGAGCTGAAGTTTTCCCTTCCAGAGGAAATTTAGGGAATGATTGATTGTTGAAATTTGCTGTTTGTGATTAACTTGTGTCAAAATGGAGTATCGGGATGTTAATGGTTGTCCTAAGTTGTGGCAATGGAATTTTGCAAAGCAGACTGTTTGATGGAATACTATGGGAGTGCCAGCTTGAAGTTTTGTCACACTTCCCCGTTTGGATTGTATGGGCTTTGTACTAGTGATGTTGCTACACTGGAAAAAGTTAGCTGTACCAACCGTTTTTTGTTTCATACGACAGGGTAGGTAGGCATATGGCTATTCAGATCATATGATTTCGACTTGTAGGAAGAGGCATTACATTCTGTTGTGTTAATTTTTGTATAACTTGCTGTGACTGGGATTTCCAGACTCGCCACAGTGATATGGCCGGCTTGATTTAGTTCGCATTTCAGCCATATCTGAGACTTAAGGCTGATGATTCCTTGAAAATGCTGATATCATGTATTCATATTTTGCTAGTAGATTGTGCATAGAAAACCTTTATGGAGCCAATGCATCGTATCTTGAGGAACATACTTAACGAGCATGTAGAAGAGGACTAATTTGTGCATACTTGCTGTGCTGCCGTCCTTCTGAAGTCATCTTTTCTTTGCTTCTTTTCTTTTTGCATGAGCTAGAGACTGTTGTTGGTTGATAGCAAATAATTTACAGATACCTGAGGGGCAGTGATGCTTAGGCATAGACTGTTGTTCCAGTTGAGTAACTTATTGCTTGATTTGGGGAGTTTATCTTCGTGGCGATGCTATATCTGGTGTTTGACTTCAATGTTCATTACTTCCACTGGGTTTACTTAATGCTTTCAATTGGAAATGGGAAGATTTGTGTTCTCAAGTGGTTTAGATTGTGTTGTTTTGAGTTTTGACCATCTCAGTTATGAACCTGATATGAAGAAAAATATAAGGAACTGTCAACACAAGCATTCCCAAACCTCTAAATTCATGAGACGAGAGTGAACGAACAATCAAGAGCAATCTTCTAAAATCTGTAGTCTTGTTTAAATATTCAAGTATTGAATAATAGTTACCCTCCATTGACAAAGTCGAATGGAACTATATCATAAAGCTCTTGTCTGACAAGTTCAACTGTGAGATTTGCAAGCAATGAGCCAACTGTGTGACGAAATAAATTTGGGAAGAAATGATCGTGATTCCAGAAATTTGAAACAAATTTGGGAAGAAATGACCGTGATTCCAGAAATTTGAAACGTATTTGCTACAATGGATATGGGGCTCACTGAGGCTGCTTTCTTATTTAAACGCATTTCCATGAGCTCGTGACCTCTATACAAAGCTGTGCTATTGTGGTCGAAATTTATACTTACGGCGTCAGTAATTATGCTGTAACGAAATAGAGTGAATAAAGCAAAGCTGACCAATCTTTGTAACTGGTTTTCGTAACTGGTTTCAGTAATTATGCTGCAACTGGTTTTCGTTAGCGCAACAGAAAGAAAGGATACAGAACTCAGCACTGCACAACTATAAATGACAGGCATAAATGGCAAAACAGAGAATCAAGTAGCTGAGAAGGCGTTCAGATTTTTTTTGACAAATTCAATGCACCACGCACCAACTGTTTTATAGAGGTCCCGAAGAAAAAAAACCACAAAGTAATGGGATGGAAAATCAAAATCCACATCCACTCAAAACATTGGTACATCACGAACCCATTAATTCCACATTGTCTAAAAGAAAACTCGGATTCAATTTCACAAATTTAAGATTTTGAGCCATATTCAAGACGTGACATTGAGCAGAGGTCTTCTCCATACTCTTAATACCTTCTCAATCTGCATCATAGCAAATTTTCAGCAAGCATGGACTACAATTTACAAGCAAGCTTGAAGTATGCACATTTATTGATACAAGTGTGCCATACATCCTACATATATGATGCAGATTGAGAATAAAATGAATAAGGCAAAGAAAATGAATAAGGCAAACTCTAACAACTGCAATTCCAAGTTCAAAAGCTCTGAACATGGACTTATATTCAAAACTCCTAGTAACACGCAGTCTTTGCCAAAAAATGTCAGCAATTCATGATGCAGCATCTACAAGAGTGACAGACAATACAATATCCCAATGGTATACAAACTTTCCCCTGTGGCATGCATAATGATGTTATGGCACAATGTTCATCTTCAGGAACCAGAAAGAAGTCAATGACATTTAACAACCTACACGACTAACCTTTATTTATATCCATGAAAGAAAGTCAGTCTTCATTCATTCTGTTCTCGCCCATAATCGTATATTATCTCAATCTGCAGCAAAACCGAAATCATAATTAGTTCATTGAAACTGAAATGGTGGGTTTAACAAATTACTGGAAACATAACTAAGAGTGCAGGGCCAAGAAAATAACATCAGAATACTCAACATAACAGCTTATATTCGGAATTTCATGCAAAAAAATAGTATACATGCTCTTAAACAAGGACCAATACAGCAATCAATAACCTATTAAAAGACATTTGGATGATTTATTCAGCAACAAATCAAGAGAAAGAATTAAGAATACATCACAAAACTAGAGGTCAACCAGATTCCTTCACATGTAGCAGAGGTTCGTGCATAAACTAGAGCCTGAAAGACCACCATTGGTCCAACTGCCTAGCTCAAACATGCATATCCCCTGAGAGGTAGACGAATGAGTAGCTACGATGCCAGGGACATAGACATTGATCCAAGTATCCAACCTTAGGTATATGTTATCAGAACCTTAAAAAAGGAAATGAAATCTTTTGGCTGAATTTGAAACCCGGGACTCTTAATACGATCAAGCTAATGTAATAGCGAGGCGTATGCAAAAGGCAAAAAAGAAAAAGGACACATGATATACAGCAAATTACACAAAACACCTTTCAATGGTTGGAAGAAATAAAGGAAACAGTAAATATTTACCCCAGCAGGCGGTGTTGGATTTCTGTGAAACTTGGAGCCACCGGGAGCCCATGGAACTGTTCATTCAAAAGGGGTGAGAAAAAACTTTCAGTAACTACCAAGGTTACCAAGGTCACAAGATATGTGCCCCGAAGAAATGAACATTATGAGCATATACAGCATTGATAAAATATCAGTTGTGACAGCACAAATAACAACTGAAAGCTCCTTTCCTTTCCAACAAATTTACACGTCAAATTTTTTTTCCCCCTTATTTCACATTATCAAGATGACAGTATTAGAAGTACACTCTTCAAACGGGGAAAGGAACTCAGCAATCTAAGTTTTACATTACAAATGTCTGAACAATTTTTGTACTAAGTTGCAGACAGATATATACTTTGGCGAACATGGAATAGACTTAAATGTTTAACCTAAGAGAAGATGCAACAAGGCATATCCAAATCAGCTGATAGAAAAATGATTATTAAGAGGTAGCCTTCTTCTTCGATTAACCTTATCACCAGTTTATACCCTAGGAGAAAAATCACAATAAGTCTCTGAGAAAGGCATACCAACATAAGGATCTGGATGGCGCCATGTATTGTACTTGGTTTCTGCATCAGCTATCAATCTATCAATAGTTTCAACATCTTCCTGGTGGACCATTATTGAAGGAAGAAGATACAGTGAGATAATAGATAGCATGTTGGAAAAAGTATATCGTTAGTCAACACCAACATACGCTTATACTCAATCAATTGAAGCACAGAACAAACCAGTATATCTATTTTTTCAGTACGTGTAACAAATTCTCAGGATAAATATACCAACCATCAATCATGATTAGCAATGCTGATAATGTAAAGCCTTTAACTGTCAGGCCAAATGGCAATGCACCAATTTCTAATATTTACAGAACAAGTTTCACATGTATAAATTTCAAATATTTCTTTGACAAAGAGGTTAGATAACAGTAGGAAGCTGAAAAAAGAGCCACCACAGTCTTTCTGAAGCATTCTGAGCTACTAAAAAAAGAGGTTTAGCTATCAAAACTGACATTGAGCAAGTAGATTGCTTTATCATATTGTACCTATAATCCCACCATTTTTTCACAAAAGGAAAAAGAGTGATCACACATTCAAATGAAGATCTTGCAGATCCCCTAAACCACTAATAGAAAATGCCATACAGAAAAACCATGATTGACCACATATAACACCACTGCAGCAACAGAGAGCACAAACAAAACCTCATTTATTTTGCAAACCATATATCAAAAGAACCACAACCGTCCAACGGCAAAATCAAACAACAAAGTTATATAATCCCTAGGGGGTTCCAAGATCACAATCAATCAACGAATATTAAAAAAATTAGATTAAAAATAAGAGGAAGCAAATTTAAAGTGGAAGAGTTGAGACAGCATACCACACTCCGGTTGGCCTCAAATTTCTCCCTCAGAGCATCAGCCTATGATTTAAACAGAAAATGATAAGTGCGGGTGCGAGCTAATTAATTAAAAAAAAAAACTAATTATTGATTGGAAATGAACATAATGCTAGCAGATCAAATTGATGACCCAACGGAAATTGCCCAAAGAAAACCCTAATCAGAGAAGAAATGAAGGGCGGCATTCTTTTCCCCATTTTCTTACATCGGGATAAAAGAGGTGGCGATGGACGGCCCAATTGAGAGTGTCCTTGAGAGCTCTCCGGTAGAGAATCCGAACCTTCTCCTTCTGCGCCGCTCTCCGAGCCAAGTACGCTGCCGTTGCTGAGCTCATTTCTTCTCTCTGTCCCTCAGTCCCCTCACTCTATGAATGTCAATCTCAGTTGTCTTTCCCGTGCTTCTTCTATTCTCCGCTGATTAAATCCCCAGATACAGCGGAGACCGACGTCGTTTAGAATGTCTTTTTTCCTAAAAAACCACCTATAAAAGTGAAAATTGAAATTCCATTTTATTTATGTGTTTGTATTTTTATTTTTATTTTTTCACCTAGCTGTTTAGAAAAGATGACCAAAGTTTAGAGAAGCCGAATTTTATTAATCTGCAATATTTTTAATTTTAATACTTCTTTTTATTTTTAGATTATAACGGTTTATTTTTTAAGGGAATTGTTGAGCTAGCACTTTTTCCCCCCTAGTTACCAAAGTTTATGGAGTATCCAAATTCGTAGAATTTAGTGATTTTTGAAAAATAAAATTGAAGTTTAAAACCTTGTGGCAATTTTTGCTAGTATCTATAAGTTAGTTCCATAACATCCCCACTACTATTGATTCTCAATTTTAGAATTTGAAGAATAACGAGCTAACATAAAAGTACAAAAACAATTATACTAAGGCAAAAAGATTAACCTGCCTTGCTATATTTTCTGATTGCAAAGGCTATGTTTGAAATTCAATCTCGGTCACATATATACTACTGCTATCAGTTCACAAAGGCAAAATGCACAAGGCTCTACTAACACGATGACATCAAATGAACTAAAGATTACTGGCAAGCTAACCTTAGCAATTTTTTTCTTTTCTTTTTTTTTTTTTTTTTTACAAATGTTGCTACCACCACAATCATCAAGACTGATTGCAAAGGTTAATCAGTTTTGTGTTACTAGCAAGAATCACCTATATATATAAACCACCTCTTAGACTCAGTTACAAGCTCCACTAAAGGGAGGGCGCGGAACTCTTCCAGCCAAAGGATGATCTTCGACCTATTCGTGGTGGAGTGAAGCTAAGCCCAAACATTTCCTTGATAGCTCGGCCTTGCTGGGAGAACCTGATCAGCTTTGCGACTAGGGCAGCGCTCTCTGAGACGTGATCCATGTCATCTGGTTTGCTCCACAAACGTTGAACCAGCTGCAATCTCCGATGTTTTGAGTTCAAACTTATCCCCCATTTCTCATAAGTTCCATTTCTTTCGTCACTTGTTAACCTTTTGTTGATAAGTCTGCTTAACATCTGCCTCTCTCGCACGAGGGCCTTCACGCTGCAATTCAAATATACAATACAATGACCGATAAGACAAGCTAAGATGCTGCCAAGTACTACTGATGTGAAGTGACAGAAAGGGCAGGCAAATAATGTACCTTGAAGCTAGCGTTAGTCTCCGACCATCTTGCTGTACCGGATTTCCTTTTGAAAAAGTTTCCTCTAGGAAGACGAGTCTTCTGAGCTCTACTTCCATATAGATAGAATCACTGGGTTCGCCACCAAAAAGCAAGAAGAAATATGTCCTATGGACCAAAGAAACATTGCAAGTTTGCCAATGACCTATTATCAGTCCTCGTAACCTTTCAAACTCCATTGGCCAGTTTGCAGGATCCCCAGAAGATTCCATCACTGGGTCCACCCCAATGTCTTTAAGAATTCTGCCTGGACTTTTGCCAGCCATTGAATTGGCCCTTGCAATCTGTGCTCCACAAAAGGTCAACGATAAGGATGACAAAATCATTTCAGATTGCAGTATTTAGTTCAGAAATGGTAATACATGATAACGAAAACAAGCCTGCTAAATTGCAGAACATTTGGAAACAGATACTAAAAATTAAAATCAATCCTAATGAATCACAGTGACAGTATTACTCAAGTTATTGACCCATGGAGACTAATCAATGCCTTAGTGGAAAGTTTTGCCCAAATGGTTGTACGTTGGACTAAACAGAACATGTCTACAAAAATATCAATTCAAAGATTTCAGGATTTCTAATAAATAGGACTGACGGTTAATACTATCTTATCCATCCAGATTAAAAAGGTAACAAGCTAATCCAACAAAAGTGGTGCTACTACATCCTACATCACGAAGTTGGCAAAATGGATCACACGCCGCCAACTTGCTCTATCGAAGTACAAATTTTCATTTAAATTCAAAGATAGAGACCACTTCTGGAGACTGCAAAGGAAAAGAGTTGAAACTTTTCTGTTAGAAGTAAAACTGTTTCTCTTACCTGATCGTCGATCTTATTGTCATACTGCTGCTTGGCCATTTCTTTCAGCCCAGCAACAAAAGTATGAACACTTGGGATATCCTCGTCTCCCAGATGGCTGCTGCTTTGAGATTTTAGTTCATCTACAAGAGCGCTGCCATCGGACGACAGTGAATCATTTCTTGATAATTTCGCAGCTTTTGCTCCAAATGTAAATGGTGGAATATTCCAGTGCTTTCTGCCTCTTTCCGGTCTTCCCGGGAAGTTCTTCTCCTGTCCATCAGGTGGCGTGGTTTCACCATCTATTTCTTCCTTCTCAAAATCGGGGGAAGATGACCCATGTAGTAAATCAGCTCTACAGCTTCTGCTTCTGATGAACCTTATGTTTCTAGAACTAGATATCTTAACAGGCGGGTCCCAAAGTGGTTGTTCATCAGTGTCAGAAACAAGAGAATCAATCGTTTTCTGCACCCGTTGAATATTTTCCTCCAGTTGCACAAATGTGAAACCATTTTCAATGCCTCTTGCAGTTCTAGGATTGGCAGGTGATAGCTCTTCACCTTCTTGGGTCCAATGAACACTCAACAACCCATTCCGGCCATCCCTCTGATTATTCGATAGTATTTCATGACTTCTCTCACCATTCTTGACTGTCTCAGGACATCGAACTTCCTTGCAGCTCCTACCAGTATCTTCCAGTTCAGGATTGACCTTGGGGACATTGTATCTGCTTCCACTAGACATCGATGTAGATTCATCATCGGATGAGACCTCTTCTCTTCCACTTTGAGAATACTGAGTTGTTTTGGTTTGCTTTACTCCACCAGCAACTAATTGGGGATCTATTTCACTTGACGACTCTGATACTGAACATTCATCTTCGCATCCTTCCTTTTCTTGCATATCCTGAAGCACAAGTTCACCAAAGTTACAAGATGATGAGAATTCTGTAGGCTGCCATTCAGGCGTTATGACAACATGAGCTTGATAGAAAAGGATCAAATAAACTAGAATTACCCATCCTCTGGAATCTTGACCATTTCCTGCCAACCGCAGTAAATCCTCAATTCTTGATTCAGCTAGATTCAGTTTCTTTGTAAGTTCCCTGACCTCCTTCTCCAGCTGAAGAATATAACATTAAACCAAGTTAGAAATGGTTCTAGGGAAGGTGTTACCAGCTAAACATAGTTAACAATACGTAGTTATTGAAACAGCCCCATTCATCTTGAGAGCAACTATTTGTCAAGATGAATTATAAGAGTCGATGAAAGTCATAAATGTTTACCCCAAGGACCCCCAACCATACAATAGTATACATTCAACCATCAGCATTGCAAATGATATACGTAATTATTGTAAATTGCTCTATACTTAAAATTGTCAGTCCTAACAGTCAATTTATTTTCTTTTTTTTTTTACATTTTTCCATTAGTTCCTATAACAAAGAGATACTTATGGAAAAAGGAAGTGTCACCTTTTCAATCTGTAAATCCTTCTTTCTTAATATTGCTGTATGATCGTTAAACGATGCTGGAGTTCTAAGTTCACTCTCCAGTCTAGCTACTTCTTTTTGCAAATGCTTCACCAAGGCCTTGTCAGACATGACAACATTGACTTGTGCGTTTGTGCTCACTTCCTTTGCACAGGTAGCAAACAAAAGAGTATTTCTAGATTGCTCAACATGGCTTCGGGCAGGGCTCAGAGTGCAAATGATTGCGGTTCTCGCATTGCCACCCAAAGACGGTTGCAGTATCCGTGTCAGCTTAGAATCTCGATAATTCACGTGTCCTTGTCTTCCCTTGCTGCATCAAAGTACAAATGGAAATATCGTCAGTGCAATTACGGGGGGAAAAAATAGTAGTTGATTCTCATCCAATAAAGTTTGCCACTACACAAAAATCCATTAGATTCAGGAGAATCAACCAAGTGCCATCAGAAGTAACTAATAACAGGCAAATTGTGGAACGAAAGAAACAGGCACAACTCAACCTTAGCTTGCGAATCACAGTTCCCAGGGTCAGCAAACTTCGATTTATGTGGCAACCTTCTTTCAGCCTTTGACCAACTGATAATGCCTGAGATGCTCGCTCACTTCCAGCCAAGTCAACAAAATTCTGCATGTTAAAACTGATCAGTTTGATACATATAAAAGCTTTTTTTGGTTAACAATTCATTCATTCAATATATATTGGGTTGAAGGATCTGATTTGTACCACACTGGCAGCAAGAGCAGTTGAATTGTCCTTCCCTATAAACTCACGAGCTGAACTTTCAATGGTCTGAAGCACATGAAGAGTTAATCATCGTTAGAACTTAAGGTCGTCACACTTATAAAACTGAAAAGTGCTCAAAGGAAACTGTTACACTTACCAGTCGGAGAATCTGATGAGACCTAGAGCTGGTCTCATTCAAAGACGTCTCACCAATTTGTCTCTGAGCTGCAAGAATTTGTAATTAAATAAGAGGTAATCTAGGTATACTGGTTTACAATTAACAACAAATCATCGATACAGAAGTTTTTCTTACCTTCACAGATAGAAAGTAGCTCCTTCAGATGATTCCAGTCTCGCAGAGTTTCTTCGGTCAGTCTCTCAATAACAGTCCCTCTCTATCCATATGGGAACTAATTAGAGAACTTATACTTTCTCCAGACAAAACAAAACAATGCTCACTCACCTCTGGATCATCAAGAAGCCTGAGTGGACTAGTATCTGCGCTAAGGAGGTCTCTTACAACTTCATTGTAAATCTCCATCGCAGCAAACTTCAGAACGAATGCTCTCTCTTCATGCTGAACAAAAAAGGGAGAACGTCACTTCCCAAAAGATCCGAAGACCACGAGAAGGATACATTACAGAACTTAATCATGAATGTAGACAAATACAGGCATTCTACCTTTTGTATGTAATCATATATGTCTGCCACCGTATACTCAGTAACCCCATTCATCGTGTACGTCTTTCCACTGCTCGTTTGTCCATATGCAAAGATGGTTGCTGCACAAAAATAGCAAAAATTGTAACCCTTGTCACCTAGAAGTGAGAAAAAAACAAGCAACACAAGTAAAATAGCGGCATGGTCAAGATACTTACAGTTGATACCGCTGACAACTGAAAGAGCAATTTCCTTTACTCCTTGATCATAGACATTCCTTGTTGGACAATCTCCTCTAAATACTCTGTCTATCCTCCTCAGACACAGAAACCAAGAGAAAGTAAGAAAATGTCAAGGGAACTCATATATACATTTTCAGAGAAGACGACAAAAGAAACAACGTTTGCATCAAACAATTCGACTAAGAGTGAGATTTATTTGTCTTTAATTTTAGTGACTAGAAACTTTGAACAATAATGACAGGCCATTTGCTTTTCCACCTGCTTGATTGTTTGGGGAGAGCTTAATGCATACCTTAATCAGCATGGTTTATTCGGAAAGAATATATAAGACATTACAACAAATAAATTTCATTGCTAAGATCCTTTTAAAGGGAAAAAGTAAACAGAAAAAAGATCAGCATCCCAACCCAGAAACAATTTCCTTCTTCAATTAACACTTTCAACCCCATTCAGTAACATTAGCACCAACAAACTCAAATAAGGAAACAGTACATGTACATAAAATTCTTACCAAATGAATAAGCACTTGGTAGCCCAGATCGTTCTTGGAGGCTATTCCGGTACAAAATGGTGGTTTCATTAATGCATTCCCAGTCTGAAACTTCACTCCTTAGTATCTCCTTATCACTCAAGGGTCTCAACCTCACTAATACCAAAATTTTCTCATCGCTTCCCCTGGACAACCCCTGCATTTTCTCCCACTTCACCAACTCTTCACCTCCAATAGCCCCCATTTCTTTTCACCACCTTTTCCTGTAAATTTTTCCTCAACCCCAAACCCCCAAAATCACCCTAAAGTTTCTACAAACCCATGAACTTAAAAGCTCCACATCACACAACCTTCCCTAAAAATAACAACAGTATAACACAAGCTTTGACTGCACCATTACACCCCAAAAGAAGCAAAACAGTTAGGATGTTGATGCAGAGTTGTTCCAAAAAGCATCAAATATCATCTGCAACAGAAAAGGGGTAATTTTTAATAAATAGAAAGTATTTAGATAAACTAACAAAGTTGTTAAAAAGGATTTAATTGTGGGTTAGTTGAGATTTAAGCACTTAATCTTGGACCTCAAGCCTTTTCCTCTTCCCCAACAGAATATCTAAAGGTCCATTGATTAAGTTTTGCTTAAAGGGGACCCAACTATGCTTCAATACCAAGGAACAACTGCTTCTTCTTCCTCTTTTTCCTTTGTAAAGGCAGGTGAAGCTTATTTTTTCCAGACTATGCGGACCCCATTTGAAAAAATGAATAACCCACAAACATACAAACCAAAATTTGTGCATTCAACTTCTTTTATTCAGAGGATCAACTACTGAAATTATTTAATTACCTTCAAAAAAACAAAAGTTGGTGACAGACTGATACTGAGATAGGGCACACGGGGAGATTTAGTAGATTACAGAACCACGAAGCTTCTTTATAATTTAGGCCCTATAATAATTTATATTAAAAAAATTAAATCAATGCCTGCAAAAATGCCAAATGGAAGAAACATAGTACAAGAAAAGAAAAAATATAACCGTTAATTATATCCACCGCATTCAATCAAAATCAAATAAAAATTCCGAGCAGATATTTATGGTTGCTTTAAGAACTTAATGCCGGAAAATTTTGAACACGTAACCGCACCCCACGAAAATCCCGCATATGCAAAACTAATAATAATTACTCTACAATAACAGCAACATAAGTTGGATTCAACGGTTAAAAAAAAAGGAGTTCGGGCAATGCAAAAAAAAAAAAAAAACAGCTCAATTTGGCAGCAGAGCAAAACCTTGTTAAATCTGTCTTCACATTCACACCAAAACCAAAAAGCCAAAAAAATAGAAATAAAAACTAATGGGTTTGTTTGAAAAATTAAGTGAATGTGATAGAGAACAAACCTTTACTTCACGCGTTGAATAATGAAATTAACTCAAAAAGAATAAACAAAAAAACAGAGCAATATCGGGCATGAGGTCGAAAAGGAAATCGACAGCGACCCGAATGGATGTAACAGTGACTTCCGGCCAACCAAACCTTTCACTACCCAGACCCCAAACCCCACCCGTGACCCACCTAAACCGGACTCAATTCGACCCGACTAGCATCCAAGCTGAGCCCGGACTCTGCAATTAATCCTACACTATTTAACTACGAGGACGGTGATGAAGCTTAAAAGAGAAAGCTTTTTCGGTGAGTCTGATGCTAAAATAGAAAAGAAATTTTCTTCTTTTATGTTTTTGAAAGGAAGGGTAGAAAACTAAGAGGTGGGTGAATGGACGATTTAGCCCTTTTCCCTTTTGAGGGAACACAACAAAAAAGCCTGTACGCGTAGCCACGTGCTCACGTGGCGGTCCTGTGTGGAAGGATTTTAGGACGTGACGAAATATCACTTTACCGTTGTTCGTAGGAGATTGGTGCCATTTTCCAGGCGGGCGGGAGCGGGTGATCCCGGGTCTACCCGGCCCGGTTCCCCGGCGGAATTTTGATTTTTGACGTGGAAAATGAATCTCCACCACCACCGTCCAGCTGCTCCACCGTTGCTGCTGAGCGGAGGAGGGCAGCAGAGCTTGAGGATTTGAAAATTTGAATTTTATGCACATTTTTGTTCTTATTATTACTCCTATGTCCTAAGTTTAGAATATCTTTGATAATTCTTGTAAAAATCCGCGACAAGTTTATCAGGCTTTGTGATAAATTGACAATCTCATATAGTACATATTTTTTGCATCACATTCAACATGTAACGTGGGCAAATTTTGTGATCAAGTTTACTTCTTAACATCGGTTTGTTTCTAAAAAAATTGTCTATTTCGTGAGAGAGATTAGGTGAAACATCAGTTTATTGCACTTAATTTGTTAAAAAACAATTTCCTTCAAAATTGTTAGAATATTTTCGGAACTAACAAAATTGTAGATGAGCTACGGAGTGGTTGTCACGATCCCGACATAAAGTTTTTATTGGATCGATCATCCAAAAGTAGACATACAAAAGTAGCTCACACACCGTGGAAAAAGACGATTCAATGGCTGCTTAATTCGTTAGAGGAAAAAAAAAAACAACAAAAACAATAGAGATATGAATTGAACTAACAATTCACCAAATACAAACAAATCAAATTTAATTTTATAAGAATTGACTCAATATAATTTTATGCATTTATTTGTACACAATCAAATCACAAACACTTTACATTTCTTTTTGTACAAGAAGAAAAACAAGAGTTCGGGGCTTGTAAACACCACATTCTTAAAATATACACGTATAACATTTATAATAATAATACATGCTAGGCTTCCTACATATTACCTTCATAGTCGTAGTAAAAATAATAATATTATTATAATATAATAAATAAAATATTACGTCTCAACAAAAATGAGTTGAATCTTTAAGGGATTTCTAAAAAAATTGCAAATTATATTTACTCCAGCTCACAATCACATTAGTTTGTTTTGTGAATGAATATCAATAAAAATAATTGAGAAGAGCTAATGTCAACGCTGTCTTAGTGCTGACTAAAAAAGAAGGAGAAAAAAAAAAGAAAAGAAAAAAGAAGAAGACTCGATTGATTAAGGGGATTCTAGAGGGCTGATGTATAATGTTCCAATTGTTTTTACATTTCCTATCTACAAACTACCTTTTTAAAGTATTCTAGATATCTATAGGTTACAACACTTTTTTTTTATACACAATTACAACTATCTAGTTTATTACATGTAAGATAGGGTGAAGTCTATGGGAACATGGATAGTACTACTAAAGGAGAGACACCACGCGTGCAGGTCTCGATCTGGTACTCAAAAAACCTTCTTGACGAATGCAAGATAACATACACAACTCAACACATAAAAGTATTGTTGCCGAGATTTGAACCTGAAATCTTTTAGGACCTTAAGTTTTAATGTCATGCCCATTCCCATTTAGACAACCCCTTGTTGGCGGTTGCAACACTTCATGGTTCGTATAAAAGAAAAAGAAAAGGGTTTCATATTTTTCTGCTAACATGCTAAACTTTATTAGTCTTGCAGATGCCAAACAAATGAACAGCTGTAAAAAAAAAAGGTGCAAAAGACTAAAAGAGGGGAAAATGGGGGTGGGTTCAATAAGGTCACAGGATCTACGAATCAAATTTAAAGTGAAAATGGTGGCGCCAATGTTCTTTACCTTAGAAGAAGAAGTGCATAGGGTACCTTTTGTGATTTTAGATTGCCCAGTGGAAATCGGTGGCGCTGATCACGGATCACTTCCTGAAAGATTGGTATGAGTGCCCGTGCCCCTTTGGTCGGCCCTAAACATATGAATGGAATGATTTTCTAGTTACCACTTACCGGTTTAAAATGTGACTTCGTGTCCTCGGTACAATTTTTATGACCAATAACGCGATAAAAATAATATTTAATGTGTTTTAAAATTATTGTCTGGTTTGAATTTTTATTTTTAGTATAATTTATATTAAAAATAAAAATTCAAACTGAAAAATAATTTCAGAACAGAGAGAGTAATTGTGTTGAATTGATCAAAGTAATTAGTCAGAGTACCGTGTTTGGTTGATTGAATTCTTTCAAAGAGTTTACCAATCCTACCAAACTAAACACATGACCATAGTACATGTCTCTGGTTAATTTTGTTTTTGTTCCTAATAAACTTTGTATTTACAAAGTATCGAAGTCTTGAGGCTAAAGTACACATTGAGATGTCATTTTCATCATTTTCACACGCCGTAAACAATATATTAAATCCGTTCCCTGATTATATTATATCTTAAATCTACCTTTTGAGGTATCCATGATTAAGAAAATAAATCAATGATGTTGATGATAAAATACTTTTTGATTTTAGATGGACGAAAATTTTGAATCATTAGAACGATGAAATATAGATAAGAATTATAAATGCACCCACCACCATGGACCAATACGAGTGATCCCCGCCCATTATGAGTAAAAGAAAATACTATAATTAAGGTGGTCACAAGTAAAATTAATTACTGCAACCGATTAAGATACATAGCCAGATGTGTTGGATAAAAACATTAAACAAAGTCAGCATCGGAAAGGGAAGGAAAGATATACTCCCTCCGTCCCATAATAATTGTCCTGTTTGAGTTTTTATTTTTAGTTCAAATTGTATTAAAAGTGAAAACCCAAACTGGACAATAATTATGAGACGGAGGGAATATTATATTTTTTTAGGGCGAACTACATTTTGCCCCCCGAGTTTTGGCCTCTTAACAATTCCATCCCTGAGTTTTAGATATACTACGAATACCCCCTTGACATTCGATCCGACTAACCAAACAAACCTTTTCTTATCGGTAAATGACGTTAGCTGCTTACATCATCTAAGTCTTTTAGTGTGAACGGACGAAAATGCTCTACTGTAATTGACCTCCATGTTTATTTTTTGTTCAGTAAATAGTCTTTTTTGGAAATCATGCAGAAAATAGTTAAAAAAAACTCTTTAAATTATTTTTATATTTTCATCGTGCAAGAACAAACAGAAGTCACTTTTATAAGATAATTTTTAAAAACTCATCAAATTTATCAAGAAATAGAAAAAAATTATTCATCATAATATAAATCCTTATAGTGTTTTTAACCCCCAAAATATCCCTAATTTAGACCCAACCATCGTCATCATCCAAAGGGCCTAACCTACACCCCTTTTCATCCCCTCCCGCGCTTCCACCACCACCAACACCATTGATTCCGTCTCCACATATCAAAATTAATTCATTGTCACAA